GCGGGCGCCGAGTTTGCACGGACGACCATACGCACCAAGGACGACGCGCAGAAGCTGCATGGGCGCGTCAACGACTGGCGCGAGGACGTCAACACGCTCGCAGGCCACATTGCCGCCCAGCTCCACGTGTGCAAGTCGCTCCGGACGAGCAAGGCCATGCACTCGATCGCAGCAACGCCGACGCCGCTGGATGTGGCTCGCATCGTACTCGCTTCTATGTAGCAGCACTAGTGGCAACATGCACATGCTGGCGTAGGGCGACGTCGACCCGTTTCACTTGATGCGGTCCGACATCCGCAGCCTGTATGATTTTCGGCTCTCGACTTTGCGCGCGCAGATTGTCGACGCCAGCAACAACGCGAGCGTCGACTTGGAGCTCGACAAGGATGCAGTACGGTGCAGCAGCTAGGGTCCCGACGTCACCCATTCTGGTAGGCACAGCTTAAGCTTATCTTGGAAGAGCCATCGACGGTCGAGAAGGCCGGCGACACCGACACGGCGTTTCAGTCGATGCTCAAGGTCACGAGCTGCTTCACCGAAGCGTATATTGATGTATGTGTCTAGTTTACGATGGCGAAAGGCGATTTATGCTGCAAAATTGCTGATGATTTGCTCCGGAAGAAGCGCGCCGCCGACCTCGAACGCGGGTACGCCTCTCTCGTCCATCAAAGGCAAGAGCTCCACGGAGCACACGTAGGATCGAAGACGAAGGGCTTACGATTGATGCCCACGCGTCCGTGCTTCTCTCGCGCGAGACCAAACTATTCATATCCTTCTTGATGCCTGCGCATATACATGGCGCTTCGATTGCAGGGGCCTTGACGAATGCTATCGTACATCAAGGTCATCGAGCTCTGCAGTAGCCTCTTGCGCGGCCGCCCAAAACACGGCCCGCGGAAGGACGAGGCCCCGCGGTCGCCGGCAGCGCCGAGCGCTGTGCACCAGCTCTTTGCCGCGACATCGACCGCACCAACTGACAATGAGGTACACAGTTCGTTCTAGCTTTGTAGCCGTTTGACGACGAAGTGCAGGCGAGCAAAGGCACCAGCACTCGTCTCGACGAAGCCAACTTTACAATTCAAAAGGTCTCGGTCGATACGAGAGCCCGATGAACGATGCGGTATTATAGCTGCATCGGGAGATCAGCGAGCTCAAGATCGCCAACGCCAAACTCGCGGCGGCCAACTCGCAGCTCGACGACAGCTACGCGCACGTTCTGAGTGAATTAGAGGCTGAGAAGGACGCGCACCAAGCCAGTATCAACTTGCACGAGCCGCGCATTCGGAAGGTCCGTCGATTCTTTGCCATTCATTTTTGCATGTACAGGGACCTCGATAGCTCGAAGAAGCGATTCAGGCATCGGCCAAAGCATTGTCCGAGCTCCGGCTCAACGTCGACCTCATCACCAACATGTACAAGGTACACAGAAAATTCACCAAAAAACAAACTAAACATCTCCAAATTACACAGAAAACGTGTGACGAGGTCGTCGAGTTTGACCGAAATCGCATCGTCATCCAGGCGGTAGACAACATAAAGGAAATTTCGCATATCAAAGTTGCTCTAGGAGCGTGATGCGATGGCCAAGAAGCTTCATGATGAAATCAAAAAGCTGGCCGTCGTCAACCTCGAGATCGTGCGCAAGGACAAGCTCACGATGTACGCCATGGGCGCGCGGCACGAAGCTCTCCAAGCGCTCAAAGACACCAAGCGTCAGCTCAACGAGGTTTGAGAATAGCGCACAGCCATATCTACATGGGTGCGACGTAGATGACTATGATCCGCGACGGCTGCAACCAAACCATCGCGCACCTCGGCGAGACCGTCGACAAACTCAACGCGTTGCTCCAGGAGACGACATCGGTACACCCCGAACTCGCTTCTTTGGTTCTTGAGGGCTCTGGTGCAGGCTGCGCGGGGGCAGACCGACACACTGGCCGCGCAAGAACGTAGGCTGCTCGAGCTACAAGCCAAAATCGATGAGCAGGCGACTGCCCATGCAGCAGCGCTGCAACAAGCTGGTGCGCGCCACGATGAAGGTACTGCGTTTGGTAAAGGCATTTGGGATAGAGCCGCTACTGTGCAGAGTACGCCAAATTGCAAGCCAAGTTGGACAAGACCAACAAAGAGCTCGTCGAGTCGATCCAAGACAACATCATATCTTTTTCCCGCAACGTTCTTTTCTATGCTGATCGAACATTATTCCTGTTTCTTTAACCGAGAAGTACGCGCTCGATGGCAAACTGCGCCAAGCGCAAGAGCGCATCAGCCGCTTCCTCTCGGCGTAGCCGTCTACCTCGTCTTGTTGAAATAGTTTAACGTATGAACTTGAATCGTATACAAAGCAACAGAGCAGAGCAACACAAAGGTCCATCCCTCGACAAGGTTCTCCCCGCCTGCCGTGTCTCGGTCGAACTTGATACTCCGATACATATAAGATCGCGGCCGGTCTGCGTGAAACGACGTTGCTGACGCTTGAAATGGCCGACGACAAGGACGACGAACTCCATCGACGCGTCGCGCAGCGCGTCGACCGCATCAAGGTCGCGGTCGACGAACTCACGAACGGTACACATTCAACAAGAGGCGAGCGCCGACACGTATCCTGTAGCGGTGCGGGTGCTTTCGAGCGCCGACCACCCTCAGCGCCCCCCTCGCTCGACCGTGCCCGACCCCATCGACGAGCGCGAAGGCTCGTACAGGTAGAAGCGTTTGCGCAGCACTAAGATCTCACTGGTATTGCGCCTAGTCGCATCCTCGCCAACAACGACCGAGGTGTCATCAAAGAGATCGAGGTGCGTCATTCTCCAAAAGCCGCCGACTACCTTCTTCGTGGTGTAGAGCCTCGGGTCAATGGCGATCATAATCGTGGGACTCAACGGCATGGGTTGTGCGATCGCCGAGACCTTTTGTCGCAGGTGCGACCTCCGATCTCCCCTTTGGACGACATGTGTTTTCTTACGCTTAGTGGCATTGGCAAAATCTACTTGGTCGATGACGACCCGCGCCAAGTGCAGGCGGAAGATTTGAGCCAGCTCTTTTATCTGCCGCAGAACGTGGGCTACGAGCGCATCGCAGAAGTCGAGACCAATTTGCGCTTGATCGACGAGAGCGTCGACATTGAGGGTGTCCGCCTCGATGCCAAGAACGCAGGCGAATGGCACGCCTGGGGCGGCACCCACCCGCGCCCGTCTACCCACGCCCTGCGCATGGCCTTTCTGGCCGTGACCGATACCGCCATCATCCGCAACGTGAACGAGATCTGCTTGGAGCTCAACGTTCCGCTGATCGCAATCAAGCCAGGCAACGACGGTCTCTCGGGGCACATTGTTACGTCGATACGCAGCGAGACGCCGTGTCTCCTGGTATTCCCATCGATAGGGCTCTGCCTCGCCGCTGACAAAAAGTTAGTGCTACAAGGCGCCTGGCGTGACGGCGCCGCGGACGAGCGACGTTCACATCAGAAGCCGGAGTATGCCGCCTGTCTTGGTCGCGCCTGTGCAGCCGATGCCAATGATGGAAGGCATCCTCGCTGGCTTTGCAGGCCACGCAGCGCTCAAGTGCGCCTTCTGCGACGTCTTCTTTCGGTGACGATCTGCACGTAGGCGCCTCCTCGGCTTTGGCACGTTTGCTTCATGCATGAATTACCGCAACTTAATGGAAGAGGCGACGCCGACGTTCGAGACGGACGCCAGCGTCTTCTGCGTCAGTCGGCTCTGCCGCAAGTTCAACAGCAACCTCCGACCCGAGACGTCCCCCGCCAAATCAATGCCGACGATTTAGCGGCTACGACGACGCACACGTACTGCACTCGGCCTTGCTCTTCGGCACCGATCGATCTTGCAATACAATCACGTGCTCCGAGAGAGGACTTGGTGTGGCCGCTGCCGAGGTGGACGGAATCGTGGGTGGTGTCGTCGGTGTCGGTGCTGAGGCTTGTTGCCGGAGGCCGCGAGCGAGCTGCGTCGCATGAACGTTGAGGAGGAGGTGGCTCACGACATCGGCGATCGGTTGACCTTCCCACTTGAACGCTGTCGAGTTCATCTTGGCCGACGTCCGCGCAAAGAGGAGGCCGTGCTCTTGGCAGTACGCCTTGACAACATTCGCGTCGACAAACTGGCTCGGGCGACTGTCGTTCTCGGACGAGCGCTCCGGGAGCTGGTCGACCTTGTTTTCAACGACCATGATCGACTTGATCGAGTCGCCCGCAATCTCGCGCAGGTCTTTGAGCCATCCGTCGAGCTTCTGGAAGCTCTCGGGGTCTGCGACATCGTACACCAGCAGCGCGCCATCGGCCCGTCGATAATGCGACCGCGTCATGGCGCGGTATCGCTCTTGGCCGGCCGTGTCCCAAATCTGGGCCTTGATCATCTACCTCGGTCCATGAGTGCAAAGGTCCAAGGTGGAGTCATGCAAGCGTACCTTTTTCGAGGAGAGGTCGGGGTCGGACACGTACATGGTGCCGAACTCAGCCTCGAGCGTCGCCGCTGGTCGATCCTACTCGCGTTGCATTTGGTGAGGTGAGGAGAAGCTGCACTGCGTACTGAGTAGGACGAAGCACCGCCGATACCGACCGAGAGAATACTGCTTTTGCCGACGCCGGTCGTGCCAAGAAGGATGAGCTTGTACACGTGGTCAGCGGCGAGTTGGGCGCCCGCTTGATTCGACTGCGCGACGACGTTGACGCGCTTGGGCGGCGAGGGATCAGCTTTGGGCTTGACAACATCGGCTGGCACCGGCGGTTTGACGACCTCGACCAGTGTCGGTGGCGGCAACGGAGCAACAGCCACTTCCTGCAGCAGCGCCGAGATTTGCTGCGTCGAGTACGAGTCGCGCTTGTATTGACCTTGTTGGAGCTCCTTGAGTGTGACGACGCCGGCCTCAACGTCGACAAAGCGCAGCTTGACTGGTCGCGGCACCGACGTGAGTCTACAAGCGTGTTATATGAGTACAATCGGAATGAAGCTGGTGTTGAATGGCCTACTGCCGGATGACGTCTTCGCACGGCACATTGAGCAGGTTGGTGTCGTTGATGTGCGTTAGATAGAGTCCTGCGCGCAGTGCTCTAGTGATAGCCGCCATTAGCCGTGGAAATGCAAGGCATTGGACGCACAAGTGCTGCTGCTCCGGCTTCAAGGCCGCGTTGTACTGCTGCGCGGGGCCGCTTGTCGCGGGGTCAGCCGAGATGGGCACATCGAGGAGCTGGATCGTATAGACGCCGTTACCCGTGTCGGGCAGCGCGGCGGGGTGGAACTTGAGGCCGTACTTCTCCGAGGCGAACTGCACCCTGAAGGCCACCTTCCATGGCACTAGCAGCAGCGTGAGCACATTCCTCGCCCAGCGTCTGCCACGTACACTGGTTGGCTTCGTGGACCGCGGTCATATCCTCAGCGCAATCCGTTTTCTTAGATGAGATTTGATGGGCTTATTTTGGATCTGCGAGATCTTTGTGGGTAGCCTTGCTGCGTATTATTCAAAATCAATAGAAACCGAGAAGTAAAAGTGTTTTTTACCTGCATGCCGCCTGGTATCGAAACGGTGATTGGCGATGGAAATGACGTGGAGCCCTGCGGTGCAAGATGGCGCTGCACCCGCCTGTATCAAGATGGTCGGCATATTTGTTTTCAGAGGTTATATTACTTATTACCCGTCCCAGTGATCCTGGCCACGCTGCAAGGAGCCACCCTGGCGTCACCGTTTATCCCCATGACGGCTTCTCCCGCGATTGCTTGATACCTACGGACCGAGCTCGGAACAGCGCTCTCCTTGTACCTTCCATTGAGTTTGAGGTTGACCGAACTGCGGTGTCACCAGTGTGTCAACACTAAGATGCCAGACACCTCGTCCATGCATGGAGAGCAGTGCAGCTTTAGTCGCGTCCCTTGCCCGGGTAGTGCCACGCTGATGGCCTTTCTGAGATTGCCCTTCTCCGTTCTACTGAAACTCAACTAAAAAAACATTAATCTTGAATTTATGTGCTTTTTAGCTTGTGAAACTCAATTGAGTTTTGACCAACAGCTGTTCAAAAGCAGAGAAGGCAAGCCATCACAAATCTTTGGGCTTCGTCGGACGCATGCTGCCCGAGTACTGCGGCGCAGTCGACTGCTTCCCAGTCGTTGCCAACGACGGTGTGATCGCTTCTTCTACACGCGCTCATAAGTGAGCGTAGGCGCGTCGCTCGCCTTCCTCCTCGTGAGCATGTACTCGATGCACGTCTGCCTCCACACGCCAATGAGCGTCTACATGGAGCAGCCCTGCTTGCCGGCCAAGTACCTTCTCGCGGTGCTCCTCGTGACATTGCACTTGTCGTTTCTCGTTGTCAAGTACCTTGGCGGCCATGCAGTGACGCCGGCCGAGGTACACTGCAACTGTGCGATCTATGCACACGCGCAACGTAGATGTTTGGCACGACCACGCGCTGCGTGGCCTACCTCTTTTACGCTGCGATTCTGACCGAGCACCCGTACCGCGACCTGCCATTGCTCCGAGCGGCCTTCTTCGCAATGGCGATCCTCGGCTTTTGGCAGTGCCAGCAGCTGCTGCAACAGCATCCGCCAGACGAAGCGTGGAAGCTCGGGCTGCACGGCGGCACGATCTTTCTTAGCGGCCTTGCGCTACTGCCCGCGACGCTCCTCCAGCCGAGCGACAGTCCATTTGACAAGGCGAATTGGTTTTCCCGCCTCACATTTGCGTACGTGGCACCGCTCATGGGCGTCGCATCCTTTGAGGCAGCCGACATTCCGGCCCTTCCCGTCGCCGACGCTACGCCGACCGCAAGCCGACGCTTTGTCTCGGCCTACGAAACGGAGAAGCAGGCGCCAACGTCGCCGTCGCTCTTGCGTCTGCTCTGGCGCTTGCACGGCCGCGACATTGGTGGCTTCTTTCTCTGGTCGATCGGCAACACAGTCCTCGATATGATGACGCCGCTCTTGACCAAAGTGCGTTGTCCTAGTCGTTCCAGTGCCTTATTTGGCGCGTAGAGTATCCTCGAGTGGTCGAGCCGTCCAGCGCCATCGCCGTCGACCGGGTATCTCCTCGCGTCGGCCTTGGTCCTACAAGCTCTCTTGCGCACCGTGTCGCGGTCCCAGTACTGTACGACAACGCCACTTTTTCCGTTCTATGGCTCAAGACCAGTGTGTAGCGCTGAGCAAAGACCGGTTCAACATTCGGTTTACGTCGGGCTTGCAAGCCGGTATTTATGCGCGCGTGCTCACGCTCGGGCCGAGCGACGGCGACGTCATTGGCCACGTGACCAACTACGTGACGATGGACGTGCCCGTCATTGTGCGCCTGCCTGGCTCGCTCTTTGACGTGGCGCTACTGCCCATGCAGGTACATTTCCTTTTGCATTTTCCAGCATTTTCCGCAAAGTTGTGTGCTGGCAGATTGCCATGGCGCTCGTTGTCTTGGGCGACGAGGTCTCGTTCGCGTTTCTCGGGGGGCTTGTCCTGCTCGGCGCCATGCTGCCGCTGCAAGTCTACTTGGCGCATCTCGTCCAGCGCGTCAAGGCGCGGCTGCTTGCGGTGCGCGACGACCGACTGCGGCTCAGCGTGAGCACGCTGGCGGGGATTCGCACGCTCAAGGTAGGTCACCACGCCAAGAGTGCTCGTTGGCGAAATGCGCCTAGAGCTTTGGCTGGACGCGCTACTTTACAGAGCAGCTCGACGCTGTCCGGGCGCTGGAGCTCCAAGCGTTGCGGCTGCGGCAGATCATCACGGCGTTTTGCGACGTGCTCTCGAGTGCTGCGCCGCTCATGATCCAAACCGGCGTCTTTGTCGTCATTGTGTACACGGGCCAGACGATCACGGCAGCGCGCGCCTACACCATCATCTCGCTTCTGCAGCAGCTTGTGGGGCCGATCACGGGTCTGCCGTGGATTGCGCGCAGCATTGGTGAGGCGTATGTCTCGTTCATGCGTCTCTCAACGTTCCTCTTGGCTCCGTCGTCATCTGCATGCGACGGTACGGTCGTCACGCGCTATGACCATTGCACGTTTGGCTGGTCACCCGAGGTGAACAGCAACGAGGAGCTGGTGGCGCCCTTGCTTGGCAAAGGTCCGTTCCGCCTGCACCTCTCGGCGTTGACGCTGACACCTGGTGCCAATGTGGTCGTGGGCGGTCGCAGTGGGGCGGGCAAGTCGTCGCTGCTGCTCGCTCTCCTTGGCGACATGCCCTGTGTGCACGGCGCGGCCGGTCGCGTCGCACACTCGGTGGCGTATGCGCCGCAGACGCCGTGGATGGTACCTGGCTCGCTCCAGTACAACGTGACGCTCGAGAGCGATTGGGACCCAACGTTGTACGCGCGCGTGACAGCGGTGTGTCGCCTGGACGGGCTGCCAATGACGCTGCTCGTGAGCGAAGACGGCGCCAATCTGAGCGGCGGGCAGCGCGCGCGCGTTGGCCTCGCACGCGCCTTGTACCAGCGCGCGGGCGTGTATTTGTTGGACGACTGCTGGAGCGGCCTCGACACCCGCACCGCCAGAGGTATTTTAGCCGAGCTACGCACTGTGCTGCCGCCGTCGGCCACGCTCGTGCTCTCGACCCACGCGCTTGACCTCGTGCGCGTCTTGGCGCCGACGATCTTCGTGCTGGACGACGGCGCTGTCGTCGAACGCGGCGCCTACGATGTCTTGCGCGCCACGCCCGGGTCCCGTCTCAATGCGCTTCTCGCCGATGCCACGCAGATGCACGAGCCCGCTGTCGTGTCGGCACCGTCCACACCACCTTGTGAGCGCGGCGGTGTCGACGCTGTGCCCGAAGAAGGCCGTGAATCGGGTATTGTGGCGCTCGAGGTACGTGGCAACGCAGAATGACAGATCATTGTGATGGCTTGTGATAGGTGTGGCACGCGTATGCCGCGGCGATGGGCTATGGCACGGCGCTGGCGTGGCCGCTCACCAACGTGAGTCTCCAGCTGCTGCAGAACGGGATGGACTATTGGACGGCGCAGTACACGACGTACCACGCGACGTCACCAACTGTCTTTGCGCGCGGCCTCATTGCGCTCACGTTGGGGACGCTGCTCATGACGACAGCGCACATTAGCGTGGTCGTGTATGGCAGTCTCCGCGCGGCCAAGAATCTCTACAACCGCATGACGCACCAGCTTTTGCGCACGTCGTTGGGCTTTTACGAGACGACGCCGATTGGGCGGATCCTCAACCGGCTCGGCGATGACACGTCGACTGTCGACACGATGATTCCGATGGCCCTGGATTTCCTCGTGCTGGAAGTCATTTCGATCACGGGGTCGATCGTCGTGCTCTACTTCACCAACGTCTACGTCCTTCTGCTCCTTCTGCCGCTGAGTGCCGTGTACCTCTATTTGCAGGCGCGCTACCGGCCACCGGCCCGCGACCTCTCGCGGCTCAACCATGTGGTCCAGTCGCCCCTCATGATGCACTTGAAAGCGACGCTCAACGGCCTCAGCGTCCTTCGCGGGCGCGGCTCGGCCGTTGCGTGGCAAGCCCAGTTTGAAGCGCACTTGTGTCTCTTCCAGCGCGTCTCGCTGGCGCAGTCGCTCACACTTGGCTGGCTCGCGATCCGACTGGACGCGCTCGGTATTTTGGTCGCCGGCTTTGTGGGCTTCTCGGCCGCGATGGCGGCCGCCCGCGGCCACCCGATGCCGTCGGCGTACTTGGGGCTTACGCTCATGTACGCGCTGCCGATTATCCGCAAGCTCAAGCTCGGGCTCGAGGCGTTTGTGTGGGCCGAGCAGGCGATGGTGTCGGTCGAGCGGCTCCGCGAATACGGTGCACTCCCCGACGAAGGTGCTGGCTGTGGACGAGACGAGCCCGATGGCGACGCTGACTGGATCACGACTGGTGCGATCGAGTTGGTGCAGGTGAGCTTGCCGCGCGGTCGTCTGGCCAACATCTCGGCGGCGATCGGGGCGCGCGAGAAGGTTGGGATTTGCGGGCCGTCGGGTGCCGGCAAGAGCTCGCTCCTCAACTGCTTCTTCCGCGCAGTCGACTTTTCCGGTCGCATTCTTATTGACGGCCAAGACATTGCGGCTCTGTCGCTGACGCAGCTGCGCGGCGCGCTGGCGTACGTGCCGCAGACCACGGTGCTCTTCGCGACCTCTCTGCGCAAGAATCTGGATCCGCTCGATCAGTACGACGACGACCGCCTGTGGGCCGCGCTGCACTCGTGCGGCCTGCGCTCGCTCGTGCAAAGCTTTCCGCTGCAGCTCGAGCAGCTCGTTGATGGCAGCGTGCTCAGCCAAGGCCAAACGCAGCTGCTTGGCATTGGTCGTGCAGTGCTCAAGGCCGCCAAGATTGTGTGCATTGACGAAGCGACGGCCAGCGTCGACCATGAGACGAACCGCCGGCTTCGCGAGGTAGAGTCGTTCTCCGCGTGATGTCGTATTTCAGTATCGCATGCGTAGCTCATGGCCGATGCATTTTCGGGCGCGACGGTGCTGACGGTCGCGCACCGGTTGGCCACGATCGCTGCCAGCGACCGGGTCCTTGTGCTCGAGCACGGCCGCGTCGTTGCTTTTGATACGCCGACCACCTTGCTGCAGGACGCCCGCGGGTATTTTGCGTCCATGGTTTGAGCCAAGAAGAGGGTTAGGTACCGTGGCGGTTAGGGTACCGTGGCGGTTAGGGTACCGTGATATCGACTCGTTGTGTGTGTGTCTAATTGATTTGTTTTTGGATATTACCACGGGAATACCCTGAAATAATTGTCCGTTCTAGAGTGTAGTAATACGTCCACATGCCATCCACATGCTGCCCCTGGACACCGGGAGTTGCTTTTTGCGTTGTTAAAGTGAGTCTATCTAGTTGCACTTGACTGTTTTGGGGGCGGACTTTCGACTCAGTGTTGTGACGGACGGCAGCAGCGGGGAGGCTTACTAGTAGCCGTCGCGAAAGCGAGGCGCATGCATGGCCGGAACGAGGTGGTCGAGGAGTCGTGGCGCAGGATGTTCATCATTTGAAAGAGACACAGTGGTTGCAGCAAATGCTGAAGAGGCAGCTTGGTCGAGAACTCAGCGCGAGTGGCAGTCGCTTCGGGCGTCACAAAGGGCCCCTCGGAACATAAGACTCTGTCGTTTCGGGCTATATGTACCCAGACGGTGTGGAGCACGCAAGCGCGTTGCATCGGCCACAGCATGGCGTTGGGCCGTCGCCAGCGGTTCAAACAAGAGCGCAAACAGCGTCGAGGAAGAAGGCACGTGGCCACGGCGTCACGACGGGCGCGTCCGGCGGGTGCTGCGAGGCGTGTCGTCGCAGTAGCCAGCAACTGCAACTTTCCGGCAAAATTTTTACGCCATTGAGGCGTCCCAGGTTCGGCTGCGGCGATCGCGTGCCAGTTCTTGGTCCACCCCGGCGATTGCTTGTACCAGTGCCAGGAGCCAGACGTCAGTCGCTGGTGCTTGACGTCAAGATCTTGAAGGACTGGCTGGCCCCTCGTACGTGCGAGACGTGGTTGAAGCCTGCTCGGGCCATGTTGCGGGCGTGGGTCGTTGCGTACCTCGACGTCAAAGGGCTCAGCGCGGCGAATGTCTCAAACGCCCATCCGACGACTTTCGATCGTCCTCATACCGGTACGAGCACATCATATGAGCGTGTTTCGCATTATCTTCGCATTCGCTGTACGTAGAGAGTAGGCTAGCAATCTCCTTCTTCTTCTTCATTCGCTTGCGAGCCGTGGCTGCGCAGGCGGCTCGTCTTGCTCTTTCTATAGTCGCCCGGCGGCGCTTGTGGCCGCGAGTGAGGCCCATGACGACACGCTTGTAAAGGCTGCGCCATCGGTGGCAACGCTACGCAGTTCCTTGAGGTCATCGAGAGACGCCAGTTGACTGAAGCGGCGCCAGCGACTGGAGGTCGCGGTGCAGGACGATCGGCAACGTGAGCTCGGTGCGGCCCAAAAACGTGGCGCCACGGGCGGGGCAAAGAAGTGGGCGGCGGCAATGTTGGCAGGGACGACTTCTTTCATGCGCAGCACGTGGCCCAGCAGGCGCAGCACTAGCGTCTTTTGCATGGCATGATGGGGCCCTGCAAAAGACAAGGCAACGGTAACTCTTGAAGATCTTAGACCAGATCAAGAGCAGATACTGACGGCGATTCTCCGGGGTCTGTTTTTGCGGTCTTTGATTCCTTGGGATTTGGGCTAAGCTGTCCTATAATGGAGAGGGGTGTGTGGCAGTAGATGCCTCATACAGTGGTTGAGCACAGGATATTCATATCCACACAGCTCTCGAACCACTAGGTCGAGACAAGGCGATGTGTTTGTATCAATCTATCAGTAGATCGTCCTACGGGAAGACCGTTGGGATGGGACTGTACAGGAGCCTGTGGCCAGGGCTCCAGCAGTCGGCTAGTTCTAGTTTCCATTTTGCCTCTTAGTACACACGCCGGTGTTTGGGAGTACGGCCTCCCTTTGTCTGGCGTTTGAAGGCGGAAACGGTCATCAGCGATCTCACGCAGCGGGACGCTGTCGCAGCGTGTGTAGAGCACGACGTCAGCGTGTTCGGGTAGAAGATACCTCGAAGACGACGAAGCTGCCGGCGATGTAAGCTGTCGAGGAGCACGCAGATCGGCCGCGTCGTCGAGGAGGCTACTGAGCTTCTTGGTTGTGTGCCACGCCAGAGAGGCGGGGTTCGTCGGCGCCTCGACCTGCGTCTACGTGAATACTGCGTTTCTTCCGACTTGTCTTCGTACATGTTGAGGTCCACTGAGACCTCAAGACGACACCGCGGTCTTGATCCTACCTCTGGATCGCAATCAAGACGGCCGATTACGCGATCAGTGAAGTCGCGGCAAGTCGGATGGCTTCCTGCAAGGGGAAAATGGCCCACCTTGGCCGGGGGTGGTTCAACGACCACAACGCCAGCGTCGCGTTTGGCAACATCCTACGCAACTACAAGCCGCGCACAACGTCGGGGACGTCCGCGTTCGACAAGGTTATCAAGACCGCCGCATTTCATCGGTGGTATGCTACACCGGAAAGTGAACGCGGTCTCGGCCCGACGTACTACCACACCGCCGTGAACAACCCCGCATTCGCCGCCTATTACAAGGATTGGCATGCGGGCACGAAGCGCGAGAAGTCGTGGTCCCTCGAAGACGGCCTTGACGCAACTTCGGGGAAGCCAGACCATGTATCTGAAACGCCGACATCGAAGCGCAAGCTGATCGAGACGACGTCGACCAGCAAGCGCCAGAAGCTCGCGAAGCGCCACATGGCCCATGCCGCGTCCCAGGACGCGGTCGCCAACGCGATCGACGTCGAAGCGATTACCCTACGGCCGTCTGCTTCGTCGATTACGGTCGGTGGCGTTTCTCTTACACGACTGCACCTCAAGGCACTCCTCGAGACCGACAAAATGCTGTGCACAGCGCTCGTCGATTTCGGCGCCATGGCCATAGCACGCCCGTATGACGTTTCGACGATCCAAATTCTCAACACCGCGGCTACGGGCGCCTGCAAGAAGGTGGACCTGCGTGCCATGGTCACCGTTCTGCTCTTTTGCTCTGGGTACGTTGATACTCTCTCGGGCGCGAAAAATATTTTTCTCTTAGATTGCACTTTTGGCTCGAGGTCGTTGAAGGTGACACTATCTACGTCCTCGATTCCTTGCCCACCCACCGCGTCCGCGGAAGCTCCGTTCGCTGCAGCACGCAAGGTCACCAGGATACGTTCACGACGGTGATTGTCGATGTCAAGAAGCAATCACCGTCGTGAACGTATCCTGTAGTAGCGACGTGGCAGATGAAGTCCGAGTCGTCGGCGTGGGCGACCGTGTGCTCGAGGAGGTTGGTTGCCTTCTTCGCCGAGCGTCTGCGCGAGGTCCTTGAGCGCGGCGCCGAGGTACGCGATACACAGCGCTGGCGACAGCGAGTCGTGCCGATCCAACAGTCCAATGGCCATGGTCCACATCCTTGTCGCCAGTGGGGACAAGCGCAAGAACACGTGACGTCGAATCACTCGACATCGCAACCAAGGCCAGATGGTTCAATTGCATTAAATGGAGGTTCTCGGATGTCCTTCATTGCATAACCAGATCAATCCGAGTGTTAAAGAGAGGTTTTGTCCTCATCGCCAGATGTTTGCGGTGCAGCTCCAGCGTTTCAGTACCGGGATGCCGTTGTGGCGAAGCTCTGGCGCAATTATCTGCGCTGAGAGTGCACGGCCGTTGGAATTGGTCATGAGTTTGATCCCATTCATGCGATCATTTCCCAATAAGAGCTCCTCGAAGGACCCAATAGCCAACCCAATGGAGTGCAGCTGCGATGGGACCAACACCTGCATCTTACACGCGCCGATCGAGCCCGCAATGGACGCGCCGTTTGCGGTCGTCGATGTCCCGCTCGAGGCCGCATGGAACAGCGGCGACGGCGACATGCCAATGCCTCGGGTCGAGTTGTACGATCACGACGCCTGGCACGGCGCGTAGGCCTCGAGCGCGTTTTCTGAGGCACAGCCGCCTCATTCGTCAAGCAGAACCGGTATCCAATGCCAGCTGAAATATATCGATCTTTCAATCTTTCAATCTTCCGAGCACAACGCGACCAGTCCTTTATTCCAGCCCTTGGAACACATTGCACACCCCGATGAACGACCCTACTCCATCGACACAACCTTGAAAATACATGATTGGCACGTTCCGTCGGCAACACAATCAAAAAAATAGAAAGTGGCATATAATAAAAAGACTATGGATTGACCAATACTAGGTGACTACTGTTGCTTGACGTTCTTGCCCGCGACCACGTCGCCGCTCTTGACGTAGAGCGCGTCGATCTGCTTGAGAAAAGCCTTCTTGACTTCGTTGCGCTTGAGCTTAAACGTGGGCGTCATGAGGTCGTTCTCGACCGTAAACGGCTCGGGATGCAGGCAGAGCGCGCGGACCGTCTCAAAGCCATAGAGACCGCCCTTCTTGCTCACGGCCACAATGTCCTTTTGCACGGCATCGACAACCTGTACACAAATATATCAGCCTACTAGAACAGCAAAGTATTCAAGTACCTTGGCGTGGACGCAGAGCTCTTCGAACGAGCCAGAGACACCGAGCGAGGCTGCGAGGGTCTTGAGCTCGGCTTCTTCGGGCACAATGATACCGACGAGCACCGAGTGGAGCGAGTCGCCATAGACAAAGGGCTGGTTGACGTAGACGCTGCCCTTGATAACGAGCTCAATCTTCTCGGGGGCGACGTACTCGCCTTGGGAGAGCTTGAAGATGTTCTTCTTGCGGTCGATAATCTTGAGACGTCCGTCCGGCAGCCAGACGCCAACGTCGCCCGAGTGCAGCCAGCCATCTTCGTCGAGGGCTTCTTTTGTCTTCTCTGGGTTCTTAAAGTAGCCCGGAAACACGCTCGGGCCGCGGTAGCAGACTTCGCCGCGCCCACGGACAGCAATCTTGGCGTCGTCGTCGCCGTGCTCCGTGTCGTTGACGTCGTAGCCCATTTCCGGCACTGAAACGAGCTTGATCTCGCAGTTGGCGATCGGCGGGCCCGCGTTGCCGCCGGTAAAGTCGAGGTAGTGCGTCATGTTGGAGATACCGCTGCACTCGCTTTGGCCGTACGCCTCGAGGACCGGGCAGTCCATGACGACGCGGAAGAAGGCGAGAACGTCCGGCGAGAGCGGCGCCGACCCGCACCCCATCAACGTCGTGCGGTCCAAGCCGAGTTTGACGCGAATCTACGCATATCATATCGAGGTGAACTTGGGACGCGCGCACGGGAGACGACATACCTTGGAAAAAATGAGCTTGTCGTACAGCGCGTGCGTCGTGACGCCGTACGGGAGGTTCGCGAGCTTGGTGCGCAGCGCGCGCTGGAAAAGCCAGCCCTTAAAGCCGCCGGCCGCCGACGCCGACCCGACGATCGTGTCGTAAATCTTGTTGAGGAGCCGGGGCACGGTCGCAAAGATGGTCGGGCGCAGCGCCGCGAGGTCGTCGAGGAGCTTGGCCGTGTTGCCTTGGTAGAACCCGAGCGCGCCAAAGTGGCGGATCATAAAGAGCTGGAACACCTGCTCGGCTACGTGCGGGAGCGGGAGGTACGAGAGAAAGGTCGGGTGGTTCTTGACCGCGTTGATCGCCTTGCCGACCGTCACGCGCTCGTCGCACGCCATGTTGGTCGTGAGCAAGTTGGCGTGCGTCAAGACCACGCCCTTCGGGTCGCCCGTCGTGCCGCTCGTGTACCTACACCATGGCTCAGCACACGCCACATTTTCTATCTCACGTTGCGTACATCAAGATCGAGACGTCGTCGGGCTTGGGGTAGCGCGGTGCAGCCGGGTACGCGGCGCCAACGCCTTCAATCTGCTTGAAGGTCCAGAGCTTGACACCGACGGCTGCGGCCTTGGTAGCGTCGTCGTCAGAGACCGTCTCGACGTCGGCGAGGATGATGTGGGCCATCGTCGGCACGTCGGCCTTCATGGCGAGCAAACTCGGGAGCTCGAGCGTGGTGCTGAGCACGGTCGACGCGGTCGTTTGGTTGAGAATGTACTTGGTCGACGTCACGCCGAGGGTGTCGTAAAGCGGCGAGATGCCCGCGCCGCAGTAGTACGCCGCATACTGCGCCATCGTCCACTCGGGTCGGTTCTTCATGTAGATGCAAAGCAGACGCATGTTATCGGTGCTGTCGAGCGGCTCGACCATGCGCTCGCGCATGAGGCCAGCGCCAAAGTTTTGAATGCGGACGTACACCTCTTCATACGTCTCCCAGACGAACGGTCCGGCGTTGCCAGCGCTGTCGATGGGCCGGCGGCCCAAGAACGGCTTGGTCGGGTGCGACCGCACAGAGTGCTGGAGGACCTCGAGGAGCGACGGGAACGCCGGCTCGGGGAACGGGCCAACGCGGTACACGGGGCCGTGGCCGGGCTTGGCGCTGCTACCGTCCGGCTCGCAGTAGCTCGATGGCGTCGGCGGCAGCGTCCGGCGCTGGCTGGCCTTGAGGAAGAAGAAGCTGCCGAGCGCCATGGCGAGGAGCGTTTGGAGAATGAGCGTCGGGCGCGGCAGCTCGGCCAAGACACTGAGCGCGAGCATGCTGCAAGGGGTGGCCAGATGGGAAATGACCTTTCCCAGCCCTGGATCGCGTGACGTCACGCAATGACGTCATCGCGAGAATGACGATCTTTTGGCGGGGCGCGCGCTTTCTGGCGGCAGGATGACGGAAACGCGCGCCTTCGTGAACACAACGCGTGGTGAGGTCACCCAGGGATAGCTCGGACGTCGCCGACGCCGCGGGTGGCCCTCGTGTCGCGTCTGCGTCAGCATACAGTAAACGAGCACCTCGCGGTTATGACACGTCGCGGTTATGACGCAAGACGAGTTTGCTGTCTTGACAAGACGTCACGTGCAGCGACACAAAGCCCCGGCAACGACCGTCTTCGTACACTGGATTCCACGACCACGTTGAAGAGTACACTACGGACGCAGGCAAGTTGAAGGGCGCTGACCAACCGCTCATCGTCATGCGACGGGGCATGGGCTGTGTGCGATCTCTGTACCGGAACTAATACTAGGTATAGTGTGTATTAGCGATAGGACCGTAGTGCTATTCGAGTGAACATGCCCATGGTCGTGGAGAGGCCACACGAATGATGGAGACTTGGGTTCATCCTCAGGACGAGCTTTTGGTCGCGCAGGTTTTCGCGCGTGTGCGTGACTTGGATGACGGCGTTGGGAGCGACAGGCTATAGTACTCGGCAAGCCATCGACGAGTTGGAGAGGAAGCAAGAAGCAAGGCTCAGTAACGCAAGGACAAGACAGCGGAGGTTTGTTCATCGCCAGTCCATCCATGGACCATGGACAGCCGGATAAACCTCTAAAAATGAATCCTATCAGCCACGAGCGTCATTGCATTCCGAGTGATGGCGCCGGCACCGAAGCGGCCCTCCAGCAACCCGGCGGGCCGGCCGTCAATCAAGAATTCCAAGAAGAGGCCCAAGAGAGCGGTGGTGAGCGCGTCACACACGTACGAAGAGAAGTATGACGTCATCGCGTTCCTCGACAAGTGCGGCTCGATGAGCCAAACCATCGACAAGTTCTTTCCCGCCTTCACGCCGAAAGAGCGCGAAGCTGTTCGAAAGAAGATCTCGTCGTGGGCCAACCGGCAGCGCTCGCAGATCACGTTCTTCGCAGGCCATCCCAAGTATCGAGGTCAGCGCAACTACAGGTGTGAGGGTCTCGGCAAGGTCCTGCCAGCCGAGGCCGAGAACCAGATCAAATTGTGGGTCTTGGACCTGCGCGGGGGTGGCGTCCCCGTCTCGCGGCAAATGATTCGCCTCAAGGCAGTCGAAGTCGCTTGCGACCACGGCGTCTCGGCCGGCTTTAGCGCGTCGTACACGTGGCTCGAACGCTTCCTCCGAGAGCACGACCTCCTGTTGACGACGCGCAGTGACCTCGTCGACGAGTGCGAATCCACGCTTCAACGCGAGATGGACGCCCTCTGCCTACAGCACAAGATCACCAAGATCTACCGCGCCGAACAGACAGGTGCAGTTTGGTCGCTCTTCAGAGGACGACCAAGTCTTTGTAGTCGCAAGGCCATTCTATACCTTGTAGGCATCAACTACGAATACATCCCAAAGCCGGCGGGGTCGGTGACTACGTGGGTCCGGTGCGGTGGCTCGGAGAGGGACCGCATCACGGCCATGCTGCTCGGGGATGCAGACGGCCACAAATACCCCCTCTTCCTCGTCATGAAGTCGGTCGCTGAGAATCGCCCTGACGTGCGCCAAGGGTTTGACACGACCGAGTGGGGCAACGTGCAGATCATCCAAGAAGAGACTGGCGGTGTCGTCTACGGTAACCCGACGGCTAGTTGGAACAGCGACCTCTCGCTCGCGTTTCTCCGATTCCACTTTGGCCGTCGCGCGCATTTGAGCTCGAAAGTGCTGCTTCTCTGGGACGCACACTGGACCTCGGACGTGCAAGCGTATGCCGACTCCATCAACGTGGTCCTCCATCCCGCGCCGCCCGCCGACGTTGTGTGGAAGAACACGCTGACCAACCGCCTTCGCCGCATTTGGATCGACAGTCTCCGCGGCCAAGTCGCTAACCACACGCCAGCGACCGCGTTTGTCCTTGCGCCGCCCCACCGCATCGAGCTCGCCGCGTGGGTGCAAAGCACGTGGGACTCGCTCTCGAAAAACGCGATCAAAAATGGCTTCAACAAAGGCGGCCTCGACGCCTCCAGCCCTACCGTCGCAAACGAAGACGAGGACGCCGTCTCGTACCTCGAGCCATCGCTGCTTGAAGCGCTCGTCAAGTTGAAAATTGCTCACGACGTCGATGAAGACGTTGTTATCACAAGTCCCGAGCGGCCGCCGCAGCATGCTCCGAGTCCCGAGAGACCGCATCAACGTATCCTCCGCAGCCCGCCCGACGTTCCACCGATCCGCGCGATGGGTGCGAGCGTTGGGCGCTCAGACGCTGCACGGAGGCCCGACCGCCAACTGACGACACTGCCACGCTTGTTCGAGCTCGTCCCATCGTTTCCCAAGCGCCTCCCGACTCGCGCAGATTATACGGAGATCGCGGCCTTGGAGCAGAACAAGGAGCTTTGGACGGAGCTGACCGAGACGCTTATCGCCGCTTGCCCCAGCGTCCCCAACATCCAGCGTGTCGGCCACGAGACACCGCTACACTGGTAAGGCACTTGGTCGGGGCCCTCTCGATCGACTCGGATCTGGGTAGTGACGAGCCATAAATGACACAGTGTGATGTCTGATCTTGTAACGAGTTGCCGCTTTTTGGGGCTGGAAACAGTACATGCTACGATCATGCAGATGCGGCAGACGTCGCAGCATCGCCCGACCCACGTCCTTGCATCGAGCAGTATTGTTGCGGTGATGATATGAGTTTATTTCACCAAGTCATCTCATTCAACTACACGACCAACTTAGCGGACAACATGTTCTTCGTTTTGCCACCAGTTTGGAAAGGACGTCGACAACGACATTGCCGAGATGCCAGTGAATATGCAAAATATCGACATATATCCGCAAAATGCAACTACTAGTATTTTCATCAATGTCTGCTGTATTTTTCATCAATTTCTACTGTTGGCTCACGTTTTTGCCCGCAACAACGTCGCCCGTCTTGGCATACAGCGCCTGGATCTCGGTGCCAAACACCTTTTTGACTTCGTTGCGCTTGACCTTGAACGTTGGGGTCGCGAGGTTGTTTTCAATAGTAAACGGCTCTGGGTGCAGCAGCAGCGCCTTGATGAGTTCGAACCCGTGGAGCTTTCCCTTCTTCCCGACGGCCACAATGTCTTGAAGGACCGCGTCGTTGATGGCAGGATGGGCGCAGAGCTCGGCAAACGTGCCGGTTACATTCAAGGTCGCTGCGAGACGGGTAATCTCGGCTTCTTCGGGCACAATGATCGCGATGAGCACCGAGTGGAGCGAGTCGCCATAGACAAACGACTGGTTGATGTAGACGCTGCCCTTGATGACGTTTTCAATCTTCTCGGGGGCGACGTACTCGCCCTGCGAGAGCTTGAAGATGTTCTTCTTGCGGTCGACAATCTTGAGGCGACCGTCGAGCGTCCAGACGCCAATGTCGCCCGAGTGCAGCCAGCCGTCCTCGTCGAGCACTTCCTTTGTCATTGTCGGGTTCTTGAAATACCCCTGAAAGACGCTCGGGCCGCGGTAGCAAATTTCGCCGCGGCCATTCACGGGGATTTGCTGGTCGTTGAGGCCGTGCACCGTGTCCTTCACATTGTACCTACAGGTTGTCGTCAGCACACTTCAAGGCGCTATCGGTGGTCGTACCCCATGTCTGGCACCGAGACGAGCTTGATTTCGGCCGACGAGAGCGGCGCGCCGACTGTGCCACCGGTAAAGTCGGCAATGTCCGTCACGTTGGACGCGCCGCAGCACTCGCTTTGCCCATAACCTTCAAAGATGGGCACACCCAAAAGCACTTGGAAGAACGCCATGACGTCCTGCGACAACGGCGCCGACCCGCAGAGCATGTAGCCGAGGCGGTCAAACCCAATCTTGGCCTTGATCTAGTCGACATCACATGACTCAAGTCCTAAACCATGCAAATATACCTTGGAGAAAATGAGCGGGTCGTAGATCGGGTGCGACGTAATACCGAGCGGGAGGTTCGCGAGCTTGGCGTCCAGTGCGCGCTGGAAGAGCCACGCCTTGATACCACCGGCCGCGAGAGCACCGCCGACAATCTTGTCGTAAATCTTATTGAGCAGCCGCGGCACGGACGCAAACGCCGTCGGTCGAAGCGTCGTGAGGTCGTCCACGATGCGCAGTGGGTTGCCCTGGAAGAAGCCGACGCTGCCAGCGTACTGGACGACAGCCAACTGCGCGAGCTGCTCAAACACGTGGGGCAGCGGCAGATACGAAAAGTAAATCGGAAAGTTGTTCATCGTCTCGAGCGCCTGGCCATGGAGAATACGCTCTTCGACGCCAATGGCCGCCGAGAGGAGGTTGCCGTGCGTGAGCAGCACACCTTTCGGGTCGCCCGTCGTGCCGCTCGTGTACCTACACCATCACCTTGGTAACCGCGACAATCTCACAGTTTGCGCCTACATGAGGACGGCCGTGTCGGACGTCACAAGGGGTGGTAGTCCCGGCAGCGGGTGGGCAGCGCCAATGGCTTCAAGCCCCGTCATCGTCCAGAGCGTGAGGCCGACCGCCGACGCCGACGCTACATCGTCGGGCGACAGCGACGTCGTGTCGCACAAGATCACATGACGCAGCGTGGCGACCTGCGGCTTGCGCGCGACGAGCGATGGCAGCTCGTTGCGCGTGCACACGACCGACGGCACGAGCGTTTGGTTGAGGATGTACTCGGTCGAGTCGGCGCCGAGCGAGTCGTACAGTGGCGCGATAAAGCCGTGCGCGTAAAAGGCTGCAAACTGCGCAATGACCCACTCCGGTCGGTTGCGCATGTAGATGCTGAGCATTTTGTGCCCATCGGCCGTCGGCGCTACGAGGCCCTCGTGCGCGAGGCCAGACGCAAAGTTCTGAACGCGGGCGTAGACCTACGTAACGCTATAGATCGGAAGCGAGAGGCGAGTCAAGAGGATACCTGTTCGTACGACTGCCACTCGTACGGGCCGGCGTTGCTGTCGGCGTCGATCGGGCGGTGGCCGAGAAAGTTGAGCTTCGGGTGCTTGGCTGTTGTTTCGTGCAATTGCGCCAGCGTCGTAGGCACATCGAGCTTGGGAAACTGCCCGTCGCGATACACGGGTCCATGGCCAGGCTTGGCCGTCGCGTCGTCGGGCTGCGAGTAAGAGGCGGGCGGCGCGACGACGTCGCCGCGCGATGTCAGGTGCGTGTAGGCGAGGCCAGCGACGCCGAGGAGGACGCTGCTCTGGAGGAGGAAGGAGCCGGCGCTGTCGGTCATGACGACGAACGAGATGTGAAAGTTGCCTTTGATGAGGAGGTCCTATTTCCGGCTTCAGTTGAAGCCGTTGTCCAACTGGTTCAAGGATCTGTCCTCGGAGGTTGTGCCATGTCCGGCCTTTGATTGGTCAAAAAGGTGCAATGTCGCATTTCGGACCAATCAGAGTCTGTCTTCGCCACAGTCCCCCGCAGCGTCCAGTGCGCAGCGTCCTAAATCGAGCCTGCTGCCATCAGTGTACGTACGGCTTGACCAAGCCGTACGTACACTGATGGCAGCAGGCTCGATTTCGCAGTCTTACGATCAACACAAACTCGTTTCGCCACTGCTGTGTAGCTGTAGAACAGATCACGTGGAAAAAGCTCGGACTCTTACTACCGACGCAGTACGACTTGAGCGTGCAGAGTAATTTACTAATGCCCGTGGAACACGCTAGCACATTGCTGAGCCCCATGGTGCCGGCCTTCGTTGTGTCTGAATGAAATCTGCGCACTTGGTCGGCGCTGCTACAAGTACCAAGTCTATTGCGTGGCAATGGCCAGAGCTTCCCCCAGATCTATACTGTGATCTGATTCGAGCAGCTGTATACACAATGCACTGTGATTGGTCCATTCGCGATCTTGCACCGCCAAAATCAACTCCAAGGGTTCGGAATCGTGTTCAAACCGCACATTTTAACTCTCACTTTAGCGCAATTTATAGCTAATTCGAGTCACACGACTGGTCGATCACAGCTGGTCTACGGGTCCCAAGCCTCTTGTCGCAGCAAGCGTTCGTTCTCGGCGCCGCCCGATTCCCGTACCTCTCGGCCACTCGTATTACGGCAGCAAAGTCTTCGCGACATATTTGTACATCACGAGACGAGCTTCTTATGCTGTCATCCTATGCGAGCCTACTGCTGCTTGATTTGCTTGCCAGCGACCGTGTCCTTGGTCTCGACATAGAGACGATCGAGAACGTCCGCGAAAATCTTCTTGGCCGCTTGCCGCTTGAGCTTGAGCGACGGCGTCACGAGGCCTTCCTCAATCGTAAAGAGCTCGGGGCGCAGCGCGATCCCACGGAGCGTCTCGAAGCCCAGCAGCTGACTCGTCTTGCTCACACGCTGAATGTCGCTCAGGACGTGCGCAACAATCTACACATGAGACAACTCAGCAAAGAAGCAACATGGACCTCACATACCTTGGGGTGGGCGCAGAGCTCCTTGTACGTGCCTGAGATGCCGAGCGACGTTGCGAGCGCGGCGATCTCGGTTTCTTCGGGCACGATAACACCGACCACCATGGCGTGGTAGCTGTCGCCGTACACGAACGACTGGTTCACAAAGACGCTCGACGCAATGATGTTTTCAATCTTCTCCGGGGCGACGTACTCGCCCTGCGAGAGCTTGAAGATGTTCTTCTTGCGGTCGACAATCTTGAGCCGGCCGTCGAGCGTCCAGACGCCAATGTCGCCCGAGTGCAGCCAACCCTCCTCGTCAAGCACTTCTTTGGTCAATTCCGGGTTCTTGAAGTAGCCGCCAAAGACGGTCGCGCCACGGTAGAAAATTTCACCGCGGCCCGCAACGTCCATGCTGCCATGCACCGTGTCGGTCACGTCGTAGCCCATATCCGGCACCGACACGAGCTTCATCTCGACGCACGAGAAGGGTGTGCCGACGTTGCCCGCGGAAAAGTCCCGCGGGTCCGACGCCGTTGCGCCGCCCGTGCACTCGGTTTGGCCGTAGCCCTCGACGACGGGGCAGTCGAGCAGCACGCGGTAGAACGAGGCCACGTCCGACGAGAGCGGCGCCGAGCCCGTGATGACAAACTGGACGCGGTCCAGGCCGAGCTTGGCTCGGATCTACACCAATCGTGTGCATCTCGACGGATACTGATGTACTATCTGAGAGTACCTTTTCAAAAATGAGCCGGTCGAAGAGCCAATGCGACGTGATGCCCCGCTCGACGTTGGCGAGCTTGGTCGCGAGCGCGGTCGCAAAGAGCCAGCCCTTGAGGCCGCCCGCGCTGAGGCCGGCGCCAACGACCTTGTCGTACACGCGGTTGAGGAGGCGCGGGACACTGGCAAAGATGGTCGGGCGCAGCGCGATGAGGTCGTCGATAAGCTTGAGCGGGTCGCCTTGGTAAAATCCGAGGGACCCGCCGTGGCGCAGTGTGAGTGTCTTGGCGAGCTGCTCGGCAATGTGCGCCAGCGGCAGGTACGAGAGGTGGATCGGGTGGTCTTCGAGCGCGACTTTGGACTTGCGGTACTTGATGCGCGCGTCGCTCGAGCACGAGCACAAGAGGATGTTGGCGTGCGTGAGCGGTACGCCCTTCGGGTCGCCCGTCGTGCCGCTCGTGTACCTAGATCAGGATGAGTATGCATCGAGAAGGTCGACGAACATGAGGATGGCCATGGCGCTGGCGTTAAGCGGGGCGCGCGGTGCAGGGTGGGCAGCGCCAATGGCTTCGATCGCGGCCATCGACGTGAGGCGCACGCCGGCGTCACGCGCGCTGGCCTCGTCGTCGGCCGTCACGTCGCCGCTGAGAATGATTGTCGTCAGCGACGGCACGGACGACCGGACGCGGAGAAGGGCCATGAGCTCGTTGCGGGAGCAGACGACTGTGCTTGCGTGCGTGTGCTGGAGGATGAACGACGTTGAGGACGACCCGAGCGTGTCGTAGAGTGGTACGACGGTCGCGCCGCCGTAGAAGGCGCCGTACTCGGCGACGATCCAGTTGGGACAGTTCTTCATGTAGATGCAGAGCATACGAAGGCCGTCGGGCGTCGGCGCGAGGAGCTTCTCGTGGAGAAGGCCGGCCGCAAAGGCTTGGACGCGCGCATAGACCTGGGCATACGACGCCCAGACGTACGCGCCGGCCTCGCCGTTGGCATCGATCGGTCGGTGGCCGAGGAAGTTGGCGTCCGGATACTTGGCCACTTGGTCGTCGAGGACTGCGAGCATCGTCTCGTACGGCGCCGAGACGCTCAGCGTGGCGGCCGTGCGGTAGATGGGGCCGCTCCCGGGCGTCGCCGAAGCCTCGTCCGGCGCGCAAAAGACACTCGGGCGGGTCGTGACCTCGGGCGACGGCAGCAGCGCATTAAGCGCGAGCGCGCCGAGGCCGACGGCCGCTGCCGACGCCACGAGCGTCGTTGTCGTCGTCGTCACCATAGCCGTTCTCTGTGCAAGTCGACTTGTGCGGAATCAGCAAAGGCTGTCGTGCATGACCAGATTGCCATATGGCTTTCGACCGCCGACACGCCGAGCCAGTGGCCAGTGCCCAGGAGGCTGCGCCGCTGGTCGCGTCACGCTGGCAGCACGGTGACGCCACTGAGCTCTCGCTGCCTGCTTATCCACCATCCACGGCGCCGCCGGGACCTTGCCGCCGCTCGTTGGTGCTGCGGACATGGACATGGGCGATGCGGTAATGGTCGACCAACAAGCGACGTGGAGAAATTAGATATGAGTTAATAAAGGATGCTTAATTCTGCTTGACGTTCTTGCCCGCGACCACGTCGCCGCTCTTCTCGTAGAGCGCGTCGATCTGCTGCATAAAGGCCTTCTTGACGTCGTTGCGCTTGAGCTTGAACGTCGGCGTCAAGAGGTCGTTCTCGATCGAGAAGCGCTCGTGGTGCAAGTGGATCGCGCGGACCGTCTCGAAGCCGTTGAGGCCGGCCTTCTTGCCGGTCGCGGCCATGTCCTTTTGGACCGCCGCGGTCAGCGTCGCGTTAGCGCAGAGCTCTTCAAAGGTGCCGGTCATGCCGAGCGAGGCTGCGAGCGTCTCGAGCTCGCGCTTGTCGGGCACGACGATGCCCACGAGCATCGAGTGGAGCGAGTCGCCGTAGGCAAACATTTGCTCGACGTACGGGTTGACCTTGAGGATGTTTTCAATCTTCTCGGGGGCGACGTACTCGCCCTGCGAGAGCTTGAAGATGTTCTTCTTGCGGTCGACAATCTTGAGTCGGCCGTCGAGCGTCCAGACGCCAATGTCGCCCGAGTGCAGCCAGCCCTCGTCATCCACGGCTTCCTTGGTCTTCTCCGGGTCGTTATAGTAGCCCGTAAAGATGGTCGGCCCGCGGTAGCAAATTTCGCCGCGGCCGTTGACCGGCATCTGGGTGTCGCCATGCACCGTGTCGGTCACTTCGTAGCCCATGTCGGGCACCGACACGAGCTTCATCTCGCACGACGGCAGCGGCGGCCCGACCGTGCCCGTCGAGAGGTCAAACACGTCCGTGATGTTGACTGCGCCGCAGCACTCGGACTGCCCGTAGCCCTCAACGACGGGGCAGTCGAGCACGATGCGGAAGAACGCCATGACGTCGTCGGCGAGCGGCGCCGAGCCCGTGATGACTGCGCAGCAGCGGTCGAGGCCGAGCTTGGCCTGGATCTTGGAAAAGACCAGCTTGTCGTAGAGCGGGTGCGACGTGTACCCGCGCTTCATGTTGGCAAGCTTCGTGTGCATCGCGCGCTCAAAGAGGCGCGCCTTCATGCCGCCGGCCGCGCGCGCGCCGCCGACGATCGTGTCGTAAATTTTGTTGAGCATGCGGGGGACCGTGATAAAGACCGTGGGGCGCAAGGTGCAGAGGTCATCAGGGATCTTGGCCGTGTGGCCCTGGGCAAACCCGATCGCGCCGCCTTTCGAGATCACAATCGAGTGCACCAGCTGCTCGAGAATGTGGGGCAGCGGCAAGTACGAGAGGTGCAGCGCTTCGTTGTTGAACGTGTTGGCGGCCTTGCCCTTGCGCAAATGCATCTCGACGCCCAGCGCGCACGTGAGGAGGTTCTTGTGGCTGATGCACACGCCCTTCGGGTCGCCCGTCGTACCGCTCGTGTACATGAGGAAGCACGTGTCGTCCGTGTGGATTGGCGCCATGGCCACGAGGTGGCGTGCGCCGATGGCCTCGAGCTCGGCCATCGTCCAGAGCTTGATGCCGACGGCCGCGGCCGCCGCGACGTCGGCGGCGTCCGCCGTCGCCACGTCGCAGAGCACAATGTGGGCCATCTTGGGGCACGCCGCCTTGATCTCGAGCACGTGCTTGAGCTCGGCGGTCGTGCACACGACGGTCGGCGCCTCGGTTTGGTTGAGGATAAACTTGGCCGAGGAGGCGCCAAGCGTGTCGTAGAGGCACGAGATGCAGCCGCCCGCGTACAGCGCCGCGTACTGCGCAAGGAGCCACTCGGGGCGGTTGCGCATGTAGATGCACAGCATCTTCTGGCCGCTCTCGCTCGCCGGCATCATGTTTTCGTGCACGAGCGCCGACGCAAGTGCTTGGATGCGGCCGTAGCCCTTGGCGTACGAGTCCCACACGAACGGACCCGCCTTCCCGTTGGCGTCAAGCTCGCGGTGGCCGATAAAGTTGACGTCCGGGTGCTTGGCCGCCGTGTTGGCGAGGTTCTCAATCATCGTGGGGAAGGCCGGCGTCGGGTACTTGTCGTTGACGCGGTAGATGGCGCCGTGGCCCGGGCGCAGCGCGCTGTTGTCCGGCGACGCGTAGGTCTCTGGGGCGGTGATGCGGTTGCCGGGCTTGAGGCAGAGGAGGTAGATGGCGCTGAGCACGCTGGCAGCGATCGTGCTCGAGATCACGGCCGCAGTCGAGAGCGCGACGGGTGACAGCATGTGGAGTCGATGTGGGGTGCCGACGCAATTTGGAAATGACGAGCTTCTCGCAAGCGCGAACTTTCCCTCAATGCGCTCGGCGTATCGCAATCGCAGCATCGGCCTCAAAAATCAGCAAAAAAAACAATAGAGCGTTTGTATGCGACACGAAAAAATGCAGCGTATCATATACACTGCGACAGGCAACCACTGGATTCGAACAGACCGGGTCGTTGCCAAGAAAGGCGCCGCCTCCCAAGCAACGGGCGACCATGACGCTTGCCAATCCTGTAAAGGCCAGCGAACGCAGTCGGCGTGTTCGGCGTCGCTGTACAGCGTCGAGAGGGCACCCAGCAGGTACCCGATTGATAGGGTTGAAAAACGCTGCAGGATCCAACTCACATCTGATTGGCTGCCGCCCAAGTTGAAGCGCGTGTCGAGTCGACCAAGCGTGGCCCTGCGCTGTGCTGCATCAACGCCAGCTGCGCGCATGATAACGTTGGCCCATCTAGGTGATCATCATCGCGACAGTCCGGTCTCCGTCGTCGCCGATCACGAAATGGCGTGATTCCAGCATCCTTCCGGGCGTCTCGAGGCGGCGATAGCAATAGACAGGCGGGCAAGAGGCAAGCACCGACGTTCGAAGCTACGAGAGGACAGAAGTAGCCGCAGCTTCGTTTATACATGACGAACTCGAGTCCACTACGCTACCGACAAAGGCGGTGGCCACAGAGCGTGTAGCCATGCTGGAATCGATCGACGGGGTTGGTGCGCACGAGGCAGACAAAGAGGAGGCCGCTGAGCACGACCGCGTGGACCCAGTGCGCGTTGGCGACATAGGCGTCGAGCTCGGACTCTTCTTTCCAGGCGCTAAAGCAGCGCGTAAAGAGGTAGCCGCCGACGAGCCCGACGAGCGACGAGCCGGTGAGAAGGATGCCAAACATCGTGCCGGTGTGGTAGACACCGTACAAGTCGGTGCAGAGCGACGGCAAGGTGCCCGTGGCGCCACCGAGGACGAATGCCGTGATCCACATCATATGCGCAAACGTGTCGACGTCTCTCTGTCGCAGCACGCTTGGGAGGACGCCGAGCACGATGCTCTGCACGAGAAGCGCGACGCCAAATGCGAGCTTGCGGCCAAAGGGCGGGTTGAGACTCGCGATGCGGATCACAATGTCGGACGCGATCGGCAAGACGAGCCGGCCGAGGAAATTGCAAATCGCCGCGAGCAGCAAAAAGCTGAGCGCGTCCGACTCGGCCTCGCTGCTCGTACTAGCAAGGAGCAGGTAGAGATCATACAAATGGGGCAAGTAGACAATGGCAAAGACAAAGGTCGCCATGTACGTTGCATACAGAAACGCAAAGTCGGCGGACAGGACGCACGCGCGCAGAGTTTGGTGCTGGATGCGCTCGTGGTAGACGCGCTCATTCTCGTCGAGCTCGGGCCCGAGGTAGTCGTGGGCCTTGGCAAAGTCCACAAGGCACACCCCGTCGCGTCGCGAGTCGCCAGCGAATTCTTCGACGCCGTGCATGTCGAGTCCGTGGACGCGGTAGGCCGGCGGCGGTGTCCGGAGCACCAAAGCGCAGAGCAGCAGCAAGAGGGTCATGGCCAGGCCACCAACGACAAACACAGAGAGGACACCCACGTCGCGCAAGAGGAGCTGGTACACACCGCCCCAGACGACGCCGCTCGCGCCAAACCCGCAAAGCGCAAAGCCCGCGGCCGTCCCGCGGAGATCGGGAAACCATTTTTGCAGCGGCGCAATCGGCGTGACGTAGTTGATGCCGACACCCGCGCCGTACAAGACGCCGTAGCCGTACAAGAGAAAGGGGCGCTGGTAGGCTATTGCGAGCACGGCGCAGAGGTGCCCGCCTGCCATGAGCAAAGCCCCGAGGCACATACCGGCGCGGGGTCCATGTCGCTCGATGGACGGGCCGGCGAGGGCGGCGGCGACACCGACGCACGCGTACGCAACGTAGTACGGCAGCGTTACGGCCTCGTCGGTCGCGCGCAGCTGCGTCGCGAGCGGCTTGATGAGGAGGCTGTACGCGTAGAGGGATCCGCAGCAGATTTGCGACACAAACGCTGCAAGGAAGAGCATCCAGCGCTGGAAGCGGAGACACGACGCGCGCCAGTAGACATCGGACCCGAGGTCAATGTACAGAAGGTACGCCTCGGCATCGACTTGGGCGGCCGACTTGGTCGGTTCGACCACACGCCAGTATGCCTGCCATCGCATGCTGATTTAGTAGAAAGTGACGCCGCGGTTTGCAACCGAGAAGAGACACGGTCGACAGCCTCGTCTCCTCTTCGCTGTTGGCTGTTGGCACCCAGCATCCTCTGCCCACAGCTCACAACCGGCGAAGCGGAACCAGACTCAGGCGCGGCAAATCCCACGGTGTCTCTTCCGCACGCGCACATGTGTTGCTCGCGCGTTCGCCGAACCCCCGAGAGTGCAACTAAGAGATTGAGCGTCCATGGACCATGTTGTTGTAGTTGTCTACTGGTCGTGGCCACCGCCAAACGCGACGGGGGCGCCGGGCACCTTGGTCGAGAGAAGGGCCATGGCCTTGAAGATGGAGCCCATCTGGTCGGGGTGCACGAGGCGCTCGTAGGCTTGGTAGATGGCTTCCTGCGTGTCCTCTACTTGGGACATGAGATAGCATTCGAGGCAGAGACGCGCGCACCAGAGCAGCCTTGAAAGAGCGCGGCCATGCGGTGCTCAATGCCCATTTCCTTGAGGAAGAGACCTTGCTCGATCGGGCCAAACGCCTTGACGTCGCCCGTCGCCGTCGCGAATCGCTTGAGCGTCGAAAAGTCGACGTCGATACTCTAGTCCAATGTCAACCGTCGGGTTCTCTCCATACCAACGCACCAAGTCGACGTCACCAGGCTCTCGCAGCACGCTCACAAACTCGTGGTGCTGGATGCCGCGAAGACTCACTTCGGACGGGTGGTCGCGACCATAGTCGACAATCAGCGCCGCTACGTCCGCAAGAATGGACACCTTGTCGAATGAGAAAGCACTTACCGCCGCCGTCGAGCGCGATCCGAGCGGCCACGTCTTGCACGAGCGCAATGCCCGTGGGCGAAATTTCGAGGCGGTCCCCGACAGCGACGCCGGGCGACATGATTGGCGCGTCGGGCTGCGTCTTGGGGTCCTCCGAGAGCGTGTGCTCCTTGAGCTGTGTTTGCTGGAGAACGGCGGCCGCGTTGATGTTTTTGAGAATGTCTTGCGGCGCTACATCATTTCTGCGTGAGAACGACGCGCAGTCGATGCTGCTTACTCGTCGACGTGTCGGTCGCGAGGTGCTGGATGACGTTGGTCGCAGGGTTGAAGACCTTCTCCTTCCCAATGTAGACGCGCGTTGCGGGCGTCGGGCCCGGCGACAGCACAAAGCAAAAGTGGTCGTCGCCGCCCGACGTGTCAATGTCCACGAGGCGTTCGCACCAGCCCCTACCCACGACGTTCGTCGCGATACTTTGATACTAAAGCGCATACTTGGCCGTGTACTCAAACTGGTGCACGGGCAGCGCGTCAAACAGCTCCTAGAGCAGAATGAGCCGCGTAAAGACGAAGATCGTATCTCTACTTGGGCAATGAAGAGGCTCGGGACGCCCTTGGGCATCTCGGAAACGTCCTCGTACCACGCAATCGTGGGGCCGTGCTCGGGCAGCGTACCTTCACGGCCATTCTCGGCGACCGACACGTTGAGCTTTCCCTGCTGGATCTTGCGCAAAGCTACGCAATGAGATCTTAACCGAGGACCGCCACGGATGTCCTACCAGGGCTGATTTCAACCATGTGAATCCGAAGCGCGTTGTAAAAGGCCGGAAACTGCTTGGCCGTCCGGACAAAGTCTTGCATGAGGCTGCCGCGACCAGGTCTACGAGAAGGCTATGAGCGTATATGATGGAGTCGATGTAGGAGGACCCCATCTCGACGATGTTGACGGGGTTGGGCATGCCCATCTGCTGCCACGTCGCGATGCACCAAATGCCAATGAGCTCGCCAAACATTTGGCTGATCTCGGGCGCCGTCGTAAAGTCGCCCTTCTTCCCAAAGACGTCGCGCTTCATGTAGTACCCATGGAGCGGATGGCTCAGCGCCTACACACATAGCGATGATCTCGGGCAGGCAGAGGCAGACGATGTGGCGTACGTGGCGCATGAACTCGGCGACCGTGATGGGCCCGCGCACTTCGATCATCGAGCGCAAAAAGCCGACGAGCTCGTTCTCCTTGGACTTCTTCTTCTTGGCATTGATCGCTTGCATGTGCGGGTTGTCCTTGAGGAGCGCGTTGGCAATGCCGGGCTGGAGCAAGCCGGAGCGGTCGACCCGGATCGAGCGCTCCTGCCAGCGCGACGAGGCTGCTTCCTTCTTCGTGCTCAGAGGCCGCGCGAGGATGGCAGAGATGGCGGGGCGATGTACGCGCGCGCGCTGAAGTCCGGCTAGCATGTTGTTGACGCCACCGGTTTTCCAAATGGCCCAGGCCGGAGTTGGCTAATAAAACGCACCTTTACATCGTCCAACTCTGTCGGGCATATTGTACCGACTCATCGATCGCATGCAGCGCCAAGGAGATGGTACTAGTATACTGCGTGCTGCTTGCCGCAAGCCACAAGCCACAAGCGCAATGTGGTGGGTCGACGCTCAGGACGCCACCGACCTCGCGGTCGCAATCGAGCAATAGATAATGCTTTCTAATTTGCTTGCTTTTTCTATGGAGTTTAACCGGATGACAAACGGCGATCTTTGCAGCATATCCGAACCAGATGAGCGAGAAGAAGCGGACCAAGGCCGACGCGGTCTCCATGTGGCAGGTACGGCTTACCGCATGCATGTACAGGGCGCACGATGCTTGAGATAGCACTACCAAGCAGCGCTGCAGAAGCGGCCGCTCCAGTACGCCCGCCCATGGTCATCTGCAGCTTGCGAGCTCTCTCTGTAGGACCAAGGCGATCACATCCGCAGCCATGGGCGCCTTTGGCGAAATCGTTGGTACGCCCTTCATGTCATCGCTCCGCCTCATGCAATGCACTAGCGCACGGCCTCAAGCACAAGTCTCTCCAAGTATGCCATCTCATTCTTCCTTCCATGGCACCACGACCACTCGGCGTAGGGCCTTTCGCTCCAGCGTATCCTGGCGTTTGCTCTCTACAGGTTGATAGAAGATACGACTGCGCAGGTAGACGAATGTATGGCATCTAGCGGCGGGATCACGGCGCCCGTCATGCACGCGTGGTATGGCTTTCTCGAGCAATGCCGAGTCCGCGGCGACCGCCTGGTGCACCACTGTTGTCCTATCATCGTCGTCATCTCGCCCTTGTAGTCGAACAACGGCAAGCTTTTGTTTGACCGTCTCCTTCTCACGCCCCCTTTCTTGGCCTTGACGCTCTTCACGGTACGCGATGTCCTATCTCTTCCTCGCATACCTTGGGTTCTAGTTGTCGCTCTTGACGGGCGCGTCGGTCGCAGCGTCCAAAACACTCGTGCGCACCAAGTACATCACTGCGCTCTGGATGAACTGGAAGGTAAGCTTCGGGTGACGTCTCCCGCTTTGTCTATCTCGTAACTCAGGTCTGGACGCTGACGCAATACCTCTCGTTCAACTACGTCCCGCCGCACTTGCGTGTTCTCTGGGGTATAAACGCGCCTGCATGTATGGCTCCTTCCACTGCGTAGGCAACGCCGTCGCCGTGTGGTGGAACTGCTACCTCTCCTTGGCATCGTAATCGAGGCCCCATACGTCCCATAATTCGTCAAAAAAGCAAGGCATTAGTTAACGTGCAACGGAGCTTGCTACTTGGTTGCGGCTTTGATGAGTGCGCGCGTTGTCACGACGCCTTGGAGCTTCCCGAGCGCCGTGACGTAGCAGTGGTCCATGCGCAGCATCGTAAAGAGCATGTGCACATCTTCGAGCGTCGTCTCGGCGACCAGCGTCATGGCCAACGGCCGGATCACACACTCGGTCGTGACATCGACCTCGGTCGCGAGAGCGTCGAGCTTATCTATTGACCACTCGTGGCTGAGGAGCGCAGTCATCTTGTCGTCGTTCATGAGCATCGCAGGGTGCACCGGGTACAGACCGTCGCCGCGGAGAAGACTCGTCGCAGACGACGACGGCCGGCGGTGCAGCGTCGTGTAAATGTGGTCGAGCGTCGGCGCTGTCCGACCGGAGCGCAAAAGGGGGTTGGACCACACACCGCCCTTGGGCACCGAGTGACGCGCCGTGTCAGTAGCGTCCTCGTCACTGCCGCTGTCGCCCCAGTCGCGTTCGCAGCCCGAGAGACCGCGTGCGTCGTAGAAGCGCCGCACGAGCAGCTGGAGGTCGCCTTTGCCGACGACACCGAGAAGCTTTTGGTCGATGTCGACGACCGGGATCTCGTGGCTCGGCAGCCGATTGAGCGCGAGCAGCAGCTGCAGCACGGACGAGCGGCTCGAGACGTACACGACGCGCTCGTGCAGAATATCGGCCACTGTCTGGTGCCGCTGAAATTCCATGAGCGGAAGGTACGGCAGCGCGTTGGCTTCGACGAGGATGTCGTAAATGGACGGCCACCCCCCGAGGCTCGAGACACCAATGGCCGCCAAGACGCCGGCGAGCACGGGCAGGAGCGCGTCAAAGTTACCCGTGAGCTCGAGTGTGATCACCGCCGCCGAAACTGTGCGCGTTGAGGCACCTGTGAGGCCCGCCGCGCCGACGAGCGCGAACCCGTGACGACCGAGCGTCATGTGCGACGGGAAGAGCGATGCGGCAGCGATGCCAAAGAGTCGTCCGCAAGCTGCACCACCGACAAAGGTTGGGAGCCAGACGCCGGTGGGGAACTTGAGCGTAATCGAAAGCGGAAGGAGGAAAAGCGGGATGGCGCCGGTGGCAGCGACGCCCGGGAGCGACCCGAGGTCGCCAGGCGACAGAAGCTGAGAGAGCGAGAGGAGGGCGTGGTTGCGGGTCACAACGTACGTGCTGGACGCGGTGACGAGACCAACGAGGAGCGGGTCGAGCCATTGAACAAAGAACCTTACGTGGCGAAGCGGTGACGCGCCCCACTGACGTCGCCGAAGCGCGAGCCACTGCGTGGCACACTGCAAGATGGTGCTGAGGACGCCCATGGCAGCACCTACGCATCCATGACCCACGTGGACGCGGCAAAGTGGAGCGTACCAAGAAGAATTGCGAGCGGCAAGTCCAAAAGCGATGGCGGCGCTTGAGATGGTCGCGTGGCCGACAGCGCGAGCCCTTCGACTCTGGCCAACGCGCGATTCATCCACAGCACCATGGCGGCCGCAGCGACCGACGACACAAAAGCCTTGAGGTAGTTGGAGATGAGGTAGTACGTTGCCGTGACTTCAATCGAGAAGAGGACGCCACCGATAGGGGACCCAAAGGCGGACGAAACGGCCACGGCCGCCGACGCAGCGAGAAGCTGGAGACGCACCGAGAGGCGGTCTTGCAGCGAAGCAAACGGTCGAAGCTGGAGCAACGCCGTCGCGACGATCGCCATGATGTGCACAAAGGCCCCTTCGGTTCCGATCTGCAAGCCCGCGCCATTGGCCGCGATCAAGCCGCCCAGCTTGGCACACAGCGTTCGAAGCGAAAAGTACCCCGGTAGGTACAACGTGGGGTCGATGCCCGTCAGCACCGTTTTCATTTGAGCAATCCCCGAGCCTACGCGGCCACACTATGAGTTGAGCAAGCTTTGGGCGGGCGCCGACCTGCGGCCGATGGCGAGAGGCGCGTCAAGACCACAGCGACGACGAGAAACACAAGTGTGTATAGCGTCCAAAGGCTGTACGCAGCAATCGGTGAGACTTGATCCATTGCGGTAGCGCGCACTCGCAGAAGCGCATCAATGAGCCTACAACGCTGGATGAGGGCCGCCTCGAGTAGCTTAAAGTACCAAGCACAGAGCACGTGGAGAGCACCACCGACGAAGCCCAGAAGGAGGAGGAAGGCAGCGACGCGCCAGCGGTCCGAGCGCGCTGGCGTCAACGCAGCGTCGACATCGTCGTCGTTGGCGACCGTAACGACCGACTCGAAGCGCGTCCGAGGGCTCTGCGCCGACGTGCTGTCACCAGACGCTGCCAGCACACGCTCCGTGAACTCGTGCAAACTCAATCGGCGTTCGGCTTCGGCTCGCATTTGATTGTGAGACGTTTCGGTGTGGTGTAAGTATCCGGATGCATCCGGATAATCGAGTAACTGTCGCAGCTGCGTAAAATGGTCAGGCTGGCGAGAGTGGGCGTTTCATTGTAGACCAGACGTGCGGCTGGGGGCGACCGATGCCATTTTCTGGTCCCGTGTGTACCTTGAAGCCGTCACAAGCCACTGACTGCACGTGGCTCAAAGTCCACGGCCGCGCTAGTAGTTTGGCCGTCGGAACGATACTAACACACCCGGACGTGGCGCAGATCGACCGACCCCAGACGGACTCTCACCAGATTCACTTGGAAAGATCGCACCAAACCATCTGTAGCGGCAAGATACACCTCCATTCGTCAAGCGTGTGGCCAGCCTCTCCGAAGAGTAAGATGTTGCAATCACGTTTGGTCGGCTTTATCGAGGATACGTGACCACATCCTGCAGTGCCTCTACCATACGCAAGCCAACTGTGGCGACGCCGAAATGTGAATAAATAGCGTCGTGAGTTACTGGTTGAGAGCTGGAACAACGGCGGTGATATGGACAAAGTCGGTGGCAGATGGTGCTTGTGGTTTGACGAGCGCAATGAACTTCATGGAGCCCTCGTGCTGCACCCGCGCCGGCTTGTGCGACTTCTTCTCCACTTTTGCTGGTAACGGGGGCTGGCTTTCCCGCGGCGTCGCACCGCTGCCCTTGGTGCTCAGCGCGAGCGGCGTCAAGTGCACGGGCTCGTAGGATCCTTTTGGATGGGTTTTCTCTGGCGATTGTGCCAACTTGGGGGGACTCGATATGGTGGAAATGGCCTCCAAGGTCTTCGCCTGCCGTCCGGGGCTGCAAGGCGGGTCAACAATGAGCGCTTCTTTCCGAACGCGAAACTTGCGCACCAGCGGGTCTGGCACGAGACGTTGCACCAGCTTGGCGCGTGGTGTCACGGGCTGTGGCTCGAGGAGCTGCGACTCTTTAGGGGGCGACTCGATCGCAGGGAGCACCTTGGACGAGATCGTTGCTGGTGGCGTTGTTGCCAGCAATGGCTTTGGCGGCGAATGCGTCATCGGTGGAAGTCGTGCGATGGTTTGTCCTTGGAGACTCTCGACGACACTCGTACCAACTGACTCGGTGTTGCTGTGCCACTGGAGACGCACGGCCGCCAACAATGCCGTGAGCTTGATCTTGTCTTCAACGCTAACACTCGAGCTACGACGGCGCTCGCTACGCAGGTCGCTTGCATTGAGCGGCGGTACTTGCACGCAGAGATCGTCATCGATGACAGCGCTGTCGACTACTTCGCGCAGACCCGTCGTTCCATTGCCAAGGGCGCTGGAGATTTGCGGAGGCTCTGCATCGCTCTTGGCTCTGGTCTCCTCGACGCCGCCGAGGGTCTCTTGGGCCAAAGCGTGGACCTTCTCGACGTGCGCTTCGTGCAGTTTGCGCGCACCCTGTCGCCCGTGCACGCGCTCCGTCTCGACTCGCTTTGGCGGCGATGCGAACGGCCCTGAAAATGACGGCGGCGTCAGTGGCCGCGTCAGTGACGCACGGTTCTGGACGCTGAACGCCTTGGCGATCGCTTCATCGCGCTTGGGATCTCTCTCGTTTCGCCATAGCGCGTCGGTCGTGGCGTCCGAGGTGTCATCATCACCGTCATCTTTGGGGATTTGGCGCGACACGATCACCGTCACCGTAGCGTAACTTGGGCCAGCGTCGTCTCGTGCCGACATGATGGAAAAGCCGCCAAAGTCACGGCCTACGCGCATGCGTTCGCACGTATTTTGTTGCGCGTTACGTACGCACGAGCGGCACCGACTCGACGGTTGCAATAACCGTGGATCGACGCCGAACGAGTGGCGCTGCGTCGACAAGCTTCTCTTGCTCGTCGTGCGTCGTCATTGGGGTGGTGACGTCGCTGCCGTCATCAACGACATCCGTGGTTTGCTCGTGGTCCTAGCGACGATTGAGTTTTCGTTTGCGAGAACGCAACACCCACGTCCTTATGTGCGATTGCTGGGAGATTCTCGACTTGTCGAGCGCGGGCACGTGCTACTTCCTTGGTGTCTTTCGGGGGCGATGCTGGTTTGTCGGCGACCACCGGTGCTGTCCCTTCCATCGGGAATAGCGTTGTCTCGGTCACAGTCTTTGCGTTGAACGGCGCTGTAGCTGGCGTTGTCAGTCGCAGTCCCGGCGTCGTCGTCGTCTTGCGGTCCGGGGACGATGTACGCTGTGGTACCTCGGCTCTGACTTCCTCCCCGTCGGTCGCTGGCGTGGTAAGCCCACGATCCTTCTTGCGCGGAGACGGCTCTAAGAAATCACTTGACAGGGATACACAGAGCGTGCGGTATCTACCGCGAGGCGGTGGCGACTCGACACGGGAAAGCGGTGCAACTGGCGTTGCCGACTTCGCTTTTGGTTTTGGGCTGGAGGGCTTGACAGGTCCTGTAAGTCACCCTGAGTTGTGGTCACTTGGGAAATTGAAGAAACAACGTTTCGGGCCAATTTGGTTCAAGTCGTCGAGTGCGAGCTCAATGTCGGCCATGGACGTGCGCTGGTCACCTTCTGTGACGTCCACGTAGAGTACATCTGCGCAACCCGGTTACTGCATCTCAAATGACAAGACTGTCAGAAAGTACCTTGGACTTCCCGGAAGAAGAGATGATGATCTTCGACGTTGGTGATGCCCGTGAGGATCAAGTAGAGCAGCGAGACGTACTAGACGCGGCTGAGACGGTGGTCACAGAAACAAAAGCCCGTAGTACGTACATCATCCACCTTGACTGAGTCGCACCAGAGATCTAGAGACCGCTGCGGTGATGCTTTGAAGTAAAGGGAACGACGTACCCACAAGCTCGTACAATGAGAGGTGAAATGCGTCGTATGGGAGGACATTGGTACCCTTTGTATCGCTTGCCCAATCGTCCTACGCAGAGTCAAGCAGTTGGCTACCGAATGGCGTCCACCTCGATCGAAAGCAGCGTCGTTTGCGCGTCAAAGTGTTCGTTGAGGATCTTGTGCACGCGTACCATGATGTCGCTATAGTCTGTAAAGGTCATGGTCGCCTCGACGTCGACGTTCGTGAGGCTCCAGAACGTTTGCGTGAGCCGCAAGAGAAGCGGGTTTTCGCGCAGCGCCAGGCGCAGTTGGAGGCTTTCCTAGTGGTATAGGTGTGGAGCAGTGTCTGTCAACGTGGCGCACCTCCGAGTAGTAGGCGAGGTCGCCTTGCCTGTCGTACGACGCTGGGGATTCCATGTCGACTTCGACAATGCTAAACACTCAGCATGAGTGCGGATCTGGCAGCTGAACAAACCCTTCGGTCACGAGTCGCATCGCATCCTGGCGCACCGCGACGAGGTGGGCTCTGTCGACTTCTTTCATCGAGCTAAGCCGCCGTATCGCATCACTGTGCAGCTGGCCGCGGTTGTGGTCACTAGAGGCGGCGGAGGGCTCATGCATTCGGGGTAGGTTCATTGTGCTCCATGGCCCGACTTCAAGACTCACAGCCAAAAATGGCTCTTGCACAGCGTTACACTGAAACTGGTTTGTGTGGACCTTCTGCAGTTAGATGCAGTTCAAGACGGCGCACAGGCACATTGCGTGGACGATGAACTCGCTACTGACGTCTTCTCGAAGGTGCTATCTCCAAAAGCACCACGGAGCTCTCTCGTAGGCGAACGCCTTGTGAAATACATGTGCTCACCCTCGCAGACCTTAACTTTGAAGCCAGCTTGGTTACGAGTGACACGATTTGCTGCTCCTATCTACGCGGCACCGATTTGGATACAATGCCGAGGCGGGGGGGCGCCGGCGCGACTATTGGGGGGTGGGGGACCGGCGGTTTGATCGGGGATCCCGTCTTCTTGGGCGTCGTTTTCACCACTACTTTGATACCTGACTGCGCAACGCCCGTGACCTTGAAGACATCGTGCATGCCTTTGGTGGGCTGTCGCACGAGGACTTGTAGATTCGAGTCGGCGGCCACCGCAAATGCCGGTTTGGCTGTCGGACTGCCAAGCGCCGTCACGCGGAAGAGCATTTCTGTCTTGCTGCTGTCGTCCTCCATACGCGTCGAAGGTGCCGGCGCTCCGTTGGAGAGCATCATACTCGGTCGGCTCGCGCGTTGGCGCCCCGCAGCATGCGACTCTAGCGCTCCATTGAACGGCGTGTGCGGTGCCGTTGGCAGCGGCCGCTTGACACCGATTTTGTACAGTGTCGGCGGCTCCTTGTTTCCGCGGGGCGACGGCGGAGCTTTTATTGCAGGCGGCGTCGGCTTGGCGATGGCCGTCGGCGCGCCTCGAATGGACTTGGACGCTAGTTCGTGCACCATCATCGACGCCATCTCGTTGGCTTTCTTGGCCACGTGACGCGACAGTAATTGCCCATGTCGCCCCGAGTTGGCTCGAACGACCATCGTCGACGCGGGCTGGAGCACTTCCTCACATTTTACACTGGTGGCGTCTGCCGAGACTTGCGGCCGCTGCCCGTGCTCGGGGGCGGTTTGGATCCGAGGTGGGTGCACGGACTGCGACACGACGACAAAGTCGGCCATGCGCGGCGACGCCTGCACCTTGGCGTTGAGTCGACTCACTTTTCCGTGGACGGGCTGGATTCGGGCGCCACCAATGCCGAGCGAAGCCCAGTCGAGAGCCGACGCGTCCTCGGCGGGTTCGCCAATGTACCGCGGGGACTTTGCGAGAGCGTTTTGAATGCGCGCGCCGAGCCCGAGGCTTTTGACAGCAAACGGGTTCGTGGCGTCCAGCGCCGCTGTCGACGTCGTGAGCTCGTCTTTGGGGCGAAAATGAGCCGGATCCAAGCCGCGCGTGAAGCTCGTGCGCTGCCCCGTTGCCGCTACGCCACCGTCAGAGAGTGTCAGCTCTTCCATCGATACGTTACTCAGCAGAAAGTTGTCGTCTGTGCTGGATTGCGATGCGGATGGCTGACGCCCACGAAGCCCTCCGCCTCCCCGGGGTGTCGACGCCGCCGAGCCAAAGTCCGAGGTGCCAGAGCCGATACCATTCGACTGCGAGAGCCGTGGACTCGTAGTGGGTCGTCCGCCGAGGTCGCGTGGGCTCTCGACGTCATCCGTACCAGAGGTCTGTCCGTCCATGGCGTTGCAGCCGTACTCTGCGTCACCTGTCGGAATACCACCTTCAATTCTCTCGTATTGCGTTTCATTGCGGAAGGTCCCGTGGTGCGCAGCCGCGTCGGAGGTCCCGTAGAGGCTTCGCCGAGTGCTGCCCGTGCTTGCTCGCAGCGTGGGGGAGCGCACCCTGGACGAAGCGCGCAATGTCCGCCGCGTTTCATTGGCGTCCTCAACGATGGTCGCATCGGTGCCGGCATGCGACCCCGTCGGTCGGCGGTCTTGCGTCGAACTGTTAGGTTTTTGGCTCGACGATGACGTCGCGAGTCGATTGGACGAGCTAGCTCCTTTTGACCCCGTGGCTTGTGAGGGTCGCTTCGTCACGCGCCGCGGTGTCGTCGTGCCTACCATCGTTGGCGGCTGTGCTTTTACATGCGTTTACCGAGGTCCATGTGGGGATCGTAGTCGAAGCTCGGCGGGTGGCTTGGGTGGTACATAGTGGCTGTCTTTTCTTCCGGGGGCGGAGCGCTTGTGGACGCCATCTTGAGCTTTGCGTGCAACGTTTTGGCCAGCGGCGCGTCGTCATCGAGCATGGCCGCGTGGTGCCTCGGACGCAGCGATGCAAGCGCCTCGTCGTCGTCCAGCAGCATCGTTGTCGCCTCTGCCGCAGAGGCGATCATCGTCGCTTGCTCCGGACTACTCTCGGGGGCCGCGCCGTCTGCAGTCCCGCTAGCGGCACTGGTTGCATCGGAGGGTTTGGCTCCGCTACCGTCGCCTGATGCGAGTGAGATGTTTCGTGCTTGAAGTGACTGCACACCTCGTGTTTGGTTGCGGTACTTTCGTAGCTGGGCCTTCTCGACTTCATCGAGGAAGCTTGCAATGAGCGGCGAAGAGATGTTGCTGCCCGCCTCTGCAACGTCAATGTACGCGACCTCTACACGCTAATGAGATGAGGACATCAGCGCCACCGCACCTTCGAGGCGCCGCAGACGAAACGAGCCCGATTGGCGATGGGTAATGCCGTTCAAGATCAAGTAGAGCAAGTTGCAGTACTACACGACCAACATGAGAAGCGTCGCGAGGCGACAGTCGTACGTCGTCTGCGTCCAGCGAGTCGCACCAAATGTCTAGTGGTCGCGTCAGTATCACCAGATGTGATCTCGACCAGATTACCAATGAGCTCAAAGAGCGAGAGATGAAACATCTCGTATTCGAGGTTGGTATGCGTGTCGATGTCCCGCTTCCAGTCGTCCTGGGGCGCGTGAGACGCCACCGAGACACAAGGAGCAGCGTACGGCAATCATGATCCGCGACTCGCCGAGGTCAAAGAGCTCGATGAGCACTTTGTGAATCCGCAAAAAGAGGCGCTGGTAGTCGTCAAACTCCATTTTGTCCGCGTCCGGCTTGACCATAGTGAGCCAAAAGACGCGCGTCATACGGCACAAGAGCGGGTGGTACCGCAGCTCGAGTCGTTTTTGCAGGTTGTCCTATCTCGCCACCGTTTAGCGCCAAAGCAGACTAGTACAACAGGATGCTACATCCGTGTAAAACTTGAGGTCGCCTTGGTGATCGTAGCTCACGCTGGCGCCGGGGTCGAGGGCGGTGACGACCTCTCTATAACGAGTATTCTAGTCAACTAGTCCAAACGAGCAAGCGCAGAGACCCTTCGGCGACAAGCCGAATGACAGCCTGTCGGATTTCGTCGACGTGGTCGGCAGCATCAATGAGTTTAGGCGTAATGAGGGATGGCTGGTGCAGCAACTCGGGCGGGTTCTTGGGCACAGGCCGCGCAATGTCCTCAAAATTAAGCGGGTTCATTTCCGGCGACAATGGCGCATGGGGTGGCGGCTTTTCTTTGATGGACGCTCTCCGGGGCTCGACCTCGAGAGATGCGACGACAACGGTCTCGGCTTCGGGGACGGCCGGCGCCTCCTCGACGATCGACCCGGGGAGCTCTAGCGGCCGCGAACTCTTGTTGAGCGACGACGTCTTGGCCATTTTCGCGAGCATGACGCTCATGACGGACTGTTTGAGCTTGAGCGCCGAGAGCTGGCGCATCGGTGCGACGTTGAGCCCGTCCGAGCCCGTTGACGCGATAGCGAGCATGTGGTCGGCAATGGATTTCTTGGCATTTCGAATGTCGAGGATCGTCTTGATGCGGTTGAAGGACGCGGGCCGCACCGACAGACTCGGTGGCGCCTGCATCGGACTGTCTGATTACGGGCGTATAAATAGCGGCGTCAATGAACTTGTAACTCTCAACGGCTCTGTCATGGCGACGCCCGTGGCCACCGACCGAGTCCCAGACGACGACGAGAACGACGACGCGAACGACGAAGACAACGTCGTTGACGACAACGAAATCGATGCCAACGATACCGGCGACGATGGTGGTGGACTGCACGTTCTTGTCTCGGCAACTACCCCACCGGTGCTCTTCTGCAAGTACCCAAGCTACCTCGCCTTGGAGCGCACTTGTCCTATCGGCTACGAAGGTGCTCGCTGCTCAGGAGATGCAAAGGTTATTCATGCTGCTTAGTACGCACGTTGCCACGAGGAACTCCGATGCTGTACCACGGTACACGGCGCTACTTGTACAACGCCGTCAAGAACGTCCTCCACACAAATCGTGGTATAGCCAATAGTGTCTTATATCACCGCACAGACGACTCTTTGTCTAGCCAAGAAGACGACGCTGTCGACCTGGAGTCTTTTTTGGGGGTTCTGCAATCCCTTATATCGTCGTTCTCAACTCTACTGTAGGCGTCACTTGGAGCCGAGTGCGGTCGGCCGCCTCGTGCCGGGTCAAAAGGTGCGTCTGCCGAAGTTGTCTGCCGAGCATCAAGGTCGCTTTTGCTTTAGATGAATCATTTTCCCGGCAGCCTCGAGCTCGGGCGCAAGGACAAGCTCTGCGCCAACATCTTGCGCATGCAGCGCAAGTTTGGCAAGTTCTTCCACATCATTCCCGAGACGCACGTCACTGGCAGCAAGGACGGCCGGCACTTTATGCAAGCGTACGCCGCCGACCCCAAGGCGATCTGGATCCTCAAGCCGCCCAACCAGTGCTGCGGCCGCGGCATCAAGCTCGTCTCGGGCAGCGCCAAGTACGAGTTCGAGCCCGACAAGCGCTACGTCGCGCAGGTACCCTTCTTTGTTCTTTCGTCGCCTCAAAGCATGTAGAAATACATTGCGCACCCGTACTTGATCAACGGCTTCAAATTCGACATGCGTCTCTACGTTTTGGTACATTGGACTACGGGCTCCAGGGAATGTAAATGGGATCTATTTTGCAGGTCACGTCCTACGACCCACTGCGGGTCTACCTCTTTGACAACGGTCTCGTGCGCTTTTGCACGCAGGTTAGACCCTATACCTACCGAATTTTCCCAAATAAAAATGCACGTACAAGTAGAAATACTCGATGGCGGCCAAGGACCTCAAAAATCGGTTTGGGCACTTGACCAACTACAGCGTCAACAAGAAGAATGAGGCTTTCCAGTCCAACCAAGGCAGCAACGACGGCAGCGGAAGCAAGTGGAGCTTCCAGGTGCTTCCCAATGTACACGTTGTCTCTATACGTCGCGTTGCGCAGGCGTTGTTGGCACATTTGCGGGACGAGGGCCACAACTGCGAGAAGCTCCACGACGACATTGCGGCCGTGATCGTCAAGACCCTTCTCTGCGTCGAGTCGGCCATTCTCGCGCAGTGTTCCAAGTCCCTCAAGACGGCGCAAAACTGCTTTGAGCTGTACGGGTTTGACATTCTCTTGGACGCCAACCTCCGGCCGTGGCTCCTCGAAGTCAACGTCTTCCCATCCATGAGCAGCTCGTCGCCGATGGACAAGCGCATCAAGTCGATTCTCATCTGCGACACCTTTCAGCTCGTACACGCTTTTAACACACTGACGACTCTTAATAGCTTGTAGGTCGGACTGCCGGCCACGGACGTTGCAGCAGCCGTCGAGCAGGCCAAGAAAGAGCGCAGCACCCGACGGTCTCTACACCACCTGACTCGACCTCGCCAAAGTCGGTCACACTGTAGAAAGTCGAGCATCAGTACCAAGCCAGAGGATGACGACGCTGCGTGGATCCAGCAACTCGTCGACGAGGAGGCGCGCATGGGCCACTTTCGACGCATCTTTCCGACGCCCGCGACCGCGAGCTTTCTCGACTTCTTTGAAACCAAGCGTGCGAGCAATGCAGTGCTCGCCGAGCACGTGGGCTTGTCCAAGCCAACGCGACCATCTGTGCGCAAGACAGGTTCCTTTAGCAACAAGCTGCAGCACGCAAAGGTGCTCAACGCTGCGTACAGCTCGTAGTACATTTTCTATCTATCAATCGACGTTTCGCCGGCGGTTGGATCGACCTGGATCGGTACATGATGCGTCTTGAGCGCTGCGAGATCGGTTTCCAAGTGACTCAGGCGGTCGAGGACACTGGCGAGCGCCGCCGCGTCATGGGACGACTGGTTCTCGTGAACCTGCGCGGCGAGGCGCTGGACGAGCGCTTCCGACGACTGCAGCCGCGCTGCCAGCTGACTGAGCTTGGCGTCAATCGCGCTGTATATTTTGGCTTCGATTTGCGCCTGCATTGCGCTCTGCACCTGAAAGAGCATCGCCATCGACGCGCCATTGAGCGATGGAGCACTCGGTGCACTCGGCAGCGGCGCCGACGCCCCCGACGTTGCACGGACGTGGCATTCACGCAAGCGCAGCTCATTCTTCTTGGCAGGAGGCTGAAGCGACAGAAACTTGAACATGATGGCGACCGCGCGCTCGTAGGTGTCGTCGGCCGGAAACGATGCGGCGACTTGGTACAGGTCCTTGTCGCCGCCATCGCGCACACCGCGGATCGTCTCAAAGTACTTGAACTCGCGCTCCTTCTTGGCATTGATGATGCCAACGTACACTTCGGCGTGGCGGGCGGAGCTCGTGAGCTCGAGCGTCTTGAGCGTGCACGCCGCTGGGAACTCGACTACACTGCACATGAGCCCTCGTCGACAGAGCTGGCTAGCGCACGCGTGATGGAGCAAGGGGACTCTTCGTCCAGCCGCTCCAGAGAGATGCTCGCGCCTAGCTTGATGGCGAGGACGCCATTTTCAAGCGTCTCGAGGTCGCATGCCAATGCATCGGCGCTCGTCCACGTCGATGTCGCTTGCATGCTAAAACTCAAAATAGTGTTTTTGGCCAATCCCCGGTGCGCAACGCCGCCTTTTTACACACTATTTCATGGCATACCACTGGCGCAGCTGGGCAAGTCCGCTTTAGCCCATGGTCCGCATTACATGGATCCAAATAGAGTTATGAGCAAGCAGTACTTGGGAGCATGCTTGCATGCTGCGCGCAATACGATGACAGTCGATGCACATGCGGGTATGGAGCCCAATCCTACGATGCACACTATTTGAGGGCCGACCTGGTCATCCGAACATCCGGATGTAACGTTAGAAAAAGATCCATCATGACAAGCTGGCTGAGCGAGCCACGGTGGGCCCACGAGGCCCTTCTGGCGCTAAGCAGCCGGGACGCGCCGCGCCTCCGTGCTGCGCTGCGGCTGCCATCTGCTACCGCGCACGCCACCGTGACGCAACGACCTGGCGGCGCGCCATTTGACTTTGCGGGCGAAGGTGCGTGGGATCGCGCCGGTGGTAACGAACGACGCACACCCGTAGGCTTCTATGACGCGCTCGCAGAAAAGTGGGCGTCGCCACTCTTCAAGCACGCCATCGACGGTGACACGCTCCTCCATCTTGCGCTGCGTCAGCATGACCCTGTCTGTGCCCGTGTGCTTCTCGACGCAGGCGCGGCGCTCGATACGGTCAACAGCGCCAAAGAAACCCCGGTCGCGATACTCTGGGCCGTGCACATGGAGCCAACGGCACCCTATGCTGCCTCGTACGCAGATCTCCTGCAACATGCAAAGCCCCAGCTTAAGTGCGTCGACATACTCGAGCAGTGAGTCGTTCACCTCGCGGTGTAGGCAGTACCAGGAGGCCAACGCCGCCCGCGCCCGGGACGGCCTCGTCGCCATCTACACACGCTATGCACCCGACCGTCTCGGCAAAATTGAGCTCCAACTGCGCGAGTTTTACGGCCGCGAACTCGACCTACTCTCACGCGTGCTTGAAAAGTACCATACATCGTCTTAGAGTTGGATGCGCTTCCGCGCGAGCTTCAAGAGGCTGCGGTTCGCGTCTTGTACAGTCACAGGCATGTCTTTGCTGAAGTGCAAGACCAGCTCAACGTCCGTGAACTGAAAGCTGACCGCCTCGCCACTCGCGACGTCGAGTGCATGGAACGTGAGCAGCCGGCGTAGCTCGTACACGTGCACACGGCAGAGGAACCGGGCTCCCTTGTGCTTGAAGAGCGATCGCGACGGGAACTCGCGGGACGCAAACAGCGATAAGACAGTGCGGACATCCCGCCTTGGCTTCAAGGCATCGCTTAACGGCTGCTCCAGCGGCGTCACCTCGTTTGGCGCAACGACCTCGAGTGAGAGCCTGAGGCTACCCTCGTCCTGCCCGACAGAGACGCGGACGCTTTGCACAAGCTTGATCAAGAGCACCTTGATGGTCTCTTCGTCAAGCGCTTGCGAGACGCGGGGGAAGTTGCCAACGTTGGGGGTTGTTTGAATGCGACGCAGTTTCTCTCTACCAGTTGTGTTAGTCAGCCTCCAAGGCGACTGGTATGATACTCGATATCACTGTGGCCTGGCAATGCCTGCGCGACGTCCTTGAGCCGAGGTAAGGTCACGAGACACTCGCCGCTGCGCTCGTCCTTCTTGGCGCGAATCAAAAGCCCCCTATGCACGTCATCTCATGCCACAGCACGTCGATCGAAGTTGTACTGGTCGCCAAGGTGCGTCTCGGTCGGTGTCACCAGCGCCGTCTGGATTTCTTCGATTGTAAAGTGAACGCCGAGCGACGTCGTGGCTTCGAGGAGGAGCACGGGGACGCTCTTGGTGTTGTACGTTTGCCTACGCGATCCGAAGTGCTGAGCGGATGCTACAATTGCACTCGAGCATTTACTTGCGCCGTGACGGTGATTTGGCCACTGTGAGCGGTCTACAAGATGGCATGTCGTGCAGCTGACAGACTGGAGGTTACGCACCGCTGGCTCCCCGACGGAGCTGGCACCCCGCGCTTGATCGCGTCACGCGGGGACGAGGCCACATTCGACGGGTTGCGGCTCGGCCGGTGGGGCGACGGCGCCGACATGACCTCGTCGCGCGGTGTGATCACCGGAAGCGCGCTCTTGTCGCGCACGTGGTACGGCGACGGGTCGCGCTGCTTGGGCGACAAGTACCCGACCGTCGCGTCGTGGTGCACATGCTTGAAGCGCACGAGTGATTCCTTGTACTCCTAATGCATTCCATTTAACGACGTACGCTCCAAAATGAAGCCGCCGCCTACTTGGTCCCAGCGCAAGGCGCTGTACGCCGACTTTTTATTCGTGAGCCGCGCCAGCATCTTGCGGTTCTCGGCCTCGATCTTCTCGTGCTCGCGCTGGCGGAAACCGCTGTTCATGCTGCCTTTCTCGATCGCGCACCCGCGGCTCAGCGAGTGCGGCGAAAGGTACGAGTCGAGCATCGGCGTTTGCTCGGCCGTCAAGCGCATGCCTGGTCGGAACTCGACGGCGCGTTCGGTCGGGTGCGTTGCCACGATGCGGGTCATTTTGCGCACGAGGTGCTGGTTCTCCTCAAAGATCTGCTGGTAGCGCTCTTGCTTGAGCTGGGCCGTTTTGAGCCGCGCGTCCAAATGGGCATAGTGCTTTGGTGGCGAGTTGTCGAGCGTGTTGGCGGCCGGCGAGAAGGTCGACGACTGCATCGAGCGTAGCCGCTCTTGGTGCAGCTTTTGCGCCTTGAGCACGTCGCGCTCGTAGCAGACGCGGTTGTCAAAGCCGATCTTGCGGTTCATTTAAGCGCCAAGGCGGTGTAGTACTTCAGGAATTCAAAAGCGCGCGCGACGCTAAATTTAGACCACGCTCGTGATTGGCACTCGGCTTCTTCAAGGATTGCCCCGTTCGTGGTACATGGATACCCGGCTCTGGTTCCTTGTGTCGTACGGTACGCCACGCGCATGGCTCGTAACAAAACCAACGCGGTCGACGAATCCTCCTACACTCGTACGCGTCTGGTCAACTCAGACCACGGACGTGGCGAGATGGCGGCGTGCCTGACAGTACTCGAACGCGTGCATCGCGCGGCGTTGGCTGCAGGCGGAGATGCAGCGAATTTTGTACCGAGCTACTCCTTCTGCAAAGAAACCACACGGGTGGGGATGCGCACGCACCCTTTACTACTTGGTGCGCGCCGAGAAGCATACAAACGTCCAATGCATGGAGTGGGTCCGACGCGCCATCCTGAAGTTGACAGACAGTCCACTTGATGGGAGCATTCGATGCAAAGCAAAATTACGAATCAGCTCCTTGGTCGTGGGACTTTGCGTCGCGATTGACGCCGACGGCATTCTCCGTGCAAAGCAGCAAGCTGGATCATTGCTTCGAGTATTATAAAAATGCCGCGTCACGCGCCGACGCTACGCTCCACGATCCGCACTCTAATAAAACCTACCGGCGCCTCAACGTCAAATGGTATGTGTCGTGTCTATTCGCCTGCCTATCACGCTTCCGAGTTGCGCCAGCCTTCCGCGCCATCGTCAGCGCGCCAGCTGTTGTTGCGTGCGAACGGGCGCGCCACGTCATGCCATTAACCAGATCCATCCTCGGTCTATTTTTTATTTTTGATTTATATTACCTTGAGTATGTAGGAAACTAACGCCGTCTGTCCGTAGTCGTCTCAATGCCACTTGGAGAGGGTGGCACCCCAAATGGCAATATTAAAGTCCGCCACGTATGCCATAGAGTCTATGCAAAGGTGGGTATTTTTTTAGCGCTTCTGGGAGCCTGTCTGTGGTGCGTAGCGAGCCCACAACCAGCTGTGCGCCTCCGGATTGGTTGCCTCGCCTTCTGGATGGATTGCTGCTCCATCGTCGCGACCGTCGCCATAACTCAAACGTCGGGACCATGGCCGTGAGCAGCATGCACAACAACCCGCTTTACAAGTACACGCTCTTCCACATGAACAAGCGGCGGCCGTCGCCATTCTTGAGCGCCACGACGCCGTTCCTGGAGCCGCCGCGCATGACGACGACGTCGTCCTTCCTCGACCGACCGGCACGCACGGGCGACGCGAGCATGGCCACCATCATGTACCCGACGCGCTCGTGCATGTGGATCCGCGGCAGCCCCGTCTGCATCCAGTGGAGCGTGCTCGACGACCGCATCAGCAGTGTCCGCATCGAGCTCTGCCAGTGGGGCTCGAGCGCCATGACGACGATTGCCACGCACGCGCCCAACACGGGCTGCTTTGTCTACTCCAAGGTGCCGTGGGGCGTCATTGGCCACAACTTTTACATTCGCATCACCGCGGCCGAGCACGACGACCGGTTCGTCGTAAGCGAATACTTTAGCATCGGCAACCCGCGCCAAGGCTGGTGAGCCGCCCATTATCTACGACATCACATTCTTCCCGCATTAACTTAACGATCCCATACATCATGTTAATAACATATCTATACTCGCCCTTGGCATTGACCCTTGCCCTTGGTCGACCGCGCTGGCGTGCTTGCCGTGGCTATGCAGCGGGTGGCTCGCGACGGCCCTTGCCCGAGCAATGTCGGCGCGTCGGCCTCGTTACGATCGAAGAAAGGCAGTTGCTTCAACGTTCCCATGCCCAAGTACATTGTACTTGCATTGCCGCGTCATAGAGATGCGCATTAGTGCGCGCAAAAGCACCCAAGAGCGAATTGACCCATCTCAAGGCGCTAGCCGCACGCAACTATCGCCCCGCGCCTGCGTAGATCTCCGTCGTGTCGAGCGTCCGCCGTCAATTGCTGCACCCAAGTACGCCACACCCAATCACATGCGCGGTGCCGCAAATCCTCGTGGCACCTTGCAGTGATAGGGTACCCGACTCGAACCCGGTTGCGCGCCAAGATGGCGTGATTTTAGCTTCAGGTTTCGCAACTCAGATCAAGATCGGCCAAACCCACCAATCCGCGCCCACTTTGCCTCCGCGGTTCGAACTACGCACGCATCGAAGTCCGTAGTTCGTGCGTCAGTCTTTTCGAAGCCATGGCAAGCCGCAGCGCCGCAGCGCTCGTGGCAGGAACGGCGGCCACGCTCTCGCTCAAGGTAGGCGCGCGCCTACTGGCCTCGCTGCATGCACTGTGACGCTCTAGGTGGCGTTCGGCCTTTCCTCGCACAATGGCGTGGACGTCCAGCCGCTCTTCCAGACCGGCCTTGTCTTTTTAGCGATGGCATTGTGTACGCCTAGGATGCAGCGTCCCGTCTGGTCCTGATGTATCGCGTGATGAACGTAGTGGTGCCCGTCCATTACATCTCGACGTGTAATGGCGAGCGAACGACGATCGAGAAAGGGGCCTTCTGGCGTCTCTGTCGTCCGGCCGTGATCGACGTGCTCGCGACGGCGCTCGCGATGGCCGGCCTCTTGTATCTCGCGCCCAGCACACACAAGCTCCTCCAGTACAGCGTCATGCCTCTCGTCGCCTTGCTCAAGTGGCTTCTCAAGAGAGACGACGCGCCCTCGCTCGCGACGCGCGGCCTCGGGCTCTACCTCGTCGCGTTGACATGCATCGTCGTCGGTACCGTTTGTAGCGCACCGGCCGCGTCATCCTCGATTGCGCGCGGCCTCTTGTTCCTTGGCGCCAGCTGCATCGTGCAAAGCGTTCTGTTCCTTGTCGACGCCGACGCGTCCGAGCCGCTGCCCCCGCTCCTCGGAATCGGTGTTCAAGGGCTATGGGGCTGCCTCTTCATGGCGCTTCTCGTCTTCCCCGCGGCCTACTGCATGCCGATGAGCTCGGGGCTGTATGAAAACGTCCTTGCCACGGCGCACGGTGTTGCCACGAATTCGGACCTTCTCGCCGCTGCGCTCGTGACTGTCCTCTCGACGACCACCTTTCACGTCGTCGCTGTCCGCGTGCTTGGAGACCTCGACGAGGTGTACGGGTACGTACTCGCGGTTAGCTTGGCGCCGAGCGTGTGGGCCGTCGGCATTGTGCTGCAGTACAGCACGAGTCTGCCGGTCGACGAGCCGTGGGCCGGCGTCGCAAGCGTAGTGCAGCTCAGCGGAATGGCACTCCTCCTCTACGCGACGACCTTGGTACATAACGAAGCACCCGAGCTGCCGGTTGGCGTCGGGCACCGTGTGTTTGCCTACTCGTCCGGGAGCGCCACCGAGCCGCATCTCGCACAGCGCCTTGTCGCGTACGGCTCGTTCAAGGCGGCGGACCACAAGACCCGTGGCTCATTTGTGATATAATGTGAGACTACGAGTCCTCGACAAGTTGCTGGTTGTGCGCTCTAGCAAAGGTAAACGGGGCAAATAATTACAGGTGGTTAAGACGCTAGTCATCAGCACGACTCGGCAGCGGCCTTGTCGTCGTCGTCGCCGAGGAGGTCTTCTTCGAGCACGGTACGGGAAATGTTGTCGAGAATCTTGACGACCGAGCGCTCCATCGTGGCGCAGTTGGCCTTTTGCGCAATCTTGAATTGTTCCAACTAGAATGCGATCAGTATACTAGAGCGCCACGTCACAGCTGCGTACCGTAAGCTGCTCGCCGATACCGTGCGCCATGTTGTCGACGATCGACACCATCGCAAATGGCACTTGAAGCTCGTTTGCGAGGCCAGCTTCGTGGCAGCCCGTCATGCCCACGAGCTCCTACCGCCGAATTATGAGTATCACAAAGGCGAGACGTGCATGGTCGTACCCCGAATTGAGCAAAGAAGCGGATCTCGGCCTTGGTCTCGAAGCGAGGGCCCGCCGTTTGCACGTAGACGCCGCCATCGTGCGGGTTGAGACCCTCGGCACGAAGCACTTCGAGAAAGTACTTGCGCAGCGGCTCCGAGATACCTACGTCACATGAGACACTGCGCATGCTGATAGCGATGGCGTACAGGGCACGATGTGGGCTTCGTAGTGCGACGAGATGTTGATGATGTCGAACGGGTTGAAGTAGTCGTTCGGGATCGCCATGCTGCAAGCGCCGTGATGAGCATACATGAATGGAAAGGATGTGGCAGCTGTACCTGCCAATCGGGATCGTGGTCGTCATCGAGCCGACCGAGTAGACGCCAATGATGCAGTCGCAGTTGAGCTCCTTGAGCGCCGTCACGATCGCGTGGTAGTTGATGTTGCGCGGCTGCTTGTACTCGGACGGCTTGTCGCCATCGGCGTGATGGCGCTGGATGAAGACGATGTCCGTGCTCGACGTGCCCCAGCGGCCCTTGTACGCCAGTACCGGGCCATACTCGGTCGGGACCGTGACTTGGTCCATGCCAGAGAAGCGCTTCGAGTGGAAGAGGCTCGAGCCGCCGATGATCCCGACCGTCATCTCGGCGGGCTCTTCCTCATACGTCGTCGTCGTTTGCTGCGGTGCCATGACTCGGATTCGATTCTGCGCCCGGCGGTTCACATCTCAGGTGGGCACGGTAGATGCGGGCCATTTAGGCCTCACATACAAAACCACTGTTTTGCCCTAAAGCTAGGGCGTCTTTCGGGAAACAAGGAGGACCCAAGGTCACTTGACGCAACCGCTCATCATGCTGCGATTGGTGGATTCATGGCCCCAACTGGGTGAGGTTGAAGCTGTCGGCCAATCACAAGCGCCTGGGTTTCACCAACGAGCATCCAAGCTCCAAGAGGATGGCCTCGGTCTTCGGAATCTCCCGAGCATGACGCGACGACAATCCCGCGTAAGCTTTGGCCACAACCTCTCGCAAGCTTGGGGCACGACGCCTCAGATTGCTACTGAGCCATCTTGTTCGAATTCTTTGGCTCGCAGCTTGTGCCCAGATACTAATGAAGTGCAAAATGTGGTCATCAAGGTCGTCGAAGCTTGCTCTCAACGGCTACCCAGGCGCCCGGTTTGGGTTGCAGTGGTTTTGCAAGGTTGCATCGGCAGCTTCCACCGAAAGACCCATCGTCCTCCAGAATATTGGCCACAACAAAGGTTGTTGGCATCGGTTGAATGATTTCGAAGGTTTCATAGCTTGGTCCTTGGATTCCCCTGCAGGCGTGGCCAAGCCCTCGACCCCGTGGGCCAAAATTGCAACATCAACCACCGTTTCCCCTTTTTCACGCAATGGACAAACTCTACTCGTGCCAACTTGTGGGCGAACGAACCACTGACTAACGTGAAAAAGTTCTTATCGTTGAGGAAATGGTCGCTCTTGCGGCGCATGGGACCTGAGGACACGTCGTGCGGAGAAGCTTCTTGGGTCGTATTCATAATGCAAAAGCTTGCTCTCAGAGCTCGCTGACCTCATAAAGCTATATGGTTTGCGTCGCGATCTACTTGTACGTACACGTAGCTTCGGTGACGCTTGACATGGTCAAAGCACGTCCTCCGCCAGCAATCTAAAGAGTGGCGATTAGGAGTGTTGTACACTGAAATGCTTACGTATTGCTGATAGTGAGTACAGGGCTCGAGTGTTTGTTTGTACATTGTAGCACTCTGCGCGCTCATGACGATGTCTTGCAGCGTGTCTGTGGCGTCACCAAACTCGACAGCGACAACCCGTCGCCCGCAATTCGAGGTAGGCGTAGGCTTTTTTGTTGCGCGTCCGAACGTGAGCTCGAGTCGTATCGGTCCATGGCTTGGCGACGGACTATGAATTGGTCTTTGTGTCTTCCGCGTGTCGTGTCGTCCAAGGCTCAACCAGCGGTACATCCACCGGGTGTGCAAATGCTCATGAGTTGAAAGGAATGATGCGATCTCTTCGCAACATGCCAACAAGCGACGCAAGCCTCTCGGAAGTTGCAGTACATGTACCCGGTACACGCGAGTTCCGCTACTGACGTCGGCGTCCGAGTTGTTGCGGCTGAGCACCAGGTTTCGGCGCAATGAGGCGGACAATGCTGGCCCATGGGACCACGACTGCCAAGCCGTCGAGATTTTACGTTAACACACACCAACCAACTTACTCGTTCGTACTCGACTGGGCTATTGGTAATAGCGCTAGTGTAGTGTACTAGAAGTGGTCTGCGGGGATGGTCCCGACACCCGAGTGTTTGTCGGCAAACGGCAAACAATGATTCGCCTGTGGCTTCCGTGGAAACATCCAACTTTGCACACACATCAATAAGCTTCACGAGCATAATTGTCGAAACGAGCGGCGTTTAAATTTCGTCCTTCTCAAACGCGCGACACTGCGCACGATTTGAACTCGACATTCGAGGCCGGTACGATTGCAGAGACCAGGAAGGATGCAAAATTCATCCAACAACTTTCGCCCAGTGTCTTTGTCTCTGGGTCATCTAATTATTCTATTGCTATTGCGATGATGGAGCCCTGTCGCTTCCGCCCAACGGCGGCACGGGGTCCGCCCCATCATGGCCGCCATCGCGGTCTCTTTGCGTCATTGACTTCGCTCTCCTCGCATTTGATTCGCTCGTTTTCAGAACAGGGCTCGGGGAATGGCCCAACGGCTCCGGGGCGCGCACGTGATTGGCGGGCTTTATGGCCAATCGCTGAATTTAGCATCTGGCAGCGATGCGATTGGCGCATTCTTTGCTATCTCGTTGTTGATTGGGCGGAGATCTGGTTGGTGTGAAGTCCCAAACGCGACAGGCGTGGGGTTTTTCGGAAAGTATACGAACTCCAAGTGCAGCTGGCGTGGCCTGCAATTGGTGGTCGAGCCAAAGCATTAGGAAAAACTATGTCTGAGACGCCAAGAAGGTACGCTGCAGCCGCGGACGCTGGCTCGAGGCTCATGGACCTCCTCTCTGTGTAGCCCTCGTGGGGAAGACTCCCACGCCCCCGCCCCCATTGTCGATGGCGACATTGACACCAACTGGGAAGAAGTCATCGAGTCGTTCGATGGCATGGAGCTCCGCGAAGACCTCCTCCGTGGCATCTACGCCTACGGTTTTGAGAAGCCGTCGGCCATCCAGCAGCGCGCTGTGAAGCCCATCTTGCTCGGCCATGATTGCATTGCCCAGGCGCAGTCGGGTACCGGTAAGACGGCCACGTTCGCCATCTCGATCCTGCAGCAGATCGACTCGGCGCTCCGTGAGACGCAGGCGCTCATCTTGGCGCCCACGCGCGAACTCGCGCAGCAGATCGTCAAGGTCATCTTGGCCATTGGCGACTACATGGGCTGCCTCGTCCATGCCTGCGTCGGTGGTACTGCCGTCCGCGACGACATCCGCACGCTTCAGAGCGGTGTCCACATCGTGGTCGGTACGCCCGGCCGTGTCGGTGACATGATCAACCGCCGTGCCTTCCGCACCGACTCGGTCAAGCTCTTCGTCCTCGATGAAGCCGATGAGATGCTCTCGCGCGGTTTCAAGGACCAGATCTACGACGTGTTCCGCTTCTTGCCCGAGAAGGTGCAAGTGGCCCTCTTTTCGGCCACGATGCCCCTCGACGTGCTGGAGGTCACGCAGCGCTTCATGCGCGACCCGATCCGCATCCTCGTCAAGCGCGATGAACTGACCCTCGAAGGTATCAAGCAGTTCTACATCGCCATTGACCGCGAGGAGTGGAAGTTCGACACGCTCTGCGATCTGTACGAGACGCTTACGATCACGCAAGCCATCATTTATTGCAACACGCGGCGAAAGGTCGACTGGCTCACGGAGAAGATGCAGTCGAAGGACTTCACGGTCTCGGCCATGCACGGCGACATGGAGCAGCGCGAACGCGACATCATTATGCGCGAATTCCGCTCGGGCTCGTCGCGCGTCTTGATCACGACGGATCTCCTCGCCCGTGGTATCGACGTGCAGCAGGTGTCGCTCGTCATCAACTACGACTTGCCCACGAACCGTGAAAACTACATCCACCGTATCGGTCGCTCGGGTCGTTTCGGTCGCAAGGGTGTGGCCATCAACTTTTTGACGAGCGCCGACGCCCGCTACCTCCGCGATATCGAGCAGTTCTACAACACGCAGATCGACGAGATGCCCATGGACGTCGCCGATCTCATTTAGAGGACGAGCTGTAGATCAGCCGACTGCACCGAGCGTCTATTTTCCACCAACATGTATTTCTGTCTGCTTGCTGCAAATTACCTCCTTTTTGCCTTGTTTGACGCACACGTCTAAACTTTAACCTGTCGAGGCGGTCGGCCGCCGACGACGTTGTCATCACGCATCGCTTGGACACCTCGAACGCGTTACGAGTGTACCAAGAGGTCCGAGAATTGGTCCTGGGATCAAAGTTGCACGTGCTCGGAGCCATGGGTCAATATTACCCATGTCGGAGCCTTGCGGAGAGACCCAGTTTGACCTGGTTAAACCCTTTAACTCGTATTTTACCTCGCTAAAGGCATGTCCGGAGTGGCGTTTTTCGCACCTTGTGGCGATCGTGATGGCGACGAAGCGACTGAGTTGCGCTCTAGTGCTCGGCCTTGCGTGGGTCTTGACGGCGCCGATCGGCCAAGGCTTCTTTGTCTACCTCAACTTTCCGTCGTACCTCTGGCTGGACTTTGCGTCCGCGGCCGACGAGCTCGGCAACACGGCCAACGTGTACATCAACAGCACGAACGGCGTCCACATTGGCCTCTGGCATACGCAGCTCCATGGCGCAGCGAACCGGTCCAAGGTTGTCTTGTACTTGCATGGGAACGGCGAGCATCGCGCGTCGGCCGTCGGGCTCGAGAAGCACCACCTGTACCGGACCATGCCGTCCGTCAGCGACATTGTGCTCGTCGACTACCGAGGTACATGGTTGTCGCCGCATCCATGCAACTTGCATGACCTACGGTATAGGCTTCGGCGACTCGTCGCGGGTGTGGCCCACGGAACAAGGCGTCAAGGACGATGCGATGGCTGCATGGACGTGGCTCACGCAGGTGCTGGGTCGGTCCCATAGCGATATTGTCGTCCACGGGTACTCGCTCGGGAGTGCAATTGCGACGCACTTGGTGCACACGCTATGTGCGCGGCAGCAGTGCCCCGCGGGGCTCATCTTGGAGGTATTGCTATGCGCCGATCCTGACGCTAGTGCTATGACTCAATACGAGCAATGTAGGCGCCGTTCACAACGATCTCGGGCATCGTGCGCGACTGGGTGCCCGCGGTCGCCGATGACACCGTCTCGTCGCTCCTCGCCCACCAGTTTCGCACCAAGGACCTTCTCCGCGCCGTGAACGCGACGCCGATCTTGCTCGTGCACGGCAAGAAGGACCGCATTGTTGCCTTTCACCACGGCCAGACGCTGTATGAGCGCCACGGCCACAACAATCTGCGCTTCTGCCCCGTTGCGGACGCAGGACACATGGATACGTTCGCGTTCGAGGAAGGACAGCGCTGTTTGCATGCCTACTGGCACGCTGCTATATCATCAACCTAAGACGTCTTGGTCGCTGTTATACAGAGAACGTCCAGCGTTTACTGGCGTTTTAGCTTGGCACTGTGAGGCACGACGTAGCGAAAGTAGCCCGTCCCGATAAAGAGCATTTGGGCGATCAGGACCGCTAGCATCGCCGACTTGGGCGCGTGGGCCAGCGTCAAGAGCGACGATACCGGAACGTCGGCAAAGACGAGAACTTCGAGCACCGAGTACGCGGCCTCCATGACGTGGGCGACCGTGAGCGCACCAAAGAGGGCGGCGTTGGTCATGTCGCACGCCGTGGCGAAGCGGAGGGTCGCAAGCGTGAGCACGTAGAGTGCGTAGAGGCGGCGGACGGCGGGCACAGCATCGAACGATGGGTCTGTCACGGTAGGCAATAGCTCCACGAAGGGCGTGTCCGTGAAGACAAGGCGCGCGAAGGAGACGACCTCGAGGAGCGTCCCGAGGACGAGGTGGATGCGTAGAAACTCAACCATGGTGTGATGGCCGCCGTCTGTCGCAATTAAGTATGAGAGGTCATGGGGAAATTGGAGCGCTGGAGGTAATGCAGTTTCGCAGTGCCTGGTCGCTGGAAGCTCCTTCTAGGAAGGGGATTGGCAGCCAGTTGGCCAAGACGCATCGACCGGTCAAGCGAGTGCACCCAGCGTGTCAGCCAAGATGAGGACCTTGGGCAAGGATCAGTCGGTCGCTCTTGACGTTACGCTCTGAAACACGCTTGTAACCTTCGGCGACCTGTGGCGGGACGAGAGATGCATGCATGTATGACCGTCGGGCACGTTATACTTGCATTGCAGTGATAAGGTTCCTGCACGGCCGTTATCGCTGCTTCCTGCTCATCTAATCATGACGCAGCGATAAGACATGCAAAGTGAAAGATGGCGTGTGCAATGGCACTGTATCCGGACGCGCCGTCACAGGGGCTGACGCCAGACGAAGAGCGTCGGCCTTTGCAAAGACGCGGCGGCTGTCCGTTGCCTCAAGCACAAAGATGGCGCTGCCGAAGCGCTCAAGCGCGTGGCCGACTTCAGTGCGGTTCTGCAGCAGTTGATACAATCCTTGGCAGAAGCATCAGTTCTCACAGGTGCAATGGCAACCGGCTTCAAGGAGAGCGACGGGCCGGAAAGGGCGGTTCTGCGTATCGCCAATCACATCGCGACTGTCTTATGCACGCACCAATCACCATCGACGTCGCATCTCATTGGTGGAAAAGTATGGGGTCGCTCCAGCATAGAAACGCGCGCGGGCCAGCGCCAGCGAACGCAGGTGCATAGACAGGTAGGCGGCGCCGGTCGAGGCGAGCGCAGTCGTCAGAAGCATGTCGCGATGCCAAACGATCCGTAGGCACATGAAGCAGCACGACGTGACGGCCAAGACCGCCGAGCTCGCGCTGGACCCCGAGGGCCAGTACGCAGCGTACCTCGAGGACGAGATGCGCTTCTTCCAGGAGAGCCACAAGATTCCGCTGGGCTGCGTCAAGGACATTTTGCGCTCGCACTACCGGTCGCTGCGCACGCTCAAGCACGTGCTCAAGCCGCCGCCGCCGCCGCTCTCGGTGCAGCTCGAGAAGCTGTCGCCGCCGCACATTGAGATCCTTACGGCGCCGATCCGCGATATCTGCGACCAGCTCACGCACATGCAGTGTACGCATTGCGAAGCATGCGTGGGCAATGGATGCTCATGCGACGTCTTGTATTAGTCAACATCTCGATCCCGACCGCGGCTGAAGTCACGGCCATGGGCAAGGACGTATTTTACTACAAGCTCTGGGAGGCGGAGAGCATCAGCATGGGCATCTTCTTCATGCCGCCCGGATCCAAGATTCCTCTCCACGACCACCCGTTCATGTCGGTCGTCACGCGAGTGTACGTCGTCGCTGGCATGCAACGCGTGGCCGCTCACGAGCGGTTTGGACTGTTTAGACTGTACGGCTCGTTCCACCTCAAAGCGTACAACTTGCTCGAGCACGATCAAGTAGATGACCAAGGGTGCGTCTCTTTCCAATGGCACAGGGCGATATTCATGCGTCTGTGCTTGTGTAGAGCCCCGCTCCTTCTCGCCAAGCAGACGCGGAACAAGCACGTTACTGGTAGCCCCCGAATTCGGTGGCTCTCGGTGCTCACGCGTGTCTTTAGCACCGTGCACGATGGATCTGAACCCGTGGCAGCACAACCTGCACGAACTCGTGGCCGAAGGCGCAATAGGCTGCGCTGTCTTTGACGTCACGATCCCGCCCTACGACGAGTACGCGTCGATTTTGTCGGCTTGATCTTATCGATTTCGTAGCCTCGATCGCCATGGAAACCACTACAAGGTCATCAAGCCCCAAGAAGACATGGAAGACGTGTTTGTGCTCCAGACCACTGAGGGGCCCCACGCATAAATCTGCCTCATTTAATCCTATTGCACCTATTTCCATTTGGCTGTTTTGCGCAGTGTCATTGGCGAGACGGACAGCGTATCGGTATCGCCAGCCACTGGCCGCCAGCAGCGTTGTATGCGCTATTGTGTCCTGCTGTTAGTGGGCGACTAGATATGTACTCCAAGTAAACCACACTAAGCGAGCCCCTAGCGCACCAGTCTTACTGGTACTTAGTACGTGCAATGCTGCTGCGCGACCGGCGCTGACAGACTCAGCATGAGTTGTCGCACGTGAGTTGTCGCTCCGCCCCAGCTGGCCAGCGCCATCCCGGGCACGTTCCCGTCATAGTAGCGCGAGTTGAAGCATCAAAGCATCGTCCACAGACGTCTGCTTGGCCATGTCACCTTGAAACCGACCATGGCGCACTTCCCACAGCCATTCACGTAGGTTCTCTCGTATCCATTGTCCAAGGTTTGCAAAGAGGGAGTTGCCCTTATATCAGAAAAATATTTTGACCAATCAAAGTGCAGGCGGTCGGGGATTGGCGGACCCGGGATCTTGCAAAGCGCCGAGCGATGGCGGCCACAAAGCTCTGGGCCTCGGTGGCCAGCGCTTGCCTCGACTGCGACATCGTCGCCTTGTACGCTGAGCTTGCCACGTCACCGGCGCTTGCGCTCACAGAGCTCGTGAACGTGATCGCGCTCTTGTTCGTCACGAGCGTCGTCTACACGGCGCTCAAAGTTGCGCCGGCGTGGGTTGCGATCGTACCGTTCGAATACGACCTTGGCTTCTTCATACTGCTGACACTGCTGCAGTACGGCGTCTACCGCACGCGCATCGAAGACATGTTCGCGCCCTTTCTCATGGTTTACCAAAGCACCGTGCTCTGGGATTTGTTGCAGCTCGCGGGCGCGGCGGCCGGCCTCGCGTCGCTCGCCGTGCTCTGCTACTCCAACCCAAACGAGTTGGTAACGGTGATTGAGCTCTTCTTGGGACCGCACTTGACGCCACATGTCCTCATCTACCTCCCCGTCGTGCTGCACCAAGTCTTTATCGTGCTGCGCCTAGCGGGCTTACTCCTCCTCCTGCAGTGGATGGGCTATGTCCTCACGCTGCCGTATGTGCGCTACCGCCACCACACCAAGACACATACTAGCACATTGTAATCAAGAGTCAAGAGCCTTTTGTCTACTGCTAGGACAATGCCATGGGACTGGGCTCGTCCAAGTCGGCGCGGCTGGCGCGACTCCGCGGCAGTGAGAACGCGATCGGGCCCTCGTCTTTGGTCGTGACCGAGCACTCGATCGCAATCGTGAGCGACGGAAATATAGACTCGAGTGGCGGGTCGTCAATAAGCGCTGGCGACTCGAAGCGACGGCCATGCATTCGCCAGAGCGCCATGTCGGCCACCACGCGCTCAAGACACACGGGCGACGCGCGCTTCTCTCGCCTCGCCTCCTCCTGGCGCGTCTGCAGCTGCAACATGTGGGCGCGCACCCGGCTACGCACGTCGTCTTGCACGCGCAGCATCGCGTGCGCGTGCTCGGCGATATACTGCGTGCGCGGCTTTGTTTTTTTCAGCGCCGGGCGGGAGGCCGACGCCTTGATGTGCATGGCGCGCCGCAGCCCGGACGCTTTCGGCAACACGCTCGTGCTCTTCATTGTCAACGGGACACCCTCCGTGGGCGGAAGCTCGTTGTTTGGATCGAGTGCGTGGTCGAGCTGCTGTGCGAGGCGGACAACGTTGGGTTGCTCGGGGGCAGCGATGGGCGGGGCCTTGGGGCGAGGCCGGAAGTTGACCAGCGGTACGCTGGGGTTGGTGTTGAGCGAAAATGTCGGCGCTGCGTCGTTCTCGTCTTCTACTTGGTTGCACGTATGAACCCGCGCTGCTACGTGTAGTGGCTCCCAATGCGGGTCCTTGGCGCCTTGGCGCGGGTATCAGATTCGATGATGATACAAGCGGATGGTCCACGCACCAGGCTCGTGGTTCTTGTGCTCGACGGACGTCTGCGCTTGGGCTGAAGCTGGCTCCCAGCCAGCAAAGAGGTTGTGCGCTTGCAACTTGTCTCCTGCGACGAACGCGTGGAAGCGGCGGCGGACGTGGTTGTGAAACGCGCGCTCGCGGGGGCCGGCCACGTCGGGTGGAGGTTTTTCGCGCGACGACCGGGCGGTCGCGGGCCGTTGGGGTGGTCGTGGCGGGCGCTGCGTCGGCGGCTTTTGGTCGAGTACGATCGTCTTGCGTGAACTTGCATCGGGCACGACGCTGAGGTACTGCGCCAACGGGTCGCTCTGCTGCATGTTGTGGTAACGCCTGACGCCAACTGCCGAGCACTCGGATCTTATTCGAGAGCGTTGCTTTTGCCGTCGCCTTGGGAGATTCACAGCTACCGCTGCGGCAAGCTGGTCAAGCGCCACGGAAGAAGCCGACGAGCGCATTAGCGGCCAGGCCGTATCATTGCGTGCATTTAGCCTCCGTCGACGTCGGATCTGATTGGGTGTTCCCGTTGTTTCCGTAAAAAAGGTCGAAGACACATGCGAATTGGTGCGACGACGCGCGGGCCATGGAGGAGGCTCATCGGCGACGCTGGGTAGACATCTGGCGCCATGCAAGCACCCTCGAGCAGTACCAGCACGAGATGCGCTCCACGCAGCGGAGCTCCGGCGCTGGGCGCCCGGCGACGCTAGGCCTGCGCGTGTGGGCGGCGTGCATGTACTTGCCCCACTCGCCCATCACGTGGATCTTCCTCATGGCGCTTGGCTGCCTCTCGGCGCTCATCGGGTACGTCCCTAGCACATCATTTGCCTCGTAACAATGCGGGTAGAGCGCTCTTGGATGCGTGGATTCTCGTTATTCTCTCGTACCGGTCGTGGATGCTTGCGTCACTCGGCGAGGTACATTGCTAGCCTACGAGCATGCTCGATAGCACGATGCCTAGGATTCTATCTCCGCCTGCATATTGTGGCTGGGATGGACCGTCGTGCTTGGGCTCCTCGCGAGCCTCTGCGGCGTCGTCTTCTCGACGTACTCGGACGGCTCGGGCATTCCGCAGATGAAGGCGCTGCTTGCGGGCCAGCTCGCGTCCACTCATGTCCTCTCGTACTGCACGCTTCTCGGACGATCCATGGGCACTGTTCTCTCGAACGCGTCCGGTCTCTCGGTCGGGAAGGAAGGGCCGTTCATCCACCTCATCTCGATCGTCGCGCACAAGCTCAGCAGCCTCGCCATCTTCCGACGGGGTCCCGAAGACAACATTACCTTTATCCGCGCCGGTGTCCTCTGCCATAGCCAGATACGAATGCTCATGGGTATGTAGGCGTCGCGTGCGGCGTCACGGCCGTCTTTGGCTCGCCCCTCGGCGGCGTGCTGTTTAGCATCGAGGTCACGTCGCAGTTTTACGCCATCAAGTACGACTCTACCGATCGCAGGCATCTCAAAGGAGCGTAGGAACCTCTGGCAGAGTGTGATCAGCTCGTCGTTTTGCGTGCTCACGTTCCAAATCGTCTCGGCGCTTCAGAACGACGTGCTCTTTACCAACACGACGTTCGCCGACTTTGAGCTCGGTCCAGAGCTGCTCGCGTTCTTGCTCCTCGGCGGTCTCTGCGGGGTACTTGACCGTCTGGCGTCGCTTGTCGTATTCCTTGTGCGATTAGGGTCTCGCGGCTGCGTTTGTGCGAAGCGTCGTGTGGCTTCAACAGCTTCAGACGCGCTACCTTTGCGTACGTCCTGCAATAAGAACGCATCGTCGTCAGCTCTGCGTAGCCACGGTTGCCAAAGAGCTCACGCCACTACCGCTTCGCTCTCGTCGCAGTTGCATGCGCACTCACGGCTCTCGCTGCCTACCCGTTCCTGCACCAGCTTCGGCTCTCGGACCGAACGATCATCAACGCATCCTTTCGCGATAGTCCAATCCACGACACAGCGCTGGTCTCCATGTCGCACGCCGCTGTCTTTATCGTGCTCAAGTTTGGCTTGACGCTCTTGCCGTGCGGCCTTCCGCTCTCGTGCGGCATCTTTACCCCGCTCTTTGCGCTCGGCGCAGTCGCTGGCCGGCTCTATGGCGAAGTCGTCTTGGCTCTTGTCGGCGACGCCGTCTCGCCCGCCACGTACGCGGTCGTCGGTGCTGCGTGCCTCGCGTCCGCCGCGACGCACTCGATCTCGACGGCCGTCATCGTCTTTGAACTCACAGGTAGTACATCTTCGTCGACTGAACGATGGCGATATATAAGACTAGGCCAGTTGAGTCACATGCTGCCTGTCATGCTCTCGGTGCTCGTCGCGTACTCGGTCGGCGGTATCTTCACCCCGTCGATCTACGACGTCTTTGCCAAGCTTGCGGGCCTCGACTTCATCTGCGACGACGTGTCCGAGACCGTTCTCGCCAACAAGGTGGCCCACGAAGTGCTGCAGCCGCACTGCGGCGTCCTCACACTGCACTCGACGTATGCCGACGCCGCGTCGCTTCTCGTACGCTCCTTTATAATCGTCTCCAAGTAACTCATCGCGCACGGTAGCACTTGCACCCGACGCACCAACAATTTGCGCTCTGCGATTCCTCCGAGTCGCGCACCCTTCTCGTAACATAGCAAAGTGGTGGGGCGTATGGCGACACGATGCGTAGGGCGGCGTACGTCGGTCGGACCTCGTGCTCGCACTCGCCCGACTCCGCGACCGGCTGCACGACCATGCCGACAACGACGACGTGGTCGACTCGCATGAGACACTGCGTGCATCACTCGTCAAGCCCGACCTTGACACAGGTGCGACCTTCAATGCTTGCGCTCCACCGACTGTATCGATACGCAGACGAAGCCACGTTGCTGCACGCGCTCGAGAGCCAAGGCGACCTCGAGTCGACACCCGTAGCGTGCCACCCATTTGATTCCCAACTCTTAACGTCTTTGCTCGACTAGCTGGCGTACGGCCCGCCGTTCCACGCGCTTTCGTACGCTGCGCTGCCTGTCGACACGTACCCGCCCCAAGTTGGCTACATGGTACCGCTGAGCAAGGTCTACGTGCTCTCGTGTCTCTACATGTGGCCGCAGATCTTTGTCGTTAAAGAAGGCAAGCTCCAAGGGATCCTCTTTATGGACTCGACGCTGACCAACTACTAACTCGAACCACGCGCGTCGTCGTATTATAAATCTCTTCTACTCGTCGTCTTCGAGCCGCAAACAGTCGCGCGCTTCAGCGAGCTTGGCCTTGAACGCCGCCTCGCCCTTGACCAAGTCGCTCGTGTCGTCGGCCCCCGGCTGTTGACGCAGGTGCGCGAGGCACGCCAGGCCGACACGCTCGACGTGGCCAACGTGCTCGAGCACCACGTCTTGCTCAAACGGCGGCGAGACATCCGCGCCCATGTCGACAATGACGTCGTTCACGTCATCGTAGAGCGACGGGAGACCGCCGCTCCAGAGGAGAAAACCGTCTTGGCCGTCGTTGGTCTCAGTCGCGTTGACAGCGAGGACGCCCTTCTTGGTGATGGCCTGGACCATCTTGAGAAGGCCGAGGACCAGAGTAAACTGACGCGTCTCGAGCGGGCTCATGGTTTCATCCATGTCGAACGCGTACTCGTCTTCATCCTCGACATTGCGCTCGGTGGGTCCGTTGGCTTGGTCCGCGAGGACGCCGTCGAGCTCGCTGATCGTGTCGTTGAGGATCGCGACCGACTGCAGCATGACGCGCTTGGTCGCAACCAAGTTGGACTTGGAGATGTTCGGAAGGTAGTTGCACGCGTCCCAGATGCGACCTGTGAACTCGGGCACGCGGGCAAACTCTTTGCTTTGCACTAGGCGCACGAGCTCCTGCATCGTGCTCACGATGCGCCTACCGACAGAATAAGCGACCTCGTGGCAAGCATATGGACGTACAGCGAGCCAGCGATCATCTCTTTCGTCAACGCATAGCCGGCGCCTGCGAAGATGGCGACCTTGAGCGCGGCAAGGAGCTGCTGGCATGGGTCGTAGATGGCCTCACAGATGCTCTGCGCCTCGCGCTCGGTTGGCGTCTTGGACTTGGCCATGACGAGCGAGAACTTGGTCACTTGCACGTTGATGCTACCGGCCGCCTACGTCCATGCATCGCTGCGCGCTCGTCGGTGGTCATGACAGGTACCGCCAAGAGGACGTCGCGGGCGAGGCTAAAGTCGCTGTTGGCCTGCCAGAACTTGGCGGCGAAGGCGCGCTCGACGTTGTTCTTGGCCTCGAGGTCCTTGAGCTCGGCGACGCACGTCGCCATGCCACTCGCGAGGTTGTCCATCTTGCGTCCCGATTACGATTGGCCAATGGTGCGGGCAGGCAGCTAATTGTGGCAAGTTGCCACAATTAGGCAGAGCCAATCTGTCATCTTCCCACACAAATAGATTCCGGCCGCCCATCATCATGGACGGCGTGGGCGACGTCGACGACGAGTGGGTTTGGCCCACGAGCCTCATGGAAGCCCGGCAGATGGAGGGCTTCCTGCGCTGCCAGGTTTGCGGCGACTACATGAGCGGCCCGGTTCTCCTTAGCAACTGCCGCCACTGCTTTTGCTCCGAGTGCATTCGCAAGCACCTCCTCGCGCGGGGCACGGGTGGCAATTGCCCCGAGTGCAAGCAAGATTGCTCGCCTGGCGACTTGGTACCGAACCGGCCGCTGGAGCAGATCATCAACCTCTTCCGCGCGCTCAAGCCCAAAGTGCTGCGCCTCGCCGAGGGAGCACCACTCGAGACGGCCAACGCGCCGACGACGCCGACCAAGACGACGCAGGCCAAGCCCGGCGACAGCGCAACCAAGCGCGTGCCCGTTGTTTCGTACAACATCATGAAGGATGCTGAAATCCGCAAGCACCTCGAAGCCGCGGGCCTCGGCAGCATCCGCGGTCCTCGGGACGTGCTCGTTGCCACACACAAGGAGGTACCTCTTCCATCCCACGCGCTTCGAGGCCAAGCCCTACTGCTAGTATACGATGCTCTGCAACGCACAGCTCGATACGCTGCACCCCAAGACACCGGATGAGATCCGCCGCCAAATCCTCGCCACATACAAATTACGCAACAGCGAAAAGTCGCAAATGGCCTCGACCAAGCGGGCGCTCGGGCTCCGGCACGACGAGCCGATTGAGAAGGCGATCACGTCGTCGTCGGCGCTCAACGACAACTTTCGCAAGCTCGCCGAGCAGATCAAGGCGCAAAAAGCGGCCAAGAAGGGCCAACCACCAACGACACCATCGGCGAGCGGCCACGACGCACCCGCCAGCGACACAATCGTCCCGACGCCGTCCCCACCGGCCACGCTGCTGTCACCGACGCCACGCACGACGTCGCACACGTCAGCGTCGCCCGTCCAGAACGCGTTTTACCCCGACGCTGAGGAAAAGCCTGCGCATCCGGTGCTCCAGGCCGACGGGGCGCCGCGGTACCTGGCGCGGGACCCCGTCCCGTCCAAGAGCCTCTTTAGCGCACCGACGAGCGGGACGTGGCGCCAAGTGTTTCTCGACAGCACGCAGCAGCACGTCTACGTCCACACGAGCACCCAAGAGATCCGCACCGAAGCGCCACCGAGTGTCGCGCCGGCCAAGAGCGTAGCGCACTCTGTTGCCAAGAGCATGACGCCGATCGTGGCCATGAAGCGGCCCGTGGAGGTCGCTGCGAGCACGGTCCAGTGGGCGTGCCCACGCTGCACGCTGGTCAACGACATGCACATCGACGAGTGCTTGGCCTGCGGCGGCCCCAACTCCAAGAAACGCCCCAAGCGGGTCGTACAAAAGAAGCTGGGCTAAGCTCCTATCACGAATGAATCTTATCGTCCTGTGTTGATGGACAATATTACGGTTGATGGACAATATTACGGTTGATGGACAATATTACGGTTGATGGACAATATGACATGGTACTTGTCGTGTGGTCTTCTGGCAACGACGCAGCCGGATACCGTGAAATATCCGGAAGATTCGACGGTCGCGATCTTTTCGACTGTCCGTTTTGCACGATGAGCCTCCTGGCTGCGCAGCCGGCGGGCTACAGCACGTTCGCGCCGGCGCCGCTGAGCGCGGGCGGCAGTCGTCGGCCCAAGGCGTCCTGGCTCTCGCGCCTCTTTCTCGCGTGGTGCGCCCCGATCTTGTCGCTCGGCAATGACAAGCAGCTCGACCTCGACGATACGTGGAAGCTCGAGCCGGAGGACACGTGCAGCGCTGCCGTTGCGCAGCTCAAGCAGCACTGGACAAGCTCCGGGTCGCTCGTGCTTGCGTTTGTGCGCTGCTACGGCGGCGTGTACGCCTGCGTCGGTCTCGTGCTCGCGATCGCCTACGGCTGTGACCTCGCCGGGCCCTTGATCCTCAACGAGGTCGTCACGCTCATGTCAGCGCCAGGTAGTGACACAACCTTGATTTGGAAGTGGCTCGCCGTGCTCTTTGGCTCGCGCGTGCTCAAGGCCCTCCTTTTTGCGCACGTGTATGCGACGACGCAGGTCGTTGCGATGCGCTTCACAGCGGCGCTCAAGAGCCTCCTGTTCCAGAAGGCGCTGCGCCTTAGCACCGAGTCGCGTAGCACGGGCGACCTCGTCAACCTGTATACGACCGACGTCTCGAATCTCCTTCTCGCGGCCTACTACGTCCATGAACTCTGGATTCTGCCGGTCGAGATTGGCGTCGCGCTCTATTGTCTCTACGACATTCTGGGTCCTGCGACGTGGGCCGGCGTCAGCGTCATTCTGCTCGTGCTCTGCGTCAACCACGTGCTCGCCAAGGTCATGGCGACCGCGTTCGAGGGCATCATGCGTCTCAAGGACGAGCGCATGGCGCGTATCCACGAAGCCTTTGGCGCCATTCAGACCGTCAAGCTGCACGCGTGGGAGGACAAGGTCGCGGCCAAGCTCCACGGGATTCGCGAGCGGGAGCTCGCCTTCATTTGGCGCTACCTGCTTGTGGGCGCGTTCAACATTTTTGCGCTCTGGGGCGCGCCCATGGCGGTCTCGACGGCCACGTTTGCTGTCTACGCGCTCTACTTGCAGCACCCATTGTCGGCCGCCAGCGTCTTTACAGCCCTCGCGCTCTTCCGCCTCATGCAAGAGCCGCTGCGGTCGTTCCCCAAGATCATCACAGGCATGATCCAAGCGCGGGTGTCGCTGCAGCGTCTCCGGACGTTCTATACCCTTCCAGAACGACTGCCCGAGGCGACGGCGACGACGCCGGCGGCCCCCGACGTCGCGATTGCGCTCTGCGATGCTACGTTTGCGTGGTCTCGAACCGGCGACGCGCTCTTTCGCAGCCTCTCGCTCGACGTCAAGCAAGGCGACTTGGTCGTTTTGCACGGCAAAGTCGGCAGCGGCAAGTCGTCGCTGCTCGCAGCGCTCCTCGGGGACATGGAGCGTCGCGCGGGCTCGTTGTACCTTGGTGGCTCGGTCGCCTACTGCTCCCAGACGCCGTGGATCCAGCACATGTCGATCCGCGACAACATTTGCTTTGGCGCAGCGTACGAGAAGAAGAAGTACCTCAAGGTCCTCGAGGCCTGCGGGCTCATACCGGACCTCCAAGCGCTATCGGCCGGCGACAAGACGGAGATCGGCGCCAAGGGACTCAACCTGAGCGGCGGGCAGAAGGCTCGGGTCGCCCTCGCGCGCGCATGCTACAGCGACGCCGATATCTTTCTCCTTGACGCGCCGCTCGCCGCCGTCGATGCGGTCGTCGCTGCCGACATCTTTCAAAAGTGCGTGCTCGGCCTCCTGCGCCACAAGACGCGCGTGCTCGTGACGTACAACACCGAGATCATTGGCTCCAAAGTCGTCGACAGCGTGCTCAAGCTCTGTGACGGCCAGCTTGTCCAGACGCGCACGATCGACAAGACGCCGCTCGGACCGCCGCCGATCTCACCGCTTCTTGGCGGCCGCGTTGGCTACCACCGCACGGCGTCCGAGAAGCTCCGAACCAACCCGTCGCTGTCGCCCTCGCCCGCCTTTGCGTCCGTCCAGCAGCTTGTCGAAGACGGGTTCGCGCCGCTCGTTGCCCGCGCCTCGTCGTTTGCTCGCGAGAGCGGCCAGCTCGTGCGCGACGAAGAGCGCCAGAACGGTCGCGTCTCCCGCCATGTCTTTTTGAGCTACTTTCGGTCCATGGGCGGGGTCGATACTATCAATGTATCGACTCGACGAGCTCACAGTATATGTTCGTAGGTGGGAGTCTGCGTCTTCCTCATCTTTGTCCAGTGCGCATGGCAAGGGCTTCTGCAAGGAAGCGACTTCTTCCTCGCGTCCTGGACGGCCCAAGACGACTTGACGCAGCAAGAGAATGCAACGAGGAATGTCTCCTTGTATGCATGCCTCGCCCTCGGCAGCAGCGCACTCGTCCTCGTCCGCACGCTCACGGTACCGACTTTGTCTCTCGGATCGTCGTACGCAGGCGTTTGAAGCGTAGGTCTCGATCGGTGGCTTGCACGCCGCCCGCCACCTCTGCGCCGGCATGACAACATCGCTCTTGAGCGCGCCAATGACATTTTTCGACGCGACACCCGTGGGCCGCATCCTGAACCGGTACAGCGACGACGTCTCCCGCGTCGACTTTCAGCTGCCATTTGCGTTCGGGTCGCTCCTCGCGACGGGCTTCTCGGTGCTGTGCACGCTCGTAACCACGTGCATCGTTGCGCAGTACGTTGGGCTCTCGATTCTCCCGCTCTTGCTCGTCTACGGTCGTCTCGGCCTCTACTACCTGCAGCCCGCGCGCGAGCTGCAGCGGCTCCAAAAGGTGACCCAGTCGCCCGTCCTTGCGCACCTTGCCGAGTCCAGTGACGGGTGTGCGGTCATTCGGGCCTTCCACGTCGCCGACCGATTCACGCTTGAAAACGCCGCCAAAATCGACGCCAACAACCGCACCGTCTACGCGAGCATCGTCACCAACCAGTGGTTTGCCCTGCGCATGCAGCTCCTCGGCGCGCTCGTCGTCCTCCTCTTGACGACGGGCTTGACGCTGCTAAAGGACTCACTGAGCCCCGGTGTGATTGGTCTCGCGTTCAACTACAGCCTCGCCATCGACGCCGGCCTCGAGGGCCTCATCCAAGTGTGGTCGTGGCTCGAGACCTCCATGGTGAGCCCCGAACGCCTCCAGGAGTACGTCGACGTGCTGCCAGAGACGACGCGCGGGCCCGCCCTTGTCGTGCCCGAGCCGTCGTGGCCTCGATTCGGCGACGTCGTGTTTGAAAACGTCTCGCTGCGCTACCCCCCAAGTAGCACCAACGTGCTCGTGGACGTGAGTTTTCGCATCAAGGCGGGCGAAAAGGTCGGTGTCGTCGGGCGTACGGGGGCCGGCAAGTCGAGCGTCGCTTTGGCGCTCTTTCGCCTCTACCCGCTCGCATCTGGTAGGATCCTCCTCGACGGCGTCGATGCCTCGACCGTCGACATGCGCCTGCTTCGAAGCCGGCTCTCGATCATTACGCAGTCACCCATTCTCTTCAAGGGCACGCTGCGTGGGTATCTGGACCCATTTGGCGACTGCTCGGACGACGACCTCTGGCGTGCGCTGGAGAAGGTTGAGCTCCGATCTCGTGTCGCGTCGTACGCTGCGACCTTGGACGCGCCCTTGGAAGAGAATGGTGAAAACCTCAGCGTCGGCGAGCGCCAAATGCTCTGCATGGCCCGCGCTCTCCTCTCGGACGCGCAGATTGTCGTGCTGGACGAAGCCACGGCCTCGGTCGACGCCGAGACGGACGCCAAGCTCCAGCGCGTTCTCCGGTCCGAGTTCAAGGACGCCACCGTCCTTACGATCGCGCATCGCCTCGACACGGTCTTGGACGCCAACCGCATCATGGTGCTTGACGCCGGCCGCGTCGTGCAGTTTGGATCACCCATGAGCCTCATCGCGCGCGGCGAGGGCCACTTCTACAACCTCGTCAAGGAAGGCGGCTACATTGACCGCGTCGGCTCGTAGTAGTTGCAGGATATACAGAAATCGATGCTATTACATGTCGTAACTCTCTGGAATAAAGCTGTCGGGGGCCGACTCCGTCGCCGGTGGCGCGTTGAAAACATCGTCATCGTCGTCGTCTTCGTCGTCCGACGCAGCTTGACGACGGAGACGTCGCCGCTTGGCATCGGCACGCGGCGTCGTTGCTGGCGAAGTTGACTCGACAGGGTCAGCGTCTTCGTCGTTGCTGTCATCGCGGGATCGCTTGCGGTCGGCCGTGGCGTTGGGGCTGCTGGGCGCGTTTTCAGAGGTGGGTGCCAAGAGACTGTCGTCACCGCCCTCGTCATCGTCGTCGTCGTCGTCATCATGCGATCGCTTGCGTGGGGCAGTGCCGTCGTGGCTACCAACATTGGTCGGCGCCGAGAGAAATGCGTCATCATCATCGTCGTCCTCCGAGCCGTTGAGATCCTTGTAGAAAGCTTCGGCCGTCTTTCGTACGAGGCGCGTGGGCTTGGGCGACCGCGGGGCCACGTTATCGTCGGTTGCTGACATTGCATCGCTCGCGTTATCGTCGTCGTCGTCGTCGTCGTGGGACTTTTTGTGGAGCTTGAGGTGCTTGACGCGGCGCTCGATTTGCTCGGGCGTCCGGTCGCGGTCCTGAAACATGTCTTCGTACGAGATGACTTCGTACACGGACGGCAAGTGCTTGAACTTGAAGTACATCTTGGTCAAGTACTTGTCTTCGATGACGCTCCACGTCTTGGTCTTGGCGCGAGGCTTGCGCGCCGGCTTTTCCGTCGTCGTTGGTGCCGATGAGTCCTTGGCGACCAGAATCGAGGGCGCCGCGGCCATAAAGTCAAACTCGGCTTCGCCTTCAATTTCGAGGTCGCGCGGACGAACAACGCGAACGTCGTCGTCGTCGTTGCCACCGTCGTCTTCGTCCGAGCTCAAGTCGCGCCGACCTTTGGGCGTCACGAGGTTCTCGGGCAAAAGCGACTTGTACCGGCGCTGGATCATGACGCACGTGCGAGGTGCGAACGGGTGTCGAATGAGACTCTCGACGTACAAGAGGTGGTTGGTCTCAGCGAGCGCGAAGAAATGCCGCACGGTGGTGCTATCCGAAAAGAGATGTTGAGAGCTGTCTCTGCAAAACTTGGAGCTACCGAAGAAAGTCCAAGATGTGTCGAAATTCCTTCTTGTTCTGGATCGACGGGTCTTGCAACATCGTGTTGAACGTCATGAGGCAGTGAATGTTGAAGAGCATGGGCTCCATCGTGGGATCTTCGCCCATGAGGGCCTATGCCACACAATGAGATGCATCTTGGTACGCACGAAAGGGTACCTGGAAGCCCTGAACGCGGTAGAAGAATGAAAAGACGTAATGGTTGACCTTGGCGCTGTTGGTCTTGTAGTGGCCGAGCAAGTAGACAAACATTTTGATGCTTTCGTGCGAGATCATCGAGCCAAAGTACTTGCGCGTGTCAAACTCCTCTTCCTTCCGCCGCATCTCGAGCTGCATTTGCCGGTCGCCGGCTTCTTCGTCTTCTTCTTCGTCTTCTTCATCGTCTTCTTCGGCGTCGTTGTCGTCATCGTTGTCGCCCGCCGCGGGGTCGTTGGCGTCGCCGGACTTGGCCTTCTTCTTGGTCTTCTTCTTCTTCTTTTTCCTACCGTGTACGCGTCAACACGATGGCAAATAACGTAAAAGTACGCGCACCCTGGTGCATGGCGGCGCTTCTGGAGCACCTTGAGATGCTTGCCTTCCGCGTCGATCATCTTGAGCACAAGCTACGCGATTGGCGGTGAGCAAGACACAATACATGGCAGCGTCATACGTGCGTCAGCGTCGCGACTTCGACGACGTACTCGAGCGTAAAGGCGGACGGTGACCACGACTTGATGAGCACGGGAAGCCGATCGAGAAACTCGCGTTCGTAAAAGAGCTTGTGCTGGAGCGACTGACCGATGCGTTGCAGCCGCGTGTCGGCACTCGTCACGAGCTCCGTCTACGCAAAATGGATATGAAAAAGATCATCTCCCGTCGATGGATGTTGCGTACGAGCATGGCGATCATCTCCGTGACGACCTTGACCGCGCCAATCATGGCATGGTAGTTCTTGACATCGGCATAACTCTATTCGGCAATCGAGGTGAGCGGTCCACTGACCAAAATGAAGCTTCACCTCGATCGATTGCAGCACAAAGTTGAACGAAAACATATCGAGCGTCGACAGAATCGCTTTTTGGTCGTAACTTGCGAGGAGGTTGGTCGAGTTGAGCAACGCCATCATGGCGTCCATGCCTTGCTCGCGGAAGACGCGCTCCTTGTTTTGTTCGAAAATCTCGTCTTGCTGCTTCTGGAGCGACTTGAGGTGCGGCAGCTTAAGGCGGTGGTACGCCGTGAGAAACCACACCAGGTGAAAGTACAAGAGACGGTCGTTGGGCAAAAGCTTGCCGCTGCCGCGGCGAAACTCGTTCTTGAGCGACGACGTGAGCTGTGGGTAGCACTTGCTCAAAAGCTCGTCGCAAATCGTCCGCAGCGCTTCGCTAAGGCGCCTATGTAGGGAATGCATGAGTACGCATGGCTGCGAGCAAGAGCGCCGTCGTACATGTTCAGGTCCAGCGAGGAGCCCGTGTGGCCTCCAAAGACCTCTTGGATGTCGTTCATCGCGTGCTGCTTTTGGCGCCGACCCCGCAACCCCTTCTTCTGGGCCTAATTGTTCGTGTTATGAGCGGCGAGGTAGAGAGAGGACTTGTAAATGCCTGGGGGATGACATCGTCGCCCGTCTTGCTAAAGTCCGTCAAAATGGTGCGCCGACCGGTCTTGCCCTGGAGCACGAGCATGCCGCCAAAGTTCGAGTGGCGCTGGTTCTTGGCACCGCGATGCTGGCTCTCGGTCTTGAGCTGCCCCAGAAGCGAAACTTGCTGCTGCACTGGCGGCGGCGCAATCAGCGGAGGCGCCTCTTCAACCTGCGGCGTGGACGATGGGAGCTGAATCGTAGCGACGAGCTGCTTGGGGGTCGTCGTTTGCAGGACGAGGTCGAACATTTCCATGATGAGCAGGTTCCACTCGCGGTTCTCGGCCGACTCGATGTCCTACAGCAGCAGCCAGTTGGTGACGGGAATCGCCATTGAAGCCACGTACTTGGGCAAAGAGAAGGAGCATGTCAAAGACGTTTTCCTCGTACAGCACGACGATCAAGTCTTCTTGGAGACGAGCCAAGTGGTTGGTCGCGGCCGTCACATGGCGCAAGCTCTCGTTTGGGATCGCAAGCAAGTTGCGGAAGAGCGTCAGGACGAGCTCCATGTTGAGGTAGTCCTATCCCCTGAGCATGAGCATTCCGTGCGAGATGAGGACGCACGCACCTGGGACGTGCGGGCCGACCCTTCCCGCGAGAGCGGTTCAACGAGAATGGACATGAGGAGCTGCACGACGCCGTGCTTCAAGAACGCACGCTTGTAGCCGCGGAGGTACTTGAGCTGCAGCGCAATGTTGTCCGACTCGTTCGCGGGCTTCATCGTGAGCATGACGAGCACCTTGAGGATCGAAAAGACGAGCGACCTACGTGGGCGGCTACGAGCCTGTACCTTCTTCATATGTGGACGTACCAGTCGCTCTGATGGTTGATGAGGAGCGGAATGAGCTTCTTCTGGAGGATCTGCCACCGGCCAAGCGTCTTGGAGACGAGCCGATGAATCGCATGGTCGCGCCGGATCGCGCGCTGGAGATCGTGGATCCACTCCTCACAGTCTTCGCCCCGCGTAAAGTTGGACTCGCCGTCTTCAGCTTCGGTGAGCACGCCGAGGTTCGAGCACACGAGGAGGAGCTCGTTGAGCATCGCGGGGTCCAGCGTCCGTTTCACGACGGCCTCGTTGCCGTCCTCGTCGACGAGCGCTTCTTCTTCGTTCTCCGAGACGTCGAGAGCCTCGAGGCTGCGCGCGCGCTCGCGGTGGATCTCGTCGAAGGCCCCGTCGTCCTCGTCGTCCTCGAGCTCGAGGAGCGCGTCGTCCTTCCGCGCCAGCGATGTCATCTTGCCTGGTAAATGCGAGCGAATATGCGCTCGCGCCAAAGCCCGTGCTGATTATCAACCAATCCCGGACGACCAAAACGCTTTTTTATCCAATCCGACGTCACGCACTCGCCGACAATCAAAAGGCTTTTAACGGCCCACAACAACATACAAAAACAATGTTTTTGAATAGCCAAAATTCCACCGCCCCGTTTTCGCGGGAAACCTGAGGCCAAAACTAAAACTGCACCTCAGGAGGACAAATGCATCCAACGTCCAAGCACCCTCATGCTCGAGACCGACCCATATATTTACATACGCATCATGAGCTCCTCTTCCCAATTTCTGTCCGTGTCATCCATCTCAAGGTCAAAAGTGCAATGTCAGGTGCTCGTACAGCATCGCCCAAGACGCTGCGACAAGACGTGCTGCACCATGGACGTTCCTACTCGTAGCTCCTTCTTCGATGCTCAGTCAACGCCAAGCGAATTGGTGGCATTCCCTTGGTCAACGCCTGCGTTCGTTGTTCGAAATGTCAAGATCTTCCCGCGTTGAAATATCGAAGGTTCGAGCGTCTTGGCCAACTCCGGTTCATTTTCGCATTGCACTCGAGGACGCCGAAGCATGCAGATCTTGCGTGCGCTTGGGCTCTTGCTAACGGCAGTGGCGGCCATCGACCCGATTGTCATCAAGGGCCAGCGCATGTTCAAGTACTCGACGGGCAAAGCGTTCCAGGTCAAGGGCGTCGACTACTACCCGCGGCCCAACGCCGGTATCCTCGACATCAACAACCACGACTTCTTCACGGACGAGAACGAAGCGATTTGGACGCCGCACCTCAAAGAGTTTGCCGAGCTCGGCGTGAACGCGATCCGCTTCTACGCCGTCGATCCGTCCCAGAGCCACGACAAGATCATGTGCGCGCTCCAAGCCATTGGCGTCTACGTGCTCGTGGACCTTGCGGCGAGGTATCGAGCCTCGGAAATCTCTCTCTTATCGAGTGGTTAGCTGCGAGGGCTGTGCGATCACAAAGGATGCGTACCCGACATGCTACCCCGCTTCACTCAAGACGCGCGGCCAGCAGATCATCGTCGCCTTCTCGAAATACAACAACGTCATTGTACGCTCGTAGCAGGCGGTATACTCTACTGACGAGGTTTGGGGCGTAGGGTTTTAGCGCGGGCAACGAGGTCAACCACATCGTACCCAGCGCCAAGACGAACGCGCCGTGCCAGAAGAAGTTCATTCGGGACATGCGCGCATTTATCCGCTCGTGCAACAGCAAGATGCGCCCGATTCCTGTCGGTGTCGTCCTCGCCGATTCGGAGCGCAGCGCCAACGCGCTCTACTACAACTGCCGCACGGACACCACGGACTCGCTCGAGAATGCCGAGTGTACGGAATATCCCCATTCAGCTCAAACCAGCGGCGACAACCTGCTTATTAGGGTATGGCCTCAACGCGTACGTGCAGTGCGACCCGGCCGCGACCAGCACCGTCGTGGGTCCCGGGTACCAAATGCTTCTGGACGACTTTACGTCATACAAGATGTCGGTGCCCGTCATGCTCACCGAGTTTGGCTGCCTCAATGTCGGCTTCCCGAAAATCGACAGCTACGCGGCGCAGCGCACGTGGGTGGACGCGGCGTGGCTGCTCTCGTCGACCTTCAACAGCATCTTCACTGGCGGCTTTGCGTTTGAATTTTCAACCGAGAATGCCAACTCCAAGGCCGACGCCCCGTACCCGTTCACGTCGTTTGGTGGCCAAAACTATGGGCTCGGGTACTTCTCGCCCGAGACGTGCGACCACCGCGCGACGCCGTGCGTCTTTAACCACATGCCCAACTACAACCTTCTCGCGACCGCGTACAATGCGTCAAACGAGGTGGCGACGATGCCATCGTCGACCGAGTACACGGGGTACCGCACGACACCGCCGACGTGTCCGTCGAGCTTTGCGACCCTCGCGAGCGTCACGTGGGCCGCCGACGCGGTCACCGACATGCTCTGCCCAGACTTGACGCAAACGCCGCTGTGCCCTGGCGACACGATGATCAACGGCAACGGCGACGTGATTGCACCGAAATCGGGCATGACGCCTGCGCCGTCAGGTGGCAACACGCCGTCGGGCGGCCAAACGCCGTCGTCAGCGACACCGAGCCCACCGGGTGTCACGACATCAACGCCGGGGGGCCGAGCGACGCAAGGCAACAACGCGGGTGGTCTCTCGATCGTGATGCCACTCGCGCTGGCGGTCGCGACCCTCTTCGCGTAATGCATGCCATGCCAATATCATACATATGAATTCTTCTTCCGTGGGCCATTGTACCCAGAGGCATATGCGATAGCTCCTTCTGCGCCGGCGTTGGCCAGTGGCCGCAGAATGAAGAAGCCATCATGTACTCGACTTCAAGCTCCCATCCTAGCAAGGTTGGCAGGTTCGTCTTGGCGCTGCCTCACGGCCCGACGCTTTGCCGTATATAATCTTTAACTCAACGCTGTATCTCTCAGTACCGCGGACGACGGCGAATCTACCGCCGGGGGCTCTCCATCTACGACTGATGCACCCGAGATGTCATGCGCGCTGCTGAAAAGGGATGCCACGCTGCCACGTATCGGGATATTAACGCTTCACAATCTATGCTCGTATGAAGCTGTTTTTACAAGGGCAATCAACGCCTTAAAGTCATTTCGGGGTCAGTGGCTTTTTGGAAACAGCGACGCCGAGCGTGGTTGCCAGCACGACGCCTCCGAGAGTACAAGAACACTACGCTCCGTACGCCTTTGTCAAGACGCAGCGTCGCAGGTCACGCTTCTCCAGCGTGCAATACAAACACCAAGTACACGCAGCGAGGCGGTGACTCGAACGCCTTTACAGCCCTCGGCGGCGCGAGTGATCTCGATGCCTCAAAAACGAATTCGCGTGTCCCTCTACGACCCGCTCTACCACCAGAAGCGCGCTGCAAAGCTCGCCGATGCCAAGTTGGCGGCCCAAGATGCTCTCCTGCGAAAGCCAAGCCCGACGGCGGTCACGAGGTTCGTGTGCCACCGCGTTCGGGCGCAGCAAGACCCCGACGGTTGTCCGCCAGCGTGCGACAACAACTGTCTCGGCGACTGTGCGATCGGTCGCGCAGTCAAGCGTGCGACCGATGATTCGGTCGACACCAACGCCCGCCGCGACGGCAGGGCAACCACTGACGGCAAGCAGCCGCACCTCGACCACCGCCGCGCAGCGTCGCACACCGGTGACGAGCGTCGCGACTGCTCCGTCAAGTGCCACCACGGATGCCACGCCTGTTAGCGCGGCATCGACGACCACGACTGAGGCGATCCTCGGTCAGCTGCGTTCGGAAGTTGCAACTCTCCGAGCGCAGGTCGTTGACCTCCAAGCCAGCCTCGACGCGTCGATGGACACGGCCACGATTCGCCTTCGAGCTGCGAGACGCCGGCCGAAGCCGCTTGATGCGCCTCTTTCAGGCTGGCTTCCAGTCGCTGGACGTCGGCGTCATGCTGCGACTGGGCTGCAGCGCGGTTGGAGGCACCGGTCGCAGCCGCATGCTCCGAAACTTCAAGTGACTCCTCGAGATGCGCAACGACATCCCGCGAGGCTCGAAGCTGCTCCAGACCAAGCTCGAAGATGCACAAGAAGCGGCTTCGGCCGGTGCCTCTGAGCTTGTTGTCGCACGGTCGGATCTCGCTGCAGCCCAGTCGCAGCATGACGCCGACGTCCAGCGAGTGGAAGCCAGCCTGGAAGAGGCGCATCAAGCGGCTTTGGCCGGCGCCTCGCAGCTCGAAGGCGACATTCTGCTGACTTTGACGACGACATTGAGGTGATTCTCGGTGACCCACCGGCACCGCCAGACCTGGTCGCGGCCGCGGAGCTCGAAGCAGAACGCAAGGCTTACGAGGCGCTCGAAGCGCAAGCCGACGACGCAGCCACTCGCGCCGCATCGAACGAGCTGCGCCTCGAGAACAAGATCTTGAAGCTCATGACGAATATCAACGATCTCTCGGCTGGCGTCAACGCGCTCTCGTCCGACAAGTCAGAGCTCGCAGAGGCCAAAACAAAGCTCCAGGAAGAGACGGCGGGCCTCCTGGCGCGCGTAGCCGCCTTGGAAACAGCGCTACAGACGCAGGAGACCAACGCCATGACCGACATGACGGCGCTCGAGACGCGGGCGGTCACGGCCTAAGCCGCCCTAGAAGCCAACGCGACGACGATCCGGGAGCTGCAAACCACTATCGAAGGACTCTCGAAGAGCGCACTCTTCAAGCGTACTCAGGAGCTTTCGAAACAAATCCGGGACCTTGAGGCGCAGCTGCACCGACTTGGGTACTAGCGGTTACCTCAAACTCTGTCAACATTGCATATTTCATTCATATCGTTGACGTGTCTCATAGCCCAGGGACATGCTTTGTGAGGCAGAGCATCGGCGACCTCGATCTCGATCGAGATCGTCACGGCGTCGCGTCAAACGTGTGATAGAACCGAAAATATTTGGTCGCTACCGTCGCCAAAGGTCCCAAGACAGCTGACAATGCGCTCCATTTGTACGAGATCTATCGCAGGCGTCGAGCTCGCTGCCAGAACGCATATGGTCCCACCACCGTCGCTCGCCCACGTGCTGCTCTCGACTGAGCACCGGGACGAGCTCCTCCACGTCGCCCGACCCAGCGCATCATTCGTGGGTCGGCCAGAGCACGGCTGTTGAGACACTCGATTGAGCTGATACATTGATGTATTGACATTGTTCTAGAATGTTTTCATGCGCACGTGAAAGCGAGAATAGACGACGAGGAGCGCGGCGATGCTGAGGACGCCGCCAAGCAAGATTGGGAGACCGTACTGCAGGCGCGAGTGCAGCAGAGCCGACGAGAGCGCAAAGTTGAGCAGTTGGCCGAGACAATTGGCCGAGTTGAACGCACCGGCATACAGGCCGAGGCCGTCCTGCTCGCCGTACCCAATCACGTGCATGATGACGGGGATTTGCAGCGCAAAGATCGTGCCTTGGGTGACAGCGCAGAGCACGACGATCGTCACGTCGAGCGCGACAACCTTGGAAAAGGCAAGGACCACGAGAAGCGTTTGCGGTACAGTTGACGCGAGGAGGAGCCGCCGGACGCCAAACCAGCGCACGAGGTACGGCAGGCAGAAAAAATAGAGCAGCGACGCAGCGTTGAAGAGTGTGTCGGTGGACCCGCCGGCAATGTTGACGCCGTCTCTGTACTGGATCTGCGCAGCTGTGCAGTTGGTGCCGCAGCTGTCGGCGCCGCGCGCATCGCCGTCGTAGACGTGCAAGCCAAAGTATTGGCCTTTCGCACCATTGTACGCAATGTAGCCGTACGAGAGCAGGAGGAGCACGAACGAGTAGACGGCGAGCGGCTGTGGCAGCATCCGCACGCCCGTGTACACACCGAGGGATGCGTGGTGGAGCCGACCGAGAAGCGATGTGGTCGACGTCGTTACCACCGGCATCTCCTGGGCAAAGAGAAGCACCGGAACGCACGTTAGAAGGAGGACGCCCATGAGCATGCCAAAGAAGCCCGAGAGCGACTCTTGCGCAGCACCAAAGAGCCAAATGTACCCAGACACGCAGAGACTCCCAAGCGTCGAGTAGACGGATCCGACGGCGGCACCCGTGACCTGGCGCCCGCCGGCAAAGTCTGCAATGATCAAGTTGGCAGTCGTCTGCAGTACATTGACACTCACGTCCATCCAGAGGTAGCAAGCCACGAGGATCGTCGCCGTGACGACTTGGTTGGAACTGCTGTCGCCGCACGCTGTCCCGATTGCATAGCTGTTGGACATGAGGCACCAGCACAAGAGCGTCGCGAGGACCGATCCAAAGATGAACGGACGGCGTCGACCATACGCGCTAGCGCACTGATCGCTGAGGACACCGGCGGCGGGTGCCACGAGCAGTCCTGTGATCGGCCCAATCACTTGGATGAGCTGCACCTTCCACGGTGCGACAAAGATCGTTTGAAGCTGTGGCCCAAACGCTGCCCACTGAGCGGACCAGGCCATGCTGACGGCCATCTTGGGCGCACAGAGTACGAGCATGAACGCCAGCGAGCACCCCGGCAGCATGAGAGGCTCGTCGCGGCGGCGCTTGCACGGCGAGAGACCCGAGTCTGAGTACAGAAAAGGCTGCTTGGGGCTCTTGGAGCACTGTGACAACGACGACTCCGAGTACAAGAAGAGAGCGTCCATATCGACGGACCGCGTCGACATCTCGATGAGCTCAATGCCGCGGACGACGGGACTTGCGGCGCGAGTTGTGCTGTCCGAGCATTCGATGTCCAAGGTCAAGCAGGCGCAGACATTCTTCCACGGCGTACCGCAGCGGCGACACGTTAGCTCTTGCGTCGCAGCATTCACGTAGGCAAACTCCATCATAGCGCCGAGCTCGAATGAAGCAAGAGTGAGAACGTGGCACGTCCGAGGACGCTTCTTCCATAATCTGAGCTTGAAACTTCGCGCTAAAAATGGCCTTTCTCGCACAACACGCAACGAGGCATATGCCACGTTGAAGGACAAACCTGGCCTGTCGTTGGAGCGACCTCAGCGTCCTGCGATGTACCAGCATCGCGCGTGGAACTCGGTGCGACAAAAGGGCAGCCCAACGAGCTAGGCCAAGGGTGAATCAACTCTAGGGCAGGAGCGATGCCGATTTTATACTGGAATAATGCCACATTTAATCGATCACGTGGCGCATCAGATCTATAAAGTGATGGCAGACGCGGGCGCGGACGAGGTGCCACGCGGCATGGGGCGGCGACCGAAGCTCTTGGCCATGCTCCTGGGCTTCTGGACGGTTGTGCTATTGGCAATCGAAGATGCTAAGTGAGACTGAGTAGGTGGCCGCTGTCTGCCGCATGTGGTACATGGTGGGCTTCTTTGACGTTGACGCGGAGCTCGTGCCGGCGAAGGAGTATGCAATGACCGAGGACTCGATGGCGTTCATCGTGTACAGCTCCATGTGGGAAGAGTCGCGCTTTGCGGAGCGCATCACGGCGATCCGCGAGACGTGGGCAACGACGATCCCGCACCTCTACTGCGTGCAGACCAAGACGCCCGAGTTCCGGTTGCCAGCCGTGACCGAGGCAAGGACCAAGACGTCACCTGGCTTTACGCTGCTCGTGCCCCCGGCGAGTCAAGCGTCGACGCCGGCCATGTACGCGATCACAAAGGTCTTTACCGACGCGCCACACCACCAGTGGTTCTACCTCGCGGCCGACTCGTCTTACGTCATTCCATCCAACCTTGTGCATTTGGTACAGGGCCTCGACGCGAACGAGCCGTACTTTCTCGGGCACCCGCTCGTGCTGCCGACGTCTGGGCCCTATTCGTGGCCCAAGCTGAACCACTTGACCTTCAACTCGATGGCTGGGCTCCTCCTCAGTCGCGGCGCCGTCAACGAGTACATGGCGGCGGTCGCCAACGGCTGCCATGCGCGCTGCGTCGCGTGCGGCGAGGATCTCAAGATCGCGTTTTGCCTCCGCGAACGCAACGTGTTGGCGCTCAACACCAAGGAGCCGGGCTCCGGTCGCGACGTCCTCCACATCTTTTCGCCTGGCAGCCTCGTCAACAACCCGCGCGTCAACGGCACGTACGACTACACGCCGGCCAACTGCGACTGGTTCCAGCTCTACTCGATTTGGCCGATTCACATGTCGCTCGACTGCTGCGGCACGTACTCGGCGCTCTTCCACTACATCAACGCGGCCGAGATCCGAGCCATCCACGCGTTGCTCTACGACGTCGGCCCACACGTACCCAAGGTCGACGACAGTGTCACGGACGTCGACCTCCTTCGGCTCATCAAAGTCCACGCCAAGCAGGTTTACGCCGACTTTCCGAGCTATACGCACCCGAGCTATCGCCGCGTCCGCCATCTCCTCTTGCGCCAGCTTCAAATTGCGCACGTCGCCACATGGGACAGTCCGGTCGTGAAGCAAGTACGCGCCATTTTGGACGACGAGCGTGCGCACGCGGGCCAGACAGGCGTCGTCACGTAGTAACGCTGCACGGTCTTGGCACCGAGCGATAGCCATGGCAACTACGTGGCAGTCGAGCAATGAACCTATTTGCGGTGTGTCTTGGTGTCGGAGGTGGCGCGGCTGTACACGGTACGACAAATTTGTCGCCCATAAGTCACACGATCTCGCCCAAGTGCTGCGACTGGCGCGCTGCGATCGCCACGCGATGCCATTGGCCGCTGCAGGGGCTTCCATCGCTGCTTGTGTCCAGGCGCCGCAGTGAAGGAGTGGCGCAGCCTTTTTCACCGTGCGTTTCGATTGGTGGATATCCATTTCTAATACAGACCTATCAGCGCGCACGAGATTTTCACGTTTCCCACATCACGTTCGATATTGCGTGTAATGCTCTGGCTCATCCTCGTGGTGTGTGTATGTATCCTAATTAGGACATTGCGGTGTCGCGTCTAGGACGAGCCAGACCCGAATTGTTACCGAGACGACGACCGCCATGGGCAGCTGTGCGTCGTCGGAAGCGCCCATGGACAACGTGGCCGTACCCGCGCCGTACCACCCGCCACCGCCCATGCACCATAGCGGCAACGGCCAGCGCCACGCGGCCGAGCGCGTGAACCGTGCCAACTCGAACCCATCGGCGTACAACTCGGCGCAAGCACGCACGCCGGGTGCGCGCACGCCGGGTGGCGGTGCCCGAACGCCGGGCCGCGGCAACTTTCCCAGCAACAACAATCGCTTCCCGGGCAACCAGATGATCATGCCACGCTCGAACAAGGAAGCCAACCAGTTCCGCGACGACGTCAACTGTGGCGAGTACACGGAGCTCGAGCCGTACAAGAAGCAGTATTGGCTCGACGCGACCGACATTGTGCACACGCGCATCGTGCCGGGCAACTACATGAAGACAGAGCTCGGCCACTACCTCGGACAGCCCGTGCTTATCAAGAGCCTCATCTTCTCCGCGTCGCCCGAGGACTTTGCGAAGAACAAGAAGGCGCTCGTGTCCGAAGTGCGGTCAATGGCGCGCCTCCAGCACCCCAACATTGTCAAGTTCATCGGGTTCTACATCACCGAGGACCACGGGCTCTGCTGCATCTCCGAGTACATGGAGGGCAAGACGCTGCGCCACCTGCTCGAGAACAAGCGCGTCCAGCTGTCGTGGGAGAAAGAAAAGATCAGCATTGCGCTCGACATCTGCGCCGCGCTCGTCTACATGCACTCGCTCTCGCCGCGCCTCATCCACCGCAACATCCGCGCCGAGAAGGTCCTCCTCACGAACCGCCGCGAGGCCAAGCTCAGCGGCTTTGGCTGCGCGCGGGACCGCACGTACGAGAACACAATGACGGCGGGCGTCGGCGAGATTCAATGGAGCGCGCCCGAGTTGCTCCAGGACGGCGAGGACTACGATGAAAAGGTCGACGTCTACTCGTTCGGCGTCGTGCTCACCGAGCTCGACACGCGCCAGTCGCCGTACGAAGAGGAGCTGCAGCACACGCCGACGGCAGACCTCACGATGAAGCTCGTGACCGGTATGCTGCGCCCGAGCATCTCGGACGAGTGCCCGACGTGCATCAAGATGATCATCCGCCAGTGCCTCCAGCACGACCCGGCGCTGCGACCAACGAGCGACAAGGTGCTCGAAGCGCTGCGTGAAGCGCGCGTCACCTTGATGGAGGGCAAATGATAATAGACTCGTCTCTTCGTACTTCAGGTCCTACGACAGATACCGTAGCCAGCAGTCCTAGGGCTGCGCCCCGTCAGCCCTTCAAGCGGCTCCTCCGACCTGACGGACGGGCGCCACGTTGGCTCGGCGAATTCTGGTCTGTGATTGGTCCACTTTTGTTGGGCCAACTCGAAGCATCATTCTTCGCTGCGTTTCCTCGACCTCGCACATCATGAGCCGAGCCATCAATGCGCTGCGCCAGCGAGGCCTCTTGGCCGGCCTCACGCACGCCGGCGCTCCGTCCGTCCTTGACGCAGCCGTGGCCGCTGGCACCAAGCCCATCGGTGTCTACTGCGGCTTTGACCCGACCGCGAGCTCTCTCCATGTCGGCAACTTGGTCACGGCCATTGCATTGCGCCACTTCCAGCTTGCGGGCCTCAAGCCCATTCTTCTCGTGCGACTGTCCTATGTAGTAGTATGTGGGCTCAGAGGTGCTCGGGCGTAGGTGGGTGGTGCCACGGGTATGATTGGCGACCCCAGCATGCGCTCGGACGAGCGTGTCATGCTCACGGCCGAGGCTGTCGATGCGAATGCGAGCCGCCTCATGAAGTCGCTCGAGAACGTCCTCGACTTTGAGTCGTCTGCGGTACGACAGGACGTCTTACGATGCGAGCTGCTTCATCATGTGCATGCTGTAGACGGGCGCGGTTGTCGCCAACAACATGGAGTGGCACGGCAAGATGTCGGCCGTCGACTGGATGCGCGACTGCGGCCGCTTTGCGCGCGTGAACGCGATGCTGGCGCGGGACAGCGTCAAGCGCCGCCTCGAGAGCGACCACGGCCTGAGCTTCCTCGAGTTTTCCTACCAGCTCTTCCAGGCCTACGACTTTTTGCATCTGCACCGCCACTACAACTGCTTTGTGCAAGTGGGCGGCAGCGACCAATGGGGCAACATCGTCTCGGGCACCGACATGGTGCGCAAGGCCGACGGCAAGGTCCGCCATAATTCTTCCGTTCAAGATGGTCAACGAATGGTAGGAAGTGTACGGCGTGACGCTGCCGCTGCTCACGACCGCATCTGGTGAGAAGTATGGCAAGTCGGCCGGCAATGCTATCTGGCTCGATCCCACCAAGACATCGACGGTACGGAACTCGCTCGCACCCAGAGACTCACGCACGCACGTAGTTTGACTTTTACCAGTATTTTATCCGGTCCGAAGACGCCGATGTCCCAATGCTGCTCAAGACATTTACGTTCCTGAGCCTCGACGAGATCCAAGACGTCCTGGCGACGCATGCTGCGGAACCGGAGAAGCGCTTCGGGCAGCAGACGGTCGCCGAGCACGTGACGACGCTCATCCACGGCAAGGACGCGCTCGAGCAAGCCCAACGCGCCGCCAAAGTGCTCTTTGGCGGCTCCTGCGACGGTATCTCGGCCGCTACGATGCTCTCGATCGACGCGCCCAAGACGGCCCTGGCGCCGGCGCAGGTGATTGGCCAAAAGGTCGTCGACGTCGTCGGCCTTCTCGGTGCTGTCAAGACCAAGGGTACGACTCTCGTCGACGAGTGTTTTATGTGCTGAGACCGATCGTAGCCGAGATCCGGCGGCTCATCAAGGCTGGTGGCTTGTATATCAACAACGTCCGCGTCGAGTCGGACGCCGCGGTCTTCGAGTCGCACCACGCGATCGAAGGCCAGGCCACGCTCGTCCGCACGGGCAAGCGCAACTATCACATCATCCAGATCACGACCCCGTAAGCCGAGTGCCATTTCAGTGCCGAGCTTTATAAACCAAGAGATCGTTGAGGGTGCTAGTACTTCGTCTTCTATTGACTAGACGAGTCCTTTTGTGCGAAGCAAGGCGACGGCGTTGCCCATGCCCGTGCGCTGCGTAAACTCGAGCGCTACACATCAACAAACATGCGACGACGGTCTCAGGATACCAGGCTCGTACGGTTCTGCTCGCAGAGGGTAAAGAAGAACTCGCTCACGCAGCGCTTGAGGTCCGTGTCGAGGCTCGTCATGAAGCTCAAAAGACCTTCTTGGAGCGAGAACTTGGCGCTTGGCTGCGGCGACATGGGAAGCCCTTCCGGCGACCTACACCAGCTCTATATACTGATACAAACAGGTCGACCATGCATGCGTACGGCAGAGGCAGATCTACGAAATCACCTTAGTATATGAAGGAATACCAAGTGCCAACCTGTCGCGCCAAAGATGGCCGCTTTGCAAGCGTCACGAAAGCGAGCGTGCGTGGTCGAGAGCAAGTTGAGCCCAATGAGCAGCGGCGTCACGTCCCCCGCTTTCCTACGCTGCATAAGGAACCTGGGCGAGACTGGCGACGTATGTACTTGGTCTTCTCAAGGCGGACCTTGAGGAGCTAGCGCCCTTCACCTCAGCACTTTTGCCCACTGAAGCATGGCATACCATGTAGTCCAAGAACGTTAGTAGGTCCGAAGCGGCGTTGTGCGTCACTAGGTACTCAATGTACGTTGGGTGCTGCAGCACCATGAGACAGTTGACAGTCTGCAGCTTGAGCTCGAGGATCGGTGCCGTGTTGGGTAGCTGCAGGAGGTCACACAGCAGCGGCATCGCTCTACGCATTTTATGTCAACGTCACGAATCACATGACGCCGTACTCGTCGACGGCGGGCCATGGCGCATCGACACTTGCATCCTTGTGCTACAATGGATGATGATGCGTCGTCGGCACGTCTAGAGCAGCAATATACATGCGACGTGATGACAAAGATGGCCTTGACAAGCTCGACGACAAGTGCAATCTGGGGCGACGAAAAGGCAAAGTCCCGGCTGCGAATGCAGTACGCCGCCGTCTAATGGGTCCCATCAACGATCCGGGATACGGAGGGCGAGAGGTAAACGCACGGGCAGGATCGTCGCGTACACGTGAAGTGCCGTAATGGCCGTGGTGATGGCACGCGGCTGCTCGAACGTGGCAAGAATGCACTTCCAGAGCAGCGTGTGGAACTCCATGGTCTGCGACGACTAGGCCAAGCGCACATGAGCACCAAGCTACAATAGCACGACAAACCGCCGATAGCGCCAGTAGAGCGTCGTACTGAGCGGTGGCCAAAAGTTGCTCAACGAAGGCGGGGCGGATGTACACGGCGTTGACCATGCACCGAATGGCCTCGAGCTGGACCGCATTGCTCGCTTTCGTTGCGTACGGTCTGGCCGCGTGCCGCAAGAAGACGTCAAACGCCTAGAACGCGTTGTATCCCATGCGACACCAAGGCTAAAGTGTACCTCGGTCGAGAGCAAGACGGCAATGTCCCGACGCTCCCGCATGAGGATTTTACAGACCGTCAAGCTCGCGTGGATGCCTACGCGCGCTGGTCAAGGCGACATGAAGTCGTCGCGTACCTGCGCCCGGCAATGTTGGGTCCCGCAACGCCTGCCACAGCATCGCACACACGTCCGCTTTGAGCGCGCGGTCACTGTCAAAGGTCGCCGCGTCTACAGCGCCATCATGTCCAGCTGCCGATCGCATCTGCGACTACCTTTGGCCGACGAGGCAAAGGCGACGACGGCGGCGGTCCATGCGTCCGACCCGGTCGCTGCTGCCAAGATCGCGTCCATTGAGATTTGGATCGTCCGGTTGTGAGGCGCCATCATTGTTTGGGTTTAAATAGTTTTTTGCATGTTAAGTTTCGCGTCTAGGACGCAATCTGAATGCCATGCGCGCAGGCGACATGTTGTCTTTGCAGCCGTTCAAGTGCACGCACTTGAGCTTCTTGGCGTGCTTTAGGAGCGCGACCAAGGTTTCGTCAGTGAGCTGGCTGCACCACACGACCAGGAGCTCCTCGAGATGCAGACAGCCAAGCACGAGCTCGGCCATACTGTGGTCCGTGACGTGGACGCACCACGACAGGTTCAACCAGCGGAGGTTCGTGCAGTGCTGCGCCAGTGCAAGGACGGTCTGGTCGGTCACAAAGCCACAGTTGTTGAGGTCGAGGTGGCGCAGGCGGCGGCACTGCGACGCAATCCGCACCATGCCCAAGTCGGTGATCTGTGTGCACCAGCGCAGACGCAGGACTTCCAAGCTACACAGCATTACGATGAGATCGTATACCAATCTGGACTCCGGCGACGTACTCGGGGCACGACTGCGCTAGCGACAAGAGAGCAACGTCCGAGATCTTGCACTGGCCCAGGTCGAGTTCCTTGAGAAGGTGTGTGTTGCCAGCGTGCGAAGACGCAAAGGCTTCGTCTGAAATGTCCTAGACAATAAAAAGGTGACGCTGCATGTGTCATCGACGAGGCAATACCATGAAAGAGAGGTTGAGGGTCTTTAGCGCCATTGAGCCGTGCAGCAGAGTGCGAATGGACTCGCTGTTGATGCGCTAGATCCGCAGGATGAGGCCTAAAAGTAACGTCTGTCATGACAGACCTTGCAGCGGGAAAAGTTGAGCTGCGTGAGCGACCGGTAGGCCTTGACGAGGTTCAGAATCAGCGCTTGCGTTACTTGCGAGCAGCCCGCAAAGCTCAGCGCCTGCGTTGTATGAGACGTGCACCGTCATCGGGCCAATGTACCTTGAGTGAAAGGCAGGCGCGGAGCGGGTAAAAGAGAGACTGCTCGGGCTGGAAGGCTGCGTCGGTGATGTGGCGGCAGTTGTCCAGGCGCAGCTGCTGCAGGTGGGCGCAGCCCTGCATAATGTCTTGCACGACCGTATTGCTCACTTGGAGGCAGTTGGAGAGATCGAGATACGTCTACAGCGCCATGAGCACCGCCATCTTGAAGCGCCATCAATGGTAGTACCAGGTACGGGCATCGGAATGGGATTTGGCGCAGCACGGATTTACGAATGGTGTTGCAGCCCACGAGGCGAATCACGCGGCGCGACACGGACAAGAACGCCGAGAGGCGGTCGTCGGTCACCTTGCCCTTGTCGGCCAAGGCCGCGAGAAGCGATTGGGCAAGCTCTTCCGGCAGGCGCCTACACCATGCTTCCATGAGCATTGCGCAATGTGCCACGAGGCGTAGTACGGGAAGATCATGTCGACGCCACGCATCGCCGGGCCCTCGGCGTTGACAAGCGCGAGGACGCAGAGCTCGACGAGGCTCAGCGGCAGCGCGGGCGGCGCCGCGTCCTTCCACGTCGCCGGCTTGAGCGAGGGCGGGTAGCTGTACTGGAGGCTCGTCAAGATGCGCGTCTGCGTCGCCATCGTCCGTCGCTGGAATCGCACTGTGCGAGTGGTCCCACCCTTTGTCATCCACGCGAACCTGGTACGGCCAGTGTACGTCGTACACATCCATTTCATTCCGTACATTACATACTGACATCCATACAAAGCGTACATAAGCACGCACCGTACATCCGCTTCCGTTGGTCAAACCAGCCAATCGGCGCCAGGCACAGGGCAGAGCCCAAATCTTTCGCTGCTTTTTCGAACCGGCACCTTCACTCAGCCTCATGAGCATCGTCCGGCGGGTTCTTGTGGCTGCGACGGCGCAATGGCTGGCGGGACATCGCTCCCCAAGAGCCGCCCATTGTCCTATGGCGCGAGGTATCTTTCGAGCTCGCGGTATCCTGTCGCTACACCACACCACTGTGGGACAGCCGCGACCCGGATTGACAAGCTGCCTTTGCTGGTGCACTCGAGAAGTCGCATGCAAAAGGGAGCGCTATCATGTTTTACGTACGAGGCCAAGGGTTGGCACGACGGCGCCAAGGTGCAAGGCGCACGGACCAAGCTGGGATCGTGGCATCGTCGGGACGAGGGTCGGAGCTTACTCCAAGACGTGTTCGGCCATGTGCTTGGCGACGAGGCGGCTCATGCTAATCGCGTTGCGCCGAGCGATGGCATTGGCCGACCGGCCGCGATGGCCTTTCTTCGGCTTGGCACCGCGTTGGTGGACGCTACCAGTTGCAGTAGGAAGGTCTACCTCGTTCTCGTCCTCGCTGTCGTCCTCAAGGCTTCGACGGAGCGACGAAGTGAAGGCAGGTGTTGTACGAAGAGGGGAACGTTCCAATGGCGGAGACGGTGTAGCTGGCTTCGACTCCTCAAACCCCGGCGGTGTGGTCGCAGTGGGCTTGGCGCTCACAGAAAGGACAGGCATGCCTTGTTGGGACTGCAGCGCACTCAACGCCGTCGACATGGCATCGATTTTGGCCTCGAGAGCGCGAACGTGGCCTCCAAACTCGGCACGGAAGGCGTCGTTGGTGGCCGCTGCTTTGTCAAAGCCCATGCAGCGCGCTTCAACGCGGGCCACCGCAGTATTGCCGTGGGAGAGCGCTGCCGCCAGTCGCGCGTCCAGGATCGTCTGAGCCGTTTCGATCGACGCTACCTGTCGCTTGAGCGCCGTGAGGGGAATTGCGTACATGTTGGTCGCCGACTTCAAGGCGACCTCGATACGGACGTCGACGGCGGCCATGCGCGCAGCGAGGTCCGTGAGCGTTTTCACATGAGTCGCATCCGCAGCGTTGCGCTGTGCTGCCATCCCGTCGACCGCGTCGTGAAGTGCATGGATCTTGGCAGAGTTCGAGGCCATCTGGGTGCGTAGGTCGCTCGCGTCTGGCTCGTCGCGACCCCGTCGAGCTGGGGCTGCACCGGTAGCCGTCGGTGACGCGAGGCTGCTCAGGGCGACGAGTGTTGCAGCGATGATGGCGCAGGCCAGCGCGATCTTGAGGAGCGACAGCAGCAAGGAGCCCGCGGTGGCCAGGAGTGCGTCTTCCATCATCGTGTGCAAGCCGGGAGCGATGAGACTGTGAGCTTGGACTCGGTTTCGTACCTGAGAAACCTCTCAGAAAAGATAGATACGCATATCGTGTTATAGAGGTTTTTGAGTTTTGGCGGCAACCAAAAACGACTTCGCAAAGCAGCAGCCCGCGAGTCTGTAGACAAGCGACTGAGAAACGCATGCATGTCCTGTCGCCGACAACAACACCTCGGTGACCACGGTATAGATCCACAGACTACTAGTAGTAGTAGAGCATCTTGGGGCGGGAACATCCAGCTTCGCAGGCGAGTGATTGCTTAGCACAAATGACCCACATCGCAAGCACAATGACTGCAACTGGAAGCCATCACTCCACCGTGTTTCAACGACCTCCAACAGAGAAAAAGGCGAGAAGCAAGTCGGGGGCGTTCTTCTATACTAGTACGCCAGCAAGCGGCGTCTATATTGCAGGTTCTTTCACTGTAGTATGTGTGTACGAGGTAGCTAGCTCACACCGAGTGGGCGCGACGAAGGGCTATTCTATGCACGGTTTGCGCCGCGTCCGTCTTGTTGCCCGACCAGTAGTAGAAGAGGCCGAGCACGACAAGACCGAGCCAGAACCACCACTGCGCCTTGAAGACAACGAGCGCTGTCACGACGGCTATGACTGACGTGAGCTTGACCTTGACCTTGGCCAAGTCGTCGAGCGTCCGGTAATAGTCGACAGCGACCGTGGGCACGTGGCTCAAGAGCACGTAGAAACCAGCAAAGACAGCGCCAAAGACGCCGAGGAAGAGGGCGCCCCACGTGTTGCGCAAAAGGACACGAGCGTCTTCGCTGTTGGCGATGAGCTTGTCACAAGACGCGCGGACGTCGGTGAGGAAGGAGAGCGTCGCGTGCACGTTCAGCCACAAGACGGCTTCGCCCACGTCGTACGCGTCACTAAGAGCAGCGACGAGTGCGCGCAAGTGGGACGCACATGCGTGCTTCGATGCTTCCAGCGACACGCTGGCCGCCGCGATCCATGCATTGACCGTTTCCTGCCAGTCCCATGACGCGAGCTCGTCGTGCGTCGGTGAAGCTGTGATTGGCGTGGCCTTGTTGGGAAGACGGTGGGGGCGGGGGCCTTTGTCAAGGGCCTCGTTGGACACTTCGATCGCGCGAGGCTTCTGGAGCGGCGTATCATCAGCAGACGCGTCGCCCTGCTTCGATGGGGCACCCGCAAGCGGTTGATCGTCTGCTTGCAGCCGCCGGTGCGCAGTCAAGGGTCCCGCATTGTCTTTTGCCGACGCAAGTACGGGATCGCAAGCCACCTTCTGAGGCTCGTCACGTGTTGCGTCGCCGTCGATTGCATCTGCGAGAAGTGGCACTCTTCTGTCGTCAAGATCAGTCGTATCACGCTCTTTGGATGCAACGTCTCCATTGGCCATGGCGCCCGAGCGCCCAAAGCTGTCGAATGCAATTGTGTCAACAGATGGGAGCGTGTCGTGGACTTTTGCCATCATCTTCTCCATATCTTGCGCTCGAGCGACACGCTCTGCGAGGGTGAGACCAGTCTCTTTCGAGATCTTGGTACTTCGAATGCCATCAAAGGGTTCGATCGCTGCGTCGGGGGCGACGGGCACTTCGACGACCTCGGCCTCGTGTCGTGTCGACACATGCACGGCGCCAGATGGAGCGTCCGCAGCAGCATTGCGGCCGCTGGGGTCGTTGGCCACTTGCGTCTTCTTGTTCGGCAGCGAGATCGAGATGCGCTTGACCGTTGTCGTTGCGCCGGTGGGCGTGACGTGCTCGACGTTCTTGGGACGGGCAGGTTCGCCAGCGCCGCCGTCGAGGGCCGCGCTCGGCGCATCGGCTGCGGCATGTACAGCTTGAGGCGTTGTCGCTGCCATGGCCATGACCATACAGGCGCATGCTACCCTTCGTAGGGTCCGCGCCGATCGCCGCGGTGGTGTCGAGCGCATGGCTCTGTTGGCGTTTGAATTTGCCGTTGTGTGCTTCCGATTCGTACATGTCCTAATTAGGCATGTCGTCACATTTAATTAATGCAAATGCTCTTGAAGATTTGAGTTTTGAATAAAATCACTCAACCAGGCTTTTCGGACATTGAGTTTGCAAGTCACGCCAAGCCACGTAGCAGGATGCTCCAGCGGCTGCGGCAGTACGACGTGTACACCAAGGGCGTCGAAGGCATCCAGGAGCGCACGACAAGCGGGGCCATCATCACCCTCGTGAGCCTCGTCGTCGTTCTCCTGCTCTTCCTCTCGGAGCTGGGCATCTACACGACGACCGAGGTCGTCAACCGCATGTATGTCGACATCGACCCGGTGCGCCTTCGCCTCGCCGCCGCCACGCACTCATGGCCTATGTAGCAAGACACGATCATGCACGTCGAGGTCGACATTACCTTTTTGCATGAACCGTGCACGGGTACGTGCGCATTCGACCACGCACACCTCACGTCGCGCCTGCTTAGACGTGGCCATGGACGCGAGCGACACCAAGGGCAACCGCGAGGTCATCGTCAAGAGCGACGTGATCGCCTACCCTCTTGAGAACAGCGAGGAAGGCTGCCGCTTCACGGGCTACGTCGACGTGCAAAAGACCGCGGGCGACATCAACTTTGCGCACGAAGGGTCGCTCAACATGTTTACGTTTCTCGAGTTCCTCGACTTCAACTCGTCGCACATTGTGCACTCGCTGCGCTTTGGGCCGTCGATCCCCGAGATGATCAACCCGCTCGAGAACGTGCACAAAGTTGTCGTCGAAAACTGTACGTCTCGAGTCGCTTCATTCCTCGTCTGACACGATGTCTAGTCAAGATCTACAAGTATGGCATTTCAATTGTACCGACGCAGTACACGCCGCTGTACGGGCCATCGGTCCAGACGTACCAGTACTCGGTCACCGAGCACGCATCAGATGTACGTAGTGTACTTGCGCCTTGTGCTCATGATGCGGTAGCCGAATGAGAATGGCCGGTTCTCGTTTCCTGGCGTCGTCTTTTCGTATGAATTCTCGCCCATCAAGGTCGAGTACATTGAGACCAAGCCGTCGCTCCTCCAGTTCCTCACGAGCACGTGCGCGATCGTCGGTACGCTGCGACGACCAACCCTCCATGCGTCATACCCCTCTCTACAGGCGGTGTCTTTGCAGTCGCCAGAATACTCGATGGCCTCGTCCACAGCGTCGCGTCGCGCAAGATCGATTGAGCAGCTCAAGAAGAAAGGCAGAAGTCGCTGGCTGTTAAATGAGTGGTTGCCCTTCATCGCTGTTATAATGCGTCTCGTCGTCCGCCGCACGCGGCAACGGTGTCGTTGCCGCTTGGGTCAAGTCGCGGTTGGACTTCAGAAACACGAGGTTGGCCACGTCTCGCGATGGACTCGAAGCGAAGGACACTGTCGGTTGAGCCGACGTGGGGAGGCACAGAATGGAGCGGGCGACGCGCGCCAAGATTGGGAAGCGTCGGCGCTGAAGCTTCCACCACTGCAGCACGTTGGGCTCGGGTGTTGTCTCGTCCAGCAGCGGACTCTCAAAGTACTTGCGCAGCTCGTCCTCGACGCTGCACGCGTCATTGTCGTCGTCGTCGCTCGAGTCGCCATACATTGAAAGCAAGGACGGCGGCGTCGACTGCACGGGCTTGGCGCTGGCGCTGACGACCGACGGGCACGCCGCTGCCACCAGAAGGCGCGTCCGGAGGTCGTCCTTGGCCAGCGCGATCGTGTCGGCGTCGATGCCGAATTTCGGCAGCCGCTTCCGCTGGCCCGGGTCCAAGAGCGCGGCAGCGACGTGGAGCGATGATATGGACCATGCTTGAAGACGGTCGAGGACCTTGAGCCGAAGCCCTTCGTCGGTGGCGAGCGCTGGCGCGGCGCAGTACGTCGTGAGCGCATGCTTCCAGTAGCACACGGTGTGAAGCATCGGCGTGGCATGCGCTTCCAAGGCCTCCACAGCTTTGGCAAACACTGAGGCGATCGCGTGGACGGCCGAGACGATGGACAGCGCTGCGTTCGAAAACGACGCGCTCGGGTACCAGAGGCTACGCGAGGCCCACTGCTGCTGCGTGAAGCTCGCGGCCGCTTGCATCGTCTGCCACGAGACGCGGGAGCCGAGTGGAAGCGTCCACTGCCGCGCATCGTACCCGGGCGCCGGCATGTGCGTCACCAGGTCCACGAGTGCCCGTAGCAGGGGAAAGGTCTCAGTTGTATCGTCGCGCCTAGCTCCAGTTGGCTCCGACATCCAGGAAGGCAGTCGTACCAAGACTCGGGGCGGAGGAGGTCCGTTAGCACTGCGTAGAGCACATTGATCGGGCACGCGAGTTGCCCGGCGCTGGCCTGAAGCGGCGGGATGCGACTGCAGCTCGGTGCGCAGACCATCGTATCGGGGTGGGCCGAGAGGCTGAGGTTGTACGAAGCGAGTGTCTCGTGCACCGCCAGCGCACTATCCTGGAGCGCAACGACGTCCAGAACCCGGTGGTGGAGGCCAAAGTCGGCGTCAATATAGTGTACTGCGACGAGCATCAATGTGGTGTCGTCGACCGTGACGCGCAACGGACGCACCGAGAGGCCAAAGGTGACGCCGTCTTGAACGACCATGGCGAGCCGCGCCGAGAGGACAGCGCGCGCCATCTCCACGAGCGACTGCATCTTGGCGCGTATGAGCGTGACGTCTGGGATGACCGCCCGGATCGACGTCGTCGTCGCGCGCCCGAGCTCGCTCGTCGCTTGTAGCAGATGCTGAAAGCTCTCGCGGCCAAGAAGGTCAAGGTCGAGGCCACTCTCGCAGCAGCTGTAGAGAAACGCATGGGCAAACGTCTCTTGCAGCAACTCCAAGGGCCGTCCGCACGAATGCTCGAGAAGCAAGGCCGTGGAGCCGCCTGGTGCGTAGCTGAAGAGCGACTTGCATGCGTAGCAGCCAACGTAATAGCGCCCGAGATGCTCGGTGTCAACCACGAGCTCGCCGTGCCGATAGACAAAGCCGAATCGCTCCCAGCACGGCGCCTTGCGCTCGTTTGGGTGGGGCAAGAGCGCGTACGCAGAGCTCTCTTGGACGAGGCTGGCGCGAATGGCTTGAATGTCGTCGTCCAGGGCATCGATTCGGGCGCGCTTGGCGGATATGAGCGAAGCCACTTCGGGTCGGCGCTGCGAAGCGCGGACGCGGCCCAAGGCGTCGTCATCACACGTGTGCGTCGTCATCGTGGACGTGCCGTTGCGCACCTTGTACTGGTACACGACGTAGCAATCACGGCAAGCGACAAAGCCCGAGTCGAACGCACGCAGCGGCATCGCGTTCAGAAACACGTGGCCAAACTTCTTCCAGCAGCCCGACTTGATACCGTTCGGGTTGTCCTGCAGCGTGTACCCGCGCGCTTCGTCGCCAGCGACGAGCGCATGGTGAATCTCCTTCTTGAGCGCGTCGAGTTCTGGGTTCTTCATCTTGCGCTGGGGCGGCTCAATAGGTCGGGGCTTGCGCTCGTGCGGGCAGCGGTGCGCCATGATCGTCGTCGTGCCGTTTTTGCTCTTGAACGAGTAGACCGTGTGGCAGACGTAGCAAGCGACAAAGGCCGTGTCGTGAAGCTTCACGAGGTCGTCGGGCGCCGATCGATGGTACACGTGGCCAAAGCGCTGCCAGCACTCGGACTTCTTTAGCGCCAAGTTGGCCTTGACCACATATGGGCTTGGCGTCGGGCCCACGAGGCTCGCATGGAGACGCGCCTTGAGATTGTTGATCTCGTCCGACGCCCGCGGGCGGTCTGGCAAGCCCTCCTCCATCCGCACCCGTCGGTAAAAAAAAGTTCAAATACGGCATGTGCCAGATTTAGTATAAGAACTGAAAGGAGGACACTGTTCGGTTCAAGCGCGGTGCAGATGTAGGCGCATGTTGGGGCGGTAGTGCGACGTCGCCCTGCCGCGCAGAGTGGTCGTGTTTGCTGCTGTGCATGCTAGTACGAGTTGTTCTCAGCGGCGCTACTTGGTGGACATGCCAATATTTTCGCAAGGGCAATATGGGTATCGAGGAATGATGATCGGACAATCGCTCCGTCCATACAAACGCCAAGCGAACGTCATTTTCGAAAGCCAGCCCGACAGCTCCTCAGCCCGACGAGCATGTTTGGCTTTAACGTCGATAAGCTCAAGCCGAACCTCAAGATGGCGGTCGGCCGCATCGGCATCATCAAGAACAAGAAGGCGAACGCAGCCAAGGTGCTGCGCAAGGAGGTCGCCAAGCTCCTCGCCGAGGGAAAGGAAGAGAAGGCCCGCATCCGGGTACGTCGTCGCCACGCCATAGGCTCGCGTCATGCATCCCATTCGTCGTCTTTAGGTCGAAGGGCTCATCCGCGAAGACTTTGTTGTCGAAGCCTACGAGATTCTCGAGCTGCTGTGCGAGCTCGTCGCCGAGCGTGCGGCTCTCATCAAGGCCGAGCGCGCTTGCCCCTACGACATGCGCGAAGCTGTCAATACGTTGATCTGGGCCGCGAACCGCACCGAGATCCCCGAGCTCAACGAGGTATATACACGATGGCGTATGCAGTCGTCGCCTCAACGCACTACAGGTCAAGAGCCAGCTGACCAAGAAGTATGGCCAAGACTTTGCCGCCGCCGCCTTGCGCAACGTCGATGGCTGCGTGAACGAGCGCGTGATCCACAAGCTCAGCGTGCAGGTGCTTTTTCGCTCGTAGTATGATGCGCCAATGCTCTCCATAGCCGCCCAACTCGTTCCTCGTCATCAACTACCTGAAGGAGATCGCCAAGCAGCATAATGTCAACTGGGTGCCGATCGAGACGCCCGCCATGGACCCGCTGGCGCCAATGATGGCGCCCACAGGCGTCACCGTCGGCCAAGCGCCCGTCTCCGGCCCCAACTACGCGGCGGTGTACGCCACGGTACCTGTTCGCCTGCATGTAGAACTCTACCACGCAGCATGCCTTGTAGGCGCCACCCCCCGGGAAGTTGCCGTCGGCCTTTCCCAACGTGCCATCCGCCGCACCAATTACGTTGCCAGTCGCGGCTCCCGCGGGGGCGACGGTGCCTCCGCCCTCGGTGACACTCAATTCGGTGCAGCAGGCGCCAGCGGCCGGCGGCGATACCAATGGTATGAGTCCATCAACGTGGCACGTAGGTTGACGAGGCGCCTCGATGTAGATGTGCCTGACTTCGATATTCTCGCAGAGCGCTTTGCCAAGCTCCGGAAGCGCACATAATGTATAAAAATGAACTTGTGGTCCAAGGTCTTTAGACGAGGATGAGCACAGTTGGTGGTACCAAAGGCCGAAGGGAGGTACCTGCTGCATGCGTGATGCTCCCAATCAACTCTTCGTTGCTTGAATATTTGTGTATTTACTGTCGCTGTGCAACACTTGAAGCACCATAGATCGCTTGCGTTGACCTAGCCCTTGCAGGTTCCTCGTGTTTTTTCTTGTGGTGAATAGCGATGGCTTGCGTGCAGCTGCTGTTAAATCTGGACCTGGGGTGCTCTACTAGTAGGAAGCGATGACATGACAGTGTTTCACTCTGGAGTCGGTGGTGTTGTTGAATTGTCAATTTTTAATTTTACTTAATGGTACAAACGCGGGTATTTACTTGGTGTTGCGCGACGGCTGCTTGAGCGTGCGGACGTGGGTGGGCTTGGGGTTCTTGTTGATCGTGACGCGCGACTTGGGTTCGTGCACGTGCTTGGTCGGCGCGACTTCCTCGATGCTCTTCTTGGACTTGCGCTCTTCGTACTGCTCCTTTGTCGTCTTGTTGTGCGATCGCTTGTGCTCGAGACGCTTGATGGCGTCACGGACTTGCTCGGCGAGCTCGACCTCGTGGATCATCTCGTTGACCTTCTCCATCTCAAACACCTTGGTCTTGTCCGTAGGCGAGAGCAAGATGCAGTTGGAGCTTTCAACTTCGTGCATGATGACAAAGCCTTCGTCGCCGGGCTGCGCGCAGAGCGGGACGTTGTAGTGGAAGCGGTGGTCGTCTTCGTTCCAGCGCATGCGGGGCAGCGTGTCCATGGCTTCGCTGGCCTGGTGAAGACAGATCTTCGTGTCGACGGTCATCGTCATCGTAGTGGCCGCCATGTTGATGGTCGTTGGTGGGTTGTCTCGGAAATAGGATAATGAGGATACGAAGGAAGGCGTTGTTGGTCGGCTGCCCTGTCTGTGCAGCGCCCAACTTCAACCTGGGCAACGCAAAGAAAAGCGGCCAATCAACGACCGTTGCGTAAAACAGGAGCATCTCATTGGCCAACGGCCAAAGTGCACATAAAAAGCAACCAATCAAAAAACGCCAAAGATATTAGAAATACGGGACACTGGCGCTGGGCGCAAGGCGTGAAGTAGCGCCTTGGACGCTCAAGCTCGGGAGCGCAGCGAGCGGCGCGCGTAGCCGCTTCTGCGACGGCGGACGAGACGCGAGGACGGAGCCGACGATGAGCTGCGGCTTGGCCGTCACAGCATGCCTACACACGACCATGGTGGTGCGACATCCGGGATGTGGACTTGGTACCAGACGCGGTGGCCAGCCTTGCGACGCAGCGGCTGCGCCTCGTCGGCTCCCGCCACTTCCAATGTCTCACTTGTGCGAAATGGAGAGAGACAAATGCCCAACGCGCTTGATTTCTTGGCGGGTGAGGATACGTTGCTCGTTGGCGCGCTCGGCATTTCCTGCAGCGACGTGAGAAAGACCGAGTCTCCTGCGTCGCTGGCCACAGTGCGACCCAGAAGCGCGGCCATGTCTTTTTGCAGCGCAAGCATTGCATCGAGCGGCTTGGACGACGTACTACAGGCCGCAGCGTCTTCCAAGGTCGTCTCTTCTTGCTCGGGACTGTTGTTGTTGCTGCTCAGGGTCGATGGAGCGCGTGCAGGTAGTCCGGGCAGCTGGCGCATGGGACCCAACATACGTGTCTGCTGCACAATGTGCTGGTTGCCGAGTTGAGCAGCGTCGATAAAGGACGGGACTTCAATCGACGACCACGCGCTGCTGCCGTCGACTTTGGCCATGCAGTAGTTTTGCACATCAATGACGTGGGCGGGCGCCAGCACGTAGTTGGCATCCCACGTCGTATTGAGCGCAAAACCGTCGACGGTCGACACAAGCCCGACGGCGTCGCGGTCGCCGATGCGCTCGAGTACCGCGGCAGCGTCAGCGTCCGACACGTCAAAGTTGGGCACACCAGCGCCGCGCGGAAGCCCGCTTTTGTGGTGGGATCTTGACACCCGATGCAGAGGTCCGCACACTGACTTGTCGAGCTTTGTCTGGGACGTGGTCGTGAGCTCGAGAATTTTCCAGACCTTGTGCGATGCCTTCAGGAGCTGCGCGACCGGCAACGTCGTGTTGCCGTTAAACGGGGCCTCGTCTTGGCCTTTGAACGACGCCAGGACAACGTACTTGGTGTCGTTCGAGACACTTAGAATCGGCACGTACTGCCGGCGCCGGACTTCGACCCACTCGCCAATCTTGACGGGCACGCGGACAGGACTGCCGATTCCATCGGGTGCGGTGGCGGGCGATAGCGCTGGCGCGCTCGCACTGTGCTGCATTTCCCACGGGCGGTCGTACTTGCGCGGCACGTCCTTCTTGTTCCAGGGAAGCTCGTCGGCGTTGCCTGTGACGTGAGCGCTTGGATCAGTCGATGACGCACCCATCCACATGGCGTGCCCGAGCGACTGCGACGACGGATACAAATCCTCGAGGGACATGTGCGCGGCCTCGAGAAGCGGTTTGAGCGCCTCGTACTCGGGTGACGCCGCGGACGTGGCGGCAGACAGCGCCGGAAACGACGGCGACCGTGACAGCAAAATCACGACGTAGCAGCACCGGCGCTGGAATGCTGGATCTGATATCGGTTTGCTCTTTGGCGGCAAGAACGTCGTGTACACCATCGGCACGGTCGCCCAGAGACGCCGCTCGTCGTCGGGCAGTCGCGGTATCTGGGCGGCCTGTAGCTTGTGGAGGTGAAAGGCGAGTGCGACGCGCACGTATGGCGGGACGCGAAGCAGTGCACGGAGCACATTGCTCTCGACCTGACCGAGGAGGTTGATCGTCAGCGCATCCGAAACCATTTGCAGTGGCACGGTGGAAAACTCGTGCGGCAAAAGGAGGAGCAGCAGAAGGTGCAGCGTCGCACGAGGTGGCAGCTGGAGCAGCGCTGGCAATGGTACTCGTGGCCACTCGGTGTGCTTGGTGTGCGTAGGTGCCACGCTGAGCCCGTCGTTGTGCAGCACAGCGATCGCATCGTAGTGGTGTAACAAGCTGACGAGGCGAAATGGCTCGCGCAGCGACAGACTCGACGGCTCGTTGGCAATCGCCGCCATGAAGCGCGTGGCGCGGCTGTCGGCGCGCGCGCGCACAGCGGGCGGCGTCCAGAGCGCCGACGTTGTGCCGTAGCCATCGACATCGCCATTCATGAGGACGTGCACGTACCTGTCGTAGCGCTCCATCGAGCGAAGGCGCTCGGCCGCCGTGATGTAATGGCCGTCGAGAGACATAACGTTGGGCAAGAGGGCGGCGACGATCATGCGGTACGTCGCCTCGTCGTCGTCGCCAATGAGACTGGCGTTCCCGTGCAAGTGCAGCTCGACAATGTGAACGTCATGGAGCGGCACGAGGTCCTTGAAACTCAAGCTGCCGTCGCTCAAATTCAGATACCCCAGCGCGAGACAGCTCGAGAGCGGGCTCAGGTCGTGGAGCCGCTTGTTGGCGCTCAAATCGACGAGCCAGAGCTGCGGGAGGCCTTCGAGGTTGCTTATGTCCACAAGCTTGTTGTGGTTTGCGTAGAGCGAGTGGAGGCAGCCGCAGTGCTGGAGGTTGGCGAGACCTTGGACGCTGCAGTGCTCGATGTGCAGCACCTGCAGCTGGTCAAGAGGCGCCTTGCTGCGCCCGCGCAGAAGCGCCTCGTCCGTCACGCGCATGCGCAACACCCGGCTAAATATAGGCCGGCGGCACGTGGTGCCACGAGTGCGACCGCATGGCTTTGGACGTTTCCCCACAGAGTAGCTCGAACGACGTGTCCTAGCTCTCGATACGACCCTGTGCTTCTGTCGTAAAGACGCCGTAGCATGCTGAAGCAATCTTTTCGATCGAGGACCGCTGGCCCAAGCAGAGCTTGGGCCAGCGCAATTTGTGATTCCTGTAACACACACGCAACGAGTACGAGAGCAGTGGGGTGATTGCCACCGAGATTTTACTGGTTTAGGAACCGGCGTTGTTGGAAAATACATATAACTTGGTACTCGCGCCATACTCTGCAAGGCAATTCGTCCTGCACAGGTTATGACGACCACCGCGATCGAGTGGTGTAGTTGAGGGCCCTTGTGCAATCATGTGGCTCGCTGTGCCTGCTTGGCGAGGTTTGCTTGATGCAGCTCGGACTCGGCCTCGTGCCGCACCAGGACGTCGCGCGACTTGAATTTGCGCCGGCAAAGCAGACAGTGGAAGGCCGGTGTGACGACTTGTGGAGGCGCCACGATTGATGGAGCTGGGGCCTCTGAGGTATTCGGCGGTTTGCCGGACGCGAACGACGCCCACCCGCCGCGCTTGGCCTCCAAGTCGGTCGCGAGCAGCGCTTCCCGGCGATGGTCTTCTGGTGTCGGCAGTGGCGTCTCGACGCGCTTTGTCTTGTGCTTGGGCGAGGCGATAAACACCCGCTCGAACCCGTGCTTTTGGAACTCGGCGGCTGCTTGTCGCTCTTCCTCGGCCATGAAGGCGGCGTAAATCTCGTCGGGCGTGCGCATCCGTATGTGCGTCGTTGGCGCGGGTCGCTTGGCCGGCGGATCGTTGCTCTGGCCTCGTCGCCGCTTCTTGCTCGACGACGTGATCGACGCAAGGTATTGCGTCTGGCTCGCGTCGTCGGCGAGGCACTCGTACGCGATGCTGAGCTTCTTGAACGCATCCTCCGCCTCTATGGCACCCGGTGAGCATTCTATATGTGCAGTTGATACGTACGCGCATGGGCACTCTTGTCCGGATGCACAACGCGCGCCAGCAGCTTGTATTGCCTAGCGATGTACCCGTCAGAGGCAGCACACTGGCGACGACCACGTACCTCCGGACGGTCGCGAGGTCGGCAAACTCGACGCGGTCAAGACCAAGCACGGCAAAGTGGTGTCTATACCCATGAGCTTAGATATCACGGCGGCCATTATGTGTCGCCGTACCGAGCGCCGAGGATCCGGGCCACCTCGCAGCCGCCGGCATCGTCCATGGCCAACACCTTGATCAATTGCTTGCAACCCTTCAACTAGGCCCAGGATCCCATGATCCCATTTTCGCTCCTACCGGGATTAGACAAAGCTTCCGGTAGGACAAAACACGTTGCACATCAAAGTTGAAGGGAGCTAGCTCGCGCCAAGCTCGCCAGGCGCACCATCGCACGCGGTAACATTATATCTCGCATTATAATAATCTCACGCACTACGTTGCAGCGAAATGCATCCGATAGGTCGGGAGCAGTCCTGGCAATACAACGGGATGCTCACTTTGTCTCATGACGTGGCAACACGCCAAATTCATACGTCGAGCTAACTGTTAGCTGCAACCTTGCGCAGAGCGACAGGGCGGCAAGGAACTTGGGACTGTGCACATTGGTTCTACACCATGCTTTTACACTTTGACGCCTTTACACGCGAAAAAGCCACTGAGGATTCATTCATTTCTCATTTTGCAGGGGTCCGCACCGCCGCCGGGTCGGGGTAGCCTTCGTGCTACGTCGGGGTGAGGAGATCGCAGCATTCGGCCCACAGGCTCTGCCATCCTTACCGCCGGTTGTCGCGGACTCCTGCAAGCTGAGACCAGCGCAAGTTGAGCACCGCCGCCGGGTCGGGGTAGCCTTGTGCTACGTCGGGGTGAGGAGATCGCAGCATTCGGCCCACGGGCTCTGCCATCCTTACCGGCGGCTGTCGCTTGCTTGCGTTGCTTTAGGAGTTTAGGAGTTTAGGAGTTTAGGATTTTAGGAGTTTAGGGGTTTAGGAGTTTAGGAGCTCAGGAGCTTAGGAGCGTAGTATAGACCTCGTTCGGGATAGAAGCACCGTCCATCGCAAGCCTCTATGTCAATCAAATCGGCGGTATCATTGTTGCACCAAGTGCATACAATGTACTACTAGTACTTCTTAAGTTTATGCCGCTGATGCCACCAAGGTACCAACCGGTTGCGCGACGGGTGTAACTGCGTGTAGATCTGCGACCTTCGAAAGCGTCATTTCGGGAGATGGGCGGCATCGTCTCGACGGAGGACGCGAGCCTCATCTACACCACGCCGGACGGCATTGGCATCCATGACGACTTTGCGCGCGGGTACGAGCCAGACATGCCGCTCGCGATCAAGCGGCCGTTCGTGACGCACGCCGACGACGCATCCGGGAGCATTGGGCAACCATCTCGGCCGGCTCGCCCGCCTTTCTACCGCAAAAGCACATGACGCCCGTCAAGTTTTTTCACACGACCTTCTACGCCAAGCTCTTTGCGCGCGTGCCGAGCGCCCGGCGCCTCTTCCGGTCGTCCATGACGCTGCAAGGCAAGTCCATCACGGGCATGGTGCACACGCTGGCGACATTGATCCGGTCGCATGACGTTGTCGAGACCGCCCAGCGCCTCGCCACCATGCACGCGAGTTACGGCGCATGCAAAGAGCACTACGCCGACGTCGGTCTCACTTTGCTCGAGACGCTCGAAGCGGTGAGTGGTCCGGTGTGGTCGGAGCAGATCAAGACCGCGTACCTCAACGCCTACTGTTTTGTCTACTATCTGATGCTGCCTGTGATCTTGAGCACGCCCGTGACGCCGCTGGCGCCGAGCGTCGACGCGCACATCGTAGCGACCGACGCCATCGCATCCAACGTCTATCGGCTGCGGATTGCGGTCGACTTACCACTGCGGTACCACCCGGGCGACGCAGTTGTCGTTGGTGTCCCGCTCGCGATCGGAGAGGTCCGCGCAGTGGTTGCGCTCACGAGTCTGTACGACGCAAACTCGCGAGAGATCGAGGTGTGCGTGGAGAACGTCGACAAGGTCTCCGAGTGGCTCTGCAATGCCCCGTTGCAGTCGACGTTGCAAGTCTTTTGGGTCGTCTCGAGCCTGCACTGGGAGCTCGACACGCCGGCGTTCTTGCCTCGGAAGGCGCTGTTTCTGAGCCAAGGCGCGGCCGGCGCACCCTTCTTTGCGACCGTGCGCGCCCTCCACGCTGCGTCGATCGACTGCGACGTGCTCTGGTTGCAGAGCGGTTCTGAGTCCATACCGTATTTCGAGCACCCGTTCGACGACATCCCGTGGGCTCGGTGCCAAATTGCACTTGTCGATGCACCCACCGCGCTTTGTAGCTATGACGTGGCAGGCTGGCATGCCTACATTGCTGGATCGACTGACTTTGTCGAGACCAGCACGCAAAGCTTTGTGCAAGCCGGTGGCAGCGTCAGCGAGATCGACATCTATACGCTTCACACGGCGGAATTCGAACTCGACGAGATTTGTCATAGAAGTACTAATTAAGATATGAAAGCTAGCCCCTAACACGCGCCCATTTCTTGTCGCAAGGTGCGCGCGATCGTCTTCATGCGGGGTACCGAGTTGGACGTCGCTGACGACGTCTTGGACATGGCGCGCAGGAACGGGTCGGTGTTGATCCTAGTGAGTTTGTGTAAGCGATCATGTTGCCGATGGTGGTCGCACCATTGCTTGATGCTTTCTAGCGAGTCGCGGAATTGGTAGACGATGAAGACGGCGTACTGGGTGAGCGGCGTCTGGCGATCGATGACCATGAGCTGGAGTGTCTCGCAAAAGAGCTTGCACAGATTCGAGTCGCTCAAAATCGTCAACCGGTTCTTCGGGACGAGAACGCAATTTTTGATGGCCTTGGCCATCTCGAGGCGAGCGTAACAGCTGCGCGTGTCTTCGAGGCTCGTGTGGACGAGACCCTTGAAGTCCTCGCAGTACTCGGTAATGATATCGTCCGAGACGGCGCCCGAGCCTGGAAAGACCTCGGGCATCGCGTCAATATTGAGCCATGCGTCGCTCTTGCGCAAGATGCGGCGCCTATATGGGCATGAGTGCACGGCCGATATGTAGGCGCGTACGTGTCCTCGAGGGCGTCCTTGTCAAAGGCGCTGCACTCGCTTCGGATTATATCGAACAGCCGAAGAAAGTGGCCTTCGTCGCCCTATACCAGGCCATAACGACCGATGACCACGTAAGAGCGATGGGAAATACCTCGAGGAGGTAGCTGTCGACTTGCACAACGTCCGGGGTGTCGATGGGCTTGGTCAAGCTGAGCCGGAACGTGACTTCTTCGGCGCAGAGCAGACCGTGCACTTCCAACTACCAACAGTGGTGTCCGACAACGGTAGCAGAGATGCGATGCCATACCTGCCACGGCATCTTCTTCTCGTAGGCAAACTCGAGGTTGAGCATGACTTGCTCGAGACGGTACAACGTGTCCTGCGGGCTCAACACCGACGTGAACGACGGGTTCACGACGTGGTACACTGGGTTCGGGTCCGTCAGCGGGATTTCGACGCCTTGCTCTGTCAGCCCTTCGGTCCGGGGCGCATACGACGCCTCCGGTGCCGCTTCGCTGCTGGGCACGTCGCTGCCAAGGAACACATCAAACGCCGGCTTCTTGGGGGGCCCGGTGTAAAACAGCGGCGTGTCAATGCTGCCTGCGCCTGCGAACATTGGCGACGTGGCGCCGTGGGGCGGGTAGAGCATGTTGTAATGCGGATCGTACGACGTGGCGTCCACGCCCTACGCGCACGCATGAGCGGCCTCGTCGCTACCACATGCGGCGGCTTACAAACGGGCGCGACTGGAATTGTTTCGCGACGGCGACGTGGCGGTAAGCCGCGGTCGGCTGTCGCGGGGCGTACTGGTCGGGTTGAGATTCGAGGTAGCCCTAGGTCACATGTCCATGGGCATGGCCTGGAGGATGGTACGTACAGCGCCATAGAATTCCGGGAGGGCCTCGGCGCCGGTCGCCCGCGGGCTCGCATGCTCCTGCTCGTCGTGGTCGTGCTCCATGCTGCGGCCTTGGTCTTGGGAAATGATGTCCGTGGCGTCTGGCCGCGACCGAATTCAATTTTATATCGTGGCAAAGTGACGCCTCTTTATTGTATTGCATACGTTTGTATAGTTGAAAGGCGATTATGTAAATAAAAATGTATTTGTATTTTTTTGGATCCAGGACCGGCCACGGTGTAATCAAGTGAAAACGAGGCCAAAACGACCAGCACTCACACGCAACGGGTATTTTAGCCAATAGAACGTGACGAATCGCTGCAAAGCGATCGTTTGTACCAATACGCTGCTAGGATTGGTGTAAAAGAAGGCATTGCTGGCCTTTTCCATCCAACGAGCGCGTGGATTGGATGATATTGTCCACCGAGTCGAATGATGGGCTGGACATGCCATGAGAGTGACGCCGTCGATGCGAGCTTCTCTCGAGATGAGACGTGAGAAGAACCTGGCAGAATGTACCGCCATACATCTCTCTAAAGGTTGTGGCTATTCCGCTCAGAACTTGCCGTGTGGTCTCTACTGGTGCACCATATACTGGGAACGGCAAGCGCGAAGAGAAGGGGGCGTTAACACCCATAACGTTAACCAAATGCGTGCGCACCTACATCCACACATGCTTGAAAGACCATCAATATGGTTTTTGAGCCCAGACTCTCACTTGTAGAACCATTCTTAAGGGTGGCGCCATTTTGGGGTAGCGCTGTCGACGTTACCTGCATGACATATTTCCTGCACCACACAACCTCTTGTCGACGGTTCAGAACTTGACGTACACTGTTTTGGTATCGAAAAACTCAAGAGGCGCTCCCGTTCTAAGGGTTGGCCCAGCGACGACACCCGCGTCTTTGCTACGTTGTGCTCGGGCTACCGCACAGTGCGAGTAGCCCGGTCGCTTGATGTGGTCGTCTAGAGCAGCGAGCAAACAGGAGTAGAGTGTTTGGAGACCACAAGTGGGCTTTCTCGAAGTGTTCTACTCGACCTGAAGTAGGAAGTTGAGCATTGGATGTGGTGGCTACTGCGGTGATCATTGAGATCGTCCGCTCCGTGAAGAACCGCAAATCTTTGGCGCGTCACAGTGGCCAATGGCATCCCATCGTCTCACAAATTTTGACCAATCACCAGTGTCCAATGTCTCCACCGGAAGGTGATTAGCTAATCATTTCACCGGCTCTCGCGACTTTGCACCATGCTGGGCGCGACGCCGCCGCCCCAGGGCGGGTCGCCCTTCTCGCCCTTCCGGGACTACGAGTACCTCACAATGGACTTTGGCACGCGCAGCCACGTTGAGAGTGTGAGCCTCTACATGAATGCCAACCAAACGCTGCTCCTCGACTCGGTCAAATCGCTTCAAACGGGCCTTGGCCAGCTCCCGGCTGTGGGCGACGGCCACGAGATGCCACCGTCAACGCGCTCGAGGCGCCTCTGTGCCCAGTGGCGCTGCGACATGCAGCTCTGGCAGCGTCTTCGCTCCAACTGGGACGCGTCCGTGCTCTGGGCGACGCTGGTCGCGATCCTGCTCATGCTCGCCGCCGCCTTCGCGCTCACATACATCATCGACGAGCAGCGGTACACAAACATCCACTTTGGCGCCCACATGCTCTGCCTCCTGCCAGAGTGGAACGCCACGGTCAAGGACACGGCGAGTGAATCCAACATCAAGATGCTCAGCACGATCCTTACGCTCGGCAACTACCTCGTCATCTTTGTCGTCTCGGCCTTTCTCGCTGTGCAGTGCAGGGCGACGCGACGCAAGATCCTCGCCAACCCCAACAACACCAATCTCAGTGCGTCGACTGCTATTGAAGGAGGGATACTGATGCCACACGTAGCGTCCGTGTTTGTCTTGCCATGCTACGACATGGTGTGGTTCACGCTCCTCGTCGTCGCTGTCTACAGCATAAGCGTCATGGCCGTCTCAATCACTGTTTCTATGCAGACGATCTGGGCCCACCGCGGCGCCGCCTGCTTTCTCATCTACCTCCCGACCTCGTGGTGCGCTCTCGTACACGCTTCGCTGTCGTTGCCTCATTGCAGTTATGTAGGATCATGCAGCTCCTTCCGATTCTCATGGTGCAGAAATCTATTTCCAAGGCAGCCGTGCAGCGCTCTATGCTTCTCTCGGGCGCCGGTACTTGCCTACTTGCGTATTTGCGAGTTGTTGACGTGGGACGCTAGTCAGCGCGGTCCTGCTCAGCGTCATGGTGCTGGACAAGGGGCACATTGCGATCTTCTTTATCGTCTTCCACGCCGTCTCGATCGGCTTTTACACGTGGGCCAAGTTCATTAGCTTCTCGCGCGCGTCCTTCGACTACATTTACATTGTGCTTGTCGCGTCGTCCCTCGTCGGCATTCTGTATGAACCTCTTCCGTAGCTTCAATCTCACAGACGCTGTAGACCGCCCGTGATGCTCTTGATCCGGTCGCCGGACGAAGATGACATGTACTACTACCTCTACGTGACTGTGACAGTCATCGGCAACCTCATCGACTGCTTTGGCATTCTTGGCATCATGCTCACCTTGCGCGTACGCTGGCTAGTAACCATTAGAGCTCACGGCCGTGTAGGCCGACACCAAGTACTGGCTCGGCATCGACTACAACTCGCTGCACACCAAAGATCCGGCCAAGTTGTACCTCCGCCTCGTACGCACCCGAAAGCATTCCTGTCATTGGTGCGAATCCGCGGTCGTAGATTGCAGAGAGAGGCATGGTCTCTTCCTTCTCGACGCGCACGTCTGTCTACGACGTCCACTACATGATCGAAGAGTTCAAGAAGGTACCGACTCGAGCTTCGTACAAAGCCAACCGACCGGTTAGAGCATGGTTGACTTTTCGCTCTTGGACCTCGAGTCGGTGGTCGCCCAAGGCGCAACCGCGGTTGTGCTCCGTGGCTCGATGCAGCGAACGCTACGCGACGCAGTGCCCGTCGCCATCAAGATGTACACGTCGCTCTTCGTCACGGACGACGACGTGCGCCGCTTCTCCAAGGAGACGTCGCTCAACATTGGCCTCTCGCACCCCAACATTGTGCGGTTTTACGGGTACCGCGTCCTCTTGTATTTTGTTGTCGTTGAGTTGTAAGAAACAATAGGCTCTGCGTCGTACCGCCGGCCATCTGCTTGGTGTTCGAGTACTGCGAATGGGGGTCGCTCGAACTCGTCTTGCTCGCGCAAAACCGCTCGACGACCGAGTGGGACCTCCCCACAAAACTCAAAGCGTGTTTGGACGCATGTCGCGCGGTCGCATACCTCCACAGCTTTAGTCCACCGCTGCTGCACCGGTAGCTCCATCCTTCTCTGTGCATGTATCGATCGAAGCGTGGCGTAGGGACATTAAGACAGCCAACTTTCTCCTAGCCTCGGACGCGATGCTCAAGCTCAGCGACTTTGGCGAGAGCAACCTCATGCGGCCCAAGAACGACGGCACGATGACGGTCGTCGGTAGCGTCGATTTCATGGTACTGTATTCTCGTACATTGCGATCTGAAAACTCAGATCTGGATCGTAGGCGCCTGAAATGATCTCGGGGGGCCGGCCGGCATCAGCCGTGTATGGCACGGCGGCCGACGTGTACAGCTTGACGATGACGCTCTGGCACATTCTGGCGCCGGGTCGCAATCCGTGGAAAGGCCGATCGCACTTTGAAGTGTATACGGAGGTGACGCAAGGCCGCCGGCCGACGATTCCGCTGACGCTGCCACCCGACTGCGTCGATTTACTCGAGAACGGGTGGGCGGCGGACCCGGCCAAACGCCTCTCGGTGCAAGAGATTGCAGCGCGTTTCCAAACCTTGTGGCTCCTCGCGAGTCATCGGCAACACCTGCCGCGCACAGGTCGTCTCCAATGCGGGTCGTTGGACTAGTCGCTAGGTAGATATATCTATTATTTAGTCGTACTCCGATCGTGCTTCTTCTTGGAGGCCTTGGGCTTCTTCTCCTTCTCGGCGGCCTTCTTCTCGGCGGCGTCCTTGAGCTTTTGCTTTTGGAGCTGGCGCTGACGCTTGAGAACGTTTTGTTTGCGCGCCTTCTCGTCTTGCTGCATCGCCTGCCATGACGCATCGAACTCGGCGTTGTCGACCTTGGCCAGCACGTCGACGTCGTCCGGCTCCAGAGGAACAGCATTCGTGGGTGGCGTAGCGTCTTGTCCGAGGAGGATCCCGCCGTCGTTGTCCTCGTCGACGCCAAAAGGCTTGGACGGCCGGTGCACGAGAACCGGCGCAACGGCAGTCGCCCGCTTCTTGGTGGGTTTGCGCTCAAAGCTGAAGGCGTCGGCGTCGGGCGTCGGGTCGTCGTCACCGTCGACGGCCGCCGCGTCATCGTCCATGCTAATGTCAACGACACTCGACGGCGGCTCGGGCGACGAAAAGAACGACTCAAAGTTGCTCTCGAGCGGCGGTACAGCAGCGTCGGTTGCGACGCCGACCATCTCGGGCGAGCTGTGCACGTCAGCCGCCTCGATCCGCACGTACGACGCTTCGTCAAAGAGAGACACAGAGGGTTCGTCTTGCGGTTTGCCGGTTGCGACGACAGGAGCGAAGGAGCTCGTGGAGCTACGCCCGCTGTCCTCGTCGAAGAGCCACATCGAAGCGGCGTTCGTTGCTGTCGATGCTAATGCGGCTGCCGACTCTGCCGACTCTTGAGCGGACGTTGTCGTCAATGGAGCTGCGACACGAACTGTAGCGGCACCAAAGAGGCCGTCGTCAAACTCCTCGTCGAGATCAATGACGAATCCTGATGCCTGGCTCGGCGGCAGCGAGAACTCGGCTACCGTTGGTGCTGCCTCGACGACCGCAGGTGCTGCCTCGACGACTGCAGGTACTGCCTCGACGACCAAAGGCGCGATCTGCACGGTCTCAAGATCTGTCACCATGTCGAGCATACCCAAAGTCACGTCACTTGTAATCGGGAGCGATCCATCTGTCAGGCGTTGGGTCTGCGCCGCCAGGTCAAGTAACGGAACCGGTGCGGGATCGGGCAACGTCGTTGAAGCGGGTACTGTCGACGGACGCGACCGCAAGCTCGGCAACTCCTCTTCGTCCGAGAAGTGGCTTTCAGCGACTGCGACGGCAGGTGCCAAAGTTGGCGTTGGGGCAGGGCGTTTTGCCGCCCGCAAACTCGGAAGGTCGTCTTCATCGTCGTCGTTGTCTACGTTGCTTGGAATAGAATCAAATGTCAGCGGTTGTGGCGCAGCCAGCGGTGCTGCCACGTCATCCTCGTCACTTGAGCCGTCAAAGAGGTTCTTGGTCACCGTCCCCGGTCGCGGCTTGTCCACAAAGAGCTGATCGAACTTTCGAGCGTCGTCCTGGAAGAGGTTGTCGATCGAGTCCTTGCGCATGCGGGGCTTGGCGACAGGCTTGGTAACTTGAGCTGGCTGCACGGGCGTCGAAGCCTTCGCCTCGATCAGCGCCGTTGCGGGCGCTTTGATTTTGCGCTTGAGACTCGGCAGCGCCGCGTCGTCCTCCGTCGCCATCGGCACGTCGCCGTCCGAGCCGTAAATATGCTGCAGTCGCTTGCTTGTGGTGCGATTTTCGACGCGCTCGTCGTCATCGCTTGACGCGACGTTGTCACCGAAGAGTTCCTCCTTGTACGGCGACGCCTCTGTGAAGAGACCGTCAAACGAGTCCTTGCGCTTTGGCTTGCGCGGCGGGGACGAAGCCGAGTCACTGTCGTCCATCGTGAACCGCCGGTTCGATGCCTTCTTCGTAGCCACTTGGGGCACGGGCGACCGGCCTCGTCGGGGCTTGTGGCGCCCAGGCCAGCGCGAGACAGGGGCGTCGCCTTCCTCGTCATCGTCCTCGTTGTCCTTGTCTTCTTTAAGGTCGCGGCGTCCTTGGATGGCAAAGAGCGACTCGTACTGCTGCTTGCCAGAAGCCTCGTCGTCCTCAAAGAGGTCCCCAAACGAGTCCTTCCGCGGCGCTCGGGGCTCTCGTTTCGACTTCTTCTTCTTGACAATAGGTGGTGACACCGCCGCATCAGGATCGCTTTCACTCTCTTGCTCAAAGATGCTGGCGGCGTTCGACCGGCGGTGCGACTTGCGCGCGGCAAGCAAGCTCTTGAGCTCGGCCAGCTCGTGCTCGAGCGACGAGAGCTTGTTGACAATGGCGATACCCGTCGTCTCGGACATGGCCGGTCCTCCCACCGCCGTGGGCTGGCGCGACACCTCAGATGTTGGCTGCCGCACGACCAGCGCCTTTTGTGGCACAATGTACGTGCCCGAGACCGGGTCAAACTCGGCTTGGTGCCGCTTCGTATCGTCGTCATCGTCCAAATCAAAGTCCACCGCGGTTGTCCTTTGCGGCTCGGCATGCGCATATCGGTTGGAGCGCTCGGGCAGCGCAAACCGATCGTGTCCGTAGCGTGACGCGCCTGGCACCGAGGCATACGCGCCGTACAAGGACGAGGCGGACGTTGTCGGCGGTGACCCAAACGCAACATCTTCCAACGTCCCCCGGCGTGTCTCACGCGTTGTCGGCTTCTCGGTCGACGGAATATCAAAGGCGCGCGTCTGGAGGTCTCGGAGAGGCTGCACGTGCCGCGGTCCTTCAAACATGTCCTCGAACGTGTCGCGACGAGGACGCGTCACCGGCGCCGACGCTTCTTTCGAAACAAGTGATGACGACGACGTCGACGGACGCAATGAGAGCATCGAGGGATTGGCATACGCGCTCGAGGCGTGCGACTGCGACGCTTCGTCGTTGCTGCGGCTTGACACCTTTTCGGAGGCGTCCAACGACACCTTGCTCGCACTGAGAGCATCCGACGTACTTGTGCTCGAGGCGGCCGAGACCGAGACTGAGACCGAGACTGACGCCCGTGTCGACGGCAGTGGTACGGTCGTCAGTGGCGGCGGCGCACTACCCTCGGACGCCTCTTTGCCACCAAAGAGCCGCTTCATGGTGGCTCGAAACCCATGTTTTTTCTTCTCTGGCGCCGTCGATGGGGCCAACGGTGGGCTCACGGGCGCTGGCGCGGCCATGGCCCTTGGCGCTGGCTCGTGGGCGCGCGGTGGTACGACGACTGCAACACTCGACCGCTGCGGCGAAGGCGACGGGGGCTGGACTAAAGACGGCACACTTGCGCGATGCACGTGGCGATCGGCTTGCCGGTTGTCGTAATGCGGCTGGGTCTTGGGCAGCGGGAACCGAGAGAGCGACCGCGAGTCGTCGACGTCGTCATCGTACAACGGCCGGTCGTCAAACACAACGTCGGCGAAGCGAAGATTGCTCTGTGGCTTGGCCTTGGACGTCGCTGGGCCGACCGACGCCCACGCGCTGGAGGATGGAGCCGAGGTGCGACGCGCTTTCTCGGGCACTGGCATCGATGCCATCGGGCTCACGGGTTCGTTCTCATCGAGGAACCAGTTATCGATGCTCTCTTGCAACCGGTGCGACGAATGTGCATCCGGAACCGGAGGCGGTGGCCGTGTGGATGGCGCGACGACGTCTGCTTGGGCTCGGTTCGTAGTACGAGGCTCCTTCTTTGCCGCTGCTGGCAGTTGGGATGGTGCGGCTGCCTTTCTTTGGGGTTGGACGCCTTCGACGCATGTGATGCAGACGCGCTGTGGCTTCTTCGCCGTGGGTACAAACACCGAGCACGACGAGCAAATGACGTTGCCGCATGTGCGGCAGTGGTGGCGGCGCTTCACGAGCGAGAAGGGCGTCTCGCACACGTGGCAGGCCGGCGCCTCGGCATCGTCGACCCACGGGACGGCGGTCTCGGTGGCGGCCGCTGCCTTGGCGGGTGCAGCGCTCGCCTGTCGCCGGCGCTGCGTGGCGTAGTGGTCGTCGAACTCCTACGCATGAAGAGGTTGAGCGCCGACGCGGCGACAAGCCGCTTACGTCGCCTGACGACATGCTCGACCGCGTGCTACTGAGGTTGCAGCGTGGGTCGGAGCAAGTGGTGTTCTTGGATTGGCTGAAAAGTCTGGCGACCGTCATTCCGTCAACAGCGTTTTATCCAATCCAAGTCGAGTAATTCCAACGAAAGCGTTACACGCGCGTGGGATTGGCCAAAAAGACAGGTTGTTTCAACTAATCCAGATCCGTGCAAGAAGCGAGTTTGTGGATCAGCCGCACCTTCCATGCTTCATGCAGACGTGTTTTATCAACTTGATACTTTCCACGATGGTGCAGTTGTTGCCTGGCATCGCAGCACCATAGAGCAAAAATGTCAATAAATAGGATATTTTAAATGCTGGTCGAATGGGCCAAGGCCACGTAGCTTGCCGAGGTCGTCGACACGGAGGACGATGCGGTCGGCGCCTCCAGCCGCACGCGCGAGACGCCACCCTTGAGCATCCCGAGCACGAGTTGTTCCATCTCATCGACGTGCCAGCGCTCGTCGGCGTCTGGTGCCCAGCCGCGCTCGAGCAGCTCGTGGCAATCATTCGGAAGCGTCTCGGGTATCGGTGGGCGCTCGCCTTGAATGGTTTTCGTATACACTTCAAAGTGCGATCGGCCTTTCCACGGATTGCGACCCGGCGCCAGAATGTGCCAGAGCGTCATCGTCAAGCTGTACACGTCGGCCGCTGTGCCATACACGGCTGATGCCGGCCGGCCCCCCGAGATCATTTCAGGCGCCTACGATCCAGATCTGAGTTTTGAGATCGCAATGTACGAGAATGCAGTACCATGAAATCGACGCTACCGACGACCGTCATCGTGCCGTCGTTCTTGGGCCGCATGAGGTTGCTCTCGCCAAAGTCGCTGAGCTTGAGCATCGCGTCCGAGGCTAGGAGAAAGTTGGCTGTCTTGATGTCCCTACGCCACGCTTCGATCGCTACCTTCAGAGTGAAGGATGGAGCTACCGGTGCAGCAGCGGTGGACTAAAGCTGTGGAGGTATGCGACCGCGCGACATGCGTCCAAACACGCTTTGAGTTTTGTGGGGAGGTCCCACTCGGTCGTCGAGCGGTTTTGCGCGAGCAAGACGAGTTCGAGCGACCCCCATTCGCAGTACTCGAACACCAAGCAGATGGCCGGCGGTACGACGCAGAGCCTATTGTTTCTTACAACTCAACGACAACAAAATACAAGAGGACGCGGTACCCGTAAAACCGCACAATGTTGGGGTGCGAGAGGCCAATATTTAGCGACGTCTCCTTGGAGAAGCGGCGCACGTCGTCGTCCGTGACGAAGAGCGACGTGTACATCTTGATGGCGACCGGGGCGTTGCGCCGTAGCAGATGCTTGTGCATTGAGCCACGGAGGACGACGGCGGTTGCGCCTTGGGCGATGACGGCGTCGAGGTGGAGGCACGAATAATCGATCATACTCTACCCAAAGCTCATTAAACGCTGAGGAGCGACGTCAAATGTCGTACGTCCTTGAACTCTTCGATCATGTAGTGGACGTCGTAGACAGACGTGCGCGTCGAGAAGGAAGAGACCATGCCTCTCTCTGCAATCTACGGATACGCTCGATATGATGCAAGCAAGTGTGTGGAGCGACCAGTCGGAGGTACAGCTTGGCCGGATCGTTGGTCTGGATCGAGTTGTCGTCGAGGCCCAGCCAGTATTTGGTGTCGGCCTACGCAGGCGCGTCACGATCAAACATACAAACACGTCAACTCGCACGCGCAGACTGAGGAGAATCGAGAGAATCGTAAACGCGTCCACAACGTTGCCAACGACAGTGACGCGGCTATAGACGGACGGGTGCATTTGGTGGTCCAAGAGTAGCACGACAGGGGGTCTACAGGACATAAGACAATATTGTCTGAGGTACGAGACGACGTACAGCATGTAGAGCACGGACGTTAGCGCCAAGAGCACGTACACGACGTCAAACGATGTCCGTGCAAAGCACACGTACTTGGTCCACGCGTAATAGAGGAGCGAGACAAAGTGGAACGCAAGGAAGAAGATCGGGACGCCATCCGATGCCTTGTCGATGAAGATGAAGCTCATAAAGACGATGCTCACTAGTCGCGCTTCAGACGTCGCCTCGTACACAAGCACGTACTCGCGCCCGAGAGCCCGACCGAGCGTAGAATGGCCGCTTTCGAAATCGATTTTTGCACCATGAGCACTGGAAGGAGCTGCCGGATCCTATTCGAGACGCATTGAGATGTGGCGTGGCAGAGGTCGATACCAGGTGATGGGAAAGTGGAAGAGAAAGCAGTAGATCGCGTCAAAGCCGGGATGGACCCAAAGCGCGGTCGAGACGGAGAAGGTGACGCCGACGACGAAGCTCACACCGAGCCCCACGAAAATGTACCACACGAGAGCGTAGCACGGCAAGACAAAGCTATTGGCTACATAGAGGCATATGAGATCGTTGGACGCGAGATGAGAGCGTACTGAGGTTGGCGTGGTTGGGGTTGGCCACGATCTTCTTCTTGCTCCACGTGCATTGAAGCCCGAGGTAGAGCGAGACGCTAATGAGCACGACGACGTTGCCCGTGATGAGCATGATGCTGACCATGTCAAAGTACGACTGCCGCTTCGAGTGACCGAGATCGGGCGACGGCGCCATGCACTCGAGGTGCGTGCCCAGCGGGTACGACGTGGCATCCATGCAGGCGGGCACGGCGAACGATACAGCGAGCAAGCTCAGCACCGTGTAGAGCGTGAGCCACAAGACGCGCGCGTCCCAGTTCTCGACGACGCTGCTGCACATGGCGCAGCGCGCTGCCGGTTGGTGGCGCTTCGTGGGCGCCTCGCACGTCGTCGCTGCCAGGAGGTCCGAGAGGCTGTGCACATGCACGTCCTGCAGCTGCGAGAGGCTAAAGATATGCAGGTCGCTGTCCATCTTGGCGTACTCCGTCAACGGCGAGATGCAAGTGTCCATGGCGGACGGCGACTCCATCGCGGTCGCTTGGTCCAGCACCGCGATGCGCAAGGATGCAAGTGTGTAACCCGGAGGGGGACCCCCCAAGAACACAAGAACATACATCAGCTGTTTGGATTTGGATTTTATCATCTACACGTTTGTATCCGCGCTATGGCAATGTGCATTCATATTTTATTCAATGCCATGCACGGGTTTTCCTAGCCGATATATCTGTATTTAAATATCTGCACGTTTGTATTAGCCAATAGCAAATCCCGCCACTATAATATACCGTTCCCGGGTTTGCCTAGCCGATAGCATCCCCGTGGTGCACCGGAAGCGCAAACTGACACGGGCGTGTTCCAGCAACATCCAAGATCTTATGACAACCAAGAAGCGGTACTGGTACGATGATCTCTTGCCAGCGTGCGTTCGTCGCTGAATACATATAACGTTATATGGTGGGACAGGCACCTGGTCTCGTCCCGCCTTATTTCTCTTTGTGGCCGGCGTTCTCCTCCACGCCTGCGGGGTGGGCGGAAGGCGACGAAGTCGTTAGCGAATTCCGCTGGTGTATGCGATGGCTGTTTCCGCGTTTTTGCGCTGTCGCGTAGAAGATGGCGAGAACGGATTGCGAACGAAACCGTTTGCACTGGTTGGAACCGACAACGCCGTGTCGCGAGCGTCGAGCAGGACAAGCCATGCCGACGCTTCGAGTGCAGCTGCACCGCGTCTCCAACATCCCGGGCCTCTGCGACGACGAGCGTGCGCGCGGCCCGCGCTACTGCGGCGGCCAGCGGGACCCGTACGTCGTGCTCGAGCTCGATGACCAAGAGCAAATCAGCGCCGTCGTGCCCCGGACGCTCAACCCCGCGTGGCATGCGAGCTTTGACTTTCGCCTTTGCGCCGAGGTCAAGCAGAAAGCGCGCCTCCGCGTCGCCGTGTACGACTACCTCAACGCCGACAAGCTGCTTGTCTCGACCTCGATCGCGCTCGATAGCGTCGAGGACGAGGTCAACGTGCCGTATCGGCTCGCGTCGCACCTCAAGGTGCCACATGCAAAAGCGTACGTGTGGCTGGACCTCGCATGGCTCCCGGCCCCAACCATCGTTCTCGAGCTCTGGGAAAAGCAGCGATTGGGCTCTCACGGGCGGTGGCACGCCCAATGCCTGGCGACCGGTGACGGCTATCCGTTCGAGTCCATGGACGGCTACGTGTGTGGCAACAGCTTGGACGAGGCCACTTCCAGTAGCATCCCCAGCGGATGGCGCAGTGGCGACGGGTGGCGCCCGCGCGATCGATCGCGTGACAGCGGGTGGCATTACGCTGCTTCATTTGCAGGTCCTTGGACCGCGATGCCAGAGGCGACGTCGGTCGTGCGGCGCCGCGTCTGGGGACGCACCTACTACCCTTCTTCTGTGCCCGAGTAGCTATGTGCATGCAGGCAATCCAAAACTTTAAAAAAAGTCCAGCCTGCATTCCCATATCAAGAAGAAACGTCATCGGTTGGTCGCATTCGTATCTTGAAGAGGCGTCATGGAGGCGATCCCAGTTGCGGCGAATGCACTCAGCCTCTCGTGGTCGTTTGGCTTCAACAAGGACATTGTCGGCGGCGTCCACAGCCTCTCGGACGATGCTGTGCACGCAATCTTCTACACGTCCGGCCACATGGGCATCATCTACAACTACGCGCACCGGACGCAGCGCATTTTACAGGGCCATTGCAACCCGATCTCGTGCTGCGCTGTGAGCGAAGACAAGCGCTGGATCGTCACTGCCGACCGCGGGTCCGACTCGATGCTCGTCGTCTGGGACGCCACGACAGGCAACCCGATCAAAACGCTCTTTTCGCCCCATGCGCATGGCGTGCAGTGCGTCGACATATCACCGGACGCGATGTTTCTCGTGACGCTCTCCGTGCCGTCGTCCAAAAGCGACGAGCCGGACGCCGCAAGTGCGCAGGAGATCAAGCTCTGGGAGTGGACAGTCGCCCGCGACGACGCACTCTACACGGCAGGTAATCCATGCCTCGTGGTATGATCTGTCGTCGCCACTGCAAAGTGTGATTAGCCGTCGCGACCGAAGACGTTCAGACGTGCGTGCGCTTCAACACGTACGACATCCGCGAGATCGTGACCAATGGCGCGCAGCGCGTCATCTTTTGGAATTGGGTGCACCACCAGCTCCAGTTTTACTCGCCGCCTTTATCGCAAAAGGACTTTAAGCAAGCGATTGGCGCGTTCACGCAGTCGATCTTCGTGCCCGACTCGTCCCAAGCCATCACGGCCACCGAAGACGGCGATCTCATTCTGTGGGACTCGTCGCTCGTGAAATCCGGCGACGTCCTCGTGCACGCAGACAAGAAGGCGGTCAAGATCGTGCGCATGACGGGGCTCGATGCCCACAAGCCCGTCGCGATTCGGTATCTGACCGACATGGACGGGTACCTCGTTGTGGGTGCGGCTGACGGTGCCGTCCGCTTCTATGACTTTGACTTCCGCCTCGTCGCGTGGTTTGAAGACCTCTCTGCGGGGCCCGTCACGTCCGTCTCGTTTGCCAATACCGAGACTACGACGGATCCGACGGCGGCCGATGCGTTCCGCGTGCCCGAGTTCATCGTCGCCACGTCACGTGCGAATTTTGTGTTTTTTTCTTCATTTTTGGCGATTACATTTGGTAGATGCCTTTATTCTCGGCATCACGCCGTCGATCCACGAAGAGTTTGATGTTGAGAAGCGCCGGGGCACGCTGCTCATGCAGGGGATTGCGGCCGAGATCCGCGGCCTGGCGACGCACCCGAGCGCGACCCAAGTCGCTATCAGCTGCGCGTCGGGCGTCTTGCAGCTCTGGGACTGCGTCTCGAAGCGGCTGCTCATGGTGCGCCATTTTGACGAAGACAAGTTTCGACCGCAGACGCTGTCGTACGACCCGCTTGGCCGATACATTCTCGTGGGCTTTGCCAACGGCGCAATCAAGCTCCTGCATGTGAGCACACTCGCCGACTTGCACATGCTGCGGCACTCCAAGGTAGTCCCTTTTTGTTGTATATATTCCTAAACCCAAGTGCGCGGCAGAGTGCGATCCTCGACATCAAAGTCGCTCCCGACAGTTCGTTCATTGCCGCCGTTGACGCCGACAATTACGTGCTTCTCTGGCGCAACAAGGCAATGGAAGCGGAGGAGCTCCACCATGCGATCGACCCGGCCGACCAGTGGATGTACATTGGCCGGTGCCGGTCGCACGCCAAGCCCATCACGGGTCTCGAGTTTGGCCTCTCGGATCAGCAAGCGCTGCTCGTCACGATCGGCGAAGACCGCATGCTCGTCGAGTACAGCCTCTCGCGCTCGAGCGTCCTAGACGGCATCGTACTCACTGCGCCGCCGCAAAAGATCGAGCAGTCGGCTGTACCCACCGCGTGCTTTTGGCACCCGGACATGCCGGGCGTCCACGAAGATCTGATTGTGATTGCGAACGACGAGTACAAGTTCAAGGGCTGGAACGCTAACAACAAGACGTGCCGCCGGACGACGCTCAACCCGACGTACGGCGGCCCGCTCAACCGCATTCTCCCGATCCCACTCGAAAAGACCAAGACCGAGCGCTACTGCGCGTATAGCACCCACGACAAGGTGCACACGTTGTCCTCGAATTCGTATTCTTATTGCGTCTTTTGTAGGTCGTGGGCTTGATCAAACTGCCGCTCGACGGCAACCCGCACAAGTCGATGGGGCTCATTGCGCACGCCGGGCACATCTCGAACGTCGCCGTGACCTGCGACGGCCGGTATTTCATCACGGCGGGCGGAAAAGACTTGATCCTCAACATGTGGGAAGTGACACCGTCGGCGCTCGATGCGATGGAAGCCGCCGCCGGCCTCGGCGTCGAGCCGTACGGGTCGCTCCTCGAAGGCGGCTTGCGGGGCCCATTTTACAATGAGATTGTCGACTACTTTTACTTTGCCCAGCTGCGCACGCAGGGCGAAGCATCGACCGCCGCGCGCAACATTACGCAGGAGATTCCACTGGCCGAGATTCCGCACGTCATGCGCGCGCTCGGGTACTACCCGACCGAGCTCGAGATCCAAAACATGTGCAGCGAAGTCAAGTACTCGCGCTTCACCGAGACGACCAAGACCGTCGACGCGATCGGACTAGTGGACTTTGTCAAGCTGTATATCAACCACCGCCCCGTCTTTGGCATTGGCAAGGCGCACATTGAGGCGGCGTTTGCGACCATTATTGGCCAAAAGCGCAGCCATAGTCTCAAGTGGCCCGACCTCAAGCAGAAGCTGCTGACGCTCGTAGCCGCTTTGTTTCTCTTCAAAGGTTCATGAGAATACGTAGGGCGAAAAAATGACTGAGGACGAGCTCAGCGCGTGCTTGAGCGCACTGGTTGGCGACGACGCCGAGCACTGGGACGCGATGACGGCGTTCACGTCGGCGACCTTTGCCGACTCGGTCCTCGGCTTTGAAGACTATGATGCGTTTGCGACCGCCTCTGAAATTCTCTAGTGGGCTACCGAAATGCTATCGTAGACATGCAATATGTTTATAAAGAATCTCTCCTTCTTCCACGATGGTCCTCACAGCGGTGCTTCTTGTTGAGCCTGCAAGAGGTCGACTCCGCTATAATAATGCGTTCTATCAACGACGGTGCAAAGGCGGCCGCCGTGACCGACCGCTCGTGTCTGTCTCCGAGAGAACATTGACGCTAGGCTCTTAGGCCATTGTTCATATCGCTAGCTGATATATATCAGTATTTATTATCAAATTGTTTTATTTGCCCTTGTAGTGCGTCATGTTGGTGTAGACCACGAACGCGTGCTCGGCCGCGCAGTAGGGGAACACGGGTGGGTTGGCACTCGCGCTGCTCGGGTTGAAGACCAGCTTGCCCGTGTCGATCGAGACGTAGATCGCAAGGAAGCTCGAGATGAGCGCGATAAGGATCGCAAAGATCTTCTCATAGAGCGGCAGTGTTGTATGGAACGTCTTGACGTAAAAGACGAGCGGCAGAATCATGCAGCAGAGCGCCGTCGACGACGCACCAACAAAGCTCTGGAGGTCGATGAATCTGTCCTTCAAAAGCACGGACGCAATCACCGCAAGGACCACCATGACCGTGCGCAGAACCGCGACGCGCACATAAGCGTTCTTGCGCTTGTAGTCGTCTTGGATCTGCGCGAGGTCTTCGTCGCGCTGGCTCATCATGGCCGCGCGCACCGACGTCTGGTTCTTGTCGCTTTGCAGCTCCGGTGTCTCGACCGTGCTGAACGCGTGGTCGTTGAGCGCAAACGACTCCTTGTGCAGACCGAGGACGAGGCGCTCGGCCGTGAAGAACGCAGGGAAGAAGATAATGCCAAACGCGATCGTAATGTGCATCTGCATGAAGAGGAAGGCGAGGACGATGCCGCCGCGCGACGCGTTGAAGCCGAGCGATGTGCCCGCGATGGCGAAGAGGAGGTTGCCAGGAATCTGGCACCCCGTCATGGCATACCCCGTGACGGAGATGACGAGGAAGAGCACCGAGATGATCGAGAGCGTCACGATGATGCACCGGGGCATGCGCGCCGGGTCCGTGTGCTCACGCTGGAGCGCCGGAATGACAATGCCGGCACCGTACGCGAGCGAGAGGTTGCCAAAGACAGAGGCGACGCCTTCAAACGTGACATCCGGCGAGAACGTGGTCGCGGTCTTGGGCGTCAAGTTGTCGACGAGTAGGTACAGCGCAATCCCATCGGCGGCGAGCGTGCCGATAGCGCCGGCGGCTGCGGCGGCCGCGCCTTCTTTGAGCGTTGGGATGAGACAGACGGGCAAGAGGCTGAGGCCCATGAGGCAGATCCACACGTCTTGACCGTACGAGTTGGGGAAGAGGATCGAGAGGAGGATGCCACCGAGGACGAGGAACACCATGGGGATCATGACGCACACGAGGAGGTGCGAGATGACGGCGGCCCAGCGGCCAAAGCTACCCATGCACCACTCGCCCATGTCGCCAAAGGTCTTGACGTTTTTCGGCGCTTGCAAAAGCACCTTGCTCATGCACACGGACGCGTAAATGTTGGCGATCGCCATGAAGACGAGCGCGACGGTCGCCCACGCCGGGCCCGCGCGCGCATAGTTGGCTGGCATGCCCAGCGTGCCGATGCCATAGACGCAGCAGAAGAGGCTGTAGCAGATCTTGATGTCTTCTTTCGTTAGGAAGACCATGGCCGTGGCAACGAAATTGGTGAATGGCATGGGACTGGGTTCGCTTCATCGTCCATAGTAACTCGAAGAAGAATAGATGGTTTGCATCGCGAGGACGCGTTTCTTATCGAACAAAGTAGTAAAAAGAAGAGCAAGGCGAAGTGCAAGTGGAAGGGATCAAGAACTTTTATTGTTACTAGCTCAATGTTCCATGCGTATATCCAAACTAATACCACCAGCGATAGAGGGATGCCATGACGTATCTTGAGTCCCGAGCAAGAACGCAGTTTGCTGCGATGGAACATGAGAAACAGGGACGTTAGCTCGTCCAAGACGTCGCAATGCTTGGCTCATGGCGCTCGTCTCGGACTTTCTCGCAGCCCATTATGTCGAAATTTTGGAGATTTTTCCAATTTCTTCTCATTTTCACAATCCGCATTTGATGGACTGAAAGAGTGATACATTTGTCAAATTCATCGTCTCTAGACTGACGCGCCAGACGACGGCGCCGTCGAGACAGTCGACGCGACCTCGGGCTCGGGCTCCATCTGCGCAATGCGCTTGTATTGGTTCATCCACATGCGCCGGCGGACAAAGTGGGTGCGCCCCATGTCCTTGCGCCACGGCCCCTTGCACGTCGTCGCATAGAGCCACCCGTTCTGGTCGCCGTGCACGACGTCGTAGCTCCACTGCCCGCACGGCTTGTAGCCTTCACGGCACGGCGGCAGCGCATCTTTGAAGGTCGCCCCGCCCTGCTTCGTGTCTGGGCAGTACCACGCAGGCCGATCGCCGAGGGTCTCGGCAAGGTAGTTCTTGGACCACGAGTTGTTGGTCGAGAGCCAGCGCTCGAGTTCCCACACTTCCTGCGTCAACGACGACGCGGCCGCCCACTCGGTCAGGAAGCAGATGGACATGTGCAGCTTGGAGGCGACCTATCGACAATCAGAAAATAAGATCTGAGAAAGTATTCGAGATCGTACGTTTTGGGCGGCGTAGCTCTCGGGTACGTTGAGGTCGTACGCTTGAATCTTGGCGTCTTCGATGGTCGTTGCGCCGGTCCACTGTGTCATATCCAACTCGATCGAGCCAAGGAGGTCATCGGCGCTGAGCGCGTCAAAGTCCATGACGCGGATGGTGAGCGTCTTGTGCATCGCGAGGTCGGACTCGGTCACAACAAACTCGTACTCCTCGTGCTTCCACGTCGGGTTGAGATTCTCATCGACGACCGGCGACCGCCGGCGCTGGCGGCCAAACTGGAGGCTCACGTACGGATCGCTGAGACCGCCGCCGCCAAGCGACGAGTCGGCGGCCGCGAGGTCTTCAGCGCGATCGAGGCGGATGCGGATGAGGCGCGACGGCTCTTTCGCGGCGCCGTGCTTCTTGCGCTTGACCTTCTCAATGTGCGCTTCGGCGGCGCCAATGCAGTTCTCACACGACGATGCTACGATGCCCATGGTCCTCTTGTCTTGCCGGGCAAATGCAAACTGGCATTTGCGTCGCTGATTGGCTCGATCCTAACAGCCCATCAGAGTTGAAGTGGAGACCACGCATGCGTTGAGGGAGTTGCCCACAATCCCCTGCACTGCATCATTTTCCGATAAATTACTGGAGACGGATGGAATCTGTCCTGCACGTGGCAGGATCCTAGACACAGGCGGCGTGGTTCTCAGGGAATCTCTCTCTGGAGGACTGACCTCCCATGTTACATGGACACGACACTGCGATGGCCAAGGAGGAGGGTGGTCGAGAAGGTGGTGGCGATCAAGGGAATCTTGGTCTAGACGAAGAGTTAATGAGGAAGATGGTTATATAGGTTAATGATACTACTAGCTAAGAGTTTTGTTTTAAAACTGAAAGTCGTCCCGCTTGTACGCGTTGATCCAGCGGCGGCGGCGGACAACGTGCAGCATGTTGGGCACCTCGTACCACGGACCTGCAAACGTCGGGCCGTAAATCCACCCATCCTTGTCACCAATGTGCTTGACGTAGTGCCACGTGTTGATCGGCTCGTAGCGCGGCGGGATCGTCGGGATCACGTCCTCAAACTTGGTCGACGATTGACTGCCGTCGCTCGAGCTCCACTCCTTCGGGTCGGTCTCGCTCAAGTTGGTCTTGGCCCACGTGCGGCGCGTGCGGCTCCAGCGCTCGTTCTCCCAGACCTCGAAATCGAGGAGGGCGACGGCCTCGACCGGCGTGAGCAGCGCAATCGACATAAACACTTGCGGCGACACGCGCTGCGACTGGAAGCGCTCGACGACCTTGACAGCGTACGGCTTGATGCTGTCTTCTTCCTTCTTGAGGCCCCTCGCGACGGTCGAGAGCGGGATGTCGATGACGCCGAGTTGGTCGTCAAGCCGAAAGTTGTCGTCGTCCCAGACTTCGATGCGCAGAATGCCACTCGTGTCGTTGACGCGGAACTGGAACGTCTCGTTGGACCAGATCGGGTTGAGGTTGGACGCGATGCAGGGCGTGCGGTACGTCTGGTCGCCGAGGGTGAAGATCAGGTACGGGTCCGACTTGCCGCCCGTGAAGGCCATGTCGGCGACCGGGAGGTCCGTCGCCTTGTGGAGCTGCACCTTGAGGATTGATGACATCTTGGCAAACGAAAAAGAAAAATGAACCAAATTCGCAGGCCACCTCGCTGAGAAAGGGATTGGAGCCAATCAAAAGGCGGCAAAAATCATGTGGCCACTCCGATTGGCACACGATCGGCTTGATGGCGCCTTGGACAGATCCTTGGATTTGACGACCCATGGCAACGTAGCTGGGCACGTTGCACGAGCTCAACTGTTTAGTCGATAATAGTCGCATACTTTTTAACGTAGATTGCCGAAACTGAGGGAAATTCGTTCAGAGACAACGCCATGGCTTGTCGCCAGCAGCGTCGCAAAATTAGTCTTGAGCGCGATTGTGTTGCCGGTTGTTACCAAAGGAGCAATCCAAACCGTCCTTCGATGCGCACCGTCGCAAGGCCACGCTATCGTCTATCGAGAAAGAGAGGAAGGAATCATTGGAACTGGCTCACAAGCGTCGACGAGGTTAGTCGATTAATCGACGTGGTCGATACTTTAGTGCGCGAGGGCAAGAGTAAAACATTCAAGCGCCCAATTTTTTCGATTTTTTATTGGAAATACCCAACTTTGCACCAAAGAAGAAGACGCATGCGCGGTGGCCACCATGAGCGCCCAACACAACCTTCTTGCATCCACGAGCCGATGAACCTGACGACGCAGCATGCAAGTATGACACGCTGTGCTCGTCGTCGTAAGCTGTCACGAGGGTGGCGCGAACGAGATCGGTTGTGATTGGCCAAAGCTGCGGCAGATTTTGATGGCGGCACCCAATCACAGAGCGTTTTTGCCGATCCAGACGGGCGCAACGGTGCAAGAGAGCATGCCCTGTCCCCACCCCGAGCCATTCTCGAACGATGCGCGCGCCGTGTCTCCTCGTATGGCTCTCCAGCGTAGCTGCGGCTGCGTCGCACGAGTCGTGGTCGACGACCGTGTCGTCCGAGGCCGGTCGCCTTCTCGAGGCCGCCCACGCTCTCCGGTACCTCGACGCCATGGCTACTCATGCTCAACCAAACACTAGGACCGTGGACCAACACAATGCTACAGCATTGTACACGCAAATCACTGCCATGGGCGACGCGGCAGCGACACGTAAAGCTCTCTACGCGTTGGGAGACCTCGCGTTTCCCAGTGCGGCCGCTCAGAGCTTGTTCGAGCAAAGCGCTGCCCTTGGCCACGCGGGGGCGCAGCACACGCTTGCGCTCCTTGCCGCAGTGGACGACGCTACGCCGTCGCTGGCGACTTCTGTGCTGTACGACGCCTTTTCTGCGGCCGGTGGCGACTCGCGGGCGGCGCAAACCCTCGGGTACCGATCTCTGTACGGTCTTGGCGCACCCCTCTCATGCGCGGCTGCCTTGCAATACTACAAGCAGCAAGCGGCAATTGTGGTGCGAGAGGGCGCCGCTATGGTCGCCGGCCAGTGGCGCAAGCCGATTTCCCTTGTCGACGACGATGACCGCAACCCTACTCTCGACCAGTACAAGCTCACGTACGTGGCAGCGTCGGCGATCAGCAGCAAAGACGGCAAGGTGCTTTTCCGCGCCGCCAAGCATCTACTGCAGCGCGGGAACATCGACTTTCTTCTGGTTCGGCACTGGCTTGTGCTCGCGCTCACATTTGGTGAGACGCCTGCAGCTGCGTACCTCGGTCACTTTTACGCCTTTGGCTGGGGCGGCCCCATCAACTACGCCAAGGCGCTCGCCGCGTACTTGATCGCCAAGGACGCCAAGGGCGGCGAAGCGCTTCTCGGAATCGGCCTTCTCTACTTGCACGGCCACGGTGTGGCGCAGAGCACCGAGTTAGCCCTGGAGCATTTTGACAAGGCAGCGCTGCAAGGCCACGCCGAAGCCATGTACTACGTCGCCCGCATCCTCACATCCAAGAAGCAGCTCAGCCTTGCCGCTCGGTACTACGAAGCCGCGTCCAAATCGGGCCACGCCCTTGGCATGCATGCGTATGCCGGGCTCATCGAGAAGACGTCGATCCACCCGTTTCTGCGCACGTGTGCGCTTGCCGTAACCCTCTACAAGCGCGTGAGCGAAGCCAGTGTCCACCCTTGGCTCGACCGCGCACATGCGGCTTTTCACCGCGGTGACCATGCGACCTCCTTTCTTCTCTACCGTCTCGTGGCCGAAGAAGGGTACACAACGGCGCTGGACAATGCTCTCTGGCTCGTCCACGAAGGCTACGTGGTCGCCTCAGGTACATGCTCTTTCTGCGTATAGCAGGGGTCTCATTGGCCGTAGATGCTGTGCGCCATCGGCTCGTCGAGCGCGCCGCCGCCCAAGGCAGCGGGCTCGGGAAGCTCCTCCAAGCCGACGCATGGTTGAAGGCTGGCGACCATAAGCGCGCGCTCGTGGCCTACGCGTCGCTCGTGACAACCAAGACGCTGTCGTACAAGCACATTGCGCCGGCCTATTATAGCCTGGGCTACATGCACGAGATGGGCCTTGGTGTGCTTCGTAGCCGCGCGCAAGCACTCGAGTACTACCGTCAGTCGATTGCTGTCGAACGACGCGTGCAGCTGCCCATCGAGCTCTGGACGTGGAAGTGGGCGCTGCTCGATGTCCTCCGCTCTGTTCTTGGGGAGTCGAGTTGGTGGGTCTGAGAACTGGGGTGACCCACTAAATGTGAAAAATGTCATTTCACGCATTGCCAATGGCAAAGTCACGCGTGAATTAAGAAAAACACGTGATTCGTATGCAAACAACCCTCGACTTGTGCCAATCCCCACCTCCGACAAGCAGACGACTGCATGAGCTGGCAGCACGCGCTCCAGTTCCAACGAAATACCAAGGTCGCGAGGCTCGATTCATAAGTGTTGAAACTTCAATCCTGTGATATTTCTCAGCCCAAGCTCTCAGCCCATGTTCTCAGCCCTTGGCGCGAACAGCAAGGACGACAAATGAACGACGAACCAGAGAGAAAAGCTGGCAAGCCCGTATTATTATTCGGCCTTGCCCGACACCTGCGTCATCACTGTGGCCTTGGGCTGCGCTTGGCTGATGTAGTTGGCTGGAAGATAGGCGCTTGGGCTCAAGGCGCGTCCTATGTCGTGCAACGTGATGATACTTCTGCGCGGTTTACGCGATTGCGAAGGTCACGTGCGGCCGTTGGATTGGGTTCCTGCGGCCAAATCGCAGCGAAATCGGAACGTGCGATGCGTGAAAAACAACTATTTTCACCATTTTCACACGGCCGAGCCAGGGATTCCCACCCTAGTTATCTTTTTTCGTCGTCTTGGAAGATGCTGGCCCAGTACGACGGGGCAAGCCCGTGCCGCCACTGCCTCGACGAGCCCGCGGCCGCGTCGACCATGTCGTCGACCTTCTTCATGGCCTCGTGTCTCTTCCTCTTTGGCTTCCTCTGCTCGTCCATCCACACGAAGTCGAGCGCGGCGGCGCACGACACGCAGCTCTCGCCGTTCATGCGGCCACGACGCCGGCCGCTGGCGCCCGAGGTCCGCACCCTCGCGCCCACAACCGATGTCATCGAAAAGCAGTATGGCGCCTTTGTCAACATGCCACTCACGGTACATCGATCCTACATGCAACAACGTCGGCAAGCGATGCATGTAGGTCATCCACGAGGTGCTCTTGTTTCTTGACGCCCGCGACCTCGTGCCATGCACGATGCTCAACACCACATGGCACCACACGCTCTGCGATACCGATACGATGCTGTGGTCGCAAGTGTTTCGGCGCGACTTTTTCGAGGACGGGTCGCGCTTCCACGCGCCGTGCGGACTCTCGTGGCACGAATACTACTTCCAGCACCGCCTCAACCGCCCGATCGAGCGCATGAAGCTGCTCGTGGGCCGGCAGTGCGTCGCGGTCGAAGGCCACGTGTACGACGTCACGGACTTTCTGTACGAACACCCTGGCGGGCACCGCGTGATTGCAGACGTGCTTGGCACGGACGCCACGTCGGTCTGGCTCGAATTTGAACATTCGGAGGGCGCCCAGCGCGCCATGGACGCGCTCCGCGTGCCCGACGACATTTGTCCGGCGTTCCCTCTCCAAGGCAACCTCGAGCGCATCGCGGACCGGCGGCACGGCTTCTTCCAGCGCTGGCTGCGCAAGGTCGTGCCGTCGATCCGACAACCAACTCCCAGTCCGTAACAAATAGCTCAATGAATGTGCAACCATAAACCACAACACTTGTTGGACATATTGGACGAAGGCAAGACTAGGGGTTGACCTCGGACGTCTCTTGAAGAATGTCGATGATCGACGTTGTCGTGCTTACGACAAAAGCGACGGCCCCGAACGCGAGCGCGAGCCACGGCACTGCGCAGTCGTGCCAGCGACTGTAGCTCTCCGATGGCACGCCGAGCTTGAGGTGGCACGCGGCCGGCAGCACGAACGCCAGCGCCACGGCGCTAAACGACCCGGTCAAGCTCGTAATGTCGCCAAGGTGCGGGTCGATGAGCGCAATGAGCACCGTCGCCGCGAGGAGACTCATCGTGAAGAAGACGTGCCAGCGCAGCGAGAACGCCGCGATGCGCGCGTGGCAAGGACGATTCGAGACAACTTGTCCTTTTTCTTGCTCGACGAAAAGCCGCGCCGCGTCCTCCTTGTGGTCGAGAAGGATCTGGAGCGTGTAGCGCGCGACCATAAACTATTCGGTCGTAGTTTCGTCCGTGCAGGCGTCGTTTGTGTATTTACCTCTTGGGGGTACGTGAGCACCATCGAGAGGACCGTAATGACGCGGCAGACTTGAATCACGTGGTCGCTACGGTCGATATAAGATTTATGTCGCAGAGGGCTAGGCGATGACGAGGTGTCGGTAAAGTTGACAAAGATGTCGCTGCGCGTGTGCTTGAGAAACATGAGGTACCCGGGCACCCCAAAGAGCACAATGAGCAGGAACGAGGCGCCGACACTCCACTTGGCGACTCGGCGAAAGTGCGCGGGCGACTTGTCGAGCATCGTGTTGTACACGAGGTACGTCTGGTGCTGGCACACGTACGCAAAGGCAATCGTGCCAATCGCAGGAAAGATCTTGCGGTGCACGGCAACGTAGTCGTAGAAGACGCCGCTGTCGTCGACGAACGGGAGGCGGTCGGCCTCCGAGATGCACTTGTAGAGAAGACAGCCCGCGCAGACGACCATGCCTATGATCGAGAGCCCCGAGCACTTGGCCAAACTCGCAAAGTCGCGCTGTAGGCAAAGCGGCAGGAGAAGCAGCAGCGCCTAGCCTCGTCCATCGATACTGCGTGCGATACACTATAGTATGTACGTACAATGGCCATCACGGAGAGATCTCGGTCCGTCATGACGCGAAGCCATGTTGGCGCGGAGGCCGACAGAACGGGATGGCCGTGTTGGAACGGCAGGTGCAGCACATGACCTGCACTGAGTCAAGCAAGAGAGCGTGAGCAGAACGCGTACCAATCAGCGGGGGCACCGTGTCGCCCACGACCGTAAGGTACGAGCAGTTGGCGCCAAATGAGAAAGTGAATTGGAAAAAGCACACGACAAGATAGCCCCGCGGCCCGAACGCCGCTTTCGCCAGATTCTCGTACGTGTCGACGTTGTAGACGTCGCCGAGGCGCACAATGACGTTCATCGAGTACATGGTGAGCGCCGCGCCGAGGAGGAGGAGGCCCAGTACGGGCGCGAAGCCGCCGTCGGCCATCGCATGCGGAATTGCAATCACGCCGGCGCCGACAATTGAGTTGGTCAAGTTCATGGCGACACCCCACGTACCGCTTGCCTGGTGGGCGACTTCCGGCGGTGGCGGGCCGCCCATATTGTCGTCATCGATCTCGGCCGCATAGAGCACCGCCGTGCCATGCAGGATCGGCTGGCTCTGGCCCTTCCGCGACTTGCGGCCCATGCGAGAAATACGAAAATTACTCAAGATATACAACGGCGGCCGTTACGCCCGCCTGTTTCGAATTTGCGTTCTCGCGTGTCGCGCTGCCACGTCATCGACGCAGACCACCACCCGGCGACATGTATCCAAAGACGCTCCACCTGAAGACACCACGTGAAGACAACAACGCATTATTAAAGGGTCGGGAGATCCGGGAGGTCGTCGCCGCGCTCCCACTGCGCGAGCTGGTGCTCGTGGCTTTGGATGCGCTGGCTAATGTTGGCCAATTCCTGCGCCGCAAAGTCGGCCATGAAGCCCGAGATGTCGGCGTCGGCCTGCCAGACGAGCCACTTGATGTCCATACGATTGGCCTCGTGGTGCTTCTTCCAGTACGCTTCGCTCGACTCGTCGTACACAGTGGCTGGCACGGGTCGCTTGACCAGCTTTTTCTCATCCGCGTCTTTATGACGACGGTCCCTTGGTGCCTCTTTCACCGCACTGGACGGATCGACGGCTTCACGCGGCTTGTGCTCGTCGTCTCGACGTCGCGTTGGCTCGGCCGGCTTTGTGTCGGAGGCAGTACCCTGGCGGCGCTGCCGCGTCTCGGGATGGCTCTTCTCTACGTCGTGCACTCTGGACGGGGGATCGCGACTTGGGCGCCGCGCTGGGCTCCGGCGGCGGTCCTCGCGCCGTGGACTTGCTTGGCGTTCAGAGTGTCGATGGCTCTCTTGAGCACGCGGCTCTGTTGCGCGGGGCGGGACGGGGCGCCGTTCGCGGCTTGAAGCTCGGTCCGCGTTACGAAGTCGCGGACTCGAGTTGTGGCGTTCTTCCTGTCGTCGAGAGCTTGTTGATTCGTATTGCTGCTCGGCGCGGGGTGCATCTCGACTCTTCGGTTCTCGTGATGGCTCGTCGTTGCGGCGCGCATCATGGCCCCGACGGTCGTCACGATCGCGGGAGCTGCGTTTCTGTCCACCGCTCCGAGCGCTGTACGCATCGCGATCTCCATCTTGTCGCGGTCTTCGGTCGAAGTGGTCGTCGTGGTGGGCATATCGGCTCCGGTCCGACCGGCCGCGAGACCGGTCGCGGGATCGGTCGCGGCCCGAGGCCGGTCGTGGCGACGACGAGCGGTCCCGGCGGCCACCGCGCGAAGCGTGCGCATGCTCTCGCCGATCGTCTACCCGCGAAGACCCTACGGAGCGCCATGAGCCTTCCAGCAAGCGGTCCATGACCGGTACCTCGGCCGTCCATTTCCGCTTTCCGCTGCCGCCAGCTGGCGGTTTCCGCATAAAGCCTATACATTATCCGGATTTCGCTCGGCGTTCGCAACCAGATTCGAAAGTTTGATGCAAGCGCAAGGTTTCTTCTTATTTCCTTATGCCACAGCTTAGAGCGCCGATGACGCTGCGTGCGTCGCCGCAAAGTTGTCAAAGCGGCGCTTCATGGCCGTGAAGGGCACCATCGGCGTCGCCTCGCCCAAGAACGAGACCGCAGCGTCTTCAAAGCGCACGAGCACGAAATGCTCGTTCGTCGTCGAGTCTTCGTAGATCTCCATGGCGAGGACCGCGCCGTAGTTGGGAATCACGTTGCCGATCTGCAGCCCCAGCGCACACACGAGGGCGACGAGCGTGTTGTCGTGGGCGGAGATGATGGTCAAGCGGTGGTCAATGTCCTTCTGCGCAACGGATGAGGATCACGATCCGCAGCACCACATGAAGTCCATACCTCGACGATGCTTTCGAGGTGCGCTTGGATCTCGGCGAGGCCGCGTACAAACCCGCGCTGTGCTTGCATCGGGTCGCTGTAGAGAAGGTGCCACTCCCACGCGTTGTGGTCGCACGCCGCCTCGTACAGCGCATCGTGCAGGCCGTCGGGCACGGGCAGCCCATGGGCCTTTCGGCACACAAGCATGTCGCGGACTAATGGAACATGCAACGAGCGTTCAAGGATGCATTTGGCAGATATACGAACGCACCGACGGTCCAATGCAGCGCTTGGTCGTCGGGGATCGCAAGCAGCGCCTTCATCTCGGCTTCCAGCGCTTCGTAACCAGGTCGTGTGGCGTGCGCGACTGCGTTGGCGTGGAGACCAAAGGCCTTGTACTCGAGGCCTGTGTGAATCGGCGTCAGAAACTGCGGCGCCATCGTGTGTACTTGGAAGCGCGGTGCGTCCGGGAAGAGACCGCGCACAACAGATTGCGCAGACCGGATCGTGCGCGTGATGTTGGTCGAGACGATGTACACGTCGGTGGGCGTGGCGTCGTCGAGAAAGTGGTCGTAGCGCTCGCGGAGTGCCTGGCCACGACGCACCATGCGGTCCATTCCGCGGCGCGTGAGCTGTCCGAGCGGCCAAACGCCCCCGTGCTTGGGCTCATCTTCCGTGTGCACGGTCGCGGCCGCGTCCAAGATGGCAATGTCATCGGGCGTCAAGAGCTGCGACGCCCAGTACGCGCGCTCGGTCTCGTCGATGGAGAGCTTGGGCGACACATGCGAAGCGATGGGCGACCGGTCGCCGTGGCGATGCATGACCACAACGTGGCGCAAAGCCAGCGAGCCCGGAGCGTCGGCCATTGTCGTCGCCGTCGAACTTCGCTGACAACTGCAACCTCGGAACATCAATATACGTCGTACACTACCTCCGGCTACTTCAGAATCTGAAATAGTGTGCGATATACGTGGCAGCACGGTGGCGTTGACTGACGAAGTGCTGCAATTTCAAATCATTTGCATCCAGGCGAATAAGCCCCATTGATGTCACCCCAACTTTGTTTCTACTACATAGCGCCTTCTCCAGCCACCACACGCACAACGATTCTCGCCGAGCTTCGAGCTCCCTTCGCCGGTCGTTGTGATGCGGCGTGCAGCCAAACGACCCGCCAATGGAAGGCGACGCAACCATTCCATGACCTCCATGCGTGCAAGCAAGTGCACTGCGCTTACCGCTCCAGTGCCAAGATCCAGAATATCTAAGCGGTGATGGTGGCCGCCCACCATCACCGCTTACCAAAATGTGTGGTTCGGATTCCCACACATTTTGGTCTCTCAGATCTGAACCTTGCCACAATGTGCACAGCTCACGTATCGAGACATGTCACGACACTCGCATGCAAGCTACTGGGTACGAAGATTGTTCCACGTTGCCAGTGAAACGGTAGCTGGTGATGTGATTTTAGCACGCTTCGACACTCGTTCCAGCGCCGTTTCATCCGGCTGTGAAAACGAATATCAATACTGAATGGGCCAATCCCAGGCGCGGAATACATTATACGACGATCTGATTGGTGATTAAAACCCTTGCGCAACACGTAGGTGGTCCTGAGTTGCCAAAATGGCCTGCCACGAAGCGGCGCACGTGGCCGACGAGCAACTCCTGCGGCTCGTCCGCAGCCGCGCCATCCAAAAAGCGAGCCGCGACCGCAAGAAGTCAAGGTATCTCGCGACAACGGCGACCGTCGAGACGCTCCGTGACGAAGTCGCGCGGCTCCAAGGACGCATGGCAAGCCTCGTGCGGCGTGTACCCCTCGCGTACGTGCTCTGCGTCCAGCCCAACTTTGACGGTGGGCCCACACTCAAGATCGCCCGCCAATATGTCACGCTTTTCAAGCACGTACGCGCAATGATCTCGTCCTAGACCACTGCCAACGCTACGATGTGTACTAGGGCTACAACGACACGAAGCGCAAGCAAAGCGCCAAGCAGCTCGCGTTTCTCACTGGGATTGCCGCCGCCAACGTCCGCTACAATGGCGGCATTGGTGTCCAGAGCATCTTGAGCAACTGGCTGCGCTACACGACGACGTTCTCCGGTGTACGACCGCATGTATACGGGCGCGCGCATCATCCATGTGTAGGTGGTTATCGAAATGCAAGATTGCGCGGTTCTCAAGACCGACGACGGGCCGATCGTCAAAGGCGTCGTCAAGTCGAATCTCAAAATCACACAAAGCTCCATTCGAACCATCTTCCCCTACTGCCCCGACCACCTCAAGCCGCAGCTCGTATGACTCGCAATTAAAGGCCTCGCATCAGATATGCATGGCGCGTAGATTGGCCAGGTCATGACGCTGTACGTAACCATGCACTGGAGCTTTGACGAGAGCGATCGCTTGATCGCAATCGACGGCGCTGGCGACTTTGTCTCGGGCCTTCGACCGATCTTGAGAAGCATTGAAGCGGTCGCAGCCGTCCTCAACATGGCTGCCTTTTACGGTCCCGAGTCGGCCATCTCAGTTGCGCGTTCGACTTGACTTCTTCGAAATTACGTTGGTCAAAAGCTTGATGCTATATGAATCAATGCCAGTACATGCGTGCTCCTTGAATGCACGTCAACAAGCACAGTCCGTCGTATCGAGACGAAGCATTATTGGGGCTTCAAGTCGACTCGACTCACATCGCTTCGGTCCAGCACCACGGCCTCGCCGAGGCTGGCCGCCAATTTGGCTTGCTCGGCGAGGGCCTGCAAGCGCTGGTACTCGGCGCGCTGCGCGGCCACTTTCTCCTCGGCCCGCTTTTCGTCGGCTGTCTTCATCTTGGTTTTCAGAATGATGTTCCAGATCAAGTCGGCGACAAACGTTGGGAGCCAGACAGTGTCCGTGTACTAGACGACGCAACCGTCCATACCAGCCCCAGCGCCGCCTTGAGTACCTTGATGAGATCTCGTACGCACTGCGTGTGACCGCGCACGGTCGCCCATTCGAGCGAATTCAAATTTGCCTACGGACGTAATGGTCGTCTTCGTGGGTCGTGCTCACGTACGTCGTAGTCGGCGATGAGAAGGTCTTTGAGATCGCCCGCTTGAAGAAGTGCAATGGCCACTTGGGCGTGGCCTGCATAGCACGCCAAGTGTCTACACGCGTTGTACTACCTTTGTGGACAACATGTCCTACAGCGGGATACTGCCGTTCTACAGCACAAACGCGTGCCAAATTTGTGAGACGAGGTAGCGTACGTCGTCCTTAGTGTAGACGCTGGCGCCGTGGGCCAAGAGAAAAGCCACTGCCTCCCTCGACCCCCCTTTTGCCGCCCTACGCGACACCTTGCACCGAGCGAGCCAGTGTCTTGAGCACTACATACCAATGCAGTGGCGTCTGGTGCATCTAGAGCAACCTTAGAAGCTGCTGCCAAGAGCGGCGGATCTGGGTACCATCCATGGGTCGGCGGTCGTCTCGACGGCAATGCCTTCGACGCGCACGAGGTGCTGTAGCCGGAGCATGTTGCCTTGAATCGCCGACCAAAAGATGTCGCTGCACACTACGCATGGCGCTTGTGTGGACATGATGGCGCCTCGAAGCCCGTACCGACTTCAGACGTCGCGCAGACGTAGTTGTCGAACGGCGTCTTGACGCGGCGCGGCGCCGTGAAGATGCGAACTTGGATCGGCGCCTTGCGTCGCATCGCACGCAGCTTCTTGAGGCTCAGTGCCACCATGGCGCGTTCGTGCTGAAAGAACCCGGGCGTGACAGGCACCACGTCGCGCTTGGCCTTGACCTTCTTCCGCTTCTCTTGCTACGCCCCGTCGGTACGATTAGCTTGACACATGAGAGGTACCCGACGCGTCGCGACCGATGGTGTTGGAGTTGGAGTGAGCTCGGTGCTGTCGACGGCAACGCTGGATGGTGTGCTCGTCGGCGGACTGCTGCTGCTGCTCGGTGCGGCCGGTACCTCGAGCGCACTGGCTTCCAACGTGAGCATGTCGCCCGGCGCCTCGTCATCGCCTTCGGGAAGCGGATCCAAGGGCGGATCAAACTCATCGCCGGTGGTGGCACCATTGTGGCCTTCGTCGTCGGTGCTGAGGAGACCGAGATCGCTCTACACGCCTCCGTCACGCCAAGACGTAGTCTTCACAGCTGTACAGAAGAGGCAGCGTCGTCGTCGCCGGTGGCAGCGCCGCCTTCGCCGTGGCTCGGAGCGTTCTATCCCATCTCAAGTCCATGCCATTGCGCTACAGCGTACGTTGTCGTCGGGCGCGTCCTCGGCGCTCGGTGGCGGTCGCGCCGCTTCAAGATCCATGACGCGAAAATGGGGACGAAGAGGTTCAAGATTGAGTACAATACACGGTCTAACTAGGAAACAAATCTACTTGCACGCCTTTTGGTTCTTCGAGTCGCAGAGCACGGCGCGGTCGACCGAGATGGTCTGCTGGTACGGGTTGTAGCGCGCGTGGAACGGCTTCTTCATGTCCTCGCAGAACTCGCGCATGCGCTCCTTGGCGTCCGTGAGGCTCTCGGCCACATAGTACACGGGCTGGTACGTCGTGATCGGGTACTTTTGCTTGGCCGCCTGGTACGGGTCCCACGGGCGGTACTCGGGAAAGACGTCTTCGCCACCCGCCGGGCGACTCGGCGAGCACGAGTACTCGAGCTCGCCAAAGCTCGAGAGGAGGCCGGCGCCATACGCCTTCTTCTCGCCGTGCTGCATGCACACGCCAAACTCGACCGAGAACCAGTAGCACGTCGCGAGGCGCTCAATCTCCTCGTCCGAGGCACCGAGCGATGCAAGACCAATCTCGTGCGAAAAGTCGGCGAACGCCGGGTCCGCAAACATGGGCGCGTGGCCCATGAGCTCGTGGCAAATGTCGGGCTCGGGCGTGTAGAGCGGCATCGTGTGGTGGCGGAGGTACTGCGTCGAGAAGAAGACGCGGAACGCAAGGCCGTTCAGAAAGTCGCGCGACGAGAGAAGACCGGTCACCGGGCGCAGCGTGAAGCCCGTGCACTCCTTGAGAAAGTTGGAAATGTCTTGGGCCTGGGGAATGTTGTCGACCGCGTACCCGCAGTTGGTCTCGAGGAGCGGCAGAATGTACTTGAACTCGTCGCACGCGTACTTGCCCCAGAGGTCTTGCATGCGCTCGTACACGAGGCCCCATGTCTTGATTTCGTCCGGCGTGTATTCAATGCGCGGGATCTCCTGGCCTTGGCGAAAGTTGAGCGCGACTTCCGTGAGCTGGTCGCGGCGGGCGCGGTACACCTTGTCGTTGAAGCCCGGGTGGTCGCACTCGAGCTCGTCGCCGGCGTCCAGCGTCTGCGCCACCGACATGTCCAAGTCCGCAATCTTGCGCGGGAACCACGGCACTATATAGCATACATATGAGCGGTCATAGTCATGCAACATGGGCGAGACGTACCCTTCTTCTCGTTGAGGATCATCATGCTCTTGCAGTGGCGCTTGAGGTCGTCAAGAAGTGCGTCGACGCCGTCGTCACCCGGACGCCCGTCAAAGTCGATGAAGAACGAATAGTCGGGCGACGAGCCCTTGGTCGGGCGCGACTCGATGCGCGTCATGTTGATGTCATGCTTCCAGAAGAACTTGAGCACGTCCTGGAGCGAGCCCGGGTTGTCGCCAACTTCGAGCATGAGCGACGTCTTGGGCTTGTTGACATGCGTCGTCGTCGACGCCACGGGCGTCGCGGTCGCAAAGTGGCGGCCAAGGAAGGCCATGGCCGGCGCCTGCTGGCGCAAGGTCATTGCGCGGGGCAGCGCCGTCAGAGCGGTCAGGCGCGCGGGCTGGCGGGCCACGAGGCGAGCGGCCTTGGTCACCGTGTTGCGGAACATGCTGCGAAATGAAAACTGACCGACGCCATCTTGTGGTCAAAACCGCTGCAAAAACACGGTGGGCACAGGCGGACCCTAGCTTCAGGTCTGAAACAAGGCCATTCTATGTTCAATTCGGTCATTTTCGGATGTTTACAAGCCAGCGCTCGTGTGATTGTCTATCGATTTGTATGCAGGTCATTTTCCGGAGCGGATTCCGGAAGGCGATTTGTGCGTCGCGCCAGCTGGCGCGCGTTGGGACTTGAACTTGCTGGAATGCGCGCTACGATTGGCATGGAGGGCTCGTGTCCCACCCAGCCGACGTCCTTGCCTTGCGTCATGGGTTCCGCGCACGTTGAGAGGCTCCTCAAGCAGGTGCAGGACGATAAACGAAGTCCGAGCCACGTGGCCGGCACCGCCACGAATAAAAGCCACGGTTGCTTGTGGCGGCCACTGACCACTGAATATTCCAGTGGCCGACAACAGCCGTGCGTGTCTTTGCAGGTCGTTTGGTCGGTCGAGCCCACGACGACGACGACGACGGTCGATGCCGACGCCGCCGCGCAAGTTCAAGCGCAAAGGTATCTTTTCGGAATTCCGTTGGATCTTGCATCCACTCTGGAGTGACAAGGGGCACTGTTTACAAATGCCTTGGCGACGGCATTTGTAAACGGCAATGTTTACAAATAGCTCGCGCCGGGCCCGGCCGTCCCAGAGAATCAATGAAATGACGAGCTTGGGCCAGAGCCCGCATGCGGGATGCACGCCCTGGGCCTCTGGCCGCGTGGCAACGCCAGCGGTCTGAGAAGACGCCGCGTCACATGCAGTGCCCTTGGCGGCCGATCCCAATCTTCCGGTACTTGCGTGCGTCTCGTCGACTCGAGTTGGCTGCTTTCGCATCAACTCGATGCTTTCGCGTTAACATGGAGACAATATTACGCTTGGTCTTTAGCCACTCAACTCGCTGCTCATCAAGTGTGCTGGAAAGCGTCGGGTGTGGCGTGGTGCGGAAGCTGCTCCAGCCGCTCGCGCGTCGCTTGGAAGGTGTCGAGTGTAATAGGGCCGAGCTACGAATGACAGACGCCGATCAGTTCTGAGAGCGGTACATTCCCACTATATACAAAGCCAAGTCCAAGCTGGCACCGGCGCACGTTGTTGGGTCCTGGCAGAAGAACATCGAGAAGCGCGGCGTCGTGCTGGGGAATACGCTCGATGACCGTACCCACGAGAAGAAGCCCGTGCTCTCGAAGCGTGGGAGCGCAAGACGAGTCAGCTACGTAGACGTAGACGATGTCATTGCGCTACGCTCTTGTCGTTCAGCAGCCAGCGGATGTGGGCGCGGAGACCTGGGCAAACCAGCCTCGAGGGGGCGGCGCGACGATGCACTCTTGTGGCAGCAGCGCCGTCCTGGGCATCGGGACATCCTTCTCGATGCTGTCGCCTTGGACATGCACGAGAACCATGTCATCGTCGAGCGCCTCGACAATAGTCCCGAGGTACCACACATGGAGCCACCGCTTGAGGACGAGCATCGGCGGTCGCTGATCCTGAGCGGTCGCCAACGGTCGGCCCAATCAACGCCCACCATATCCAAACCATAGCCAATCAAAACGACGTCTTCGAGATTGCACTTGCTCGATATCGAAGCTTCACTTGCCAAGGCGACGATGGAGGCAAGCGCGCCCGTCGAGATGGTCGAAGACGACGCGACTCTGTTGACGCCCAAAGCGGCGCGGCCATGGGGCGGCCTCAAGATCACGCAGTTTCGATCGCGCCGCGCGTCGACGCCCGAGCCCAATTCAAGTGCAACTGGAGCGCCCACGACGACGTATCACATCAAAGACTGCAAGCCCGACGTCGTCGCGCTTCTGCACCGGGCGCTGGACGAAAAGGACGCCGCCTTGGCCATGCAAGCCGTGACCACGCACCCAAAGCTTGTCGCGTCCCCGCTTCAGGTACATTCATCATCGCGCTGCACCTCATGCAGCTCCGTAGGACGATACGGTGCTCTTGCACCATCTTTGCCAGTGGCCGCAGATCGGAGCGGCGCTTGAGCTCTTACAGCACTGTGTGCACGAATATCCCGAAGGTGTCGCCTACATGGATAAGGTGCGGCTACGTCTCGCGCTGTGTACTCATGCAGTGCGTAGCGCGGTCGGGCGCCATTGCACTACCTCTGCATGAACCCGTCCGTGACCGTGCGTGCGATTCAAGTGCTCGTCGTCGCGTTTCCCGTTTCAGCGGCCATGTGCGACAAAGAGTCGTGCCTCCCGGTGCACTATCTGTGCTTGAACTCGAGCCAGACGATCGACATGACCATGATGCTGCACAACTACGAGACCTTTTCGCTGCGCAATCACGTACGCAGTAGGATGTGATGGCGGACACTTACGGCGGTTTAGGAGGGCCGCACGCCGTTGCACTGCGTTCTCCTGCGACCCGAGTGTGAGTTTGAACTCTGCGCGACCGTGCTCTCGCTAGCCCCCGAGACGACGTCCGTCGTCGACAGCGTACCCGTCCTGCTCTCGCTCGTCATTCCTCAAGTACTTGGATAGATGGGACGCACCATTTTGCACATGGTTGCAGCGCACCCGACCCACATTGAGAGCCAATTGCTCCAGCTGCTCTTGTCGCTGGACGTGAATGCCGCACAGCACAGTGACATGGTAGGACTTATTTCTTGGTTGACTATATCAACTTGATACATACCTAGCATGGACAGCTACCGCTGCACCGGGCGGTCGCCAACCCGAAGGTGACGGCGGCGGCGCTGCGGCAGCTCCTGCATGCGTTTCCTGGTGCCGTCGATGTCGTGGACGGCGTACGTTCTCGCTAGCGTATTTTGCACTACACTGTTGGCTCTAGCATGGCCAGTCGTCATTGCATCTGCTCTGCAGCAACGAAGCGCTCGCGATGAAGCTCGTCGTTGAATATGCGGCTGTTGCGACGAGCGTGCCGACGAGTTTGCTCTGGCTCGACGACGTAGCGCCTACACCGAATCAATAGCACGCGTCCAACAACCGACGACGTAGGAGGCATCCACGAGCTTGCACATTGCGTGCATGAACCCGTCGAGCTCACCAGAGATGATCCGCGCCATCTACGATCTGCACCCGGACGCCGCGACCGCACTCGACAAGGTACTTGCCACGCAATGGCTTGTGGTGTGATGCATCGCAACTAGTACGGGTGTACGCCGTTCCACTATGCGTGCAGCCATCCGAGCATCTCGGTCGACCTCGTGTGGCTCTTCCTCGACCATGCGCGCGCGATCACAAGTGTCGTCGACCAAGTAGAACGAGTTGATCGAGTTGTATCGATGGGCAACGGCGCATACGTAGCGAGGCAAGACGCCGCTGCACTACCTCGCCGCAAACCGCCACGTGTCCGTCGACATGATCAGCATCGTCTTTGATGCGGACCCGTCGGCCTCCCAAGTCACCGACCACGTACTTAGTACTCCGAATGACAATGTTGTACTGTCTATCGTGCGTAGGCCATGAAGCTGCCGGTGCACTACTTGATTGAGAACCCGTCGATTCCGTCCGCGCACGCCTACCGGCTCCTCGCTGGCGGCGCGTCGTACCGTCAGCGCTATCGCATTTCTGACCGCGCCGTCACTGAGTTTGCAACGACATTGTTCTCCCACGGGCCGCAGGGAGAACATGACGTGTGCTTCTCGGCCATCGACGAAGCTGTCGACGGCCATGACGACGTGCGTCTGCAGTACTGTTCGTCGAGCGCGATCCACCGCCATTTGATTGGGCTCTACACGGCGCTGCTGGCGACGCCGGTGCTCTCTTGTTGGTGCGAGCTGGCGTCTCACCACGCGCGTAGGCACCAAACGGCGTGGCCGTGCCAGCGCTTCGCGACACCTTTGAGAACGCGCGTCGCCGCATCCGCCTCCCAGCGTACGGCGCCTTTGACAAGTCTCAACTTGATACAGGGGTAGGGGTGCGTCGCGGACACTTGAATTCGGGCTCGTCACGTCGACCCCGCGCGCGACCGTGGCCACGAGCGGTGCAGTGGACCCCCGAAGTCTTCTCGCGTCCGTGGCAGCGGTGCTGCTTCATTGGCACGAGGTGGCGCGTGTCGTGCACGGCAACATTGTAGGCATCCCGCTGAGCTTCCTAGTACTTACGTGCTGTTCTAGTGCCCGGCGACCGTCGTGCAAGCACCGGTCGAGGACACGTATATGCTGCACCCGGCGCCGCACAGCGTCTTCATCGGCCAAGCCATTGCATCGTGGCTCGTCTTTCCGACCCAGAACGTATTGTACTGTGCGCCCGAGATGGCGGCGGCGTACCTCCAAGGCGAGACGCCGATACCGACTGCCGCGACCGACATGTGGCAGCTGGGCTGCACCATGTACAAATGACTGCACAAGGTGACAGAGGAAGAACCATGGACGTAGCTACTACGTGGCCACGGGCACAACGCTTTTGGAAGCGATCGCGCCGCACGCCGCCCTGTGCACGCCCGACCAAGTGCACCACCTGCTCTTGTCGATCAACGAGAGCGTGCTCGAGACAGTAATGCAGCGCATCGGACGCCACGATGTGCAGCGACTGGTCAAGCACCTCTTGGAGCTCTCGCCTTCTGCGCGGTGGACGGCTCGCCTCGTGGTCGTACGGCGCATCCTATACTTCCGAGCAATGGACAATGCAGCTGTAGGAAGCGACCGCGAGGCCGACCGACGTCTCGTTGCCGCCTCATGACACTGATGACGTACGCGCCTGCGCTAGACTCGTACGTGGGCGAAATTGGCAATGCCTCGTAGACTGCACTTGACGGACCTGCGATCGACGCTGCGACACTGCTCGTGCAACGCTTACGAGACGACGTTCAGATGCTAACGAAGGCGACCGTCGATGCCAAGACACGTCTCCGCCGCGTCGAGCTCGTGCGATCGACGAATGAAAGCAAGATACTGACGCGCGGTGGTGCTAGGACCGCGACCATCTTCGGCTGCAACTCTCGGAGCTTGTGGACCGACTAAATGCAATTTTGCTCGAGAAAGAGGAAGCGGTCCAGCAGGTCGCAGTCATGACCAAGAAGCGCGCGTCGCTCACGCAGCAGCTCGACACGATGGTGCACATGCTCATCTCGGTCATGCCCCTGGCGCAAAAGGTGGTTTTCGAGTTTCGAAAACTATCAATGTATCGAGGACTAGGTCTATGGCGCGATGGGCGACGATCTGCTCGCGCGGCTCATGTCGCACGCTGCCATGGGCACGCCGCCCGAGTCGGCCTTGTACGCGCTGCCTGCCGCGAGTATGTCGCTGAACCGCATGCTGCGCGACCGCCTCCGGGACACGATCCTCGCACGCGGCTGCGTCGGGCAGTGGGCCAACGCCCCACCGTCTCTCTACAGCGACGATGCCGCATCGTTCGGGCCCGTTGACGACGACGACACGACAAACCCATAAAAAGAGTCTATGAACTAGGACGGAGCAAGGCCGAGCGCGTCGCTTCAAACGTAAGGAAGAAAATGCAGCACCACGGCGCCTCGCGCAGCCAGTAGGGCACAAAGCCCTTGTAGAACGCGCGGAGGCCCTGGGTGCGCGCAATGGTCTGCGCACACTGAAGGACGCCGAGCGACCGGCGGCGATCGGGCGGTTGGGACATGAGCGTCGTCTTGACCACATCCAAACTAGAAGAAGCATTGCATGTCGAGAATCGCAATCGTAGTGTACGCACGGGCTCGAGGCGAGGGCACCCGCGAACCCTGCCACAAGACTCGCACCCACGGTGGCCCCGAGACCCGAGACGCCAGATTCGACAAGATACGACTTGCTAAGAATCGAGCGTCGTCAGCGGATTCGAATCGAGTCGACTCCATACCACTGGTCGTACGTGCCAAATTCCATGCCGTTGACGATGAAGCAGCGCTGCATATTGGGCACAACACCCTAGAACGAGGAGGATACGAGGCGGTGGTCGATGGAACGTAGTACGCGGAAGAAGCCCCGGGCACCTTCCTGTGCAAACAGCGCGCGCCCGGCGTCCAGCATACCCGTGTACCGCGCGTTTCCATGGGACGTGCGGTCGGCCTGCGCCGTCCGCTTACTAGTACGAGAGAGACGTGCATGAGTAGTACCTGTAGCATCACCTTGACGACGTCGAGCCTACATTACCACTCACGCCTCGCCTCGCGTGACAATGGTGCGTACGGATTCGCCATGCTGATTCCGATCGCGCCAGCTATGCCGCCGGCCAAGATCTTATCGGCATAGCCGGTCTGGGCAGGGCCCTGCCAGTCGCGAAGCGGCGTGTAGAGCCCCATCGAGACGCTGTAGTACGCCACTTGGCGCGTCACGGCCGGCACGGCGCCGCGCCAGAGCACACGGGGGCCATCACGGGTCACGGCGTCGCGTAGCGTCGTCAGCAGGCCTATCGCCCTCCATGTCGTCCCACCCCGCACGGAGTATCGCAGCGCAAGTACCCAACGACTTGCCTTGGCCGGCGGTCTGCAGCTGGACCTTGGCAAAGTCCATGGGCAGCGTCGAGAGCTCCGCGAGCGTCGAGCCAACGGCGCCGGCGGCTAAGCGCACGCGTCCCGGGTCCGACGCGTCCATGGTTCGAATTCGAAGTCCGCCGATCTTGCGCCACTTCAACTTGAAGTTGCCGTCCAAATCGAAACGACCGTTCGGCCGCCAATCAGACGCGAGGTCTGTCGATACGCGGCGCGCGTCAGCGACGGCGTTCGGCTTGCGAACATCACGTTGATACGGAAATAGTGTGGCAATAGACGAATCTCGGCGTGGACGCTCGAGTTACTCGTCGGACAGCGCGCTTGTCGTCCTCGGCGCATCGACAACAAGGCGGCGAGCGCACTCCATGCAGTGGCCAACTGGCGCAATGGCAGGAGGAAACGGCTTGTTTGGCTCGGGTCTACACTGTACGACTGAAAGCGTGGAAGGAAGCCGGGATCGCAGCCGCGAAAACGACGACGTGGCACTCTCTCGTGCGAGAGGCTACTAACGAGCCAACTCTTGTGCGGACCCACACTACGTCATCGGTCAAGGTCAAGCGCGCGTTCCATAAGCTTCTGTCCAAGCACTTCAACGTGGGGACGTACACTATTTCCTGCAACAGGGACTTGTCCAGCTGTTCTTGAGTTTCATTTCCAAACTTGAGACCGATGGCCGACCCGACGTACGGCTTCTTCCCGTCCGGCACCGAGGTGTCGTCGGGCTTGAAGTGGCTCAAAGAGCACCCGATCGCAGCCACAGCCGCAGCCGCCGCCGCGACCGCCGTCTCGATCGTCACATACCTGCGCGCGTCCGAGCCGCGGCTCGAGCATGTGGTCAGCTGGTGCGACTCGCACGTGAACGAGGCCGACAAGGACGAGCTCGCGTCGCAAATGCAGTCGCTGCACGTTGACGATACAGCTACCGAAGAATCCGAGGCGGCGCTGGCGGCCGAGGCCGACGAGCACAAGGCGGCGTTGCACAATGCGTCGCCGCAGTGGGGCTGGTACGTGGCAATCACGCCTCCTCGTGACCCGATGGCCGCGCACAACCTGCCGCGCGCCATCACAGACCCTCAGATGCGATCGGTACGACCATCTTCGAACCCACCGCCGCCGTCGTCGCTCGGCAACATGCGACGTACTGTCTCTGTCAAGATGCTTTGACCCGTATTAATTATTTTAAATAAGAAATCCTTCCTCACTCGCTACAGGCGGCGCTCGACCGACGAGGCCATCGAGGGTCTGGTTGATGACGGCTATGGACGCGCGCAGGTTCGTGTAGTCGTCTCGCAGCGACGCATGCAGCGATGCGCGCATCGCCTCCATCTTGTTGCGGGTGACTTGCAGCTGCAGCTGCACATCCTACACCGACCAAATGACGACGAAGCGAGATGGGACGCCACAGAACCTGCTGGTGGGCGGCGACAGCAGCCGCAAGCGCCTTCTCTTCAACGTCGACGACGCACGCGTGGAGGACTGCGCTGACCGTGTCGTCGATGCTGCGGTGCTCAATGTTCCACGCCATGGTCACTAGCGTCTCCTGAATCGTGGTGACACGATCCGCGTCACTTGCCAAGTGGCTCTCAACGCGTTGTACATCGTCGCGTCGCTGCCTCTCAGCACTCTCAAGGCTCTCGCGGAGCGCTTCGCACTGCGCTGCGTGCTGCTCAGTGACCCGATCGAGTGCGCTTCGTACGGCGGCCACGGCAGACATCTGCGCATTCCGCTCGGCGGCGTGGTCCTCACCAGATTTGACCACCAGAGCGTCCAGCTGCGACTGCAATGCCTCGACTGCCGCTCTTTGGCTCATACTGGACGACGCGACCGCCGATGAGATTGTCTGCAGCTGTGCTTCCAGCTCGGTCTTGGCCGCCGTGTGCTGCGAAACACCGGCCGCCCGGTGCCCGTCCACGGCAGCGTGGAGTGCCAAGAGGCGTGTATGGAGCTCCTCGACCGCGAGCGACTGACCAGCGTTCTGCTCACGCAAGAGCGCCAACGTGGTCGCTTCCAAGCGGGCCCATCCTTGGCGCACACTCTCAAAGCGCTCGTCCGTGGTCGCTTGCAGCGCCTTGACCGTGTCGACGACGTCCATACAGGCGACGAGCCTGTCCTTCATCATGAATGTAACTCAACTCGAGAGCTACGTACCGCTGCGCATGCTCGGTGGCCGTCGCCTCGAGCGCGGCCGCAATGGCACCGTGCACATCACGCTGGAAAGTGTGGACGGCGCTCCGAGCGTCGTCGCCGTGGCGCGCGACCGCCGCTTCGAGCTCGATCTGGTGCGCGACGCAGGCGTTCGTACGCGCAATGACGCCCGAGACACTTGCCTCAAGATCCTTCTTGATGGTCTCGATGCTGCTGGTCGTTCCCTTGGTGAGACCGTCGATGCGCTTTTTTAGACTCGCATGGCCTTTCTGCCGTGCTTGAATCTCAAGTGGCAAGACCTCTTCGAGGTCCCGGAGCCGCGTCTGGACGCTGGCCGTGACATCGCGCGTGGCGTCCCGCAAGTCGGCGACCTGCGCCCGGAGCTCGTCGTCGAGCTGCACGTACGCAGCGTTGCGGTGCCGCACTTCGTGCCCGAGCTCGTCGACCACGGCGCGGAATTTGATGTCGCTCTCCGAGACAATCGCCTGACGCAACTCGTTGTCGGACAGGACGCATTTGCATACGATCGTAGCACCTGAACATGGGCCGTCATCGACTTGGTCTCATGCAGTAGGAGCTGCTCGAGGCCGCCCACGTGCTCGGCGAGGCGCCGCATGTCTTGGGCGAGTTGGCTCGCGCGGCGAGCGTCGGTCGCACTCTGCATTTCACGATATTCGTCCAAGTGGCGACGGACGTCCCCCGCGTCCATGGCGGCCCGTGACGCAACGCGGTCCACGAGCCCCGTGAGGCGCGTTTCGAGCTCGACGAGCGCGCTGGCGTCGACACGGTGGCTACTGTTGCTACTCGCGCTGCCCATCTCCATCGTCTATCATCGTCGTTGATGATGCGCCATGGACGCTCGGTGTGGGGCGACGACCTTCCATCGCTCAGCGTCGGTCTCGGACTTGAGCTGCGTCACAGCGCTGCGGGTTGCGAGCACGAGTGTCTTGAGCTCATCGAGGGCACGATCGTGGTCTCGCAGTGCCGACTGTGCCCCTCGCCGCTGAGCTGCCGCCTAGATGTAGGACGAGCGCACCTCATTGGCCAGCGCCGTCGACGTCGGTTCTCCGAGCCGTCGCTCGAGACTCGTCAATCGCTGCTCGGTAGCCGCCACGTGCTGGCGCAGATCGCCGACGACGTCTTCGACGGCCTTGCCAAGGCGCACAATCTGATCTAGCGTCGTCAAAGCCAAGGATACGAGATCGAATGCCCACCTCGCCAAAGATGAGCGCCGCCTTTTGCTTGTCCTTCTCTTGGTAGAACGCGTCGGCTTGCACCTTGTTGTGCAGTGCCACGTGGAGCTCATGGCACTCGGTCGCTACTGCGGACAGACTGCGTCACCATCGCGGGAAGCCTCAGACGTACGCGCATGCAGCTAGAGACCGGCGTCAGCGATCGCAATTTATCCGTGTCGCTCTACCTTGGACTCGTCAACCTGCGCGGCTTGGAGCTGCAAGACGTCGTGGCGAAGGCGGTCGTTCTCGCGCTCGATCGCAGTGATGCGGTCCCAGTACTCGTCGGCGAGCGTTCGCTCTTGGTTGCTCGGCGCTACGCTGCCACGTCATGCTTTGGATTCTAGTCGATTGGACTACAAAGGAGTGGGGTCTTGGGTTTCTCAAGCGGAGGCTTGCCGCGGTGGATCGCGGGCAGCATGCTCGTCCTCGACTCGTCGAACGCGGAGGTTACAGAACGACGGTTTGTATTTAGTCGCAACGACTGAGCGCATTTATCGCGGCAGCGGCGGCTGCGCGTACGGGCGGTGGTCCTTGTCGTACGGCGGCGGGTGGTAGCCGTGGTACGGTGGCGGCGGCGGCATCGCGTAGCCGGCGTTCCCACTGTACATGGGCGGCGGGTACATGGGCGGCTGCATCATCATGGGCATGCCGTACTGGTTGACGTACGGCGGCATCTCGTCGTCACCTTCGTAGTAGCCGCCGTTCTGCGGCGCGTAGGTTGGCGGCGGTTGCACGGGTGGCGGCGCATACGACCGGCTGGGCGTAAAGGCCGCAGCCGACGCGTTGAGCTTGAACTCTTTGGCGAGCGGGTTGAGACCCTTCTTGGCCGGCGCCTTGGGCTCCTCCTTCTAATGCAAGCACGAGGGTTGAGCAAACAGCGAGACAAGCGTTGATTGCACCGGGGTAGCCGCCGTTGGTGCGGGCGACGCAGGCTTCTTGGGCGATTCCGGCTTCGAGATCGGTTCAGTCTTCTTGGGCGACTCGGGCTTCTTGGGCGACTCGGGCTTCTTGACCGGCTCCTTGGGCAATGCCGCAGGTGCGTTGCTGGGCGACTTGACCGGCGCCGCAGCGTGTGCGGGCGACTTCGCTTTCGGAGCCGCGTCCTGCTTGGTCCGCAGTGCCGGGGGCACATATGCGTTCGAGCCACGCTGCCAGGCCGTAGCTACACATGCGTGAGAGGCCAGCACTTTCCATTGGTGGGCGCACGCTTCTCGGTCGAGTTGGGGCCAGACCGGACGACAGAGCTGTACCGCGTTTCTTCGTCGATTTCATCGCGTCCCGTTGCCGCGTTGCGTTCTTCGAGCAGGTGAAAGTTGGACGACGTCTGCGACTCGATCTCGCGCGCCATCTTTTCGGCCGCGCGCACTTGCGCTTGCGTCATCTTGGTCTTCTCGAGCTTGGTCGTGTAAATGTTCTCGTCGTACGTGGACGTGACGCCAAAGAGCTTTTCGTTGACTTCGAATTGGTTCCAGTTCTAAATGCATGCAATAAGACTTGGAGCGGATGGAGAAGATGTTGGGACCTTGTTGCTGCCGCGCTCGAGGTCGCCACTGTCGAGCGTCGGGTCGAGCCACGACGACGCTGCTTGGAGCTCACGCCCGAAGAGATGCGCCTTGAGGTTGTTCGAGATGTCCGTGTCCGTCTGGAACGTGCCCGAGTTGTACGGGAGGCGCTGGGCGACGCCGGCGTCCTGGTGGTACTCGGACCGACCCTGCGACGTGAGGTGCGCGAGCAGGAAGTGCTGGATCACAAAGGTGCTGCCGCTGTTGAAGGGCGACGACGGGTCTTCTGTCAACCGCTGTGTGTTCTTCAAGACGACGGTAAACTCGTCCGGGTCAATGCAGTGCAAGACGCCAGCGTACTTGGACTTGTCGCGAAGTGTCACCTCCACGTTGCGGCCCTACCCATCGAGACATGACGCACGCGCCACGGATATGATGAAGCGTACGACGTAGAAGCGGAAGATGTACAAGGCGCGGTGGCGAAGAATGCGCGCTTGATGCTCGTCCGCGGAGGCCGTCGGCGTCGGCGATGCCGCAGGAGCCGTCTGGAATCCTGGCGGCAAGCTGGACTTGGTCGTGCTCGCAGGAGCAGCAGGACTATAGAGGTGCACATACAGGTGTCAACTTGGGGCCATGTGTTGCATCTTGAGGTGTACCTTGCCTTCTTCTTCCCCTTGGTCGACGACATGAGGCGGCCGTGAATGGAACTGCGGCCGGCCCCGTATCCGGATACGAACCTGGCTCTGGTTTGGGCTCGTGTGTATTATTATTTTGCATTCCCGCCGACTACATACAAACAACAAGATAGTTTAATGACACAGCGTCCCAGCGCGTGGCGACGTGTGGCTGCTTGGGCATACATTCATTTGATTGGGCGATACTCGCGCCATGGCGCGCACTGATTGGCTGTCACGCCGTCTATTTGTTTTTTTGTCAGTATCGCCTTGATATCTTGGTGTTTGTATGTCGCCCGATTAAAACGACGAGCGTGGAATTCGATTGGCGCGTGGGCCAATGAAAGAAAGCGGTTCCTGGATTTTGACAATCATCGCGAGCATCATGGAGGGCATGGCGAAGCGCCTCCAGGAGGCGACGCTCATGCAGCGCAAGCGCGACGAGATCGACGCGCTCAAGGCCAAGCGCATCGAAAAGGCCAAGGGTCCGGCCTCGTCCTTCAGCGGCAAGCAGAAGAAGCAGCAGATGCGCGACAAGAAGGCGCGCGTCAAGGCGCGCAAGGATCAAATCGACGCGCTCGACGCGCATTTCGTCGATGGCAGCGAAGAGGCCTTGGACACGGACAACTTGCAGGGCATTCGTACGGCTAACCTCAAGCTCACGGTCGCGCTCGGCCGCCAAAGCAAGGATCTGCTCGAGAAGCAGCTCTCGTCCTTCTTTGTCAAGGAAACGAAGGAGCAAATTCAGCTGCGCATCATGGAAGGCCAGTACCCGCTCGATATGGCCAAGCGCAACAAGCCGCTGCTGTGGACCGAGCTCAACCTGGACCCGCTCCTAAACTTCCCGCAGCGCCCCGAGTGGACCTACAAGCAGTCCAAGGAGCGCGGTACGCTGCACTACAATCTCATCTGGTATCGCTCACGTATCCTCGTCCTAGTGCAAGACAACGAGAGCATCATGTTTGACAACTGGCTCGCCAACATCCACAACAAGTACGAGCCCGAAGAGCTCAACCACTTTGAGCACAACCTCGAAGTGTGGCGCGAGCTCTGGCGCGTCTTCGAACGGTCGACGCACGTACGACGGCTTTGCCTCTGTCCATTGATAGAAATTAACATGGAGCTAGATGGTGATTGTGGCCGACATTCGCAACCCGCTGCTCCACATCCCGCCGTCCGTGTACGACTACATCACCGAGACGCTCCGTCGCCCGCTCATGATCGTCCTCAACAAGATCGACTTGATCCCGTGGGAGCTCACCGTGTGCTGGCGCGATTCTCTCCAAAAGCGCTTTCCCAAAGCCCAGCTCCTCTTCTTCTCGTCGCGCTCCAAGTCGATCCACGACCAAGTCGACCTCGCGGGTCGCCGCAAGGTCCTCAGGTACAGCACTTTTTTCGTTGTGTATCAATATATCAAGCTTATCGACAACAATACTAGCGAAAAGCTCAAGGTCGGCGACTCGTCCGCAGTGCAAGGCGCGATTGGCATCCTCGTGGGTTGTGGGATTCCTGCGGACCGCGCCCAGGAGATCATCTACTCGGTGCTCGACGAAGACGACGAAGACGAGGATGTGGACGCTGGTGTTCACGCGACCAACACGCCGGCCCGCCGCGCCCGTCGCAAAGTCAAGGCCGAGAAGGCTAAGAAGGCGCAGACGCCCCCCGAACATCTCGACGACGTGTGCGACTACTGCGGTCAAGACGAGCCCGTCGCGGTTTGCTCGGACTGCTCGGACCTCTTCCGCGACGTGCGTCTCTGCGCGGGGTGCAACAAGGACGTCCATCGCCACGTCAAGCACAAGGTCGTGTTTCTGGATGCGCGGCCCGAGCCGACGGCCGAAGAGATTGCCGCCAAGCAAGTGACGACGATCGGTCTCATTGGCCACCCGAACGTCGGCAAGTCGAGTGTCCTGAACGCGCTCGCGGGCAAGAAGCTCGTGTCCGTCTCGCACACCCCGGGGCACACGAAGCGTCTCCAAACCATCTTTGTGGCGCCCGAAATCTGCATTTGCGATTGCCCCGGTCTCGTCTTTCCCTTTGTCGGTGTGCCCAAGCACATGCAGGAGCTCTGCGGCCTCTTCCCGTACGCGCAGGTGGAGTTTTGACGTCGTCTACGTCCTCCACATTGATCCTGTCGTAGATCCGCGAGCCGTACTCGGCCGTGCGCTACTTGGCCGAGCATTGCGCCCTCGAGGACATCCTGCACCTCGTGCCCCGGGTCCAGCACTTTGACGGCGTCGACGAGCCCCTCGTATGTGCCGACGACTGCCGCTTCGTGTTGCATTCATTCAACCTGTAGGACTGGTCGCCGTGGACGCTCTGCGAAGCTTATGCGGAGAAGAAGGGATACAAGACCGACCGCCGTGGCCGCCCCGACCACCACCGCGCGGGCGCCGAGCTCATCCGCGACTGCATGGACGGTATTTTGCCGCTTTTCTTCTACCCGCCGCAGTACAATGGTGCGTACTTTGACGGCGCGGACAACAAGCACTACTGCGGCTACGACGCTGTCGCCAAGCTCAACACAGTGCACGCGGCGCCGACGAATCACGCCGCCTCGGATGACGAGAATGACGACGACGCATCCGAGAGCGACGACGAGCCGGCGCCGACCAAGACCAGCGGGTTTGCGGCCACGAGCATGTACCTCTTGGACGATGATTCGTCGAGCGACGATGACGACGAGTAGACTTTCATCATCCGTCCTTACTGTGTGCAATGTATGACATTATTTCATGCTCAAGCACGCGCTGCCTTCTTGACCTTGCCCTTGCGCACGAGGAGCGGCTTCCCGTCCATGAGGATCTTGAGCGACTGCTCCTGGAGCACGGACGCCTTGCTCGTGTCGAGCCAAAACGTCGTGCGCTGGATCTTGACAGTGCACATGCCTTTCTCGTCCTTGGCGACGAGCTTCATATCTAGCATCCCATTGAAGTGGTCGCTGTCGCTCGATGTCGTACCCTTGGGGTAGCACTGGAACGTCTTGGGGCGAAGACCGCCCGCGACTTGAACCTTCAAAAACTCATCTAATACGACATGTCAAGACAACCTGCCGACATGCGAGAGACGGACCGCGCTCGCCGATCGTGCGGCAGGACGTCACGTTCGTGATCACGCGCTCACCGAGGTACTTGGCGCCAAAGAAGATGACCGCTAAGAAGTCCAAGGGATGAGATGCCAAGAGGACGCGATGAGTGAGGTACCCGACAAGCTGACCAAAGGCCCCGCCGTGGCGACTTTCTATGACGCACAAGTTGACAAGTTGTGCACCCAAGGCAACCAAGCGCAGGCTACGGACCTCGAGCAGGGATGCCGACTCGGGAAGCGTCACGAGGATCTGTGCGCTCAGCGCGGCCGTCGTGTACATCTGGATCGCACTGCCCTTCCCAATGTACTTGGGCCACTTGGCATTCGACTCAAAGATGACCGTGTCAACGGTTCGCACTTGGTACTTTGGCTCGGGCGCGTTCGTGCTGCGAAGAAATGTACCTCGTGAGCTCAAGAAGAACGAGCACACGGACGCGTACATGTAGGACGACATGGCCATGCGCGAGGCGAAGGGCCCACGCAGCGCGCGCCGGCCGAGACCCGACACCACCAGCATGAAAGCAAATCACGCGCGTTTCCATTGGTCGTTGACACGAAGTTCGAAGCAGCGCCCATCGACTAAACGACTAAACATGGACCAATCGACTGAGATCGGAACAACTACCAAAACAACTAAAGGAAAAGATACGAAAGAAACCACCACCACAATGGTGATCCAACTCATGGATCCAACTAGTTAATTAGCTGTCTTGCACGAAGCTGCACCTTGCATGTCGACCACCAATGCCTCAAAGAGAACGCAGTCGGGAACAGTAGGCGCATTGACTAGCTTCAGGGCTTGTGACGAGACTCCTGAGCCGATACCTCCACGCTGCAATGACCGGGCGTTTTGCCACCAACTTTAACGCCGTATAAATAGCTTGGCAACTGCTCTGGCGGTCCTTCGCTTCAATCAGGAATTCCACGCATGGGCCGAGGGGTGCGTCCGGTCAAGTCGCGCCAGGCGGCGTGGGCCGAGCCGCCCAAGAAGGAGCCGAGCTTCAAGAAGCTCCGGGCCAAGGTGGGGACAGCCGTCGCACCGTTCGATGACAATCATAGGTCGGCTTCGACCTTTGCGAGTCGCTTCCAGCTCCGCTACGAGCGCTTCCGACTTATCGTGTCGCTCTTGCCAGTGATCATTTCTCGCCTAGTTGGCCGCCACGTCTCGTGGGTCAGCTCGTCCAACACGACCGCCTTCTCGAGCCGCGGGGGCGGGTCCCGCTCGCGCCGCCGACGGTCGCGCTACAACCGGCTGCTCGACGCGTTTCTTGCGCTTCAAGCGCGGCTCGGCGTCGGCGCCATCGTCAGCATTGAGATGGTCCATCAGCTCTACATCCTCTTTAGCGTCCCGTACCGGGTCGGGTTCCTCTACGACCCGTACGATGGCGAAGCTGGCAAGTCGAAAACATGGTGGCTCTCGCTGTACCTTCTCGCGGCCTGCGACGTGCTGGCCTACGGTATCGCGGTCGGCAGTCTCGTGCACTCGCTTGTCGACCGGCGCAAGGTCGCTACGGTCAAGCCGCGGACCATCGACGTCTTCTCGATGATGCGGCACACAACCAACGCCCAAGCAGCGATCGTCAAGTTTAGCATGACGCGCCAAGAGTCGCTTCGGCGCCGATCGTCGTTCATGTCCAAGGAGGCGAGCATGAAGCCCGAGTTCCTCCTCAGCGCGTCGTGGGACTCGGGCCGCGCGATTCGAAAAGCCCACGTATTCATGCAGCTCGTTGCGCTCATTCCCTTCCAACTCGCAAGCATCTACGCTCCGAATTTACTCCACGTCACGTGTATTCCGATGCTATTGCGCGCCGAGATGGCACCGCGCGTTGCCCGTGCGCTCAAGCGGTCGTTAGCGGAGAACGAGCGACTCAAGGGCTTTCACAACGCCGGCATGTCGCTCCTCATCCTGTGCGTGGCGCTCAACTTTGTGGCGATGCACTGGTATGCGTGCACCTTTATGTTGATCAACCACATCGAGTGCGGCTACGAGAGCAATGCGTGCGACGTCGGCACGTCGTGGGCCGCCCGCAATGGCATTGTCGGTACGACGATGCACACAGTATCTCCAATGTACTAACTGATCGATCGGCAGGGCCCAAGCTACTGCACACGTACGTCTACTCGCTCGTCGTCGCCGGCTACGGCTTTTTGATTCCGGAAACCAACTTGGAGCGCGTCTTTGTCATTTTGATTCAAGTCGGTCGGTACATTGCGTTTGTCGGCGTCGTCTCGGCTTTTGTCTTCCTCTTCGAATGCCAAAACAGCCGGCGCAACCACTTTAGCGACAAGGTCGACGACATCAAAGAGGTACCGAGACAAGACTATCCAAGTATCCAAGTATCCGGTCTAGTTTCTCGTCGACAAGCGCGTCTCGGCGGAAATCAAAGCCAAGGTGCTCGACTTTTACGAGCATTTCTGGACTGCGCAGCGGGGCATCCAAGAAGGTACGATCGTTGCGTCGCTGCCGTCGCACATTCAAACCACGTTCCTCCATCACCTTCGCGTCCGGCTGCTCAAAGCTGTACATAGTCGTATTTCCCTCTTGGCGACTCACGGCGTTTCGATGGTAGGTCCCGATACTGCGCGTGCAGCCGGTCCACATCATCAACCGGCTCGTGTTTGAGATGCGCCGGCAGAGCTACTCGCCCCGCGACTGGGTTTTGTACGACGAGCGCTGCGAGCAGCTGTATCTCATGGGCCGCGGCCGCATCGCGATCATGCATGCCAAGTCCGACGACGTGCACAGCTACGTACGATCCTGTCATGACATTGTGCTCGATTCAAAACGCTGCGTTAGATCCTCGATGGCCAGTACTTTGGCCTCTCGATGCTCGTGCCCGAGCACACGGCGACGGTCCGCGCCCGCGCCGAGACGTACTGCGACGTGTATACGCTGACGCGCCAAGACATTTACGACGTCTGTTTGCGCTGGGACGCCAAGCAAATTACGTTTAACGCGATCGTCGACGGTGTCCGCGAGTACCTCGTCACGTCGCAGCGGTCGTCCTTGTCGCACGTGGCGATGAAGAAGTTTCAGGCCGCGGACGCGTGGTTCATGCCAACGTCGCGCTTCCGCAAGTACTGGGAGTGGGGCATCATGGTCGCCCTCCTCTTTTTTGCGATCGACATTCCGTACCGGCTCTGCTTTGCACGCGTTGACGACATCACCTACTCGCTCTTTGCGATTCGAACGACGCTCGATGTGTTTCTCTTTAGCGACGTCATCTTTCAGTCGCGCTACTTTGCGTTTGTCCAAGACGAGCGCGTCGTGACCGATCGGCGGAGCATCTTTCTCTACTACAAGGAGCATGGCATGGTGCTCGACTACATTTCGAACCTCCCGTTTGCGATCGTCGTCGACTGCCTTCCGCTGAGCTTCAAGCATGCCAACACCGAAGCCGTCTTGGTGCTGCACATGTGCGAGTGGATTCGGTTCCTGCGCATGCGCCACTTGCTGCCGACGATCAACCGGGTCCTCAAGAAGCTCCAAGTCAACGACACCACCTTTGTGATCGTGTACCTCTTCTGTTGTCTTCCGATCGTGTGCCACATTAGCTCGTGCCTCTGGTACCTTCTCGCGACGTGGAAAAGCGACAGCATGCTGGAGCACGACGAATTCGACGCCAACGACTTTACGCGCACGCAGTGTCTCGAGATGGCGCGGTCGTTCAACAATTGCACGTGGCTCCTCTACGACAATGTCGAATTCCAAGTCTCGAGCGACTATGTGCGCGCCTTCTACTGGAGCGTCGTGAGTCTTGTGACCGTCCAGTTTGGCTCCATCTTCCCGTTCACGGTCGTCGAGTGCGTCTACATGTTTGCGTGGATCTTTGTTGGCAGCATCCTCAACTACGGCGCCATTGGCGCGCTTGTCAACGCTGTCACGCGCATGAACGCCGCGACCGAAGCCAAAGACGAACACCTCAAGCTCGTGCACCGCTTCATGCACGCGGAAGGTAGATGCCACAATGGGATATCGATCTATATGCATCATCGTAGGGGTCTCGCGTCAAGTGCACCGGGACGTGAGCAGCTACTTCAAACACCGTTGGACGTCGTCGACCGAGCAGCAGATTCTGACAGCGCTCGAGCCGCTGCCCGACAACCTCCGCCAGGCGATCCAGTCGTATTTGCATGCAAAGGCTGTTGCAAGCATCCAGCTGCTTCAAGACATTGACAAGAACGAGCTCAAGCACATTTACGAGATCATGGCGCACCGGTCGTACCGAAAGGACGAGGTGCTCGTGCGGGCGGGCGACGTCGGTGACGAGCTCTACATCATCACACGCGGTGCAGTCGAGCTCACACTGCCCATCAACGGCGTTCCGACACCAGTGATGGTCATCCACGAAGGCGCTTGCATTGGCGAGGGACAGTTTCTGGCGCGGACGCCGTACCCGCTGACTGCCACCGTCGTGAGTCCGTCGATCGATGTCAGCGTCTTGCACAAGCTCGACTTTGACGACATCGCCAAGCATCTCGAAGGGTCCATGGAGGACATTGAGGCGCAGTCGGTCCTAGTCATGAAGAAGGAGTTTGCGTGGCTGGCTAGCATTCGCTCCAACCTCGACCGTCGCAAGGTACCTCCTATCTGGACTATCGCTATACATCTATCTCGTTGTAGATTCGACATTCGATGCACCGGGCAAACAGCAAGGGTCTCTTCTCGGACCCGACGATGCGCTTGTTGTACGTGAACCCGGGCATGAACGCCTACCGCGTCTGGGAGTGCGTCATGCTGGTCGCGGTCCTCTACAACTTCATCTCGATTGCGTATCGCATTGCGTTTCTCATGGTGCCAAAGCCCGCGATCATGGACATCTTTTCCATGCTGGACTATGCGACCGACGTCATCTTTGTCGTCGACATGTACATCAAGTTCAACCACCTCACCTTCTCCGACCGGTACGGGGACCAGGTACTTTCTCTCCTGTTTTGGACGCGTGACGACGGTGCGTAGGTGACGGAAGTGTCGTGCATCCGGTGGCACTACCTCCAATCGCGCAGCTTCAAGCTCGACGTGGTCGGGAGTCTTCCTCTCTACTACGTCGGCGACTACAAAATCATGACCTTGTGCCGTCTCCCGCGCCTTGTGCGCTGCATGGACCTTCGGTCACTCTGGGCCGACATCTCCCATTACATCCACGAACATGTGAGCGCCGACCGCATCGCCGAGTACCTTGAGCTCTTCAAGCTCCTCATCGTGCTCGTCCTTGGCTCGCACATCGCAGGCGCGGGCTTGTACTTTGTGTCGACCACCGACGTTGAGGCCGCGATCGCGCACGGCCACGAGCCGCACCACATTTGGTATCTGCACGACAAGGTGATCCATGAGCACCACCACGAGGTCGGCATCCTCTACCTCCGCGCGTTCTACTGGGGCCTCGGCGTCGTACGTCTATATATTCTGTATCCACTGTTCACGGAGCACTATGTGTAGCTAAGTTCGTTCGACTTTATGGACATTGAAGTCACGCTGCTCGCCGAGACGCTGTGGTTTTGCGCCGTCGCAATTGTCGGCGTCCTCTTCCTCGGCATCGTCATTGGCCAAACCTCAACGTCCATCTACAATGCGAGCAAGGTACTACGGACGTCGATCGATCGAGTAGCAGCATCGCAGATATCTCACTTGCGTTCGTAGGACACGCGGGAGCTCGAGTTTCACATTGAGCGCTTCAAAAAGTACGCGCGGTCCAAGAAGCTGCCGCACATGCTCCTCGAGCGCGGCAAGCTCTTCTTACGCTTTCAGCACGACTGTAGCAAGGGCATCGACGCGCACGAGGTGTTTGGGGATCTCCCACACCACTTGCGCCTCGACCTCTTCAAGGATCTCTACACGACATGGGTCCGCAGTGTGCCGTACTTTACCGGTCTACAGCCTGGTCTGTCATCGTGACATATCATTTTTGTTGACGTTTCATGCATTAGCGCAAATCTACGGCATTGCTGCCAAATTGAGCCAAGAACTGTATCTTCCCGGTGACGACATGGTGCTGGAAGGCGACGTCGCGACGCACTTTTTCATCATGAAGCGCGGTCGCGCAGAGAAGTACCTCAAGTCCCACATGTTGGTGTTTGCGCCGGTGGACGAAGGCGTTGTGTTTGGCGAAGACGCCTTCTTCCTCGACATGCGCTACAGCTACAGTATTCGCGCTGTCAAATGCAGCGAAGTGCTTTGCCTTCCGCTCTCGGAATGGGAGGGCATGTGGCCTCTCGAAACGCGCGTTGAAGTCGAGTGGCGCATCAAGAAGGAGGTGCAGGCCGACGTCGCGGCCATGAAGCGCGCGATCGTCGCCATTACGCGCAACCTCGGTGTCGGATCCGGCGGCAAGCCCGCGCCCGTCAAGATCAAAGCCCTCATCCTTCGCGACATCCACACCAAAAGCACGGCAGCATGGCACACCGCCATCACCTTTGCGCGGCAGCAAGCCGCCATCCCATCGACCGAGATACGACCGAGCGTCACGGGTGCACTAGCTGGTGATGCCTTGGCCAGTCTCGTGCGGCTCCGCAACGAAGAACAGCAAAAGCAAGCGACCATACTGCCACCCAAGAAGAACTCGTTCACGAAGCGGTCGTTTGGGTCCATGCTCGGGGGCAAGCGCGGGCGCCAAGACGAGGTTGGCGTCGCTACGACGCAGATGACGCTCGAGACGCTTACCATCTGGCACCATGACCCACCGCCGCCGCCATACTTGATTCCCCACTCGCGCTTCCGTGAGATCTGGGACCTCGGCTGCCTCGCAGCAACCATCTACTTTGCGTGCGCGTTGCCGTTTCGCGCGTGCTTTGTGCTCGAGTGGTCACCGCTTGCGATCGGGTGGTTTGCGGCCGAGTACCTCCTCGACGGTCTCTGCCTCGTGGACATTGTCCTGCGCTTTCAGTACTTTTACGAGTTCAAGGCCGGCGAACTCCAAGTCTCTCGGGCGCTCGTGCGGCGGCGGTACTGGCGCCACGGCGGCCTTGCCATGGACCTTTTCGCGCTCCTCCCGCTCGAGTTCCTTGCGCTACTGCTGCCCGTGGACGGCCACGCGCGCTGGCAAGTCGCATCGCTCCTCCGACTCAACAAGATGGTGCGCATCGTGCACTACCCCGCGCTCACCTCGACGCTACAGCGGTTCCTCGGGCGGTTCCCATCGACGCGGCACCACGAGGTGCTCGTCAAATTTGTCTGCTCGTTCTTGATGCCGCTCTTCCTTGCCGCGCACTGGATGGCGTGCGTGTGGTTCTTCACGGCCTTCAACCTCTTGACCGAGACGCAGTCGCCGTCCTGGCTCGTCGCCACGGGCTACGTCAATGGCACGACCAAGCTGCCGCTGAGCCCGACGCCCATCATCCATCTCTTGCTCTCCAACCACGTGCGATTCACGAGCCTCAATGTCTACCTCGTGGCGCTCTACTATGCGACGTCGTCGCTCACGAGCCAGAGCTTTGGCGACGTCGTGAGCACGAACGTGCTCGAGACGTATCTCACGGTCGCCTTTATCGTGATTGCCATCACCGTCCTCGGGCTCCTCACGGGCGTTCTTTCGGGCTTGATGGAAGAGCACCTCGCGATGCGAATGAAGTTTGAGCAAAAAATGATCGACATTTCAACGTTCTTCAACTATCGCCGGCTCCCGTTCGAGTTCTTCGTGCAAACGTCCGGTGTCTTTCGGTCGCTATGGCAGCGGAGCCAAGGACAGACCGAGTTTGAGATCCTCTCGACGCTCTCGCCGAAAATGAAGGAAGACATTGCGATGCACGTCAAGCGCAGCATGTTGCTCAGCCTCTCGTTCCTGGCGACGGCCCACGAAGTCTTTTTGCGATCGCTTGTCACGGTGCTCGAAACCGAGCAGTTTGTGTACGCCGACCTCATCTACCAGGTTCGTCAAGTAGTATGGGTGGTCGACTAACTACGGAGGTAGGTCGGCGACGTCGGTCGGGTCCTCTACTTCATCAACGTCGGCGGCACGACCGTTCTCGCGGCCAAGAAGACGCCGCTCGAGAAATTTCAGGGCAGCCTCTTTGGCGGCCGGTCGCTCTTTGAAGATCGTGGGCGTGAGTACACGGCGATCGCCAACTGCGACTGCGAGTGCTTCCTCCTCTACTTTGACGACTTTGATCTGCTCATGGAGCGCTTCCCCGAGTACTTTGACCAGTGCCGCGACGAATGGATGCACACGGAGCGCGAGCTTGACGAAGAGGCCGAGCGCGAAGATCAGGAAGTGGTCGAGCGCTCAGATGTACCCGTGGCGCGACGCGAGTCCGCTCAGTTGGGCAAGGGCAACAACAACAACAACAGTCGACGGGACAACCGCAAGAGCCATGGCCGGCGCGAGTCGACCGAGCGTCGTGGCAGCACGACGTCGCATTCGAGTGCTGCATTCAGCACGATGGGCGACTAAGTTTGCACATGGGTAGTCGTATATGTAATACATGCGTGGTAGTCTATAGTCGAAATTACTCGACGTCGTCCTCGTCGACGTCGTCCGTCTTGAAGAACGTGTACGAGAGCGTAATGTTGGAGACGTTGGTCATCGACGGGTCGTCGACGATATCCGGGTCGATGAAGAAGAAGACGGGCATATCAATCTCCTCGTTGGCCTTGAGGCGCTGCTCCTCAAAGCAAAAGCACTGGATCTTGTTAAAGTAGAGACCGGCCTTGGGCGGGTGCACGTTGTACGTGGCGACGCCCGTTATCGCCTTCTCGGTCGGATTCTTGGCCGTGTAAAAGGCCAGCGCGGTCTCGCCCGGCACGATCACAAGGTCGCGCTGGATCGGCCGGAAGCTCCACGGCATCGCGCCCGCAACGCCGCCGTCAAACGTGACGCGGATCGGGTGCGCGCCCTCGACAGGGCTCAGCTTCTCGGCCGTGAGGATGTCGCTGCGCTGCGTCGTGCCACCAAAGCCCGTCATTTGGCAAAAGATCTTGTAGAGCGGGACGGCTGCGTACGCCGCGCCAAAGAAGAGCAGCGCCGTCGACGCCGTGTAGAGCATGATGCGCTTGTTCTTCTCATCGAGGTTGCGCTGGTAGGACGACCGCGTCGCCATGAAGCGCGCGTGGCGCAGGCCGCCGAGCGGGCGCAGCGGGCGGAGGAACGCGAGCACCATGGGTCGTCGTCACTGGTCAAAGAATGCAACTGCGCATTTATGCCACCGGAAAACTGCGTCGTCCGGATAAGTCGGTGCACATAATATGTCGCACACGTTCGCCTGACTTCCTTGGCCGCCGGAGTAAGCAGCGTGTTTACATGTCCAAGGAAGGACTGGGGAGATGGCTCCTGCTGCGTGGGCAGGTACACTGGAACTGTGAGGTCTGGGTAGCGCTGGTTGATGTCGGGACAGTTGGTTCTTTTGTGCCAGAAAAGGTTGCATGTTGTTAATTTCTCTTTTGAAAATGTATCTCATCACGTTGATTCCCCTATTTTTGAAAAGATTGTTTGTGGTTACGTGCCCGCAGTTAAGGTGGACACGAGTTAAAAACCCTCTGTGTGGTGCTCCATTTCCGATTTCGCTAGCCGCCGACGTTCGCCATGTTCCGCAGCGCCGCCATCGCCCTCCAGCGCGCCGCCGCCCTCGACGCCAAGCGCGCCTTCTCGTCCGCGCCGACGATGCATGGCACCACCATCCTCTGCGTGCGCAAGGACGGCAAAGTGGTACGTCGATGCAGAAAGATCGCAGGATCGCTCACGGGACGCGTAGTGCGTCATTGGCGACGGCCAAGTCTCGCTCGGCCACACGATCGTCAAGCCCAATGCGCAAAAGGTGCGCCGCATCAACGAGAACGTCATTGCGGGCTTTGCCGGCTCGACGGCCGACGCCTTCACGCTCATTGAGCGCTTGGAGAGCAAGCTCGACGAGTACCCGGGTGCGAACGTGCCGATTGCAGGCGCTACCAATTCGCATGCACTAAACATGACATCTAGGCCAGCTCACGCGTGCGTGCGTCGAATTGGCCAAGGCGTGGCGGACCGACAAATACCTTCGCGCGCTCGAAGTACACCGAAGCCGACTTGCTGCGTTGACTAACTCTAGCGTAGGCGCTGCTCATCGTCACGGACAACAAGCAGTCGTTCACATTGACGGGCAACGGCGATGTGCTCCAGCCCCATGACGGCATCATTGGCATTGGGTCGGGCGGCACATACGCGCTCGCGGCCGCACGTGCGCTCATCGACCAGCCGCACTTGTCGGCCGAAGACGTCGCCCGTCGCTCGATGAAGATCGCGGCCGACATTTGCGTGTACACCAACCACAACGTCGTCGTCGAGGTCTTGGACGAGAACCCGGTCGACGAAGCCGCCAAGAAGTAAGCATCCCGTGACAGAAACCTCGAATCTACAAGGGTGTTGGTATTGGATTGTGTTAATGTATGAAAATACACGCCATTCTCGGCTTAGATGGTGTTGGCCATGACGAGGTTGTACTGCGCGAGGTTGCGCTTCAGGATGTTCTCGAGGGGGCCCATGACGCGCTTGAACGTTTTCCGGTCCAGCGTCAAGCACTTGACTTGGCCTTTCGCCGTCACGGTCGCCTGCCGAGGCCGCGTCGTGAGCAGTGCAATCTCGCCGAAGTACGCGCCCGTCGAGAGGAGGCCGATTTCCTGGACCGGGTCCGACGGCGACACTTGCTTCGTGCACACAGCCGTGCCCTCCGAGATAATATAAAAGAGGTTGCCATCGTCGCCCTGGCGAATGATGACTTCGCCGTCGTTGAACGTGGCGACGCGCAGCGCGTCGGCGACCGTGAGCCGCTCGTACTCGCTTAGGGACTCGAGCAGCGGCACCTTCTCGATAAAGCCCTTGTACTGGTCGCGCTTCTTCATCGTCGTTTCCATGATGATGTACTAATGACACAGAATGAAATGGAGCACAATGGAAGCTGTTAATGTACCTTGAAGGTTTGGCGGTCGAGTGCCCAGACTTTGGAGTTCTCCTTGACCTTGACCGTCGCGGCGCGCGGTGCATTGTACATAAGCGCGAGTTCGCCAAACGACATGGCTTCCGTGCACGTGAGAACGAGGTTGTCGTCCTTATAGACTTCGCAGACGCCCGTGTCGAGGATGTAAAAGTTGTCGCCGTCGTCTCCCTGCTTGATGATGACCTCGCCAACGCCAAACTCCTTGGGGAACATCGCATCGAGGAGGATCTAGCCGCGCAGGATGAGCGTGGTCACACATGCATGTGCTCGTACCTTGGATTGCTTCTCGTCGAGGGACTTGAAGAGGATGTTGTCGACGAGGATGTCGGAGATGCGTTTTCTCTCTTCTTCCGACTTGGGGTGCACAACGGCCTCCAGCGGCTTGGCGCTACGACCATGCCATCTCAGCCACGCAAGGTTGCCATGGACGTACTTTTCAGGATCGAGCGCTTCGGCCGACACGGATATTCTGCGGCCTTTCGGGAACGTCCGCGCGACGGGCTGCGCTTCCTGCATCTCGCCGACTGCATCTTCTTCGCCCTCGGCTTCATCTTCGCTTTCCGACTCGTCCGAGTGGTCTACGCGCCATGAGCCAATCGATTCATGTACGTCGGCGTACGGCCAGTCGCGATCGCAGGCGCTTCGGCCGCACGGACCGTCGCTTGGTCCGGGAAGTTGGTCTGGAGGTACTGGATGATGTGCAGCACGGGGTTGTCGGGCTTGGAGAGCAGGAGCGACTCGACGATGTTGATGAAGAGCGTGTTGATACCCTTCTTCTGCAGGTAGTCCTGCAGCTCCTGCTGCACGCCCTCCGCGTCCGCCATGAGCCCAGCGACAACGAAAATGGCTTTCGCTCGGCCTTTGTATGGGCGACGGTTTAGGGCGACCTTTCAACGCGCGCGATATGATTGGCCAAAATCCTCGAAATTCCATCTGGAGCGACTTTTGGCCAATCACAAAAAACGTTCTTTTTCGATTTTATTTTGTACCTTTATCCGCCCAAAGATCTTCTTTGTCGAAGGTACGCCGCTTTGCTATCCGGACTGCCGCTTCAACCGAAGCGCCATGAGTACTTATATACCTCAGCCATATCGCTGCAGGAATGACTGAGATGCGAGACGAAAGAGCTGGGGTCGACGACTCGCTAGACCATCGTTGGTTCCAGGCAAATACAGTCTACCGATGGATGGCGGCCTGGACTCTGCGATGGTCAGGCAACCTCCTGGCCTGAAACGTTGCTGGCAAGGCGGAAGAAGACGATTTGCCCACTTCATCGCGATGGCAACATATGCATAGTGTAGTCGCACGTTATTGCGCTAGAACCAGCGTCAAGTCGACTGCAGAGAGGTCTAGTAGCATCGTCAAGGATCGACGACGCTCGGTTGTTGCGATCTTCGTGAAATACCGGATATGATCTATGTATCCGGACGACGACGATCTCGTTTGCAACGTGGCAACCAAGATTTCGCCATGCAGCAGGAGCTCGAGGCCGCGCACGATGGGCTCTTCCTCGCCGCTGAGCATGGCCGCGCCGACGTCCTCAAGGCGCTCCTCGACCACGGCAAGGACGTCTTGAAGCTCGACGCGATCCGCAACGCCGAGGGCCTCACGCCTTTGCACGTCGCCGTCGTGCATCAAAAGACGGACGCGGTCCGCGCACTGCTCTCAGCCGGCTTTGCCGCTGACGCTGCCGCGATCCCTAGCAAGAAGCCGTCCAAGTACACGCACAAGACAGCGTACGAGATCGCGCTCGGGCAGCTACCACATCGTGCGATGGTTCAAGTCTTTGGGCAGTACATTGTGCAGCACGTTGCGATGAACGACGTGCCCAAGGTTGAGGAGCTCTTGCGGGCCGGCATCGACGGCGCAACGGCCACTGACGGCCCACCGCACGAGAACACGCTGCTGCACTGGGCCGCCTCGAGCAACGCCGTCGACGTCCTTTCTCTGCTCTTGCGCAAGTACGGGCGGTCGCCTGTCTTGAACCAGCAAAACGCCGATGGCGCGACGGCGCTTCACGAGGCGTGCCACGTCAACTCGGCCGAGTGCGTCCAGCTCCTCGTGGACTTTGGCGCCGACCTGAGCCTCGTCGGAACCCGGGGCTACGTCAAGGGCAAGGCCCCAGTCGAAGTTGCGTCCAAGAAGGAGATCACGCGCATCATTGCCAAAGGCAAAATCACCAAGCGACCTGCCAACGACGTTGCGAACACGGAGAAGCAAGACGCAGAGGACCGCGACGTCGTCATGACTGCGCTCGCTACGAGTCCGCGGGCCCGCGCCCCAACGATATCTGTGGTCGTGCCCACGACGCCGACCTTCGCCGCCTCCGCGCCAAGCACGTTGCCGCACGACAGCCACGTGCGCCACCAGCTCGAGGAGAAGGACGCACTTATTGCGCAACTCAAAGAGTCGATGGAGGCGCTCGTCACCGACGTCAACGACCGGAATCTCCTCGGCGAGCACGAGGCCGTCCTCGACTACATCCGCAAGCTGCGCGCCGAGAAGGCTCTTGTCGAGCGACGTCTCTATGACGCCGAAGAGCACATTGTCGTGCAGGAGGAGCAGATGATGGGGCTGAAGGCGCAGATCCGCTCGGACAAGGACACGATCGAGGTAGGACGGAATTCGCCTTGAAGGCGCAATGCTCATGGCGCGGTGCATAGACGCTGCGGAAGCGCGTGACCGAGCTCGAGGCGGGCGCGACACCGTCAAGGCCACTTGTCGTAGCCGAAGCACCTGCGTTTGGACCCGGCAGCGCCACGCTGGGGCGTCCGCCGACGAGCCACCGCGGTCCGATCGTGCTTCGAGACCCGCCGCCGCAGCCCGCGATCGCAGATGTGTTCGACTACGCCAGCGTCCGCGCCAAGGCCATGGCCGAGCCAGAGAGCTTCTGGCACGCGCTGCTCCAGTTCCTCTGGCCGTTTGGCAACACGGCAGCAGACGAGCCGCGACCGGGCGACGAGGTCTTCATGACCGTCTAGTTTCACGCAAAAACCGCGTCCTGCGCGTAATTTATTGGTGGCGTCATTTTGTATGTGTCAGTGGCGTGCAATTAGCTGCCGGATAATCCCATAGTATTGCCTGCCATTTGTGAAACAGCCAAGTCCGAGACAGCGCCGCCGGAGGAGGATGGACGAGAAGTGTCGCCAGGCCGCCGGTACGCGAGGAGCCCATGACGAGCATGCTCACGTGCCACTTGTAGCCTTGATCCGCGACGCCGACTTCATCATGATCGCTGCCGGCGCAGGCTTCTCAGGTAGACCATCGGCGACGACGTGTGCCATTGGCTTAGCAGGACATGGCATTATGTAGCGGATTCGGGCCTGCCCGTCTACAAGTACGGCGCGCCTCTCTGTGGTGTAAGACGATCTTGTGTCTAGCGACATTGCCAAGGTCGAGGCCTACAACACGCTGGGCGTTGACTACCAAGACCTCTGCGACCCGTACTGGGTACGACGATGACCTGCCCGAGCATGGTGCGATGCTTGCTGCATCCTAGATCCACGAAGACCTCAAGCTCTTTTACGGTTTTTGGGGCGACTGCCTCAACATGTACCGCAGCACGACACCCCACCGAGGGTAATCGTACATGTCCTATCGAGTCCCATCATCGTGGCAGGTACCAAATCCTGCAAAAATGGAAGCAGCGCGTCTCGGCCAAGTCGAATCTGAAGCTCAGGAACGTGATGGAGTCGCTGCAGATGGCGCCTAAGGACTTCTCGGACGTGACCGGCGACCCGTTCTTCATCTACACGTCCAATGTACCTCGCTGCTTCCGACATCTTGCCCATCAAGCGGTCTCGTAGGTCGATCATCACTTTACGCAGTTCTTTTCGCCTTCGGAGATTTATGAAATCCACGGCAACATTGAAGTAGCACTCGCATCACCAACTCGTTGACGAGCCACATGTAGCTCTGGCAGTGCGCGGGCAAGGACGCCAAGACGGAGCCGTGTTCGGCGTCGCTCTGGGCGCTTCCGCCACCGTTCCGGTTCGAGATTGATCGCAACACGATGTACGCGGAAGGCTTTGAACGCGACCCGTACGTCGCGCGCAGTACATGGACAAGTCGCCACTCGCCACTCGACTAGGCTCCTCTCGTGCAGCACGTGCCGAGGCCCGGCGCGCCCCAACATTCTCATGTTCTCAGACCGCAAGTGGATCTCCAACGACCTCGACTCGGACCGGTACGTCGACTGGGAGGCGGCCATGGAAGAGGTAGGGACACATTTGCGATTGCGAGTTCATGAACGTCTGGTGCTAGGTGCTCGCCAATCATCCCGAGAAGAAGGTGGTCGTCATTGAAATGGGCTGCGGCATGCGGGTACCGCTCCGTCGCGATCGTAAACCCGATGTCCTAGTGCGTCGCTAGGTGCCCTCCGTCCGGCATGAGTGTGAAATGGTGGTCCGCGATGTGCTCAAGAAGGAGTACCAGCGGTCGCTCACGACGCGGCAAGCAAACTTGATTCGCATCAACCCAGACACGAGCGACGAGTGCATTTACGACTGGTCCGAAGTGCCCAGCGCGATCCTCAAGATCGAAGGCACGGGCCTCGCCGTCCTCGAGACCATCGAAGCCTTCCTCCAGAACGCCGAATAGACAAGCACCGTGTGCGGCTTTTTACTTGAAGGTGACGCGGAGGACGTGGTCGACGTCTTGGCGCATCGGAGGTCCCGACTCGATGAGCGAGGCATCGGAGAGCTGCTTGTACTTGTTGCACGCTTCTTCGCGCTTGTGCATGAGCACCTTGATCGTGTCGTGGAAGCGACTGCCGCGCTGTTGGAGAAGGCTGAGCTGGGACGACAGCACGTTGGCAAGCGACCGGTACGCCTCCAGCAGATGGACCGTCTCGCCCGGAGTCTCGACGGCCAGCCGAATGAGCTCGTCACACTCGTCCTGCGCCTTCTCGAACGCGAGCGCCATGTCGTACACGGCCACGAGTTCCCTACATTGCGCGTTATGGATGCTTGCGTAGTATCGAGCAGCGCACTTGAGCGCAAGGATCTCGAGATGGCGGGCGCCGGCTTCGACGGCCAGCGACCGCTGGCGCTGAAACAACTGGACCGGCTCGTCCGCGGCCGACAGCGTCTATTCACAGTAGCAAATACCTACTGCGACGAGTGGCTTCGAACCTCGCCCCGCCGCTTCTTTTCCTTGGCGACGAGGCCCATGCCATAATGCGCGCGCGCCATTTCTTTACGGTGGCCGAGGATCGCCGCCGTGCGCTACTCGCCTCAGTGTACGAGGACGATGCAAAAAGCCTACCGAGTTGGCGCGAAAGTGGTTCATCGCTTCGTCGAGGTCGCCGGCGACAAGGGCAGCGACGCCGAGGTTGCTCTGTGCACGCAGCTGCGACGGGCGGTCGTGCGGCGAGAGCGCCAAATCCGCTGCGTAGACAGCGGCTGCGTCGGCGACAAGCGACTCCATCATGTGCACGTGTCCGAGGCCCGTGAGCACGTAGCTCTCGACGACGTGGCTGCCGGCGAACCTCGCTTTCTGCAGCGCGACGCTGAGCTCGGCTTTGGCAACAAACGTGTCGTGGTGGCAAAGGTACTCGAGACCGATCTTGGCCTGGAGCAGCGCCGCGAGGTCGTTGGCCTCGAGCGATTTGGCCTGCTCGAGCCCGAGGAGGAAGTGCGCCTCGGCGGCTTTGCGCTGACCGGCCTCGGCGAGCGCCGACCCGACGTGGTAGTGAGCAACGGCTTCGGCCTTGAGGTTCTTGGACGCGATGGCCATGCGGAGGCAAATGTCAAAGTACTTGGCCGACTCGTCCCACGCCTGCGCCTCGAAGTGGTAGATGGCCAACGCGCTCGCGCAGCTACGCCCATGCACATTGGATCCCACTGGTAGAGCTCCCATGTGTCCTACGACGCAAGGAGGACCGGGTCGCCAAGCCCCTCGGCGCGCTCGTACGCCATCGTTGCATGCTCGAGAAAGGCGCCGGTGCGCAGGACACTGTCGGTGGCGGCGAGCACTACAGCGACAGGATGGAGACGGCCGCACATGCGCAGTGTACCTTGGAGGGCCGAGACGCGTAAGCTCTCTTCGATCGACTCCTACGTCGTCGTCGTCATGAGGCTTTCGTGCGTAGGTTTGGGTTACCGGCGTCGAGAAGACGGCGAGCGCGAGCTGAGCTGCGTCGGCGGCGTTGCCGAGCGCGTGGTGCGCCAGGCAGAGGTTGTACTGGACAAGGCACTGCGCGGAAACATTGGCACGTGCTAGAGCGAGGTCGCGCGCCTGCGTGAACCAGCTCATCGCAGCCTCCGGGTCCCGCGCTTTGAGGTACACGGTGCCGAGGTTGTTCATGCACGACTCTTGCGCCACGACCTCTACGGTCAGAGGTCGAACCGCGAGCTACCGTATTGCGGCCGCGTACCTTTGAGCTCTTTTCGGATTGCGAGTTCGTGTTCAAACTGCAGAATGGCCTCGGAGATGAAGCCGCCGTTGATGTAGTGCACGCCGAGCTTGGCGTGGACTTTGGCGACCTGCGCCCGCGTCCCTCGCTTCATGAGCCCATACAACTGCTCCTGGAGCTGCGTCAGGGCCACGTTGTATTGCAGGTCGTCGCCCATGGTGCGAAACCGACACTAGCGTCGAAGATAGAGAGGAGACCGAGTCCAACTGCAACGTCGCGTCAATATACCAACTCCTAACGCTCTACTGGTGCTCTAACTTGAGCTGGCGACTGATCATTTACACGTCGGTTTTTGTGCTGTCAAGCCCAGCAATTCCGTGGTCGACGGCCAAGGTGGACGCGAGGAGCGCGACAAAGGCCTTGGACGAAGGCTCGGCCAGCGGTGCTTGTCGGATCGCGAGCGGCCAATTGTGCAGCTTGAGCCAGTGCTGGAGTGGCGCGCGAATGTGCAGATGCATACGGCGCCAGCCCACCGACTGCAAGCCCGTGAGCATTGACTTGGTAAAGGCAATGCGGCGCCTACAAAGTAGGATCATTTGCGGTTTGCGAGTCAGTACAAGCGACGAACGGACCGTGCGTCGGCGATGTAGCCGTCGTGGAGCTGCGGCACGCACTCGACACGGTGCTCCAACTCCAGCGGCGTCGGCAACGGAGGCGCCAGCGAGAGGTGCGCCGGCGCAAAGTCGTTGTGCTCGACCGCCCACGACCACATGCCCTTGGGCGCGAGATTGGTCTCGTCCGCGCAGCTCAGTGAAATCGTCGACGCAGCGTGCGCCACAAGGTGGTCGCCCGTCGCCAGACCGACTGCCGTCCGGTGTTCGAACGCGGCGAGCGCTCGGACATAGACCGAGTCTACGTGCACTGAGTCTCCTGATTGTTCGGCAAAGCGAGCGGCGTACCCGGCGCACTCATGGCCTCGAGCGTCGCTTGATCTGTCGAGGTACCTACAGGTAGTACAACAGTTAGCCTCTTGCAACGAACGGCGCAGCTACCGAGGACGAGGAGGTCGAGGCCGGTTTGGCCGTACAGGCGCTGCGTCAAAAGAATACGGTGCACGAGCCACTTGGAGAAGACCTAAGGTCCTTCTTTAGCCACCTCGGACGAGACGCGAGGAGTGTTCGTACGCGCGGCAAGGACCCGCCAGGCTTGCGCGACCCGAGGTGTGGCGTGCAGAGCGTCACAAACGACGTCGGTTGAATGTGCATGGCGCTCAATGTGTGCAGAAGGAATGGAAGGCAATGGCGAGCAATGAGGCCGCCGAACGAATGCCCGAGCATCGAGAGACGCCGCGGCGACGACGTATCGGGGACGCGGAATGTCAAGAGCCAGGTGAGGATCTCTAATGCCAGGCGGTGGCCGCACTGTGCAATGCCAGCGCGCGTCTTCTGGCGCATGTTGACGTTGCTTTGCAGAATCGCAATCGAGCCCGGTGGGAACTGGGCGACGAGCGCGGCCGCGACGACGTCAAAGTCGGTCGGGTGGCCATTGTTGCCGTGCACGAGCACGAAGAGGTGCGTTGGTAGATCGGCGCGGACCGTACCCTCGGCTTGGTTGTCGTCGCGTCGTGCCAAGAGCGCTGACCTCCGCTCTTGCCAGCACGACAGCCCAGGCGCCGTAGCTTCGTTGAGCTGCATTTGTGCCTAAATGAGCTACGTGATGCGGCTGCCGAGTCATGGAAGAAGCGTACAAGCTGGGCTGCCACGAGCGTCGCGTGCCCATCCTCCGCGCTTGGCCCCATCGCTGCTCGTCCAAAAATGCTGCAATAAGAGTTGTTTCGAGTCGCCACACCATTGGCAGGCGGCTCGTATCCTGCAGCCGCCATGACGCGCTGCTTTCGTCGCGATGATGCTTTGTACTAGAGCGTAGAGGTCTGGGCTGCAGCTGGCTTTGGTCTTGGTGTTTAGTCGCGTTTAGTCACGTTTAGTCACTTTTAGTCATTTAGTTGTTTAGTCAGCGCCGTAAAGCAGGTTGAACAGGTTGAACAGTTTAAACGTCCGGTCAATTCTAGAACCATATTTAAAAACAAATATTTTTATTACGGCAACGAATTATGCGACGTGATAAAATATCCCGATTGTTTGCGACATTCGTTGTCAGGGTTAATAAAAGAAATATAAAATGAATAATTTGTCGTATTTTTATTCCAACACCAAGAATTTAATGGACCGCGCACGGTCTTTTCACACACTATTTCGACGCTTTCCGGCAGCGGCAGCCCCTCTCCCACACACGACGTCGCCACTCATACACTATTTAGCGACAATACCAAGCCAAAGACAGGATTCGAATTTCCCGGCCAGCGGTTGGCCAGCATTTCGCAAGTTCCGACTCGACGACCAACATGTACGGCAGCGACAACTACAGCAGCGGGCGCAGCTACGGCGGCTCGGACCGCTACGGCGACTCGTCCTCGCGCCGCGAGAGCTCGTACAGCAGCCGTGGTGGCAGCTCCAGCTACGGTGGCGGTGGCAGCTACGGCGGTGGCAGCTCGAGCTACGGCGGCGGTGGCAGCAGCTTTGGCGGCGGTGGCGGCTTTGGCGGTGGCGGCAGCTACGGCTCTGGCGACCTCGGCTCGAACCTGAACACGAACATCCAGTGGGATCTCTCGAAGTTGCCCGTGTTTGAGAAGAACTTCTACTACGAGCACCCGAACGTCAGCGCCCGTTCCGAGTCGGAGCTCGAAGAGTGGCGTCGCAAGCACCAAGTCACAGTGAACGGCAAGGGTGTCCCGAAGCAGGTCATGTCGTTTGAAGAAGCGTCGTTCCCCCGTACAATACCGATATGTTCAAGTCCAGTGCTCACAGGCATGCGTGTAGAGTACGTCCTCGATGAAGTTGTCCGCCTTGGTTTCCCGGCGCCGACGGCGATCCAGAGCCAGGGCTGGCCCATGGCCTTGTCGGGTCGCGACATGGTCGGTATCTCGGCCACGGGCTCGGGTAAGACGCTCGCCTTTTTGCTGCCTGCGATCGTCCACATCAACGCTCAAGTAAGTCGTGTCTCCTCGCTACTCGCACTCGTTTGTATTGCTCTTTCTCATGGGAGAGCCACTCAAGTGTGCAGGACCACGCAACTTGATAGGGCGCCGGGAGCTAGTAGACACTTCGTCGCGTCGGGGTCGGTTCGGCTGGCACTGAAAGGTGTGCGACAGCTTGGAAGAACTGTCTTCGATGACGATGACGGCCGTGGAACAGCGTACTGCTGTCGCGCGCTGCTGTCTTGCACGTGCTCTCGCGCCCTCTTCGATTCTGCGGCCCTCGAGGACATGGAATGTGTCATCCGCTAACCTTGTGAAATAGCCCTACTTGCAGCCCGGTGACGGCCCGATCGTGCTCGTCATTGCGCCGACGCGTGAGCTCGCGGTGCAGATCCAGCAGGAATGCAACAAGTTTGGCGCGAGTTCCAAGATCAAGAACACGTGCGTCTATGGCGGTGTGCCCAAGCGCCAGCAGTGCGACGACCTCGCCCGCGGTGTCGAGATTTGCATTTGGTGCGTTCCTCAACCCGATCTTCACTGTACCTAACGCTTGTGCGTAGCACGCCCGGTCGCATGATTGATTTGCTTGGCCAGAACAAGACCAACCTGCGTCGCGTGACGTACCTCGTGCTCGACGAGGCGGATCGCATGCTCGACATGGGGTTTGAGCCGCAGCTCCGCAAGATTGTCAGCCAGATCCGCCCCGATCGCCAGACGCTCATGTGGTCGGCCACGTGGCCCAAGGAGATTGTGACGCTGGCCCACGATTTCTTGCACGACTTTATCCAAGTCACGGTCGGGTCGCTCGAGCTCACGGCCAACAAGAACATTACGCAGATCGTCAAGGTGATGGCCGACCACGAAAAGTACGGTGCGCTCTCGGACCTGCTCAAGGACATTGCGGACGGCGGCAAGATCATTGTGTTTTGCGAAACCAAGCGCGGCGCGGACGAGCTCACGCGCAACTTGCGCAACACGCGCTACGTGACGCGCGCGATCCACGGCGACAAGTCGCAGGAGGAGCGCGATTGGGTGCTCAAGGAATTCAAGGCCGGCAAAGCGCAGATCCTGGTCGCCACGGACGTTGCGTCGCGCGGCTTGGACATCAAGGACATTCGCTATGTCATCAACTTCGACATGCCCAAGAACATTGAAGACTACATCCACCGCATTGGGCGTACGGCCCGCGCCGGCCAGAAGGGCACGGCCGTCTCGTACGTCACGGCCGAAAATGGCAAGATGGTGCAGGACCTCATCAAGATTCTGAGCGAGGCCGGCCAGGAAGTGCCGCGCGAGCTCGAGGGCATTAGCTCGTATGGCGGCGGCGGCGGCTTCCGCGGTGGTCGTGGCGGCGGCCGTGGTGGTGGCCGTGGCTTTGGCAACCGCTGGTAAGCGCCTCGACGCTGCGAGTACCTCCTAATGAAGCCATCAATTTTTAAAATGCATTTGCAATCTTGGCCGCAGGGATGTGGCTGCAGCTTCTGTCACTCCGTCATTTGGGCGAGGGACCGTACTAGCATCGCCAGCAGTCGTAGGGAATACATTGCAAATTACATACGTCCGCGGTGGGACCCGTCACCTTGTATGAAGTTGCACTTGCGTTGGCGTCGAGATGATGCTCGTGGGCGTCCCAAGGGGTACTGTCACTTGAGCGTCTGGCCAAGCGAGTCGATTGCAGAGCTCGACTGGCAGCTCTCTTCCTTGCGTCCGGTTGCACTGGGCGTTTTCATTGGCCGCCGTCTGGTAACTCGCAACTTGGCGACGACTGGCCTCATCGTCCTTGATGCCATCCAAGAAGCGGTTCCAGCGCACGAACGGCGTCGCGAAGGCGTCGGTGGTCGACCCGTCGCTGCACAAAGCGTGGGCGCACGACTGGCCCGGCGTCGTCGTGCACGAGGAGGCCGGCGCGCCGTTCTTTTCGTCGGCCGCGATCCGCGCGAGCGGCGAGTTCTTTCCGCGGCTCAAGACGATTGCGAACCCGCGCAAGGCGTACAAGGACGGGATCTACATCCTCCTCAACTTGAGCTGGGTCACGCTCATGCCGGCGCTCGCGGCCATGTACTTTGCGAGCATCTTTGCCTTTGGCGTCGTCTTCTTCTACGTGTGCGGAAACGCCGCCACGTTTTCCGACGACTTTAACCTCTCGTACACGACGTTCTCGACGATCGGGTTTGGCATCCTCTTCCCGGTTGAGCGCTGCGCCAACTACGTCGCGATCGCCGAGGCGTTCGTGTCGCTCCTCTCGATCGCCGCGCTCACGGGCCTCATGTTTGCCAAGTTTGCCAAGCCCAAGGGCAAGATCGCGTTCAGCCAAGTGGCCGTCGTGCACCCGTACGGCACCGAGCGGCTCGCGCTCGTCGTGCGCGTCGCCAACGCCACCCAGTCCCAAGACGTGGCCCGCGACGTCATCATGGACGCGTCCTTTTCGTTTACGCTCATTCGCATCGAGAAGGAGAACGAGATGGGCCCCGCGCGGCTGCGCTACTACAAGCTGCCGCTATTGCAGTCGAACGTCATTACGTTTCGCATGGTCCTCGCGCTCGTCCACGTGATTGACGAAGAGAGTCCGCTCTTTGGCCTCACGCAGTCGACGCTGGCGGCGTCCCAGTTTGTGCTGCAGGTTGGCATGACGGGCGTCGACTCGACGCTTCAAGACACGGTCATGGAGCGCCAAATCTATTCGATCGAGATGCTGCAGTGGGGCTTCCGCTTTGGGGAGATGCTCCACTTCTCGGACGACGCGGTCGCGATCGACTTTGACGAGCTCAGCAAAGTGCACTCGGCCCCGATCGACGACTCTTATGCAGCCCAGTACGCGCCTCGCCCGTCGCCCGTCCCGACTATAAGTAGCAACACGAAGCTGCACCAGCATCCTCTTGGGTCGGTGCTGAGTCCGACGCCGCGCATGGCGTGGGCGTCGTCGTCGCACAAACGAAGCTCGCGCCGGCTGCGGCAGCCGCTTCGACCGACCGATATGGAGCCGCTCTTTGAGCCGCTGTTGCAGCGCGACGTCGGGACGCAGCGCGTGACCAAGCCCCGGCGTCGCCAGCCGTCGCATCATGGGGCGTCCATGCCGGTCGAGCAATGGCAGCTGCTCCAGCACCAGGTCGCGGGCGACACGATGGCGGCGACCGACTCGACGTCCGGCCTTCTCTGGGCCCACACGACCACCAACAGCCATGCTGAGCCCCATGACGAAGAGGACGACGAGGACGATGACGACGATGACGAGAGAGATCTCGATTTCTCCGACGCCTCTAGTGTGCACTCGGTCGAGATTCCCAACACGCCGCGCTTCCTTCGCGTCTCGCCGCTGCACGTGCCCTTCTCGTACTCGTTCCAGAGCTTCTACTACAGCGCGCTGCACATGAAGTGGCCGCGCATCATTGCGCTCATTGTCGTGGGCTTTGTCGTCATGAACGTCGCGTTTGCGGGTCTCTACCTCATTGACGTACGTCATATTGTCTCGGAAACTGATATGATGACTGCTCGAATGTCTAGTTTAACGGCGTCTTGGTCACCCCGAGCATCGCGGCGGCCAGCTCGCCCTTTGAAGTGTGCTTGTACCTCAGCGCACAGACGCTCGCGACGATCGGGTACGGTGTCATTGGGCCGCAGCCCGACTCGAAGATCAACAACTTTTTCGTGGCCCTCGAATCGTCGTTTGGGCTCATCTTTACCACGATTTTCACCGGTATTTCTAAATCTGTATCAAGTTGATACTGAAGAAGCAAATAGGCATTGCGTGGTCCAAGTTTGCGCGGCCCCGCGCCCACATTCACTTTTCCAAGCACATTGCTATCACGACGATCCACGGCCAGCGCGTGCTCGTGCTCCGCGCCGCCAACACGCGGCACCACGGCGACATCCGCGAGGGCTCGTTCCGGTCTCCTTGCGCCGTTGCGACTTGAGTTTAATCCCTTGGACTAGGCTCGGCGTCAACCTCACAAATTCCAAGACGGGGCTGCGGCAAATGCAGGACGTGCCGCTCATCAGCCCCGAGTGGCCCTCGATCCGCATTCCCGTCACGCTCATCCACGTCATTGACGAGGCGTCGCCGTTCTACCAGTTTCAGTCGCCGGCCGACTTTTCGAACTACCGCGTCTCGGTCATCACGCTCTTCACCGGTACGATATTGTTACTGTGGAAGAGGACAAGTTGTCCACAAATAATGACGAATAGGACTGGACACGACGTTTACTGAAAACGTCTATGCGCGCAAAATGTACTTTTGGGACGACTTTGTCATGGACATGCACTTTGACGACTGCGTCGACGTCCGACCCGACGGCGTCGTGATCGACTACCGCCGCTTTGACGTGCTCTTGCCGGATGCAGAACCGACCATCACGGTCGCTTAGAGAGATCGACGCATCATACGTCGTCGTTCGGCCAGTGTATAATAATGAGGATGCGTACCACCGAATGTTTGGCTACTGCTCAAGCTGGAACACTCGCGAAGCGGCGAGAAAGAAGAACGCCATGACCTCGGAACGCATGGGCGACCGCATCGTCGTGCTCGGGATGACGTGCGCCGGCAAGTCGACGCTCGGCGCAGCCTTGGCGGCGGCGCGGGGGGTGCCGTTTGTCGAGTCGGACGCGCTCTTTTGGGCGCCGGCATGGACGCCTGTCCCGACGCCCGAGTACGTCCAGCGCATGGACGCAGCAACGTCGGGCGACGCATGGGTCGTCGCGGGCTGCTGCAGCGCTGCACACGATCTCGTACTGGGCCGCGCGACCACTGTCATCTACCTCGACTACCCGTTCTACTTGCATTTCATTCGCCTTGTGAAGCGCACGCTCACGCGGTGGTGGACCCAAGAGCTTCTCTGGGGCACCAACAGAGAGGGCCTTTGGGAGCACTTGAAGCTCTGGTCAAGCGAGTCGCTCTTCCACCACCTGATACGCAAGTACCATCAGCGGCGCACCGTGTATTGGCCCAATGCGTTTGCCGCTCACGCGCACTTGCAAGTCCTCCGCCTCCCGTCGCTGGCCGCCACCGAGAGCTATCTCGATGCTTGCGCGTCGACCACAAGCCCCCACTAGGCCACGAGGTAATGAACGACACGCGTAGGACGCTTGTAATGCAAGGTCTCTACCAACGATCGTTCTTTCGTGCCTTGGTATCGGCTTGGTCGACGCGGCTGAAATTTCTGGCTCATGACGTGGCTGGCTGCTGGGCGTCCGAGCGCACCCACGATGGCCACCACGCATCTCGCAGCCTAGCGGCAATGGTCGAGGCAGGTCATCTTTGGCAATGGTCGCTCGCAAGAGGTCGTGTCCGCCGGCAGCAGCGACGTGCATGGCGGCTGCGTCTGCTCGTGCTCTCAGATCTGAGTTCGTGGTGGCAGAGGACCGGATAGACAGGACCGGCGGTTCATTTAATGCAGCTGGTTTTATTTTGACTGCAAATATATATCGCGACGCGTGGGTTCAATGATTAAAATACGCGACGTTGCCAGCGCCGCCACTGACACGTTGCAATCGACCCCATTCCAGCATGAAGAGCTCGTCCGGCTACGGCCTCCTCTGCGTGCAAGCCGTCTTCCTCTTCACGGGCGTCTTCTCGACCTGCGCGGCCCAGTTCATCTTCTACCAGGGCGCCGGCGGTACGGCCTTGGCACGATGGCACGAGGCTCATGTACTGTCGTAGCGCAAAAGGCGATGCTACTTCCGCTCTGCAACTACCTTGGCATGATGCTCGTGGGCGTGATCCCAACGCCGCCTTCCGAGGCGCCGGCGACCGAAGCCCTCGGCAAGAAGCACGACGATGACGTCACGACGCTCGACGAACCCATCGACGCACCCAAGAGCCGCGAAGCGGCCGAGCTCACGCGCCGCCAGCCCACGGACGTCCACCTCCCGGACGTCGTCGCTATGGTCGAGAAGCCGACCAAGGGCGGCCACCGCGGGTACTTGAACGGCGCGCTCCCGCTCGTGCATGCGATGCTGCTCCTCAACGTCTTCCTCGACTTTGCCGGCTGCATCTTTGCCAACATTGGTCTCTCGATGGCCGGCAGCGGCGTCTACCAAGTGGTCTACTCGTCCGTCGTGTGCTGGTCGGCGCTCCTTTCGAAGGCGTTTCTCGGCAAGCACGTGGGCCGCGTACGATCCTCTTGTATCGCCCTTGTCTTCTCAACTCGAAAATGCTAGAACGAATGGCTGGGCATCGCCACGGTCACGTTCGGCCTCGCCTTCTCGGCGCTCGGGCAGTCGAATGGCGGCCGTACGATCTTCCTTTTCACAGTGTCCTTGATTGATTCTGTTGCTGCATTAGGCAATGCGGGCGTCGTGCTCATGGGCTGCGTCAACACGCTCATTGCCGCTGGTTTTTACGGTGGCAACTATGGTTCGTACTTCCACTGCCGCATATCTTGTTGACGAAGCGCGTAGTTGCTGGCGAGTACATGCTCAAGCTGCCCGAGCGACCCGAGCCCAAGGTGCTCTGCCTCCGCATGGGCATCATCTGCGTCTCGATGATCTCAGTGTACCAAATGTTCTTTGTGTTGCCGCAGTGGAACCACATGATCACCAAGCCCGTCATGGACGCCAACGGCAACCCCGTCGTACGTTTTGCTCTCTTCCGCCCAGACGAGTACGATCTGTGCACGTAGCACATCCTTGCGGCGCTCTTTTGGTACACCATGTCGCAGCTCGCGCACGGCTTGACGTACTTCATGATGCTGGGCTCCTGCGGCGCCGTCACGACCGGCATCATGCAGGTAGATGATTCTTCCTATCTTGCCATGCACTGACCTCGGATGTATAGAGTCTTCGCGCCGTCTGTGTCTTTGCTTTGAGCTCGCTTCTCTACTGCAGGTACATCTCGTTACCTTGAAGGGTCTGGACGAATCCCTCCTCATTTAGCCACCAAGAGTCGCAGTGCTTTGACGCCAAACGCGGCGTCGCCACGTGCGTCGTTGTCCTCGGCGTCCTCTTCTACTCGTATGCAAAGAACCAGTCGGCATCGGTGCTCAAGCCGCTCCAAGACAAGCTGCCGATGCCGACGCTCCTCGTCAAGAACCACGTCGTCTAGTTGCGAAAGAATAAATACGCTACTTTATTTACGCAAGAGGTGTCGACTACGCCGATCGGCAAATGCAATGTTCGAGTCGGTCGACGACCGCTGGAGCTGCCGCGGGCGCGTTTGTCCAATCAGTCGGGGCTCGGTGCGGCTCCGTAGCAAGTGACGAGCCGCGGCCGCAGCGTTGACGCGCACCACACCGTTCGACGACGTTGCGCCGAGCATCGGCTCGATCGGCGTCATGGGCCGGTCGTGGCTCTCAGCTTCAGGCGGCGGCGACTGCGACCACCCGCTGTTCTTTGGACTTTGACTGCGACTGCCATATCGTGGCAGCCCCTGCCGCGTCACGAGTGTTGCGGCCGACGACGACCGAGGCATGCTCTCCTCGGGCACCTCGGACACGAGGTCCAAGTGGCTTGCTGCGTGTACGAGCTTCTTGAGTGACGGTGCGCGGGTCATGACTGATATTGGGGTCCCATCATGGTACATGGGGCGCCGAGAGAACGAGTGCAGTTGGCTAATGTTGGAGAGGCGGCGGATCTTCTCGTTCGGGTCGACCTCTTCGTGCTCGGATTGCTTGGGCGACGACAGCGGCTCTTCCGCGACCGACGCCATTTCGGGCAGCATGGCCGACGAGGGCCCGACAGTCTCGCTCTCGTCGTCCTGCACCGACGTCATCGACTGCGTCGTTGGCAGGAGCGGCACCGAGCACCAGTTCTTGAGGTTCCGCGCGCGGTATTCCGGGAAGCGCTCGAGCGTATACTCGTACGCGCTGTGTTCGAGAATGTACATTTCGCAGTTGGAGATCGCCGAGCACGTTGCACTCCGCGGCGTGTTGTGCAAGAGACTGCGCTCGCCAAAGTAGTCGCCTTTCTGCTTGACAACTTCATAGCTCTTGGCGTTGTTGGTCACGAGGATGAAGCCCATGTGAATAAAGTACATGGACCGTTCGTAGTCCCCTATCAACGATATAAGGTGATGGACCTCAGCCAAAATTACCTTCGCGGATGATGACGTCTTTGGCAACGTAAAACTCGGCTTGGAGCATAGCGACGATCGCGCGCGTAAAGTCCTGGTCGCACTCGGCAAAGAGCTGGACCTTGGTGATCAAATCGCGCTTGACGTACACCGCAATGTCCTCGCGGATCGCGCTCGAGAGCGGCGCGAGGGCTTTGTTCTCGACAATGCCCTCGCTGCGCTCCCAGAGCATGCGAAAGTACTCCATGATCTGGAGGATCACAGGCCGCGGAAACTGCCGGTGCACGAGGAACGTCGAGACGACGCCGAGGTGGTCTTCGAATTTGACCAAGTTTTTGAACTCTTCCTCGAAAATCTCCGAGAGGCCGCCGGTGAGAATGCCGTATGCGAGCAAGCCGACAAAGACGAGGCCAATGGTCACGATGGTCTCCATCAGTGTCGTCGCGCGCGAGTCGCCGAACGCCACCGACGTGAGCGTCGTTGCCGCAAAGTAGTAGGTCCGGAGGTACGCGACGCTCAATGGCTCTGCGAACGAGACGTGGCCGGCGGACACGAGCGTCGACGGCGAAGTCAACGAGCTATGGAGACTCACGTAGTACCAAATGCACGCGATCCAGTGCCCGCAGAGAAGGAAGATGCCCCAAATGTTGAGAAACGAAAGAAAGAGGCCGAGCCACGAGATCGACTTGAAGCGCAGTGTGAGGAGCTCGCGGGCTTTGGTGCTGTAAGCAGGCACGTGCACAAGCCGCGCGAGCTTGTTGAGCCGGAGGAGCGACACCGAATGCACGAGCGGATACGCGTCGCCCCAGACGCTCGACGGAATCACGAGCGCAAAGAGCTCAAAGGGGACGGCAGCGATCACGTCATATACATACCCGTCCTTGTGAAAGTACTCGGCGCGAAGCAAGGTCGGGTCGGACTCGAGCTCGCCGCGAATCATGCGGCAGAAATAGCCCCAGCGCAAAACAACGTCGATGAGGCTGAGGACATCCAAGAGGTACTCGGTGTATATCCACGTGTCGACGCCATGCACGTCGTGGAGGAGGACGCCGTGCACAAAGCACGCGCGCAGCGGGAGCGCGATTGCGTAATAGAGCGTGATACCGAAAAGCAGTTGGTCCCATGACGCGCGAAACGTCGAGTGCGGATGTGTCCACCACGGCGGCATCTTGACTTCGGCCCAGATCGAGATGCGCGCCGCCTCGGACCCCTTGATCGGTGTCTGGAGCCGCAGCGAAGCCCGGCGAAGCACGTCGAGGTGGTCAAAGTGTCCGCTCGTTTGGCGCTTGTCGGACAAAATGTCTTCGATGCGTGGCGTCACCTCTGGTGTCGAGCCGACTTCAAGCACCTTATCACGCGACTCGACCCACGAGCTGCGGTGCATGACCAGGCCAGCGTCGACCACACGTCCTGTGCTTGCACCATGGTTGTTCGTCGCCTGGTGGTTTGCCTCGTCGTCGTTCTCGTCGTCGTCGTCGTCGAGCTCGTCTTCGTCCAAGTCGTCCATGTCCTCCTCCTGGCGCGTGAGACTGCGCATGATCACGGCCGTGCGCTGCTCCCGCCGGCGCTGGTCGGCAATCAGCTTTTTCCGGAGCTCGCTCGTGGTTTTCACGGCCTGGATCTTTTGCTGGATGACGCTCATGCTGCGCTCGCGGAAGCTCCGGCCTTTTACTTTCTGGCGACTCAGACGGCGTTCGGGTCCAACATCATTGGGCTCGGCATCGTTCGCCACTGGCAGCACGCGACTGGTGTTGGATTTTTTAAACCGCAGCGTGTGCAGCGTCGTGCGCATGACGTTGAGCCGGCGCTGGCCGTACGACGAGAGCCGGCGGAGGTTGTTGCTCATCATGTGCTTGCGCGCCTTTTGGTTGGGGCTCGAGACGCCATCCACGTACGTCAAGTTGGTCAAGATATTGGTGAGGGCGACCTTGAGGTACTCGTGCTTCGCAACGAGTTGCGGGCTGATCTCGGCCTCGAGTTCGCTGCGGCGATCGTCGGGCCAGAGAGCGAGCCAGTCGGCGCGCTCGAGTCGGAAGACCTCGCAGCACGTTGACGCGCGCACGGAGGTGAGGTGCGTGAGGTCGGGCATGAAGAAGGCGACTTCGCCAAAGAGGCAGCCCTCGGGCACGGCCGCGACCACGAGGTTGCACGCACGCACGTACTGCTCGGCGCGACCTTGGTTCATGATGAAGAGCGAGACGCCAGTGCCGCCCTCGACGAGAATATTGTCGTGGGGCAAATAGAGCACGGGGAAGAGGCGCTCGGCAATCGCTGCCAACGATGCTACGACGTGGACGTTAGCGTGGTGAGACAGGCACATGGATACCAGCGTCGAACGAGAGGAAAAGAGAAATCTCGCGGAGTCGTTTTCCGTATAAATCAAAGTACAGCTTGAGTCGGAGCGAATGCGGAAGGTCCGCAAAGATGGTATCGGCCTCCATGCCACGGGTGCACTCAAACTGAAACTCAAAGTACTCGTGGCCGCGCTCGAGGAGAAACTTGGGCAGCTTCTGCGATCGGCCATACTCGTTGTAGTTGTCGATGCGCAGCTCAAATTCGTGGGCTTCCTAGTAATCGAAGAGCGATGAGACACATTTGAAAATGGCTCGTGGACCAACCTTGTCCATGTTGGCAATGATCGACGTGAGTCGCCCAATCACTTGGCCGACAAAGAAGAAGCCTGCAAAGCACGTGATCGACGTGTAGTACGTCGGAATATTCGTGATCGGATCAATGTCGCGGTAGTCCGTCGCCGTGACCTGCAATCAGAATCAGACTCAGACTCAGAATGTGAACGTACGGCCGTGACTGCCCAGTACAGCGTGCGCAAGTACACGACGAGCGCGTTGCCAGGATACTCTTTGATAATAGGGTCTTTGAGGTGCCACTCCATGACCTCGTTCTCCAGCAGCAAGTCCTCCGTGTGCGGAAGATACCCATCAGGGCTCGAGATGATGAAGAAGAAGGCGCCGGTATAGTGCGCAAAGATCGTCAGGATCAAGAGCAGCCTTGAGAGGCGGAGCCCGGCCGTGACGCGCGCTGAGACGAATCGCTCTTGGAGTCCGAGCTGGATCGCGTCGATGAGCTCGGGTAGCTGCAGACACCGGAGGAGCCGCGGCAGGCGACACAGCGTCATCGTGAACGGGTCGCCGACATAGTAAATAGGGGCACTCGCCGCGACATCGTACACAAGGTAGTGCGAGCGATAGTGCTGTCGGCTCTCGGACCGGGAGAGGTTCCCGCCACTCTCATTGTCGTATGTGAAGTGGTTGTACTTGAGGTAGATGTCGACGAGGAAGATGACGTCGCAGAGGTAGTCGAGAGCCGTCAAGAGCGTGTGCGCCGCGTCGCTTGGGCGCCGGAGGAACGAGATTCGAAAGATGATTTGGACCGCGTTGTAGACCATGAGGAGCACGACGACGGCTTCCCAGACGCGCCGAACGCGGCTCTGCGGCGGGATGACGCCGGCGTCGCGCGGTGGCATCACAAAGAGCGTTGTCGTGCTTTTCGCAAAGCTCACCTAGATACCACATGTGGTCGTGAGCTGCATGATCTCGGTCTAAGTAGAGAGAACGCACAATCTTGTCGCGAGTCAGATTCGCCTTGATCGTTGACCACGCCGCGTCCACACTCTCGTGGACTTCGATGCCTTGTTCGTAGATGATTTCCCACTCTTCGGGGTAAAACTTGATGATTTGCTCAAACTCGTGGCGGCGCAAGACGCTGAGTTCGGTCGCTGTCATGGCGCGAATGCTCATCGCATATGGAATCTCGAGCACAAAGTTGGCCTCGCCAAAGCACGCGCCGGCATGGAGCACTTGGATCGGCGTCGTCTTCTCAAAGACTTCGACCGTGCCATTCCGGACGACGTACAGGTCGGCGCCCATGTCGCCTTGGTGGGCAATGACGTCGCCCGCTTGGTACGTCTCATGGCGAATGATCGTGGCAATGATCTGCTTGCACTCGTCGCTGACGCCGTCAAAGATCGCCATGCGCTCAAACGTCTGCGCGTGCAGAAACGTGAGGATCTCGTGCTGGAGGTTGTCGGGTAAGATGGTCAAAAAGGCTTCCTCGTTGACGCCCTTCTCGCGCACCCACTGGTTCTTGTAGTACCGGCGCACTTGGTGCTGCACGAGCGGCGACACGCTGCGGTAGCGCATAAACCGGTTGATTTGCATCAGTCGGTCCTGACTTCGATTCTCGTTGGCCATCATTTGTGCGATCGCGCTCGAGATGGCGCCAATGACGCCAAAGTTGATGAGGCACGACACGTAAAACCACAGACAGGCGTACGTGTACTCGGCCGTCGAGAACGGAAGGATGGGCCCAAACCCGACAGTGGTGAGCGAGACGACCGACCAAAGCAGCGCCCGCGCGTACTCGGAGTTGTGCGGATGGTGCACTTGGTCGTAGAGGAACCACGTGCAGTTGGCAAAGATGCCGCCGTCGTGCGAGCAGCGCGCGCGCGTGATCTCGCTGGACGTCCAGTGCGTCGCCTCTGCGGCCGCGTGCGGCGTCTGGACATTGGCAATCAAAAACCAGAGGCAGCCCGCAACGTGCGTGACGAGGAGGACTCCGAGCGAGAGGTACACGACGGTTTGGAGTGCTGATGACACGCGGTGTTCTTCGAGGACACCGGAAAGCACGTCTTGCAGCTGGCGCAAGCGTACGAGCCGTAAGAGCCGAAAGAGTCGAAGGTAGAGGACAAGCGCGCTCCTATACAAACATACGACGTCCGCGCCTGATCATCACAGGTGGCATATACGTACCATTCATAGGGCAGAGCGTCGCCGATGATGGCGATCGGAAGGATCGCGATGAGGTCGTAGCGCCACGCGTTCGACTCCTTGTAGTGCGCAAAGATCAAGTCCGGGTCCGTCACGGGCGCCGTGGTGACGACCGAGGACGTATCGAGGAAGGCGAAGTACCGCGCTTCGAACGTGATGGTCAGAACGTAAAAGAACTCGTTGAGAACGCTGGCGACGAACACCAGCGTGACGCTGGTCGACGTGTCGATGTTTTCTGCGGTGCGAAAGATGAGCTTGTACGGAATTTCGACCGCCATGTAGATGAGGCTGCAAAGGTGCAGCATCGACCAGAAGCTGCGAAACTTGGAGTGCGGCAGCACCCACCGACCAGATTTGGACTGGGCGTGGCGCATGACGCTCTGCAGCGTCTCGCCTTGGTTGAGCAGCTTTTGCGTCTTGAGCATTTGGTGGTCGCGCGCCTCGATAGCGTCGCGCCACTCGGTTTTGCGTTGCGCTGCGACCGCTGTCTCGGTGTAGTAGGCGTCAATGACCGTATGGAACACGTCCGTGTTGAGCTGGTAGAGCTCGCAAAACGTCTCGGCCAGCGCCTTGTACGCAAACGCGTTCTCGACAAAGAGCGTGATCTCGCCAAATGCGTCGCCTTGCGTGAGCTTGGAGATGATTTTCTGATTGTCGTCGACGAGGAAGACCTTGCCGCGCGCAATGAGGTACATTTCGCGAAAATGCACCGTCTTGGTGATCCAGTCCATGGGCATAAACACCTGCGACGTCAAAAGCGACGCGAGGTTCTGGATCACATTGGCACTTTCCTTGGTCAAGAAATACACCTACCCCTCGTAGGTCCGCCATGCACGCGTAATCGCACACGTACCTTGCTGATGAGCGACGCTTTGAGCACTTGGGTGCATTGCATCTGGAAGTGCGCCGGCAGCGACGCAATCACGTTGTTTTCGAGAATCCCGAGCTGGACGCGCCAAAAGTAGTCGAAATACCCGAGAATTTTGATGCGGAGGTTCTCGGGCAGCTTGCGCGACTGCGTATACTAGGTAGAGACATAATGAATACGCATTGTCCACGCTTGACGAATGGATGCAAGCACGTACCGTGCGCGCGTCTTCCAGCAAGGCCACATACGTACTTCGGCGTGAGTTGTAGTGGCCAAACACGAGCTCGAACCCGCCAATGATCGCGCAACTCATGAGCGCGCGAAGGAGCTGGATCAAGATGCCAAAGCAGCCTTCGGCGTACGTGTACGCAAACGCGTCGCCAAACGCGACCGTCACGAGCGTCCGAATGTACTGGTCCCAGATGTGGCCACCTTGGAGCTGGCCTTGGAGCACCCAGCACGTGGGTGTGCCCACTGCGAGCGACGCCCCGCCGCCGCTGAGCTGCCGATGGCCACCGCTGCTGGCGCCACCGCCCCCTTCGCATTGGTCCAAGTGCACACCGCACTCGACGTGCGCTAGCAGCATGTAGGCAGCGCTCACGAGGTGGAAGAGCGAGAAGTGCGTGACCATGAGCATGACGAGGAAGGATACCGGCGTGTTGTTGAGCCGCGCAAAGCACTGGTAGCGCGAGAGGACGGTCTTGAGCGCCGCGAGGCAGCGCCGGCCGTTGTGCAGTCGGAGCAGCTTGGGGATGCGCGCGAGGTGGAGGCCGTTGATGCCAAACGCCGCGAAGCACACAAACTCAAACGGGATGAGCGCGGCGGCTTCGAGCAGCAGCTGGAAGCGCGAGATATGCGCGAGGCTGCGCCCCGAGACGGTGCCCATAAAGTGCAAGTGGCGCGCTGCAATCGGACCGGACTCGGGCTTGACGGCCTTTTCGTTGGTGGCGCGCGCCGCCATACTCGCGAGGCGCCCCGGTGCGCGCGTCGCCGTTGTTGTATGCGACGAGTGCTGCGAGAAGCTCATCGGGCGGTTGTACAAGCCGCGGTGGTAGCGCGAGAGGAAGTAAAAGTTGACGAGCCCAAAGACGTCAGTGACGACGTCGACGACATAAAAGAGCCCGTCGTTCGCGTCGAAATGCGGGTCGGCGTGGCTCACGAACGGGTCAAACACAAAGCCGAGCCGGAGTGGAATGAAAAAGAGGTAGCAGAGGAGCTGGAAATTGTAGAACAGGACGTAGAGAAACTCGCGCAGATGCCCATACTTGCGGCGGGCGACGACGCGGTGCACTCGCCGACGCGGCGGCCGCGACCGGTTCCCAAAGCGCAGCTCGGTGGCCTTGCGCTGGAGATACCCCCGGAGGTTGGACCACAGCATCATTTGTCGTCGCGTTCGGTGGATCCTGGAATGGGCGGGAAACGCACTGGCTAAAATTACAAAAAAAACATTTTCGAAACCCCTGCCCCAACTGCCGCCATCATCGCACGCTAGTTTGTAAAGTGTAGAATGACGTTTTTTGGCTTAGACGAGCAAGAAGCTCCGACTTGGCTCTACACTGCTTACAAGACGATTTGCCACTTGGGACGCAAATTGTCGTTGACCGCCCTAGTCAAAACCATAAATTAGTTAGTCTCCATGTAATCAATAAAAGACGGACTTGACGAAATCAGGCTCGGCAAACTGCGCCTTGCCGCGACCGCCGTGCGTGACTTCATCCAGCGTAAAGCTCAATAGCAGCACGTTGATGGTCGTCTCGTAGAGCTACACAATGCGTTCAATAGCCCATTCTCAAATTGGAACTCAACTCCGGAGGAGAGATGACGTACCGACATGAACGTGTGGGCAATCGCATACGAAAAGAGCGCGATCGAGAGCATCGGGATCGTCATGTTGGTCCACGTGTCGTCGGCTTCCATAAAGATGTACGCGGCCAAGCACGCGCCCGAGCAAATGATGACTTTGCCCTACAGCGACGAAACTTGATACACCAGATCCGTGCAGCTGGCTGTACGAGGAGGACGCTGGCGTTGCCAATGCGGTTGATCGACCCGATGCGCAGGAGGTGCGACGTAATGAGGGAGTGGGCCACCTACGCATGCCAGCATCGTGTGAGATGACGTGATTGAGTCGTGGGACCTTGGCCGCGCTGTAGAAGCTCGAGCCTTGCATCGCGGTCACGAACGACGCTTCTTTCGAGATGAAGATCACAAACGACTTGAAGCACCAAATGCAGCACTAGACAAATACATGACAACTTGTCCACAGTTGAAACCAAAAATGTACACAAAAGAGCGTCGAAAACACACTCGCGACGCCGCTCCCGAGGCTCTCGTTGTCCTGGACGTCTTCAATATACATGAAAAAGTTGCGCACGTAGCGGATCGGTGCGACCACGAGCGCGCTGAGCGCGGCCGTGCCGAGGTGGTTGCCAGCGATGCCCTCGAGCGCGTACTTGACCGGGTCGTCGACTTCAAACGTCTTTTCTTTTGTCGCCTTGTCGATCGGCGAGAAGTACCAGAGCGAGACCGCCATCGCGGTCGTCATCTCTGTCAGACTCAAGATCGTCGTGATCGCCCAGTAGATGCCAAACGCGTGGTAGAGGAAGAACCACCGGAGCATCGGGCTGCGCTGAAAGGACGCGACGAGCACGGTGACTAGCCATAGAATTTATATCTCATTTGGATGCATTGAGCGCGCAGACCAGTCTCGGTGGACCCCGGAAGACGCAGTGTCTCTTCGAGTTGGACCGTCTCACCGGCGCCAAAGAGGCAGACGGTGACGGCGAGACCCCAGATAAAGACGAGGAAGAGCAGAAACGTGTGGAAGAAGGGCAGCAGCAGCAATTTCGGTAGCTGGTACAGCACGCGCGTGCCAAAGACCATGAATTTTCCCGCGAGGACGAGTCCTACAAGACCGCGAACATCACAAAAATGTTGAAAATCGTCCCAAAATTTCTGGAAATTTGGGCAACGAGCAGATAAGACGTACGCTGCACCATGAGCACGACGATGAAGAAGAAGAGGATCGCGCCGCAGAGCAAGAGCACGGCGAGCACCAAGAACGCGTTCTGCGTTGCGCGGTCAAACGCGTCGCTGTTGGCCGAGAAGAGCCACGCTTGGACAGCGGCAAGGATGAGCGCGACTTGGACGCCGACGACCGAGAGACCGAGGACGAGGCAGCCAAAGAAACGGAGTACAATGAGGTAGACGCACGCGAGGCCGACCGCGATACCGCACGCCGAGAGCAGCTGCTTCCAGTTCTACACAAAGATATAAGAACTGAGAGGGCGGTATAAGCGCGCCACAACCTCGCGGATGCCACCAATGTACTGTCCGATCACGTCGTTGAGCTGTGAGACGTGCGGAAGGTCCTTGAACGCGTCCGTGCCGTTGGGCGCGCACACAAAGTTGTTGGCGACCGTCTCGTACGCGGTAAAGACCACGACGCGGTCCTTTGCCGTCGAGTTGGCCGGCCGCGCGCCTGGCGCCGTGATGGTCGTCGAGTCGTTTAACGGGACCCACGGGACGTGGAGGCGGACCTCGTCGCCGGCGTGCGGGCAGGACGCGACGCAGACGCCAAAGTCCGGGTGGCTCTGCCAGAGCGGGTAGTACACGGACGCGTTGAGGCCGCAGGAAACGCCTGTGTAGTCCATGGGCTCGGTCAAGTATTGCATCTTGTGCGTGAGGCCGTCCTGGACAAAGGCGACGATGCCGAGCGCGATCATGCCGACCCAGTAGAGCACGAAGAGCACGAAGAAGATGATGTCGGTGAGCCCGCGCACGCACGTGGGCCCGAGCAGCTTCCGGCGCGCGAGGCCAATCTCGGCGTACGTGTCTTTGTCGGGCAAAAGCGGGTCTGCCTCGGACGACATCCACGGCGGGTTCATCGCGTCAAAGCTGCCACCACGCGAGCCCGCCGAGCTCTTGTTGCTTCGCGGCGGCGTCTCGCCCGTCGGGCTGTACATCCACGTGGGCATCTTCCCCGACGACGACCGGTCGCGCCGCGTGAACATCGCGTCCTTTCTGCTGGTGGAAAATGGCACTTTGCACTTTTTCTTGGCAAACCTCTCAAAACGAATATGCACCGCATTGCTCCGACGCGGCTCTGCACCACTCTGAGCTGCCAGTCTCTCAAAGTGCATGCGCGTTGGTTGAAGGCGCCACCACCTGTCGACCGAGCGTGCCCATGGCGCCAAGCTGTTCGTGCACGGGTTTGAGATGTGCAATCCAGTGGCTGATCCAGTGGAAATACTCTTGACGCTTCCACACGACGTCCTCCTGTCGCTGTTCGCTACTGCTGTGCCCAGCGCGATAGAGACAGTGCGCGTCGGTCCGCCTCATGGGCACTATGTACCCGCACCCTTGCCATGCGGCTTGCCGGGGTTTGCCCCACTGGGACAAACCACCCGAAGTTCGAAGGTATGCGATGGAAGGACTGAGGCTCCTGTGTGTAATGTGCGCAGAGAGTCGGACAAGCAGGCACGTATCGAATCAAAGAGGTTTGCCAACCCGGCGTCATATGGCCTTCCCCGGAGATTACAATCGATTGTAAAACAATATCAATTGCTACAGGCCATGGGCGGCTGCGAGGAATCGGCGGGATGCACTCCTATTTCCGCCCTACTTGATGGACATTCGGCGATCGCCTTAGCACATGCCAGCCGCCGACTTCCTACTGCGCCTCCCGCGGCTCACATGCCTGCTGCTTCTGCTGCTAGCTGTGCACGCGCTCGGCAGCGCTAATGGTAGCGGGTCCGAGGAGGCCCTGTCGATGGCCCCGACGACGAGCCCGCCCAATGCGACCCACATCGACAATTGCCACCAAATCGTGGGCGCTGCCATCAACATGAGCTGCAGCGCCGACTCGATCTTCCAGTTGGGCACGCTCGCGATGAACGAGTCGTCGCTCGACGCCTTTTGCAGCGACCCGAGCTGCGGCAAGAAGCTCACGGCCCTCATCGCCGCGCGCGACCAATGCAACGACATCGAGCTCTCCGTCTTCTTTGAGCTCGCCGACATGGACGGGTGGCCGCAGTTCCAGAACATTTGCGCGCCCACGTGCCGGCCGCAGTACATTGAGTTTGCCAACCAGTGGTACAACTGCCAATCCTTGGACGAGAAGGCGCCGCCCGACGCCCCGCCGGTGCGCGTCGCCTGCACGGGCTGTCACAAGGTCAACGAATCCATCAGCGACGTCTCGTTCGTCGCGACGTGCGGCGGCCTCGTCGACTTTATCCGTCGCATGCTCGCCGAGCGCCAGCTCTCGAGCCAAAATGCGCCGTTCGACATGAACCATTTGATTGGGACGTGTGCCAAGTACGCCAACATCTCGATGGTACCCCCGCGCATGGTGGACGCCCCCCACAAACCCGGGAGTCCGTTCCTGCTGATTGTGATTGTGCTTGGTGGCCTCGGCGCGATGGGGCTTGTCGTCGGCTGCTTTCGGCGCTGGCGCCGCGAAGACGTGCCCGCCGAGATCGACCAAAACCGGCTCTTGTCGCGGTCGTCGGGCGGGCGGTCGACGACGCGCACTGGCAGTGCACCGACGACCGAAGGCCGGGCGTCTGGCGACATCTTGCGTCCAGCGGACGTAACGATTCTCGACCGGCTGCGCGTCGACGATGCCAGCGTCGTTCGGACGCGGCTCCTCGCCAAAGGCGCACACGGCGAAGTCTACCTTGGCAAGTACAATGGCGAGCGCGTCGCGATCAAGTGCCTTCTTCCGGGCCGGACGAGCCAGCACGAGGCGCAAGCCATGGTCGACGAGATCAAAATGCTCTCCCGGTGCGACGGACCCGCGCTTCGAACATGGCCGACTCATCCTCTATCCATAGACTCGACAGCCCGTTCGTTGTCGCGTTCTATGGCGTGTGCTTTCTTCGAAATGCGCCCCTCGCGCGGCTCTCGTTCCTGGTCGAGTTTATGGACCGCGGTGACCTCCGCGACCTCTTGGTGCTTTCGGCGGCCGATCCCGCGGCGCTCTTTCCATGGCTCGAGAAGCTCCAGTGCGCGTGGAGCGTCGCCCAAGGCCTCGTGTACCTTCATGAAAGTTCGGTCATCCACCGCGACCTCAAATCCCGCAACGTTCTCCTCGACTCGGTCAAGGGCACCAAGCTCACGGACTTTGGCGTCTCGCGCCATACGTCCAAGACGCTCACGATGACGGCTGGCGTCGGCACGTACCGCTGGATGGCGCCGGAGCTCTTGAGCGAGAACCAGTACACGGTCGCCGCCGACGTCTTCTCGTTCGGCATGGTGCTCTCGGAGCTCCTGACGCACCGCATTCCGTACTCGGACCTAATGTCGAAGAACGGCCTGCCGCTTGTAGACACGGCAATCATCAATATGGTCATCAACGGCGCGATCACACCGACGCTGCCCGACGACTGCCCGTCCTGGGCACGCGACCTCACGCTGGCGTGTATCGCTGCCGACGCCAACGCCCGACCAAGTGCGAGGCAAGTCGCCGCGATCCTGCACCAACAGCTCGTGCTCGCGGTCCCATAACTTAACCTATTTATCGTCTCATGGTTATTAGTCTCCATCAATTCGGTTACCCTAGTCCTAGTCACAGGAAGAGTTCACACAGAACTCAGGTACGAGCAAGATACCTCGCAATGCGAGTGCAAGTTGCACGCCCAAGCACAGAGCGACTCGGAGGCTGCTGGCGGGCTGCTGGCTGCGCGCGTCTTCGGACTGACTCGGACGCTTGGCGGACTTGGGCAAAACCACTCGGGGACAAACCACTGTGGAAGCATCGGACTGATGCGGGTTCTAGATTGGGACTTCGGACTTCGATTAGGCCGAAATCAGGCTTCTGCGTTCTCAATCAGGGCAGCGACGCAAGTGCGAACTTCGTCATGTGCACTGACGAGGTGGCGGAGACCTGCCGCGGGCTCATTGCGGCCGCGGACGAGAACGCATGCTCCAGCCCCGTCGTGCTGCATCTGCAGGACAACGTGACGGCGACCGACATTGACGCCTTCTGCAAGGACCCGGCGTGCCTCACGCTGCTCGACCGCTACTCGCAGATCGGGCTGCAGTGTCGGGGCTGCGGCCTCCCGGCGCTCGCGACCATCGACCAGTTTGAGCGCTGGCCGCAGTTCACCAAGATCTGCGCGCCCAGTTGCAAGCGCCAGTTCAAGACGTTCGCGCGCCACTTTTACTCGTGCTACGAGTACGACTCGGTCGAGTGGGGCACGCCGACGAGCGACACGTGCGCGTCGTGCAAGAGCCTCAACACGACGATTCGCCAGACCGCGTTCGCCAACGACTGCGGCGGCAACGTCACGACCATGTACACCTTTGTGCAGCTCATGACGTCGCGCACCAAAGCGAACGACTCGCGCGACACATCCCTCCTCATGCGCACCTGCGAAAAGCTGTACGCGCCGCCGCCGCCGACCGCGACGCCGACGCTGACCCTCGGTGCGACCGACTCGTCTCTCATCGTCGTTGCCGGCGCTGTTGTCGGGCTCCTCCTCACGATCGGCCTCTTTGTGCGCTGGCACCGGCGGCCATCACCGCCCATGCCTCTTCTCATCGACCCTTCAACACAAGAGGCAGCGGCCGACTCGCCGACCTCGGACCTCGAGTCACCAACGCTCGCGTTTGCCTCATTACGCAACTCGACACTTGCGCTGCTGCCGGCCGACACGATGGCGCAGCTCATGGCGCTCTCCGTGCACGGCCACGTGTCGTGGCAGTACTCGATCGCAAAAGGCGCCAACGGCCAAGTCTTTCTCGGGTTATACAAAGGGCAAAGAGTCGCCATCAAAGCTCTTTTGCCCGAGCGCTGCGACGTGCCGACGGACGTGTACGCGATGGTCGACGAGATTCTGATGCTCTCAAGGTCCGCTTCTCCGTACGGCGACTTTGGAGCTTACTTGTCGTAGGCTGCATCACGGCCACATCACTGAGCTCATTGGCGTCTCGTTCACCGTACCCGACCACGCACTCTGCTTCCTCATCGAGTACATGGACCAAGGCGACCTGCGCGATCTCCTCGTGCAAAATACGCCTGCCACCTACATCCTTCCACGCAAAGTCGCCGCGGCGCTGAGCGTCGCGCAAGCGCTTGTCTACTTGCATAACCTCAAGATCATCCACCGCGACCTCAAGTCCCGCAACGTGCTCGTCGACTCTCTCAAGGGTGCCAAGCTCTGCGACTTTGGCGTCGCCCGGCTCGCGTCCAGCCACGACACGATGACGGTCGGTGTCGGCACGTACCGCTGGATGGCGCCCGAGGTGCTCAGCGAGAACCAGTATACAGTCGCCGCCGACGTCTTTTCGTTTGGCATGGTGCTCTCCGAAATCGTGACGCACCGCATCCCGTACGCCGACATCAAGTCCCGCACTGGCCAGCCGCTTGTCGACACGGCCATCATCAGCCTCGTGGTCAACGGCGCGATCACGCCGACGCTGCCGCCCGACTGCGCACCCTGGCTCGTCGAGCTCATTCTGCGCTGCATCGCCACGGAACCGCACCAGCGACCGACGGCGAGAGACATTGTGTTGGTGCTGCAGCGATATAGTACAACCATGAATGTGTAAACCACGGGACTAGCTATTTATGACGTCAAAGAATCGACACTGTGTATGCGATCAGGTCGCTCTCGTTGGTCGGACCGCTCGACCGCGCAAGGTCAACAACGATTGTCTGGTCAGTCTCTGCCGTGCCGAGTGCGAAAGTATCAACTTGATACAACGAGCCGCGACACTGAGCCAAGGACGCTTCATGTGGTTACGAGAGGTACCCTGGGGTATGCCGCATGGCACCCATTTGGAGCTCGTGCAAATGCTTGTAGCTCGATTTTTTCTGAATGCGGTCGCGATGGATGTGGACGACGAGGACCGACCCGACGAGCTGGCTGAAGACGCGCTTGAGTCGATCGGACGGCAGCAGGCGGAAGAAGAGCTCGTACTGCACGTTGCACGTTCGCGTCACATAGGCGTCCGAGACTTGAAGCATGTTCTTAATCAAAAGAAGCCCGCGGTCCAGGACCACGTCACCGTTCAAGTTGGTTGCGGTGCATCCCTCGATCGACGTGGTGACAGACGACAGGTTGGGCACGCCCAGGTACGCCAGCACCGAGTTGGTTCGAGGTACGCGCACCGTGTACGAGATGTACCACGAGGTGAGATACACGCAGGCTATCGCCAGCAAAACGATGCCGCCCGAGAGAAGCGGCGAGAGCACGTGAAGGCGAGGAAGCGCGTCAAACGCAAAGCAGTTGATCGAGGTCGCGAGCCGACACGAGCTTGACACGGCGTTGCTTTGGGGCGCAACGACAAACGCTTCAAGGCAAAACACTAGAAGCCAGTTGACGACACTGGCCACCAGAAGCAGCCACGTCTGCGTGACCAGTCGCGGGTTGAACCAGATCTGAATCAGTGTCCCCGTCATGATACCAACGATCGATGCGAGCTGGGCGGGGCCGAGGTACACCAAGTACGTTTTGTCAAAGCTTGGGTTCTGGTACATGTACGTGCTCAGCGATTGGAGACTGCGGTTGCCGTAGAAAGTCAGGAGCAAAATCACGGGACCAATCACGTTTTTGGACAAGTAGACGGGCACGCTGCAGATGACGCTATGTCGTAGAAAGGCAAACTGGAGCAGCACCAAGTAGAACGTCAGACACCAGAGCACGAGCGCACTCAGAAGAAAAATCGAGTCGCACGTCCAGAGCATCGTCACGTAGCCTTGCATGTCCATGAGCCAGCCGAG